ACCATATTTAAGATTAGGCCCCATATCTCATATATCCCATCCTCATTCGAGTACACTTTTGTCGGTAACAAAAGCGATATAGTTTATACAGTCATCTTGCCTCTCAGGAACAAAGTATTCATATACTAGAGAACAGAGATAATTGGGCCATGCTCACGGATATGAGTAACTCATAACTCACCCGTGACTCATGTTCATCACGAATTGATGGGTCTAGCTTGCCAAAGAATTCAGAATCAGCTGTAGGAGCACTATCAAAATTCGCTACCACAAACTGCTCATTGTACCTGTATCGAAAAAAGAAGGGAAGAGACAAATGTATTAGCATAAGTATGCTACAAGTTGAAAATTACTAGTGATTTTTCATCCAAAAGGCAATGCACTAAAACTCTTGCAAAGAAACATTTGAACAAGACATGGAGCAGAGAAAAGGGGAAAAAATAAAGACCAACATCTCTTAAATGTTGAATAGTTAGACGTTAATAGGCTGGCTTTCCCATCTAGTTGATTACATTATTCTATAGCAACTGGAAAACTATAAGCGCATGTTTACCACCACAGGAGATCCTTCACAGAATGCCAACATACAGATAATACCGTAAAGTGTACAGCTTTCAAGGGCTTCATTGTTGTGTCTACATGCAGGGCTATTATGAGAAAAAATTGCCTGATTCGAGATTTAAGATTTAAGATTGTCTCAAAGGGAAAATAAGGAGCAATCAACCTATCAAAATATGGCAACAGTGGTAAAACTTCAACCGGCTGCAAGCTTTTATTGGTGGCATGAACTGGTCGAGACTTGCATGCCTCAAAGGATGCTTCAATATCCTTGATTTGTCTCTCTCTAGAGACCAAAGAAAAAGAAACCATTAGACCTTCTTTTTCACATTGTTTAGAAATACACAAATTTGAGAAATAAAACACCTATTGTTAAGATTGTGCAAGATGTTGATGCCTCCTTTCATCTCTCGCAGTTCCTTTGCTTGTTTCTCAGTTAGCGACTACACATGGAGAACATATAAGATTGGAAACTGCTTTTACAAGCTATAAATCACAAAAGAAACTTTCAACAAGTGAGATTGATACCTGTCTTGCCGATTCATTATTAATAGAAGAAATGTATTGTGTTTTCACGAGCCAGGAAACACCTTTATCAGTTGGTCTTTCTTTTCTCCGGATGCCATCTTTCTTAATAGGTGTAATAGCATCATCATCACGCAACAGTTCTTCATCTTCAGGGGCAAGAGGTGCCTTGACTTTGGGAGGGCTGAAAGAAAAGAGCTACATTAGTAAGTATCCGAGTAGATGAGGTTTCTCGCATTAAAGACAGTAAAACTTTCTTGAGAGATCATACTTGTATACACTTAGGTCAAGCAGATCCAAGGGTATTCCAAGATCAGGCTCGACAAAGATTTTTGGTTTCCATAATTTCTCCAGCGATGTGATGGTATACTTTGTAAATCTAGTGGTGGGATCAAATAGCTGTATCAGATTTAAGAAGTAAAACGGATTCAAGAAATAAAACTGGAAGATCTTTTTGGCAATAGAGTAACATACTGATCTTTATCCCGCTTAATGGTCATAAGCTTAAGCTGAGCACTAGGGTCAGGGAGCTCATTCCGGAACCTTCAAGAAGATGATTATCAGGCTAATATGTAAACACGATGTAGTTAGTCGTTTGCTAGAAGTGAGAATACTGACTTGAGCTTGCAGATGAAGGTGGTTGGTTTCTTTAACCTATTCTCGACCCTGTCGGTGGTGAGTAGAGGCGTCGGCTTCTTCTCCTCCGTGTGTCCCTTGGGCATTTGAGACTTGTGAGAATTTTTCATCTGCTGTCTAAGTTTTTCTTCTTGCCTTTGTTTCTCTAACTCCTTCTTCTTCCTAAGCCTCCTCTCTTCTTCGGTCTCGATTTTCTTAGTATGGGGAAGATGAGACCTGTGGTGCTTCGATGGATCCGGTTTAGCACGCTCCCGCCTCGAGGCCCCTTTGTCGCGGTCAGTGGGCCCTTGGTTTCGAGGAGGATCGGGTACGAGGGGAGGAGGAGCTGAGGGAGGTGGAGGAGGAGGAGGAGGAGCTTGGACCTGGTTGAATTGAGGATACTGCTGATAGTAAGCATGCGGAGGGGGAGGCGGCGGAGGATAAGAGTACGGTTGATGCGACGGTGGTGGGGGAGGAACAGGAGGGGGTAACGACGGCGGAGGAGGCGGAGGGGCCAAAGGATTTTGTGGCGGATACGGCGGCCGGTACGACGCCATTCTCGGTGTACTTGTGATCTGAATCCCCTAAACGAACAAAGACGAGTCTTGATATATTATTAGCTCCGGTCAGACAGATTTTCCTTTTCTTTGTTTTGGGGGCCTCATTAACGGCCTAATAACGGCCCAAACAAACAAACAAAAACAATCTTCTTCTTTTTTTAAACACTCATATATATTAAAAAGGGCTTCCCAAAATGGACTAAAGCCATGGGCTTACAAGTGAAAACTCAGTTACAAAAATAAGAATTCAAGAAAACCGGCCCAACACGAAAACTGGCATTGTGTATCTTACCATGCTTTGTAGTTTGTACAAAGCTCATCGACGTGTGAGGAACCGATATTTGTTTTCTACATTACAAAGCTCATCGACGTGTGAGGAACCCATATTTGTTTTCTCCAATAATAATTACTTTAACTTTATTACAAAACATTATGTACAATATAGCGAACCGAGGTGTGGTTAAACACTCAGCAATCTCGATCCAAAAGATAAATCTAACGTCCGACAACGCTGGACCAACTCATGAAAACCTCTTACCAGACTTCACAAGCCGAAGATGTTATGGTCGTTGGCACTGAAAATAGCACCGCCAAACTGCCTGGTGTTCAAGTCTCCTCCATCAAGGGCGGACCCAAAACGGTCAAGCCACTGGGCAGGGCTGGGATTCTCTGCCTCTTCCACCCACTCCGACATCATGTCAATGTCCTCCAGGGCAATCGGGTCTATCTCCACGGTTATCATTCTCCCTAACTTTAGATTCTGATTCACGTACGCCAAGTTGTTCAATATTTCTCTGTCAATCTTATTTCGCCTTTCCCAGTGCATCTGCTGGAATGTGCTCCATTGGCGTTCCAAGTTGTAACCACTGCAAACTTGGCTCAGTATCCTGATGGCCACCCGCTGCAAAACAGGTGCTGAGTCACCAAACTGCTCCCACCAGAGACCTGTATTACTAAGCAAACTGACATCAACTTCTAGAGCTTAGTTACCAATTCTCAAGAATCGAGACCATAGCCCTAAAGCTAGCATGCTGATGGAAAGATATCTACAAGTTTTGCAATTCGGTTTACTATGTGCCAGGCTATATCAATCTGACCTTATTTAGTTGTGTAATAAGATCATAGCTTTAATTGCAGTCATAGATACGTGGATTACCTAGACATCTCTGTTCACTAGTCAGGTTGGTTCAAAAACCTGTATTAACATTCCAAGTTACGAATAGCAACCCTTGGAAATTTGACTAAAAATTATATTCATGACTTCAAAAAAAAAAAAAAATGTATTGTCCATACCTGGTGAAACTGAATCCCTCGCCTCCATCGCCAGGTTACAGCCGAACATTCCCTTTGCCCTAGTGAAAGTGAATATCTGATTTGTAATATCACGCCGTAAATCGCTAGTGGGGAGAAGTTTCTCCAACACTTTGAAAAAATCTTCTTTTAAGGAAGAGAGGAACTTTATCTCTGGGTTATACTGTATACTGGGATTCAAGAATGCTGCTGCTGCATGAAGAGGTGAATGCAAATGGTCACACCACTTTGTATCGACTATGTCAGAAAAGACCTTATGCTTATTCTCATCCATGATGTAGTATGTCCGTATTGACTCCTTCGCCTTGGACATTAACTCGTATATAGAACCTACAGCGGGCTTTCCACTAGAAACTTCCCTCAACACTTTCAGGATAGGCTCGGAAATAGCCACACTTTCTTCCACAGCTCTCCAGAAATCATTATCCTCTAAGATATTCACGCATGACATGCTCTGTGGTTTATTAGGATTTGTGGTATACTCTGGGCTATTGAACATATGTTTTAGCCTTGCTTTTTGTTTCATCATTGACTGTAATGATAGAAAATTGGAGACAGACTTTGTGACACCACTTCTGATAATATCTTGCCCACCTGTTAACTTTCTCATTAAATCTAGCACGGGGCTATTGTTGTACACAAACTTAGATATTACCTGCGCTTGCGATATACATTGGTTGACCCAATCTACCTTGGAGAATTCTTCTAATATCATGTTCAAACACTGAGATGCACAAGGGGAGACGAAAATGGTTGCATAGTTTTGCAAGATATGGTTTGAGATACCAGTGTAGCTGAAGCTGTTGTCCATAATGATTTGCACAATATGCTCCTGACCAATATCTTGGATGATAGAATCAAAGAGATCAGCAAGGCATTTTGTGTTCTTGAAATATGAGGAGGCGTCCACAGACTTGTGAAAAAAGATTCTGGAAGGCGATGAGACGGAGAAGTTGATCAGTGCTCGTGATTTGTTGTCGGTCCATGCCTCAGCGATGAGAGTACAGCCCGTGGTGACCCACTCCTTTTCAGTGTCTTTCAGTTGTAAACGAATTTCTGATTTAACAGAGTCCAGCAATTGAGTCTTGAGAGAGAGAGCACAAGGAGGAACAAATCCAGGACCACACTTGGCAACGGCATCGAGCATATGGTGATAAGAGGGTGAGCGGGCAACACCAAAGTCGATCTTGTTCTCAAAGAAGAAAAGAGAAATACTCCTCTCGGCAATCTCCTGCGCATTTGGAGAAGAGGGAAAGAGTAGTTTGGACGCAGCATCAGAGGGAAGAGGAGATAAAGGTGGTGGTGGTGGAGGCTTGTACTTGTTGTTGGTGATTGAGGCATCTTTGGGGTCATCCTTGGCAGATAAAATGGAACGGACTCGATCAGTAACATCGTCCCTAACCTTGGCACAAGGATTGACCCCTTTACTGGGAAGGCGAGAGAGATGATGCTTCAATCTACTAATGCCGCCATTAAGAACTCTAGAGCAGAACTTGCATTTAACCTTGTTACCATCTAGTTTCTCTGCGTATTCCCAGCAGATATCTTTTTCTCGTACCACTGTCACACAACAATAATCGAATGCTTAGATGATGCAAAAATCTCAGTCTCAGAAAAGAAAATAAATAGAGCTGCTTACTTAGTAGCTAGAGGACTGCTGAATGAAATGTTCTTCGTCAGCTTCCCACCTGCCAAACACACAACCCTAGTAAGGATTGCCGGAAAATCAAAAAGACACATGATGAAACCACCACCGGTTCCCGGAGAGGAGAGAAACAGATTCAAAGATCTAATCGGAGAAGACCAACAAGAATCAAAGAGAATTTGGAAGGAGAAATTGTGGGAGAAAAGAGTAAATTAGAAGCAGTGCTTACCGAGAAATCTCGATGCGGGAGAGATTCACTTCTTCTCGCCGGAACTAACACTTCTGTGATAATTTTTCGCGATATTTTGCTCTCCTTCTTTTCTTCTTTTCTTTTCTTATATTTATCGTGTTTTACATTACCTTCCTTTTCCTCTAATTGTCATTTCACTCTTTCATTTTATTTTATATTTTTTTCTATATAATACGACTATACGAGTGAAGGATACAAGAGTGGAATGCGGTTTTAGTACACTAAACTGGCAAGAGATAAACTCGGTTTTAGTACACTAAACTGGCAAGAGATAAACTCTTCCAGAAACAATTAATGAAATCGATACTGGTTTTCGCTTTTCTCATTCACTTTCAATCCTTAATTTTGTTCACTATATTAATCAACTACACCCAACTTTCAAGATATTGGCTCATCCCTACCACTCACTAATAATAACATGTCTTAGCTATCGCTTATTTGTACTAGTAAAACAACACGTTCAAAATAAGAAGAAAAAACAACAAAGCCAACAGTCGCAATAACTATCAATTAAAATGATGTTCCTGAAAAAAAACCCAAAGTAAAGAAAAACACTCGAGAGAACCTTAGAGAGAGAAACCCTAGATCTACAGCCGCCGCCGCCTCTCCGCCGCCCGCGGTGTGAGAGGGCTCATCCCTTCTTTCTTAGCTTTTATTTACAGTTTGTGTCGTAGGGTGACTTGCTCTCTTTGTCTCCGGCGGTGCTAAGGAAGGATTCAACTGCTGTGACGAGATGGTGCGGCGAAGGACGATACAGAAAGAGATCTCGGCTCTCTTTTCGTTTCGGGAGTGGGTGATGGTTCGAAGCTTCATGGTGTCGGATCTGGGGAGCTAGATCGAGCTCTTCCGCTTCCCTTGTTCTTCCCGCCAGAGATCCTAGCCGTCCGAAGTAAAGTGGGTGAGTCGAGTCTTAGAGTCTACCGGTGATTGGGGAAGGTTCCGAGGGTGCCGGTGGCCGAGATTTGAGGATTCCCTCAAAGCCGGTTTTCTCGAGAGTTTCTTCAATTCACTATTTCAGTCCGACTAAGAAGCGAGACAACAAGGCAGATGCGATGTGGCCATTCCGGAAATGCACCGTGAGGTGAAGGTATACTAATCCGTGCTCCACTCTAATCCTTAGGCGATTAGTATTACGAGTATTGCTTGGTTATTTCGGAGATGTCTATGGCTATGCTGGTTTTGGTTCGTGCCTCTTGGTCGGGTCAGTCGGACGTGCTGTCCGTTTTTGGTTTAAGACCGGAACGATGAATGCCGGGGATCCCAAGCTTTTCAGATAATGCGCCTCCGGGTGGTGATGCTATTGGGACAAGTTCTACAATCCGATCATAAGGGACTAATAGTGTGGATTTGATTTGTAATTCAGTTTAGTTTTGGTCTTCTCCGTGTAAGTTGTTGTTCTCGTGTCATTAGGGTCAATTTAGGTGGTTTAAGAGATGATTTCACTCCGAGTCGTGGCGTGTTTCATCTCGCAGTGGTTAAAAAATACAATGATCTTCAGTTGGGTAGCGTTGGATCCGTTAGTGTTTCAGGGTGATACTAGACTGAATCATTGTATTTGAGTGAAGTTTGTCGAGGTCAAATGATTTGTAATATCGATTTGGTGAATGAATAGTTGATGTTGAGCCCAAAAAAAAAAAAAATGATGTTCCTGAATATTTCCTAAAAAGAAATCACACCATATGCAATCACATGTTTCTACCAAGACGCTAACATACACGAGTACGAGACGATAGCCCAGAGAAACAAATTTCTTAGGATTATTATGGACTTGAAAAGAAACAGCAGGAAACAAAGGAAACAGTGATTACAACACAGATTTTCAGATGCTGACAAACAAACAAACAAAAAATCTCATGCAAAGAGGAAGGTGAAAGAATATGAGAGGAGAGAAATGGCCATGCGAGTCGTATGAGACATAACAAATGAGAGATTAAGCTTATCCTCAGCGGTAGCTTCGATAAGAAGGGCTGTACATGCTGCTCTCAGCACACTGCTCCAGCTCCTTGGGCTGAGGCAACCTCGTGGCCAGTCCTATATATAAGGAAATGTAATCTTGTATAATTTACACTTTTATAAAATCACATTACATTAATATTGCAATTCACACTTGAAACACATTACATCAGGCAACACAATTACTTACCCAGTTCATAGGCCTTGGCAGCCACCTTAGCTGCAATACGAGCCGAGATTTTTCTGATATTCCTGAAGGGAGGGTATATCATCCCCTTCTCATAGTGTTCCTCCATCAGTTCCTCAGCCAAAGCTTCTGACGCGGCCAAAAGCATGTCATCATGGACTCGGATGGTCCCTGACATTATTAGCCCCAGTCCAAACCCAGGAAAGATGTATGCATTGTTCGCCTGTCAACACAAACGTCAGAATCAACTCTCTTAAATCACTTGTCAAATCCTATTCTATAGCTAATAGCTAATAGCTATGGTCACAACCTGTCCAGGCACAAACGTCTTTCCCTCATACTCTACTGGCGCAAATGGGCTTCCACTAGCAAAGATCGCCCGTCCCTGTAAAAATAGGTTGACTTTGTAACCCAACGACAATACTCCAATTCTCTCTGATCATGAGAAATCACAATCTTAACTCGTTTACCTGACTCCACGTATAGGCCTGTTCCGCCGTACATTCTGACTGAGAAGTTGGGTTTGAAAGAGAGAGAATGATGGGTTTCTGTATGCACCAAAATTGACTTTATGGTCAGGACCATGTGCTCCTAGAAAAAAATGAATCTGCCAAAATGCTTATTTCTTTTTCATGCAAGTCTATGCGGAAAAAGTATACCTCATTTAGCTCTGCCATGGTTTCCACAACGTCTTGAGTGAATGTTTGACCTACTCCCGATGTTCCGATCAGAACTGTCGGCTTGATTGCCTGAATGAAAAAAAAAAAAAGGGTTCAGTTCTAACAATGAAACTTAAAAAAGGCTTATTCTACAGTGATATCTTCTGCAGCAGAACAATAACCAACACACCTTGACGGCATCAACAAGTTCCCTTATCGGTTCATGGTCATGAGCCCAGGGCTTTTTGAAATGTTGAATGGATTCTTTCCGGGAACTGACAATCAATCCCTACATAGATAAAAATGTGTACTTTAGATTTAAGTACATTCAAAGCAAAGATGAATCCACATCTCATAAGTTACCTTCGAATCCACGAGCCAAATATTCTTCCGAGCCTCTTCCAATGGAATATGGGACTACAGTCGCACACAAAAAAAAGTTACTTTCATATAAGAAAAGAAAACAAGTAGCTTAATAGAGCAAATGAACACAAGCGTATAACTTACCTTCTTTGAAATCTCAAGAGCAATTAGTTCAGCTATTCCGGTGCCTGCCTGCATCACAAAAAAATGGGGAAGTAAAACTATGTGATAAGCCTGCAGAATATCCCACCCCCATCCAAGAAATAGATTGACGGAATGGATTTCACTGCAAGAAAATCCCAACCCTTACCTCTCCAGCACCAAGGAAGAGGAATCTGTGGTTTGACAAGGAACCCCCCACAAATCTAAGAGCAGCAATAAGTCCCGCAAGCACAACTGATGCTGTTCCCTAATATATGAAAAAATACAGTTTCACAACTTGGTAAATATGTACTCCAAGCCGAAATCACCTTGTTCTCACAACTTAATCAGGATGTAGTTATACCTGAATATCGTCATTGAAAACAAGATGTGTTGTACCATACTTAGCTAACAGATCAAAAGCATTATGGTTGGCAAAGTCTTCAAACTACAAATTATCAAAAGAAACATGTCTGGTTACAAAATATACAGATAGGAAATTTCATAAGATCTAAACAGCAATTCATGTTGGTGGCGTACACTTATCCATGTGTCAAGCTAACCTGAATAACAACTTTCTCCCCATAGTTCTGCTTGACTGCTGTCATGAATTCATGCATAAGTTCAGAGTATTCCTGTAGAAAGAAGAGGACTAAGGGTTCAGTTTCATCATAATTTCACAGGACCGTCTTACTGAAAGGTGCAAGGTGTCAATTACCTCTCCTGTAGCTCTCCTTTGACGGAGTCCTATGTAGAACTCATCGTTCAATAGCTTTTCGTTGTTTGTCCCAACATCGATTGTTACGGGCAGACACTGGCAACCAATATATAGAGAGAAAGATGAGCGGATGTGGTTGAGTGCAATAAAGCTGATTTGCATAAAACTATACTTACGGCAGATGGCCGGACACCTCCAAGGGCTGTATAGAGAGAAAGTTTCCCAACTGGTATTCCCATTCCCTGAAGACATAAATGATGGCATGTAAAGCGCAAATTAGTAAGAGGATAAACCCTGACTCACCACTCTCATGATAGCAGAAAAGAATGAAACAACTTGCCTGACATCCAAGATCTCCTAACCCTAAAATGCGCTCCCCATCAGTGACAACAATGACCTGAATGTTCTTCTCAGGCCAGTTCCTCAGCACTTCATGGATCTTGCCTCTAAAATTGTATTCTCAGTTAAAAGATGAGCACAAGAATACTGAAAGTGGTAGTTGATTTCCGTATAAAAAGACTCACTTTTCTTTCAAGCTGATAAAAAGCCCCTGTGGGCGCAGGAAAATGCTACCATACTTCTGGCAGGCTTCCCCGACCGTTGGAGTATAGACAACTGGTAGCAACTCCTCGACGTGATCAATGAGAAGCTTGTAAAAGAGCCTCTCGTTGGTCTCCTGAAATACAGAAGCATAGTGAAAGAAGTTGGGTAACAAAGGCACTTGGTGTTGTTCAGATAGCGAAACTTCCTAGAGGGTTAGTTTACCTGGAGATCCATCATAGCCATATACCTCTGCAAGGGAACTTGATACTGACGAAGAGTGTGCATCATTTTTTTAACCTGTAGACAAAGCGTGCAGTAAAAGGATCAAAGTCCAAATTTGCAGTTGTATATAGAAAGAGTAAGTGAAACCTGACAAGACGGGAAACCTGAAGATCTTGGGAGATAACAGTGGGGGGGAGGAGGCCGCGTAGATAGTGAGCGTCACGCTCCCTGTGGCTAAAGGCAAGGCCTTTGTTGTGATGTGGATCACGCAGCAACGTATACCCACTGGCGACAGAGAGAGACCAAGGAGTGATAGGCATGTCCTCGGTGGCAGCATCCTCGCCGTAGACATCCTGAACTCCACCAGATACGGTGGATTTGGGAACAATGTCGGCGGCGGAGGTCTCGAGAGAGGAGGATGAAGTGGCAGTGGTCTCAATCAGAAGGCTGCCGTTGGGATCCCGGTTAGATCCGAGAGAGGAAAACACTCTCAAGGAAGCAGGAGGGGTAATTAGAGTTCTAGGCTGGCGCAGAAAGAGGTGTGTGGAACATCCAGGAACAACCGTCTTGTTCTGAGAAACCAAAGCAAGATGAGACATGGATGGATGTAGAAGAATGGAGAAAGAAAGATGTAAATAATACCAGAAACGACGAGGGACTCAGAGAGATCATGGCGCCTGGGGATGCCTTGTTTCTGAGACGGAGGAGAAGGGAGGAGACGGAGAGAGACTTCTTCTTCAGCGCGGCCGTGGTCGTGGAGGAGACGGAGAGAGTCTTCTGGGTTCTTCTTCAGCGCCGCCGTGATCGTCTCGCTCACTTTCTCTCTCTCTCTTCCTATCTCCCTCACACGCTCTAAATCTGAGAGCACAGAACCTCCATGGACATTGTTGACGTGTCTTCCTTTTCTATCTCTTCTCAAATTGCGTCTCCACTCCTTGGCCTTTATTGCCCAACGGTCCCTATATTGGTACGCTTTTGTCAATTTTAACCCACAAAATCTAAATTATAACTTTTCTTTGACTCTGACCTCTCTCTATTCCTTGGCGTTTCTTCTTATTTCTTTTCAATTGAAAATTGTGACCCAAAATAGCAAAAGGGATTTTAGCTACAGACAATTTCAAGCAAAATGCAACTACCATCAATGTATTGGTACTAAGTAGATTTAGTTGGTTTGGAATTGGTATGCGAGACCCACCACTTGCCCTCTCTACTTGACATTATTTTTCATAATTTTATGTGACAGAAAAGTCTCCTCCAACTTGGACTTGTGTCACACTCCGTGCCCATCCTGTGAGGTGGATCAATTGTGTAAACAAAAAGGCCGCTTAAGGCCCAAATTGGGTCCATGAATAATATTTTTTTTTTTTTTTTGGAAAAGGAAAAGTTGAAATGAAGAAAGGCAAACAAGAGAATTGCATCTCATCATTATGCTCTTGCTTTATTTAACAAAAACTTTTTCTTTCTCCAATGATCGATCCTTGCTCTACATCTATACTAGTACTATTAAAAAGATCCTTGCTCTAATTAACTAAGTGTAAGAAGACCCCAAACAAAAATGGGAGCTTCTTCTCCTGACTTCCGAGCCCCTCCTCCATCCCCCGTAGCATCCAGCCGCCGGGCCTCCTTCACGGCCAACGAAGACGTCCTCTCGGAGTTCCTGGACAAGTGTGGTCGAGTCCCAAATCTTGTATTGCCCGATAAAGTCTTCCCCAAGCACACATTCCTTCTGAACCCTCCCACCTTCGATTTCCTCCGGTTGGACTCCCTCTCGACCATGCTGGATGCCATCGCCACCATCGGTTGTTTTCAGCTCGTTAACCACGGTGTTCCAGAGGCTATGGTGAAAGCCGCCATGGACAGAACCATTTTCCACGATGAGACGGAGGAGTTTGTTTTTTATAAAGATATTGCTGATGATCACACGGCTTGTTATTCAGATTTGAGGTAATTAAGGCTGCAAACATTACTAGTAATTTGATTAGGAATTATAAAGTCTAAAAGAAAGTAGTAAGTAATGATATTAAGATGCAGGGAGTTGATGGGTGAGGCAGAGAGGATAGGGAAGGCGGTGAGAGAAAAGCTAGGAGCAGGAAGAAGCCAAAAGGAAGAGGACGAAGGGGTTAGGGTTTGCTACGTGAATAAACATAATATTAAGGGTAGCAAAAACGAATCAAAGGAAGAAGCCATAAGGATGCTGATAAGAGGGTATGACGAAAGACATTCTCTGTGTCTCAACTTCTGCCATGCAGAGTTCCACGTCTACTCCAAGAGAGGTTGGGTCTCCTTCTCCCCACGTCCGGATGCTGTGGTCGTGACGGTCGGAGATGAAGGCTGGAGCGGCAGATTCAAGGGTGTTGTGGGGAGGCCCCTTCTTTACAAATCAGATCTTCATCACAATCTCATTTCTATATCCTTTCTCTACACTAGTAACACTAGTACTACCACTCTCCACAACAACACCGGCAGAAGAATTATCACAAGTAAGAAGAAGAAGACCATTTCCCTCTCCCAACAGCTCCTCTTTGCTCTATTTCTCACACTCCTCTTCCCTTTCTTATTTCCTTGATCATTTGTTGCTTTTTTCTTTTCTTTGGAAACTAAAAAACAATTGCGGCAGTGTGTATCTCAATCTTGTTTTAGCCTTTTACCCAGCAATGCATGGCCCAATTATTCAATTTAAAAGCCCACTATATCCAAATATTGATATCTGACTGACCCTTCTTCACCCTTGTGCCCTGTTTTGTAACCTTTTTTTTTTTTTTTGCTAAATTTGTAAATATCATAAATGAATAAACAGGATTTACAAAGTTGTTAAACCTAAACATTTGACTCCTTGGCAAGAAAGAGAAACAAAAGAAGGTGTCATTGTGTCAATAAGGTCCGAGGAAGTCCATAAACTTCATCGCATCCACAGCGTCATTAGCTTGCTAAAGAGGCGTTTGTGTCTCCTGGAAGAAATGGTGTTCTTGATATCACGATTAGTCATCTTAAACACGGTATGGGCTGGGAGAGCTTGTTGATTATGCAGGACATTATTTCTCTGTTTCCACAGATGAAAGGGCGTTGCTTGAGTTGCTACTCTCCTTAAGATTGATGGAGCTCGTGGAGATTGAAATCGAATCCAAGAGAGGAGGTTTTGTAACTTTGTATTCATTCGGTTATCAATCTCCTTCCCAATCCATCTGAATAGTTATATTTGTAAATTTCGGTTAGTATGGAGATTTCGACACTGCGCACGAATCAGATAGATATATACACTGAAGTATTACTTACGTAACCCGAGATTAGGCGGTGCAAGCACATATCCACCTTCGAGTATTTCACTGCAAGAAAGCGTAACGTTTACATATATATGCACAGATTTGATGTATAATAATGTTATATATGCATTTTCTTTTCATACTACGCATGTAAGTGTAACTATAATTGACGTACAGCGCATGCAATGTAGACTACAAGAAATATAGAGTTCTGTGGAATCAGCTACGTATAATATACATGATATGTATGCACGTGAGCGTCCCCCCCACTTTCTAAGTTATCGCAAAATTGAGTTTAAAACAACCAATATACGTCTTTTTCTTCTTCTTTTGTTGGGATTGATAATATTTACAAGTTTCAACTTTTAACTTCATTATGAGTGGTCTTCCTCGAGTCCATGTTGTTCCTCTCTTTTATGTGTGGTTATACAAAACTCACACACACGTGAGCTATCGTTGTCTTTAATTTGGGATACATATAGTTCCTTTTACTTACCTCCACACAATTCTTGAGCACTTGCTTTTGTTACATAATTGTTTGTATTTTACTTTTGGCTTAAATACCACATTTAATTTGTATATAATTTGCACACTAGCTTATCTGATTTCCTCCTATAATTCAGATTCAGGGAACGAAATGTATCTAATGTTTTTTTTCCCCCACGGAATTTGCAATCTCTAACGAAAACTACATTAATAAGAACGCAATGACAAAAGTTTACAGTTCATTAAGAAAATGACCAAGTCTAGTTGAGATTAGTGACATACAAAAATAACTAAATTAAATCATGTGTTTTTTTAATGTTTATATATATATATATATTATATATCCCCATACATGAACTCAATATAGAGATATATATATCATACATATAGTACTTTAGAAGATCTTGTAGTTAAAAGGATAGTTGCCAGTTGCAATGTAGCACGTGAATTGGTGGCTTCATTAATTAGTATTGTTGTGAAAAGTAAAACAAAGAGTAAGTAAAGAGGTCGCTATTGCATGAACACGTACGTGAGATGGCAATGCTGAACCACACATGAATGTACGTATTAACCTGACCGCACCGCTTATATATATACCAAAGCTTAGAGCAGATGCTCTAGATGAAAAAAATAGAAGATAGGATGGCACCAAACGGGAGAAGGAAGAGCGTGAGCGGAAGCTTGGTGAAGCCGCCACCACCACCAAAGCTAGCGAAAGAGTCACTGCATAGGTCCCTGTCAGACATATCGTTGGATTTCCACAGAGAAGAAGAGAAAGGACTGGGGACGATAGTGGAGGTAGAGAAGGCAAAGTGCGAGTGCTGCGGGATGAGAGAGGAGTGCACGATGGAGTACATAGAGAGGGTGAGGGAGAAGTTCTTTGGGAAGTGGATATGCGGACTGTGCTCAGAGGCGGTGAAGGAGGAGAGGGATAAGAGAGATGAGGAAGGGCTAGAAGGGGCCTTGAAGGCGCACATGAGCGCCTGCCTCAGGTTCAACAAGCTCGGGAGGGAGTATCCGGCTCTCTTCCAAGCTGATGCCATGAGAGATATGCTCCGGAGAAGCACGAGGGGTCAGTCTATTAGCCCTAAACCCACTCTTCACAATAAGCCCGCCATTTCCCGTACTTCGAGCTGTATTCCTGCCATCACCAGGGACCTTAATTAATGTGTCTTCTAATATCTTAACGTTTAATTTAGTCCCTAGCTAGCTAATACTCTAAGCACTCATATATATACTACAGTACTAATTAATAAAAGTCAAGCGTAATTAGTTGTATTTAATTCCGATGTATTTTCGTTTCTTTCTTTTTTTTTCTCTTTTTTTTTTTTTGTTTCTTTCAATCCAAAGGAACAAATACTTAATATGTAGTGTATACCATAATATGAAAGCACTAGATGCTGATATATTTATATATATATATGGCAATGAAGGGAAATGCACTGTTTATATTTGCTTTTCCAGTGTAAATTTACAATTCAGAAGAATAGAATGGATGTGTTTAATTTCCTGTCCATGGGGATGATCAATTAATGATCGATGGGTGCATTCTTGCAAATCTCTTATTCAGGTGAACTCATCATATATAACCGCTAGTTACCACCCGGACTGGGCTATTCATATGGAGTGATCTGTTATGATGACGTGCCAAATTCTCACAACGCGTGTCCTCTTTTCTTTGGCTAGCTGTATCCCCTTTCCTTTTTCTGTGAGGGGTTACACGATCATTCTGTTGAATTCCGGATATATAGATTTAAGTGTGACTACTCAAATTTCTCTTCTCTCAGTTGTTGTATATTAGTTATAACACTATCATCACATCTCAAAAATCTAATTGCGCCTGCTTTTGCTCTATAATGTACCCATAAATTGAAGTGTTAACCTTCGTCCACATACACATATTGTTGTTGAAGGAGAAGAGATGTGGAAAATATGGGAAATTAAAATACAAATATCATTCAAATTGGGTTCACTGGCATTTGCGTCTTAATAAGCAGAGAACACGAGGCACGCTAATTGCACCTGACTCATGTACATAGAGATAGACAAGTCCCAATAGAGTAGATAGAGATGTTTATTTTTCCATCCCCTTTTTATAAAATAAATATAATTTTATATAACAAAAGAATGTATGTGGCTAGATTCACAATTTTCGTCTTTTTTTAAAAAAAGAAATACAAAGTCGTATAAATAAAAAAAGAGAACGAAAGAGGAGGAAGCAGTAACACGGAAAAGGTGGAGGAGAAAAAGAGAGTACTTGTTGTGGTATAAAGAATGAAGGAGTGAGTGTTTGTGTGTGAGTTTTATTATTTAAGAAGAAAAAAAAGGGTTCGAATGAGGAGAAATGGAGATGGGGAAGAGGTGGTGGCGAAGAGGAGGAGGAGAATTAAGGAGCTAGTGCAGGTGGCTCTCAGGGGAGGTTGCTTGGCTGCTTCAGCCACGGCCATGGCGGTGATGCTGACTGCTACTGAGGAGGGAGTGGCAGACATCTATGGCTTCAAGCTCACTCTCTCCTCGAACTGGTCTTTCTCTCCCTCCTACCAGTCAGTCTTCTTCCTCTTCTTCGTACGAGCATTATTAGGGATAGACTGCCAATAAGATATTTTTCTTTATCTGAATGCATATATTATAATAAAAAAGAAAGCAGCAAAACAAAATGTGTGTGCTCAGATGACAGAAATTCTGGTGAACAGAAACACATCCGTGAACCAAACAACAACATGACATGACATTATTGTGTGCCTCAGTTTTAGAGATCATGTAATACTATATTCATTCATCTCATTAAGAGTAGTTTGGTTTGAAGGTATGTGGTGGGGGCATGTACAGGGACCGTGCTCTACTCCCTGTTCCAGCTCTGTCTCGGTGTTTACAGACTCCTCACCGGATCTCCCATTACACCCTCCCGCTTCCAAGCTTGGCTTTGCTTCACCTCTGATCAGGTTCCTCGTCTTCTTTTCTCCATTCACTTTTCTTCCGAATGTAACCCAACTGATTTACTGTGTGCGCGCAGCTCTTTGGTTATTTGATGATGAGCGCTGGATCAGCCGGTTCTGGAGTTACCAACCTCAACAAAACCGGCATCAGGCACACTCCTCTCCCCGACTTCTGCAAGACCCTTTCTTCTTTCTGCAATCATGTGGCCCTGTCTCTCCTCTTAGTCTTCCTCTCATTCATCTTCCTCGCTTCCTCTTCCTTCTTCACTGTCCTTGTGCTCTCCACTCCCTAGTCTCTCTCTATTCTTGTTGCTTTATATAATCCAACAAAGACTCTACTTGCAATCCCAAAACAATGTATTTCTCTTATGAGTAATTCTCTGATGCAATACATTCAAGATGCGAAACAAATTACAATTACATCCAATCATATATTGGGTACAGAGAGGTCGATCCCTAGATGTGAGAGATCCTTAGCGAGCGACTCTGCATTCTGAAAACATAACCCACCCATCCCTATCTCTATTGCACACTTGACGTTGGTTGGCCTGCGTATCAGACACTGCCTCAGATCAAAATGGTTGATTTCTTCAGATAAACCATTGAGTTCAGATACAAACATGTTCTAACCTGTCATCAATGAATATACAGTCGCAAGGTTCAACTCCGAGATGTCCCACAACCTCGAGATAGAAGTCTGGATCAGGCTTTCTCTTCCCTGAAAGATAAAAACACATGAGGAGGACGGTTTAGATGTGACAAACAATAAGTAGTAAAGACAGGCAAGAGATGCGTGTAGTACCAGAAATACAGGAACAAAACGTCCATGATAAGTAGGCAGAGAGCTTTAACTTGTCTTCGATAATGTTGTACCTATGGAAAAACGACAAGAGTAAACAAACAGCAAAGAGTGTATTCCAGGTGAAAGGCATTGGATGGAAACCAGATGGGATAGTTAGTGAAAGCATGAATCTCGAAGTCGTCAGCAGCCAAAGTGTGAAGAAGCTCTTGCATGCCATCTAAGTAGGAGTATCCTGACCTCATGCAATCCTTAAGCCCTGCAAATGCCATTTTCTTGAATTTAATAGGTACCAGGAAACCCTCTATCTATCTATATAAGGCAATCTCACCTTCCAAATCAAAGTCCCTCCCATCTATAAAGAACTTTCTTGCAAGCTCCTCCTAAAACCAAAAGTCAGAAGATATACGTATGATGATTTTTATAAGGAAAGAGTGGGAGTGGACTCTGGTACCTCGTCAATCAAACCCTTTTCAAATTCGATCCAGGCCATCGGGTGCTTGCACTCTAGTAGTTCCTTCATTGGCATTCTGATCCCCAACAAGCACAGTTTATCATTCACCCGGAAAGCAAATTGAGTTATTAAGGATTCACATTCTCACCCGAAGAAGGCCGGAACGTCGTGGTAAAAGGGGTCACGGACGATGGTGTCCATGACGTCGAAGAGGAGAATCGGAAGCTTCCTTTTCCGAGAGATATCATCACTGCCCAGACAGCAAGAACCCGAGGCCCGATCAGGCTTCTTCCAGATGTTGGGTTTCAGATTGATGAATTCCGTCGATATATGCATCGCCGCCGCCGCCGCCATCAGAAACGCCCTGGTTCATCTAGTTTCCGATAAGTAAATGACAGCCACGCACACAGGGAGTCGAAACGCAGCGTTTAGAGAGAAAATCGCCAAAGAGAAGCTGATTGGTCCACGTCATAAATTAGGTTGACGTGGTCAAGAAGAAGTGGCCCATGACTTGCACCAAGGATTAATGCATAATAAATAAACCGTTTCGTTTTCATCTCCACGACTCGGAGAGCTCAACCGCCACTTTCTTTCTCCTTCTTTAAATAGAGCAGCAGAGCCACCCACCATTATCTACACTTACACAACCATCAAAGCTACGAATTCCTCTCAAACATACAAAGAAGAAGAAGATGATGATGATACTGAGATCTCCTTGTAATAATCTAATGATAATGCTGTGCATTTGTGCCCTTGTGGTGGCTTCCATGGCGGCGGAAGGTCCTAGGGTTTTCAAGGTGGGAGACGAGTTCGGGTGGAGAGTCCCACTCCAGAATGATTCAGCGCTTTACAGCCACTGGGCCAGCAGCAACCGCTTCCACATCGGTGATTCACTCTGTGAGCTAGTTCCCAACTTCTGTAATCTGTTTTTGATCTTGATCGGTAATAATTGATTGGTTTCTAATCAAAATAAACTATATATATGCAGCGTTTGTGTACGACAAGGACTCGGTGATGGAGGTAGACAAATGGGGTTTCTACCACTGCAACGGCAGCGATCCCATTACAGCCTTTGACAATGGAAACAGCACGTTCGACCTTGATCGTCCTGGTCTCTTCTACTTCATCAGCGGCTCCAACCAGCACTGCACCAGCGGCCAGCGTCTCATCGTAGAAGTCATGCATATCCACCAACACCATGATGACCATCACGACAATGCTTCCATGCCTCCATCCATGTCGCCTCTCTCTGCCTCTCCCTCAGCATCTGCTGCCTCCTCCCTGTCCACGGCTTCTCTCTTCCCTGCTTTTCTTCTTCCTCTTTTCTTAACCATAGTCCATAGCTAGCTCTTGTTTCATTTCTTAAGTCATAGTGTTGCCCTTTGAATTGATTGCTGCTCTTTACTTTTCTTCTTCTTTTTTGTTGTTTCATTCATCGAACCTTATGATATAATCCGATTTATGTTCTCTTCATTTATAACAAAAACAATCAAAGCCAACAGAGGGAAAAGGGGATTTTCATACCCGTACTATCGGGACCGTGGATTTTTATACCTCGACATTTTTGCAGTGTATTTTCCAACCCAAACTGAAATAAAATTTGAATTTCATACCTGTATTTGATAAAACGAGCAAAAAACGGAGTCAATCTAACGGGTGTTAGTCAACTCCGTTACGGTGCTGAGTCATCGTACACGTGTACGCTTACGTGTATCCCATACGACGTCGTTTTGTTAATTGTTCTCAAAAGTTTTAATTTTTTGCAAAATCTGGGTTTCGAACCCGTGTCCCTTGGTCCAACATCGAGCACCTTTACCAATTCATCCCACAACTCTAATCGAACATTCCCCAATTATTTTAAGTTATAAACCTTAATAGTTGTGTGTTTGGAAATAAACCAAACGACGTCGTTTTCAATTGGGGGAGAAATAAGAATTCTAGGGTTCCGAATTTTCCCAAATCGATTTCTAATTTCAGCTTCTTCTTCTCAGAAAATAGAGTGACGAAAGAGGAGATATTGGAGAACAGAGACCGATGCTGTGTGTGGTGTAATTGTGGTAGAGACGAATCGAGCCGATTAGAGAAGATATCGAGTAGAAACTACAAAATCTGCGAAAATGAGGTATGGTTCTACACAAAATCGAGTTAAAATTTTAGATTCTTGTCATATTCCACTCAATCGTGAAGATTTCATATCTGAATGGTATTTGAATTTCAGGCAGCAGTGTATTTACAGTGACACCATTGAACCAGTCAATGGTTTGTTATTTTGGAATAAATCAGGTTCTGTTGTGGTGCCACCTCCTAGCTTAGTTGAGCAGATTGAAAACAGAAAAGGGAGGAAACCAAAGCCAAAGAGGAAGAAAGCAAGGCATGAGTCTCCTACAAAGAAGAAGAAGGCTAGTAGAGAGAGAAGAATTATGCATTGTGCTCTCTGTGATCATGTTGGACACAACAAAAAAAAGTGTCCTAATGGAGGAGTTGAGAGATACAAACCACCAAGGAAGAAGAAGACACCTGCCACAGGAGATGGAGAAGATGGAAATGAGACCAATAACACTCAAGCAAGTCAAGCAACACAAGCAAGTCAAGCAACACAAGCAAGCCAAGCAACACAAGACTAATCGGGGTAGGCTTTAGGTTAATCGGATCATGGATTTTTTTGGTTCTAAAATGATCAGATTAAGTTGGTTTTTGTTTAGGCTGATCGGATCGGATTAACAAGACATTATGATCTGTTTTGTGCTGGTACTATGTATGCTTTTGGCAAGACTATGATCTGTTTTGTGTTTTGTTTTCATGTCTTCTTCAAAACAATATGCTTTTCAAGACAATATGATTTCTTTTTCTTCTCAATCATTACACAAACCCAAACACAAACATCATTCATACATATAGATTCTCATAATTCAAAACACATCATTCTTTTAGTACAAAAGATTCAATTCGAAACCCAGATTCAATTCGAAACCCTAGAATTTTTATTTTTCCCCCAATTGAACGTTTGATTAATTTCCAAACACAAAACGTTCAAGGTTTATAACTTAAAATGATTTACAAATGTTCGATTAGAGTTGTGGGATGAATTGGTAAAGGTGCTCGATGTTGGGCCAAGGGACACGGGTTCGAAACCCCGATTTTGCAAAAAATTAAAACTTTTGAGAACAATTAACAAAACGACGTCGTATGGGATACACGTAAGCGTACACGTGTATGATGACTCAGCACCGTAACGAAGTTGACTAACACCCGTTAGATTGACTCCGTTTTTTGCTCGTTTTATCAAATACAGGTATGAAATTCAAATTTTATTTCAGTTTGGGTTGGAAAATACACTGCAAAAATGTCGAGGTATAAAAATCCACGGTCCCGATAGTACGGGTATGAAAATCCCCTTTTCCCAGCCAACAGAGATAACTTTACGTCTTTACCATTTAGGGGCCGGGCTTTAGAGTAAACAAATTTTGTAACAGATATGGGCCTTTTTGATTAGCATGGGCCTTTTTGATTAACATGGGCCTTTTTAATTGATATGAGTCTTTTATAACATGTATGGGCCTTAATAATTGATATGAGCCTTTTAAAATAAGATTTGAAAAGACGGTAACACCCTCGTCGGGATTCAATAAACTTTGCCTTGTTGTCTATTGCCGGAATTTCAAACCCTAGCCCTGCTACACCGCCAATGACGCCGTCTCCGCCTCCGCCTCCAGACGATGCTTGGATCCGCTCTTACCACCGCTTGCTTCCTGAATCGCAGTCTCTTCTCGCTTCCCGCCGGGTATGCTCTTAGGTTCTGTCTCAGAGATGCTTGCTTGTTTGTGTCGTGGCTTATATGTATCTTTAATGGCAGTCAATTATACCGGTTGCAATCTCTAGAGTGAATCAGTTTGACGCAGCACGACTAGATGTTGAAATGTCAGCCATGTTGAAGGAACAGCTGGTTAAGGTTTTCACTTTGATGAAGGTATTCCATCATCAATCAATTCCCAGAGCTTCTTTGCCTCTATATACCATTTTTATTTAGCGTTTTCTTGGCTTCTTTGGCATTAGCCAGGAATGCTCTTTCAATACGAACCAGAACTTGATGCTTTCCTTGAGTTTCTCATTTGGAGATTCTCTATTTGGGTTGACAAACCCACCCCCGGAAATGCTCTCATGAATCTTAGATACAGAGATGAACGAGTCGCAGCGAAAGGTATTTTATTTGTTCCACCTTCCACTTCTGTACCCTTTCTTATAACTCTTCCTCACTCTTGTACTCTCGTATAGTCAGAACAGGACTGGAAGGACCCGGACTTACTGCTCCTCAAAAGATTTGGTACTGCGTTGCCTCCGTTGGTGGTCAGTACCTCTTCTCCCGTTTGCAGTCATTTTCTGCTTTCCGTAGATGGGGTGATTCTGAGCAGGTGTGTTCCTCATCCTCTTGCCATCGAGACTTACTCTCCCTCATAAACATGGTTGATTCTTTTTTCCTTGCTCTTGTAGAGACCATTGGCTAGGCGACTTTGGACCCTCATACAACGAATCGAAGGCATCTACAAAGCTGCTTCTTTTCTTAACCTATTGTCATTTCTTTATACGGGAAGGTACAACTTGGTACATAGACTCCTTCATTTCTTCTACATATCCTTATAAAAACACACAACAGTGCAGCAACAGTTCCTTAGATGCACTAAAAATCAGCTAATGGTTACTAACTGCAAAGACTAACAACTATTGGAATTACAATAAATTCCTGGACAACACTTGTCAACTTATAAGTTCACAATGAAAGATTGAAACGAGAACCAAAATCACAAACAGAATCATCTTGATGATTATCACTTCCGCTACGCTTCTTTTTCTTTCTTGATCCAGGTACAGGAACCTCATTGAAAAAGCTTTAAAAGCTAGGCTTGTCTATAGGAGTCCCCATATGAACCGATCTGTCAGCTTCGAGTACATGAACCGCCAACTTGTGTGGAATGAATTTTCGGTAGGTCTTCTTCTGTGTGTTGCTTAATTATGGTAACATCAATTTAAAAGTTTGGCAACCTGTCAGTTCTGAGTAGCATCCTTGGCTGATGGTTTCTTGCCTATGATTGATACTTGCTGGTCTCGATGATTTATAGTATCTAGCAGCTTAGCTTCACTTTGTCTTTGGAAGGAACAGTTTTGCTGCTCAAACTTGAGCTGTCAAAAGCTGAAAACATATTGTTTCCTTATCTGGAATTCTGAACTAGGTAGAGCCTGTGACTCAACTTTCATGGGAGTACAAATACCTTGTCTATGTTTAAAACAATGTATTTGTTGCTTTTTCTCTCTTTCAGGTCCTTCAATAAATCAAAACATTCTTTTTAGACTTACTGTCTCAATTGATGAGTATTTGGCATTCAGCTTTAGATTTGTTTGGTGATATTCAGGAAATGCTTTTGTTGCTTCTTCCGCTGCTCAACTCTTCAGCTGTGAAGAATATTCTTAGTCCATTTGCCAAGGACAAGTCCTCAAGCACTAAAGAGGATACAGTGAATTGCCCTATTTGCCAAGTGGATCCTGCAATTCCTTTTATTGCTCTGCCTTGTCAGCACAGGTATGGTATTTTTCTGTGTACCTCTGCAAAAATTTTGGATCAGAATAGGGTCCTTAACTCTCTCCCCCAGATATGTAGTATAATAACTAATTCTACTAGAAGCTACGTAATTTCACATGATTGTGTATTTGAGGAATCATGGGTATGATCCACATTAGAGAAGACACAGAAGTGATTTTATTGGCGATGGGTGAAGAATTCATAGTAAGTGCTGTAGTTGTTACTTACGTTTAAAAGAATTACTTGTCGCAGGTACTGTTACTACTGCATAAGGACCCGCTGCGCTTCAGCAGCATCGTTCCGGTGTCTTAGATGTAACGAGCCTGTGGTTGCCATACAACGGGAAGGTGTTTCAAGTGGCAAATGAAAGGAGGTGACGAATTGTTGAGTCATGCCACCAAGTCTTGAAGAATAAGCAGCTGCAATAGTGGAAGTGTAAAAAGCTAAGGCAAGCAGCCGAAAGCAGAGAAGAATCTGATAGGCATTCGTTTGCAAACAGGCTGTACAAAAGGGAACATCATCGATGTGATGCAGCAAAGAAATTTAGATAGGTACATTTCTGTACATGAGTTGAGAACCTACCAATACCATTATTGAATGAAGTTGGGTCTTATGTTTACTATAAAATCAGTTGAATCGTCGGCTATACTTGAATGAATAATATCCATTTCCTTACATGTTGTGAACTACTTACTACTCACTCCTACTTCCATACTAGTAGTACATTTTACTTGTATCCCTCCAAGGAAAAAAAGAGAGCCAGAAGAATAATACGAATTCTCTGCATAAAGAGATCACTGGGTGGAAGAGAGCAGACTGATTTCTATCTCTTGGAGGCTCTTTCCTTTAGTCTCAACCACGTTCTTCTGCACAAAGATGACTGCCACCACACAGAAGAACCCAAAGATTGCATTTAGAAGCACCGAACCTAGTTGCTCCAGCATTCTCAGAAACAGCAACCCCACAAAGAAGTTTATTACCTGTTAATCCGTGTCATTCTCCAAGGTTATTATTATTTCAACATTATCCATGTCCTACAAAAGGTCCACAAAGAGAAAAGCCATACCCAGTGAACAGCAAGACAAACGGCCAACGCTGTTGCCCGAAGTCGACCAGGGCATATCTCAGACAGGAGAAGACTTGGAACAGGACCAGCTCCAGTTGCGAACGACAACACAAACCTGCATTTTCGTCATCACACCCCTAGTTTATCAAAAAACCCTCCCCCCTTTCCACTGCCGTTGTTGTTAAAGAAAACTTACAGTAGCATTCCACCAACTGAGAGAAACAAGGTTCCAAAGGGCGATGAAAGCGAAGTATATGCTATTGCTTGGAGACCCAGCGATACTGCCTGTTAAAGATGATTAACATTTATATCTTCATACATGGAGTGTTATTAAGTAATAGCTACGTAAAGTTTGATTCAAATAGCGCTTTTCGCTCTCAACAATTACCATGCCTGCAAAACTCCCAATAAGCAACACTTTTCTCCCCAGCTTATCCATCAAAACCACCGCTACAGTTGAACCTGTACAAGAGTATGAATGATGCTCACATTCGTTTTAGATACAGATCATCATTTCACTTGACAGATTCAACATGTTGAATGGAAAGTTTTCGGCTCTCTTCTTTATCATCATCTTTGTGATAAGAGGAAGGTTGTTCACTTAAACACGTGATTAGTTTACTGTTCCTAATGTTGTGTCCGTATTCAGGAAGACTGCATTCACTTACTTGCTTATCTAGCTTATCATTAATATGATGGATGCCTTTCAAGCCATAGTAGAATGTATAAGAAAAAGTCACATTTCAATACCTAAGAGGTTGCAAACTCCTACACATATGTTTGCAGAGGCTGAAGGTACACCAGCTTTCTTGAAGACGGTTGATGAGAAATAGAACACAGCGTTTATCCCCGACAACTGTTGTAAAGCAAAAAGGGTAGATCCAATGAAAACCACTGCAATCGGAGAAAATTAAAACGTAAAAATGAATGAAATCAAGAGGCTACATGCCATCCATATGTTTTTGGCAAATGAAAATGACATTTTTTCCGCCCAGATGATTGATGAATCAAAATCTGGATCTAATATTTCCGGGATATTTGACATCAAACTAATGTCACGCGTTGTCACCAATCTTGTTGTTAAAGATCCCACATACCTCTAAAACTGCGCCCGAAAAGCAACTCCGACAATTTGGCTGAATCCGCGTCATCTCCCCTATCCGACTTCATTAACTCTGCCATAGAAGCTTTGACGTATGACCCTCCCAATAGCTTCTCAAACACGGCTTCAGCTTCAGCTGCCCTTCCCCTCTACGGTTAAACAGAGAAGGAGAATCAACGGAAGAAATGGTTTATTAAAACGTCTTTAAGAGCTATGCGGGTTAAAATTAGAAAGTAACCTTAAAAAGCCACTGAGGACTTTCCACGCAGAGTTCCATGAAGACAGCAAGCATTGCGGCTGGGACTGTGGATATCCAAAAACATATACGCCACCTAAAACAATCAAGAAAGAGAAACCTATTTAACTCGTAATTCAGCCAAGTTGACCATTAACCAAGTAGACCAAAGCATGTGATAAACTCCAGGATTCCTTTCCCTGCAAAGCTGGTTCTCATGTCGAAATCTACTAATGAATTTGCAGCAAAAGACGAGGGGATTCCTATAGAGTTACAGCATTTCAACCAAACACTAGAGATTCACATTGTTGGAATAGACAACTGGGATCAAACATGCCACCAAAAGCAAGAAAAAAGGATGAACTACCATACGCTTGGAAGTCACTAATGGAATCGAGTTACAATCTTCTCAACCTCGAAGATATACTTTGTTAGAGGCCATACAGGCTATAAAGTAATGTATTCCTTGACTTCTTATCAACATCTTACCAGCCCAAGTTATCTTTTGCCGGGATTCCAGCAAACAGCGAACCTAAGAGTCCAATACATGTCGCGATTTGGGTAGAACTCCCATATGTACCTCTCACATAAGCAGGTGACACCTGCAAAGAGAAATTGTGAGTCTTGCTCAATTAGTCATATTTTTGTTCCTAGAACCTTCTTTTTCACATAGGTAAATCCAGTAATACGAATAAAGCTTTCAAGATTGAAGTCCTTATTACAATGAATAATGTGTGCGTCAATGAACTTCTGCATGTTAATGGTCCAAGTTCATGTCTTTTTATGTCTGAAACATACATCTCTTTACACTGACCCCAAACATCTTTTGACATAATTAAAAAAATATAAGCAAAGTAATATTCACATTAAGAGTGAGGGAGAAATTTCATGTAGCAATCCTCTCAAAACAAGTGCAGATAAGAAAGACTTTAAAGTATACGTCAAGTACCTCAGTTACATAGAGAGCCGTAACAGAAGGACCTATGCCCATCCCAATTCCGACCAAAAACCTTCCCAGGAGCATGCCCTCAAGACTCTCAGTTGATGCACTGCAAACAATAAGCACACAGATCTCCTGATTCTATATATGGAATCTGGCTAAAAGGGAAACAGGATGAGTTAACCTAACTAGTGCGTACACCTTGGGATAAGTGAAAATCACCACGGCAATAACTTGAGACCAAATATGTCAAATCACCACAGCTATAGTTATAAACATCCAAGCAGGAAATCACAATGAAATAATCCAACTGCGTAATGACTAGCCTAGACCACAGGTTCAGCAAATCAGCAGGCAAAGATTCGAATCGGAAATGTTCAAGTGACCACATGACATTCAACCAAAAATTTACCGTACAATAAGAATGTGAAACAAGTACCTAGTCATGCATATAGAACAGCCTAAACAAAAAATCACCTCACTGAAGCTCCAACAATCATGGGTAGAGCGCTCAACTGGAAAGCTCTACGGCGCCCAACACCATCCGCTACCAACCCACTGAACAGAGACCCAATAAAGGCGCCGCCTAAGCACGTGCTAACCACAAGACCTTCATCCATCAGAAAAAGGTTTTTGGAAGAATAAGACGGAAGATAGAAACAAAGATAAGATAAACAGAAAAACAAGTTCTCTTGTTGAATAGATAGGTACCTTCAGCGATGGTGTTTCCACTAAAGCCAAGGTCAATTGATATGCTTTCGAGAGTTTCATTAACAACCCTGCGTCCCGAAAAGAGGCATGAATTTCCTTATTCTCCCCAAACACATACATTTAAAAGAAACCGAGTGATTGGGGAATATAGGTATATGTTATTGAATGCTTTAATAAGAACAATGCAACGAGAAGAAATACAACTTAAGCCTGTCAACTAAGCTTAGAAAAGAAAAAGATAAGAGCCTAGCAGCATGAAAGTAAATTTCCATGTTTGTTCTATAAATGCACACATAAAACTAAAATAAAAAAAGGTCACAAGGAGAGACCCGAGATGATAGCCGAATAAAAGCGAAGTCAAGGATGCAACGAGCACGTGAGGCAGAGATCGCTTCCAGGAAGGATTCCCGATGTCTTTTCCCGTCCCAGTAGGCAGACGTACTGGAGTTGAGAAAAGTCAGAGTCAGTTTATGCAGAAGAAGATTCAAGAAATTGAAGAAAGCAGAGTGGGGGTAAAAATTGGTAAATCTAGATTACAATGATAAGTGAGAAAGCAAAAACAAGCAATATGAGTATCATCAAGGGTGGGTAGAAGAAAGAGAAGAAACCAGCAGTTTCAGCTTTATCCAAAGCAGAGAGAAAGTCTTTAGAAGGAACACGCTTGTCTATGTGACGACCTCGCATAATGGTGTAAGTGCGTCGAACAGAATCCATCCCCTCGGGAAACACGCTCCTGCACATGAACAAGTTCAGTGCTTATAGAAGAAAAGCATACAAACAAACACTCATGAGATTCTTCAACATGGATGGAATGGATGCTCAGTGAATGTCAAGTCACAATTTATTTTCAATAGTAATCAATTAAAATTGAAGGAAAGCTTCAGGTGCTAGTGTCATGTGTATATATGCATGAAGTCCAACGATCACTCACACATAATCAAAACCAGCCTTGAGTCAATTTAAAATTCAAAGCACAGATGACATGACGTGACGTGAGCAAGTAGGAAAATTCCAGAATCAAGCAGGATTTCAAAGCACAATCTATTTTTAAAAAAGTTCAAATTAAAAGAAGAAACAAAAAAGCTGACGACGGATGATGAGAAAGTGAGATCGTCGGATCTAACGGAAGCTTGTCCACCCAACGACATCGCAATGTAAATCAGAAATAGGATTCAAAAAGGCAATGGCAGATCTACAAGGACGGGAGAACAAGGATGATGATGATGATATTACCAACTTACCTGGAGAGGAGATATGATAACGACGAGAGGAATCGTCCAGTCGAGTCGAAGAAAAACTTTTAGAGAGGAGTTTTGGAGAGCCCCTTGATCATTAACCACACTCACTCCGTCCCAGATGCTTCACTCGAGACAAGGGATGGGTTTTAATCACCTGCTCTCGCCTCTACCATGGAACTCACCAAACTATAGTGCCAATGACATTTATACATGTGACAAGATATGAATTCAGTCAAGCCTACTGTATATATATTTAGCATGTACAACAAGACGATCCTCCTTCCTTCCTACTGCTATGATGATGCTAGAACAACAACATTCAATTCATTATAGGGGAAGGCATCTTGGGCCTTTGGGCTTTTATTATCGTTTACAAGAGGGCCGGCCTTTTTGGTCTTTATTTTCCTCTCTCTCATTTCCATGATTTTGTATTTGTTTGTTGCTATTAGCTATATGATTTTGTTAACATTCGAGTCACGATTTTCCTATATGATACTGATAATATATAAAGTCATCCTTAACAAAGCACAATGATGGGTCTCTCAACCGTATTCTACTACAGAGACAACACATGTTATATACGGAGACAAGGCAAGTCACACAGGGGCACTCTATTATTCCTGTCTCCAAAATAATTACGAATAAACTGTAAGAAATTCTTCTTTCGAGCAGCAAAAGTTTGTTTTAAAAAGCCTCAAGTTCAACACCTGAGACAGAGGACAAACGAAAATAGTGGGCTTAGGTTGCTACTTTATAGCTATACAATAGGGGGAAACAAGGATTACGTGGTCCTACTCATGAGCCTGAGTCTGCCAACATTTTGACTAAACTTGTTCACCACCATCTTCCCTTGCTCCCTCATTGGATCTGCAAAACCCAAAATTGCACAAACCCATGAGCCTGAGTTTGTCAACACTTTGACAAAACTTGTGTATGTTTGCCTTACCTTGTTCACCAGCATGTTCACTTGCTCCCTGTACATCTCCTTCAAGTCCACTATATCCGCTCGAAGTTCCTCCAACTACCACCCAAACCCACTTTTTTATTTAACTCAAACAACACCTACTACTGTTAATGCTGGATATACAACTATTTTATTCACATATCTTACCTCCTCATCTCGTTCACCCATCAATTCCAGAGCAGCCGCATGTCTTTGCCTTAGTGCTTCTAGCTCGGCCTTTATGCCCGGGACCCTATCTGCCTCCCCTCGTAGTTTCTCACACTACATCCACAGTCACCAGATATAGACGCCATATCGTTATAACACTCAGCAGAATTTATTTACTCTAAACTCTCAGCACTATACATACCTCTGCTGTCATTTTGACCAGCTCTTCAGCCAGGGAATCTCGGATAGACTCCATTGATGCCTGTCCCAAGGCAAATAGACTTTTTACAGTTAGATTCTACATTAGCGATGATACTAGTAACCAGCCTATACAACCCTGACGAGTAGAGCTAAATCTTCTAAACCAGCTTAGAAAAGAAGGCTAGCCATAGTCTGCAACTAATCCATAATTTGTCTACATGATCCCAACACCCATAGTGGCCCATTGTAAGGACTCCGGGATATCAAATTGATGTGAACCTCAATCCCATTACTAAGCCAATTGCCAAAAGCCTACCAACAGAGTTACACAATAATGACTCAGTGGGATATTTTCGACACCTACCAAGCGGGACATGTACGAAGCAAGTTCACCCTCTTTCTGTCGAAGTGTGGCTTCATAAGCACTCGGTGTGATGCTCTTCATGTAGTACGGACTCATAGTTGCCTCAGGCATGCTTCTCTTCTCAGAAAACTTATCTGAAGAATCAAGCGAAGCTTGCAGAAAATAGCTCTCCTCCATGCTTCCAAGGCTGCTTGCGCTTGAGAGCTTTCTTGGCAAGCCTCCTGATGACATAGTTAATGAATTACAGATGTGCAAAGCCTGACTTATTAAGCAGTAATCTAGATTAAGATGCATCACCATTCTCAAAGGCAGAATTTTGCCTCGCTATGGGAAGCTGTTCAGAGACTGCCGAGGAATTGATACGGGCTGTTCTTTCAAGATCCAAACGTGAAGCCTTCTCCCTTTCTAGGTCCTGAAAAAAATTCGGCCATATTAAAAAACAGCACAATAAAGAAGAGTAATAAACTGGAACAGTTTGCTTGCTAGTAGAAGCTACTCCGGATGAACAAGTTTCGGAAAGCACTGCTTTGATTGAATCCACTAGGTACTTCAGTCCTTTAAATTCCGTAACTGATGGAGCATTTATCATAGGACTAACTCTTATAAGATAAAGTGATGTCCATAAAACTATGTAACACCTTTTGAATAAGCTCGTTGTGGAGCAGCACTTCTTGCAACTCTTGCTTATGTTTTCTCCGAAGTTCCCTTATTTCAACTTCAAGTTGGTTTGCTCGACCTTCTAGGGTATCTGCTTCCTCCTTAGCTGCCAGATACTCCTGTCTATTCTCTGCTGCTCTCTGCCTCTCTTTCTCAAGGGACTTGCTTAACTGGCCCTGTTCTGCTCTGAGACATGAAAGCTGGATAGGAGAACTGGGTAAGCTAAAACTTAGAGAAAGCTGTGAAAATTGATGTAGAACAGTGTCAAGGAGCATGGAAAACCTGGGCCTCTAGAACATTGATCCTTGATAAGGTTTGAGAGAGGCGTTCATTTACAGAGCGCTCTCGTTCTTCAGCTATTGCAGCTTTAGTTTCTGCTTCCTGAATAATTCTAGAAAGTGAACAAAAAGATAGAGAAAAAAATAATAATTGGCTGAATATAGCATACAGCAGTGTTGTTCATAGCACCTGCAATCGAGCATTCAGACTTCTTTCTACAGCAGCCCAAGCTTCTGCTCTTCTGGCTGTAGTTTCCTATAAGAAGCATGAAATGTTACAATTTAGTTTTAAGATTCTAATCTCAGGAGAAGTTCTTTAAAAAAAAATGGGTCAATTTTCTACCTGTATAGCCTCAATCTGCCTTAGGAGAGGCCTTGTAGACTCAGGAACCTGTGTAATTAATTCCTCACACCTTCGCTCACTAGCCTACAAGAAAGGTTGGTTTAGCAAACAGTAAACAGAACAAACTATTAGTAACTAGAATTATTGTTCAAACGTCATGGGCTTGTCAAAGAGTGAGTAACCAAAAGGCCATAATCAAAAAAAGAAATATGCATAGAGATGACGAAACATCTTGATTTACCTGATAACGTCTTTGAAGGTCCTCAATTTCTCCGCGGAACCTGTCTTCCCTAGACACTGCCTGCAAAAATTAGAGCCCATCGACTAGGTAAGTATAAATAAAATGATGAGATCCCACTAGTACGCTATCCCAAATTTGATCGAGTAAGACAAAACCTGTTGCTCCTTTTTGCTTAAGGTTTGCCTCAATTCTTCCAGCGCCTGGACTAGCATAGATTCCCGCTCTCCAGCCTCCTTTAGACGATTCTCTAACTCTGATCTTGCTTCATTGTTGGTGCGTTCCTCAGCTAATGCTTGAGCTTCCTTTGCTGCAGCTAATGCGTTTGAGTAATAGTCTTTCTGAGAAGTTAGTTCAGCTTGATGTTTTTCTATGGTCTCTTGCAGCAGCTTTTCTGTCGCTGTCTTGTCCCTTTTAATGCTTTCGACCTTATTTTCTTCCGACTGGCAATTGAAAGGAAAAACTAATGAAGCTTAACAAACATGGCCAATGCTTTAGTCCTTTAGATATCAATCCTGCCTACAAGAAGTTTGATTTTCGAACCAGCCTTTCACAAAAGCTTCAGGGAAATCAAGACAACCCCTTCATGCAGTTTCATTCTTAATGACGTGGTTAGTGAAACAAAAAAAGGTATCGCTCGCGACATCAATTACCTGAAGCTTTGTGATCAATCCTTTCTTCTCCTCTTCTGCCTCTCTAATCTAACCCTCGTACAAAGAAGGTAAGAAATGAACCATGAGATTGATGGTATAAATAAAAATGAAACATGTAGACATTGAATATATACCTGAGCCCTTAGCTTCCTGATCTGAGCTTCTTGAGCAGCCTGTTTCTTTGAAAGCTCTTCGCCTGAAACAACGGGCATTAATATCAAGGGCTCAAGCTGAGCAAAAAATGATGTCTTTTTATTTTTCAGGTAAGTTCAAAAGATTACAGTTTGCTCTCGGGAGGCATAACACCATTTTTTTATTTTTAATACCGATAAAGTATGATCCATAATTCAAGCATTCCAAAAGGTTGTCTTACCTTCAGCCATAACTTGATTTATTATTTCATCTTTTTCCTTCAAAAGGGCCGCAGCATCACTTTTCTTATTCTGTTCTCTTCTAAGTGTATCCCGCTCTTTGGTGAGAGCATAAACCTACAAAGATAAGCACCATGAAGGCATATATATATAATGAAAAGAAGAGAATGAAGAGAGAAGAATGATAGAAGAAATAATACCTTCCTCTCAAGAGTTGCAACTCGCTGATGGTATTCTTCTCGCAAAGACTCGACTTCAGCTTCATTAGATTTCCTCTGTTCCAGGGCAGAGATTATCAGAAGTTAGATTCAAAATCAGTCCAAATGAAAGGCAGATGGTCGGAAGACTGGGGAAACAATTAATCCTTCATCTAATAAATCCATATTCCGCATACTCTCTAGTACCTTCAAATCCTCAGTGACAGATTTTAGCTGCTCATTTTCATGCATCAACTTCGCAATCTCATCAGCCTTTGCCTGTAAACAAATCACCAGAAATTGGTACAGAAGCACCATATCCGTAGCACAACCTTTCATGAGAATCTAAAGATGTACCTGAGCTTGCCTTGCAGCACCTTGCAGGGCATTTTCCAACATTTTTATTTCCTTTTTGGTCTTCTCTAATTCCAGAACAACATCAGCAGAGTCGGAAACATTTGTAGCAGAGCTTGAACGCTGGCTTTCATTTAATTCACTAGCATCCAGTCTTGAATCTAGTTCATGAGAAACAAAATCTACAATTCTCTCAGAAATTTCATCTGAAGAAGATCTCTTTGGTACAGAAGACTCATAAGGAGGACCGTCAGACTCAAAAAATAAAGAAGGATGAGCAACAGGGGACTCTATCCTGTTTACATTATTTATATCAGGTGAAACTTCAACATTTATAGGCGAGGTTCTCTCTTCCAGATTTTCACTCAGAATTTCCTGTTCATTTGTTGTCTCATCCGTATCAGTAATCTTATGCAGTCCACCTAACACAGGGGAGTAAACTGTGTCTTTGTCTTCTACAGTAACTTGTTTTGTTCCAGCATCCTCTGGCTGTGATTCCTCAGCCTCTGATCCAGTATCTCCTGATTTGGGTTGCTCGGGCTGTGAATCTTGAGAAGCTGTCATTTCCGGCTTTTCATTAGGTGCAAGACTAGTCGTGTAACCTGATGATTCAGGAGTCTGAAGAGAATATTCAGAAGACTCTTCGAGAAGCATCTGCGATTCAGGTTCATCATCTTTGGGATCTAAAACAACAGTTTCTGTAACCTCAGGATTATCTGCTTGATCAGCTTCTCTTATCACATTTGTTTCTTTCTTTGCTTCAACAGATACTATTTGTTCAGTAGCTAGCTTAACCGAACCTTCTTCTTCTTTTCCTTCAATTTGAGACGGATTATCTGTACTCACAGAGTCTTCCAATGTGTCTGGTTTCTCATCAGAGGTGTTACCCATGAAGGACATTACGGGATCAAAGAGACTTTTGGTATCAACTGCAGGTGGCCACATACTTGAAGCTGCATCTAAAGAAAAAAAAGGAAATCTGTTGGGAACACAAAGCAAGCTACAAGAAACTCTTGACACACAACAGAAGATACTGGTTTTTACGACGTTATGTAAACACAGAATACCCCCTGAAATCATAACCAGTCTAAGCTGTCACTAACTAAACGCAGAGATCCAAAACAATGTGTTTTTATACCCAGAATTAAAACGTAATGAGTAGAATCAGAAGCACACTAGCTAAGCTAGTTCTAAGCAAAATAAGACAGAATCCAATAACTTGCAAGATTGTTTCAAAGGCAGGTCCTATCAACAAATGCGCCTTGAGTAATCAATCAGTCCACGGTTGTCACATTCCTAGCTGATGACTAGAAGGATGATTGCGAGCGAGGATAATTAATCTATTGACTGGAAAAAGAAAAGTGGGAAGAAGAGAACCTTGAGGGGCAGAATCAGACTTGTCGTCAAAGCCAAGGGCGTTGTCGAAATTCTTTTCAATGTTTTTAACGCTCTCCTGGAATTTATTGACAGCGCCAGTGAGATCTGGGAATCCTCCCAGAGAAACTTTGCCACTGAACCAAGCCATCTCCACTTGAGAGAGATATCTGAAACTCGATCGACTTAAATCTCAGAAATCACCGGACCAGATCCATCTCCAGCCCTGCGGCTTACAAGGAATACAATCAACCAACCGAGTTTAGATCCGTAACAACACGTTTGAAGACGCAAGATCAATAAGATTGCATCATTGAATCAATATATTAACTAAAATAAAAATGCACAGAGGCGAGAGATTCAATTGAAGGCAGAAGATAACAAAGAAGAACAGAGCTATCTATTGAGAACACAAAAAAAAAAAGGCTTACGAGAAGGAGATGCGTCGTCCTTGCCGTCGCGATCGAATTGCGGAGGAGAGACCTCAATGTGTTTTAGCTTTTTTTATTAGATCCAACTTTTTTCTTTTTTCTTTTTTCTTTTTTCTTTCTCTTCTCTGCCACCGGCGGCACATACGTCGTCGTTTCACTTATCGAAAAACGGTCTGTCTTCATATCATTTAATTCTTTCTAAGCTTTGGTCTGAATTTGTATATTATTCGATTTAATACTAAAAACTAATTTTTTATATACATGGGCCCGTCTCCGTGTTTGTAAAGAGAAAGCAATATGATCCATTTCATTTCAGCCTATATAAGTAACGAAATTGGGCCGATAATAGCCCACCTACTTTGGGGCCAGCAAACCAAGTCACCCTCGTTTAGGGCAAGTCACCAACATGCATATGTTGATGATATGTTTTGATAACTCATCATGTACATTCATACTGTATTCTCTTACGTTTTATAACCATCCTATTTTAGATCACGATTATTTCTTTACGTTTGCATTTTCCTTTTTATTTCTATATATTTGAAAGCTACAACAAAAGTTATTCATTAATTAAAATACTACAACAACTATATACAAATTTAACTGGAGTGATAAATTATACTAAATAATTAGGTGTGTGAAATATTTATGGATCCAAACAAAAAATTATTATGGATACATGGTGTATATGTCATTTTCTATTTTAGATGTAAGCAAAATATGTAAGTTTTTAAGGTATTTATCAATCCCAGTATATACATATATATGTGGTACTTACTAGTAGCTGGTTCACCGCTAGCTAGCTCTCACAATTGTGTATTCATCAGCTGATTCTCTCCAACTAACTATCCATCTTTTGTTTTGCGGTTGGACTTGGAGGTACCAAGAATATTAGGAACGTACGACTCGTATGGTATCATTTCCTTTGTATAAAAAGTGAATATCAAATGCATTGTATTAATGGAGGAGCAAGTTGTCCTCACTGTCTTTATCTGGCACAATCTCCTATGCCACCATTCCCTCTTCACACGTACGTGTGCACACTCGATGTCACATTTGCATAACACGTTTGCTTTCAGCGTGAGATCATCATCATATATTCCATTTTGGTGGGTCAATTCTCTTTCTAGATAGTAATTTGTAAGGACGTGAATTAAAAGGGATCGTCACTACTTGTTGAGAAAAAAAAAATAGTCAGTTGCATCTTGGAATCAACTTAAGGGTTGTCTCAATTGATTTCGGTAGACCCTACATTTAAAGTTAATTAGTTGCTTTCATTGGCCCTGAATAAGAAAAACCAAAAAAGAAAGAGGACTGGTTTTGGAGGTTTGCCAACACGAGTAATGGATTAATTAATGGTGAAAAGGGAAGTTTTTAACCCAAAACCCTAATCAGAGTATAGTAAAGTGAGAGAGGAGATCAGCAGCCAAAAGGAATGAAGGGAAGAAAGAGAGGAGGAATCTATAGGCAGTATTTAAGTAATTAATTAAAGTAGATAGATAGAGCAAGGAGAGGTTATGAGGCATTAATTAATAAATTGATTAAAGAGCATGTGGTGAACGTAAATGTTTATGATGGTTGCTTTCCTCTCTATACATTATGTATCTACCTTTCCTAACTAACAATTCCATATCGGCCGTACGACGACTAACAAAGAAAAAAAAAAAGAAACCGATAAAGCTTTTGAATTGCAGATATATATAATCCGCTATAACTATACCATTATATATCTTATTGCTTGAAATTTAATTAAGCCATAAGACCTAATAAGTTGCCTTCCCTACGTCTTCCTACATTTACGTACGTATTATACGGCTTAAGCTCTCTATCGTTAACCATATATAGCTGTTGTGATGTACTATCTTGTAATAATATGTCATGGAGAGTTTGCATATATCTATGATAATATATATACATCAATTTTTGAAAACCCTGTATAAATCTTGACGTGCCCTTGATTTAATTATAGCATTAATCAAATTTTATAATTTTGTCAAATAGTATTAAACAACATACACATGTGCCTATATAGGTTGGCATTATATAATGTATAGAGAGAGAGAGAGGGAGATGTGTAGTGTATAGGTAAGTGAAAGTAATAAAGAGAGGGTGAAGGAAATGGAAAGGGGTTGGAGGCAAACCCATAAAGAGCATTCATTTCCTTTTAAGGTCGCTGAAATTAATGACTAACGATCGGTCAATGCCTCTCCCTGACCCTTTTCTTACAATTTTACAACAAAAAAAAAAAAAACCGACGTCTCTTTCTTTCTGCTACATAACATTTGTTGGATTGATTTTCCCTGCTCACGTCATCTAAAACTTGCTCTATCCATTTTTTGTTTTTTTAACTTTCTAACTTACATTCAACGACTCTTCCTTCCTGCCTTTACCGTTGTAGTCTCATTGTTTATCTAAAACTGCTACGTACCCCTAGCTACTATACTATTACTAGCTAGTGTATTAGATTCGATTGGGATTAATCCAGGAATATAAATATTTATCATTAGTTTTTTTAATATATATAAGCCATTTAAGGTTTGCATGTAGCTGTGATATCCTGGAGTACATGTCACTCTCTCTAACCTATATATGCTGACGCAATTACTTGCTTTATACTAGAGCCAAGTTTATATATACATGATTAATAGATAGGGTTTTCTTATTAAACCATAACTATAATAAAGATGTGATGTTAGCGTTTTGTATAAGTTACCAATTGTTTGAAAGAAGAGATGACAATATATAATAAATCACAAGTAGTATATATATAGTAATAAATAAATACAAGTCATAATAAGAGTAATGAGAGGATAATTAAGGAGGGAAGAAGAAAGCAGAAAATGCGGTTGGAGAATTAGGTGCTTAAAAGTTAGTTGAGTCCATCCCAGTATCTAACGGTCAACTCTCTCTTTCTCTCTAGATAAAAATTAAGAAATCTGACACACATACATGTCTCTCTCTCTCTCTCTCTACACACAATTCAATTAAAGAAGAGACAGAGAAGTTGGTATTTTGTTTGTATACCCTTAAATCAATCATGCAATTGGAACCCCCCCTCCCCTTCTTATTCTCATTCCTTCTCCCTGTCTACAGTAATCTATAGCAACGCCATTCATTATGTACATAGTTTTGACGGATAAATTACTCTTGTTTAATGGCAACATTATATACATATATATATTTCAACCACATGAATTTGTGCGAAAATAGTTTCAACATTTATATCAAAGTTAGTAATTGAAATGGGAAGGGTGCTTTTCCGTAATTCAAATTTGAACTTTGCTCATATATATATATATATATATATATATATATATAAACAAAACAAAAAACAATCGAATATTTATAAGAAAAATCGATGGCTGCAATTGCTGTAGCTGGCCATGTTTTAAACTAGTCAATTGTCGGATTGAAGTATATAGCCAATCCGATATATAAAAACTGTAAAAGTACTAAATAATAGTATAATGGGTATTAATTATAAACTAATTGTAAAAGAAGAAGCACCTAAAAGTCAAGAGCAGTAGAGAAATGGGAGAAATATCTGAAAAACGACCGCTTATATAATTGGAATTGAAGAGGCTATATATTAATTGAAAGTACATTTTGGTATAAAAATAATTAAAGAAGAAAGAAAAAAAGAGAGATATATAAGGAAGAAGGAGTGGGAGCTAGGAGAAGAGGGAAGAGATCAGAAGCAAACAAGCTAGGGACTGGATTTGTATGTCAATGGCCGTCGACATGTCATCGAAGCAACCCACCAAAGACTTTTTCTCCTCTCCAGCCCTCTCCCTCTCTCTCGTATACTCTCTTTTGATCTACATATATATATATACACTCTCACATATAGAAACATATTTTATATATGCTTTAATTTAATGGAGGCATCTATATATATATACAGGCTGGTATATTCCGGAATGCATCCTCCGGCAGCACCAACCCTGAGGAGGATTTCCTGGGCAGAAGGGTAGTTGACGATGAGGATCGCACGGTGGAGATGAGCAGCGAGAACTCAGGACCCACGAGATCCAGATCAGAGGAGGACTTGGAGGGTGAGGATCACGAGGATGAGGAGGAGGAAGAGGAGGACAAGGGCAATAAGAGGAAGAGGAAGAAGTATCATCGCCACACCACCGATCAGATCAGACACATGGAAGCGTACGTTCCATCTTCCAATTACCTAGCTTACTATATATATAAACCCTTTTTTAATACATACAGCTTAAATAATTATTCTTCACAAATTAATTAAAACACTTAGTTAGTTTAATTTCTTCTCTAGGGGATTCCGATTCATTCATTAGGGCTTCAATCAAGAAACATTCATTAGTTGGTTTTTGCCGTGTTCATATTTCTATATGTTTATAATTAAACCCTTTCTTCCCAACTATATATACATATATGTTTATTTCATGTACCAATTAGTGGAAGAAGGAGAGGGTGTCTTGCGTTGAAGAGCAATTCACGCATATCCAATATTAATCCCACACGTAATGATGTATTCATACTAATATATTGCCGATGATATATGATCCAGCATTAATTTCAATGCGCTTACATATGGTTTGCTTGCGCTTACTCTTTATTATTTTTCTCCCTAGCTCTTCTCCTGACATGACTTTACACGTTCATTATAGTATATATCTATAGCCTTAAACAATAAAGTGTTTCTTTGTTTCATTCGATCATCATAATTACAGCTGATGCCTGATGATCAGTAATAGTATACATATGCATAGCTAGCTAGGGTTCTGTTGCATGCATATGTAAAGATTTTCATCTTTTAAAAAACAACAAACAAACGTGATGGTTAATGTCTGAATTTGAGGTTGCAGGCTATTCAAAGAGACACCACATCCGGACGAGAAGCAAAGACAGCAGCTGAGCAAGCAACTAGGGCTGGCTCCTCGCCAGGTCAAGTTCTGGTTCCAAAACCGCCGCACACAGATCAAGGTATGAATATCTTTACGTGATACGGATTTCTCAAAGTGACTAGTAGTATACGTAGTTTCTAAATCAAACATGCATGAACAGGCTATTCAAGAACGGCACGAGAACTCCCTGCTCAAGGCGGAACTAGAGAAGCTGCGAGAGGAAAACAAAGCCATGAGAGAGTCTTTTTCCAAGGCTAATTCCTCCTGCCCCAACTGCGGAGGAGGCCCCGATGATCTCCACCTCGAAAACTCCAAATTGAAAGCCGAGCTCGATAAGCTTCGTGCAGCTCTCGGACGCACTCCCTATCCCCTCCAAGCTTCATGCTCCGACGATCAAGAACACCGTCTCGGCTCTCTTGATTTCTACACGGGCGTCTTTGCCCTCGAGAAGTCCCGCATCGCCGAGATCGCCAACCGAGCCACCCTTGAACTCCAGAAGATGGCCACCTCCGGCGAACCTCTGTGGCTCCGCAGTGTTGAGACTGGCCGTGAGATTCTCAACTACGACGAGTACCTCAAGGAGTTTCCCCAAGCTCAAGCCTCTTCGTTTCCTGGAAGGAAAACCATCGAAGCATCTAGAGATGCGGGGATTGTATTTATGGACGCACATAAACTTGCCCAGAGTTTCATGGACGTGGTACTTTTCCATTTATTACTGTTACCACATTACTATAACTAAATTATATGTGTATAAAAAGAAACTGATGTGTACGTGTGTGTAACGCGCAGGGGCAATGGAAAGAGATGTTTGCGTGCTTGATCTCAAAGGCTGCAACGGTCGATGTTATCCGGCAAGGTGAAGGGCCTTCACGGATCGACGGTGCCATTCAGTTGGTGAGTACTTATCAACTTTGTATATAGATATAGTGATCATAATTAATTAATGACGACTGAGCTGATACATGGGGATGGATATGGTTAACTCTGGCAGATGTTTGGGGAGATGCAGCTGCTCACTCCAGTCGTCCCCACAAGAGAAGTGTACTTTGTGAGAAGCTGCCGGCAGCTGAGCCCTGAGAAATGGGCTATCGTCGACGTCTCAGTCTCTGTGGAGGACTGCAACACGGAGAAGGAAGCTTCTCTTCTGAAATGTCGAAAACTCCCCTCCGGTTGCATCATCGAGGACACCTCCAACGGCCACTCCAAGGTCACCTGGGTGGAGCACCTCGACGTGTCTGCCTCCACGGTTCAGCCTCTCTTCCGCTCCTTAGTCAACACTGGTTTGGCCTTTGGGGCTCGACACTGGGTCGCCACCCTTCAGCTCCATTGCGAACGCCTTGTCTTCTTCATGGCTACCAACGTCCCCACCAAAGACTCTCTCGGTCCGTCTACATATCCGGATCCTCCATTTACCCTCTCTATCTTTCTATATATATTTAACCTCTTCTAAACCCAAATCTTCCACTATCGATAATCAGGAGTTACAACGCTGGCCGGGAGAAAGAGCGTGCTGAAGATGGCGCAGAGAATGACACAAAGTTTCTACCGCGCCATTGCTGCATCAAGCTACCATCAATGGACCAAAATCACCACCAAAACTGGACAAGACATGCGGGTTTCTTCCAGGAAGAACCGTCATGATCCTGGCGAGCCCACTGGAGTCATCGTCTGCGCTTCTTCTTCGCTGTGGTTACCAGTTTCTCCAACTCTTCTGTTCGATTTCTTTAGAGATGAAGCTCGTCGCCATGAGGTACCTTCTCAAACCCACACACATTTAGGCAAACAATAAAAACGTTTCCACTCATATATCTATCGAACTATATATATCATCAGTGGGATGCTTTGTCAAACGGAGCGCATGTTCAGTCTATTGCAAGCTTATCCAAGGGACAAGACAGAGGCAACTCAGTGGCTATCCAGGTACTACATTTATTTTGTCTTCTACTCCTCACAATTTGACTAGAGGCCTTCATAATCTGGATATCTATATATTTCCAGACCGTGAAATCGAGAGAAAAGAGCATATGGGTGCTGCAAGACAGCAGCACTAACTCGTATGAGTCGGTGGTGGTATACGCTCCCGTAGATATAAACACGACACAGCTGGTGCTGGCGGGACATGATCCAAGCAACATCCAAATCCTCCCCTCTGGATTCTCAATCATACCTGATGGAGTAGAGTCGCGGCCACTGGTGATCACGTCTACACAAGACGACAGAAACAGCCAAGGAGGGTCTCTATTGACACTCGCACTCCAAACCCTCATCAACCCTTCTCCTGCAGCAAAACTGAATATGGAGTCTGTGGAATCCGTCACAAGCCTCATCTCAGTCACACTACACAACATAAAGAGAAGCCTACAAATCGAAGATTGCTGATGACAAGTCACAGCAGATATAATTTACCTATATAAGTATATGATGATAATGTATAGCAGTGCATTAAGTTTTGTACAAAAACGACCAGCTCTCTCTTCTGCAATCCTATTATTATCCAACACTTTTTGGTCCATTCCATTCGCAAATGAACCATAACAAGAGGAGCAAGTTAACCAAAACAAAAGTCCGATCACTGAGACCACAAGAGACAGTCCATGAAAAGCATTTAACGAAGAGAAAGAACAGATACAGTAGTTGGAATCGCAAAACAAACATAATTCAGATGAATCAACAGCAAAACAATGACTGAAAACACATTGATGGCATAAGCAATGAAATCACAAAAGCATTCCATAAATTACACAGGTTCGGGGGGATACACAACAAACAAACAGAAGCAGAGCATCGGAAACCGGAAGAAAAAAAAAAAGACAGCTTTACCAAAAGAAACAAAGAGCAATCAAGTCTCTACGCCGGCTGCTGAGACTCCAAGGGAATGCCAAGGAGGTCACCTGCTCCGGCTTCGGCTTTCCTAGCGGCCCTAGGGACGACAGGAAGCGCCACAAATGATTTAGTCTTACTGATGGGTCTGCTCTTTTCCAGCCTGACAACGTCGCCAACCTTGAACTGATTATCGGGGTCATGAGCTTGGTACTTCTTCTTCATCCTCACGCGCCTCTTGTACTTGGGGTGGGGAGCCAGTCTTGTCACCTCCACCGCCACAGTCTTGTCACTGGTTGCGCACACCACGCGCCCCTGCATCGTTTTCATCGCTCTGATGACCGGAACTAAAGCGGGCATTCTATGGTTCGGGAAGGAATTAGGCTTAGAGAGAGATGAGAGTGGAGTGGAGCCATGGGCGAACGGAGATGAAAGCTTGAGAGCTTGCAGAGATGAGGTGAGGGACGAAGTCATCCTCCGATTTGGAATCGAATCGATGAAGATAAGGTAAAAGGCAGGCTACTATATATATAAGAAGGGATGTTGTATACAGATGGTAAATGGGTTTTACAGTAAAATGGGCCTAATCTTAAAGCCCACCTTTTTATAAAAAGGTATTACAAAGCCCTTTGAAAAAGTTTTGAATCCTAAAATAATAATTAAAGGTAAATCTGTCTTCGCTCTTTTGCCCCTAAACAATCAATCAATGCCGCGCCGTTGGACTCTTGACGCCGCCTAGGGTTTCGAGGTATGATGTCTTCTTGGTCGTGACGACGCTTAGCTTCTCCTTCACCAACGGATCATCCGATAGATCCTTCTTCGACTCCAAGTCGGCGTTCCCGGCCTGATCGAAGTCCCATCCCATGAAATCCGACAGCGTCATGCTCCCAACAAGCGTCTCGTCCTCTGCTTCCATCGGCGTGTTCCTCTTGTTCCCCGCTCGATCTGCCTCTAAAACGTCATCGATTCTCGACAGTACCGTGTACGCCAAGCTCTCCAGTATTCTCGAGTAGCTCTCCAGCACCGCTTGACCAACGTCCTTGTTGAACTGGATTTTGCTGATGTCGAGGGCCGACTGAGATATCCCAGGGTATCTTTGCTTCAGAATGAGCAAAATGGTCTCAGCTCGCTCTTCGAAAACCTCTCGCTTCTCCAGACTTACTCCGGAGGCCCATGGTGCTGATGATTTGCTGTCTTTATAAACCATTTTGCGTTTCCATATAATGATTGATGCCTCGATCCTGTTTTTGAGGTCGACGATCTTGTGCTCGGACGACATGTCCATGCTGCTCAGGAACTGGTCCGGGTCAAAGAAGTCCACCGTTATATTCTTGTACATCTGATCCCCCAGACTCGCCCTCCCGTTCTGTATTTATTTTTTACAAACTAAACAAGTGAGTATTCTTCATCAACTCTTCTAATCAATAACATCACCTGTTGTTGTTCTTTTACCTTGGGGAGAGAGTCGATGTAGCTCTCTGGTATCTCCATCTCGAACAAAACCTGTGCGTTTATGGCCATGGCTGCCTTTAGAACCTGGTTTACACAATCTTTCTGGTATTGCAAGAACCTTCTTGAAGCTTCTGATAGACCATCTGGTGGAACTTTGACTGTCGGAATCCACCATTTGTCGTCGTTTCTCTTACCGTCTGAGTCAGGGGAGTCTTTTGAGACATAGCTGAACTCGCTTTGGTCCTTGAAATTTTCTAGACAATCCTAGGTAGAAAAGGGGGATAAGAGGACGCTTTTGAATGTATCCTAATTGGAACTATTAAAGTAGGGGTGACATTTGTTCACATTGGTCAACGAGAGAGAGAGGTCTTACGATGAGCATGGCGTCCAATTTCTTCAATGCGGGGATATTCATGTGGAGGTCAGTACGTTGGCGTGTGGTCATTATCTGTTAGATCAATACCAATAAATAAATCATTGTATGTTACCAAAAATGAAATGCAGCAGCAGATAGACCAACCTCCATATTGGTCCCATCTTTATTTTTTTGCTGAGATGGAGCAAACTCAACAACGTACTCGGTCACGGAGAGAAGCCAATCGATCTCTTTTCTCCATCTTGCTCTCCTCTCTGCAGGCATTGGCTCCAAGCGACGTTGCTCTCCGAACACGGAAGCTACCAACAAGATAAACATCAGTGGTTAATAATAACTGTAATAACAAAAGAGGGTCCTAAAGCTACCTGCAAGGTTTGTGATTGCGTTTGAAAGGGCGAGAGCAGATGATACTCCTTTGCCTCCACCGGAATTGTCCTCTCCCAGCAACAGCTTGGAGAAGCGCTCTTTCATCTGCTCCATGTCTGCCAAAAGCTGCTTTTCTCTAGCCTGTGCGGCGGCAAGGGCGGCTAGTGCTGCTTCATCCGCAGCTGATCTTGAAAGTGGGGGACCCTGACTAGGATGAATTATGGTCAACGGTTCAGCGTCATGAGATCCGGTGGCAGCCTCATCTAAACCGGTCTCGACGCTGAGACTCTTGTTGTGTCTCGTTGTACTATTGTTGTCGTTGTTCCTCCATTTGAAATTGAAGAGCCTGCTCCTATAGCTTTCCTGTTCTTGTTCCGAAGCACGAACCATTCCTGGTTTCTTGATGGCAAGAGAGAATTAGAGAGGAGAGAGAGAGGATCTATCAAAAGGGCCTCTCTTGAGAATCAAAAGGGAGGGGAGGAGAGGCTAATCGAGCGGCAAAACAATCAAGGGGATATGCGTAATTGTTACAGTGATTTTGGCTTTGAGAAAATTGTGGAGCTTCTTCTTTCTTTTCTTTGCTTCCTTTTTTTGGAGGATGGGACGTGGGGCGCATGTTTCAGACCACACCTGTTAATTATAACTAATCATTATTTAGGATTTTGAAGATGGATAATTAGAGATAGAGAGCTGTTTGAATTAAAATGTTATAATACACTACTAGTACTAAAAAATGTTTGTGAATTGTGTGATTACACGGTCCCTTTTCACTGGATTCCCTAAACATGCAATTGTCAACGGGGAATCTGCTACGTTTCCATACACATTCATTGTCTTCTTTTTATATCATCATGTTCATGAATCCTACAGCAATTTGCATGAATATCAAACGTGCAATGTTGTCCAATAAAAAAAAAGTCAGGATTTTTGGCCGACACAGCAGTCTTGCGCGTGTAAAATCAAGAAGAAAACTTGAAAAGGGTCATTAAGTGGCCCACTACTACTGGGTAAATTTCAAATATGGGCCCAAGTAGAGGCCCATATTTATCTCTATCATCCATCGTCAACCTCCGATAATCATATACCGACCACTCACTGATTTACAGAAGAAAAAAAAAAGAAGAGAAGAAGATGGAATCAATCGGAGTCCTTATGATGTGCCCCATGTCCTCCTACCTCGAGAACGAGCTTGAGAAGCGCTTCAACCTTCTTCGCTTCTGGACTTGTCCGGAGAAATCCGTCTTCCTAGAAACTCATCGGAACTCCATCCGCGCCGTTGTTGGGAATGCTTTTGCCGGCGCCGATGCTCAGCTAATCAATGATCTGCCCAAGCTTGAGATCGTTTCCAGCTTCAGCGTCGGGCTCGACAAGATCGATTTGGGGAAATGCAAGGAAAAAGGGATCCGCGTCACCAACACCCCCGACGTTCTCACCGAAGACGTCGCAGATCTCGCCATCGGGCTTATCCTCGCTCTCCTTCGAAGGCTGTGTGAGTGCGATCGCTATGTCAGGAGCGGAAAATGGAAGCAAGGTGACTTCCAACTCACTACCAAGGTGAAAAGAGCTCTCTGCTTATCTTATCTTTGGTCTTCTATATCTGCTTTAGCTTCACATTCGTTCTTTCTTGTTGACTCAGTTTAGTGGAAAATCCGTGGGCATCATTGGTCTTGGTAGAATTGGGACTGCCATCGCAAAGAGGGCTCAAGCCTTTAGCTGCCCAATCAATTACTACTCAAGAACCGTCAAGCCTGATGTGGCCTACAAGTATTATCCAACGGTGGTTGACCTTGCTCAAAACTCAGACATCCTCGTCGTCGCATGCCCCTTGACCGACCAGACCAGACACATTGTGGACCGGCAGGTGATGGATGCATTAGGAGCTAAGGGTGTGCTAATAAACATTGGCCGTGGACCACATATTGATGAGCAAGAGCTTGTCAAAGCTCTAACAGAAGGACGCATAGGTGGGGCTGCGCTCGATGTCTTTGAGCATGAGCCTCACGTGCCCGAGGAGCTATTTGGCCTTGAGAATGTGGTTCTCCTCCCTCATGTTGGGAGTGGCACTGTGGAAACACGGAATGCCATGGCCGATCTTGTGGTGGGTAACTTGGAAGCCCACTTTTCTGGGAAGTCACTTCTGACTCCGGTCGTCTGAGTGATGATGACACATTTGGGATTTGATGGCATTTGAAAGGCTTTTATTATTTTAATAAACTAGTGGAAAGGGTATAATTTCTCTTCCAAAGAAAGTTGCACTCTCGTATATAAAGAATGGATTTGAACACTAAAGGAATCCTCTCTGTTTTATGTGACTTACTAATCTTTCTTTTCCCATAAGTAGAATACGAGCGGCGCATAGGATAATATGTCAAGTCATTAACCATCCCAGACCAATAAACGTTTACCAAACTACTTATAGATGTCAGTGAAGTGAAGCAATATCTATTTTGTTGAGAATCAGCTGAACCTATAAAAAGTATAGAAGAGTATGACATAACACAAAACCCATAACTTTAGTTAGGGCTCCTTTCGAGCCTTCTTGGTCGGTTGCATGGTTTCAAAACACTCATCTGTGCCTTTTTCCTTTTTGTGACCACCTTTCCTGATGCACATTAACAAAGAATCTTGGAGTTAGTTTGGTAAATAACCAATGAAGTACCAGATACATAAAGCAATGTGACCTAATGAGTGCTGGTACAAGCCGATCCCAAGTATATTCCCTGCAATGAATAGACAAGGTTTGGTTTGATGTCATACCCTCCTCCTTCTAGCTCAGCTGATGATAGTCTTTTCCACAACTCTCTCTCCATCTCCCCTGAAGGCATTAGTACACTAGTCATTTCCAACGTTTCTATGATTAGCACCATTTTTTTGGCATAACTAACACCAGGGAATTGCCACCTTACCATTAATTGCTTCTAAGGCTACTGAGAAGTTATTCTTCACAACTAAACCTCCAACAAACTCCACTGCTGCACGGGCTTTCATTGCTGTTTCCGAATCTATGAACCAAACGTAACCCGAATCCAATCCACCAGAGTATTCTATGTGCTGCAATAAGCACCGGAAAAGATGATAACTCAACAATCACTTTTTAAGGGATTGATGGTTTGACAAAAAGTGTTGCAACTTACTTTAACGCTGCCAAATCTTTGAAAAAGATCCTTGAGAACCTCAGAGCCCACAGAATCACTGTTGTTCCAAGGGGGAACCACAAGTTGATCAGCGTTGTCGATTTTCTCCTTGCACAAGCTAGCACATGAGTTATCTGCCTGTGAATCTCCACTTTCCTTGTCTCTATCATTTCCTTCCAATCTCTCAGCAATGCCTGCCTCCTTATCTTCCTTGTCTTTGATTTTCTTTTTCAGAGCCCTGGTTTTTTCTGCAACCCAGAGAAGTTTCTTAGAGAGCAGTTCATACTTTCTCAGAGAGCAACAGTCTTGAGAAACGAGAAAATACCTTTGTTTGTTACCTTTTCCCCACTGGCAATCCATTTCAATGTAAATTTGACAAGCTGTCCTCTGCGGAATCTGTAGCAATATATATAGATATGAGCAGTTAAAATGAGCAAAGTTGCATTTCAATCAAGAAGCGTTTTGATCAGACAAAACAACAAACTAACTCGTTGTCTCTATGAATTGACCCTGCTTTTCCGAGTTGCTTGATCATATTCTCTCTTTGACAGTCAAAATCACTCCTGTATATCAAACAGGAATAGTCAGGTCATATATATATATCAAAACACAAATCATCCCCACTTACTTTGGTATTAATACTAAGTCAGCGCCTGCATAGACCAAGCTCTGGCTCAAAACATGTTCAGTGTCTTGTTCAGAGGAGAACTCAACCAAGGCAGTGCCACAAAAGCGTCGCTTATCTGCGATGTGGTGAGGTAGCCTCACACTGTTCACCTGAACAAGTAAAAACAGATGAGCAAATTCAAAAAAGCTCGTTTGGACAGTCATATTATTAGAGACGCATGTGAAGAAGAACCTTGGCATATTGGGAGAAGAAAGATGCGACATCCTCCATCTTGGTGCTGTACTCAAAAGGTGAAGCCGCAAGGGTTCTTCTGTGGACTTGTTCAAGCACCTTTTCCGGTTTGGAGAGTTTTGTTCCTCTACCGATCCTTTGTCCTGGATCAACAAGGTAAGTAAATGTCAGCAAGAATTGACAGACAAACCAAGGAAGGGAAAGCACAAGTACCATTGTTGGAAACTTTAAGAAAATCAGAGGTGCGCAAGAGATTAGCGACTTGGTCCACGATACTCGGAGGGATGTCTTCTCTATTGATGTTACCGAGGCCAAGGAGGTTCCTCATACGAGAGAAGGAACAAACCAGAGGCAAACTAACGACTAGTGTTTCGGGCATCTAAGGAATAACTTGCCAAAAGAACAGCTATGTCTGTATGCTACAATATCTATATCTATAGAGGATACGACCATCTTTGCTCTTGGTGACTTCCCTGTTGAGAAATCCATCAGTGGGTAGATTACTGTCACTGAAGTAGAACTCCACCTTCGAGCAGAGATGAAAATGAAATCGGGGAAATTAGGGAACAATTAGAGAGATGAGAGTGAAGGAAGCATAGAGAAATTGCAGACCTGGGTAAGCAACTTCTTGGCGGTTTCTTCGTCGAAGGAGGCCATAGCTTAGCTCTGCAATCGAAGAAGAGAGATGGCAAGGTTTTTATTCAATTGAAGGGGTTGGATCTCATACGGCCCATTATCAATGTTCTGATACATTCTGATAATTGGGCTTAGCTTTTATTTCCATCGTGGGCTTTGGGCTATTCTCACAAAATGGAACCTTCTTAGCCCCGCGTCCAAACAGGCTCGTCTTCTTCGAAATCGGCGGCAAAATCTGTGAGCTCAATGACGGAGAAACGAGAGTTCCCGGCGTTTCCATACAAGCCGTACTCGATCCAAATCGATTTCATGAATGCGCTCTATCAGTTTCTCGACAAAGGAGGCGTCTCCATGCTCGAAAGCCCTACCGGTATATAATAGTCACATTAGATCAGTTTTTACTCAGTGGTAAGTACACTCACTCACTTAGGGTTTGATTTGATCTCTCAGGGACTGGAAAATCTCTAAGCATTATCTGCAGTGCTCTCCAGTGGCTGATTGACCGCAAGGAGAAACGAAACTCAGAATCCCACAAGGTTGATGGAAACGATGATGAGGACGAGCCCGATTGGATGCGAACTTTTACTCCCAACGAAGAAGATAGAGCCAGTGATGACAACAAGACCATCAAATCCCCATTTCCGCTCAGGAAGGAAAGACTTCCCCAAGTTTTCTCCAACCCCACGGAAGGTGACGAGGCTGACCTTAACGATCAAGAATTTTTGCTGGAAGAATACGAAAGCCAAGATGAATCATCCCCGGGCGGAGGCAACTCTAAGAGAAAACCTGCCCGAGGTTTTGACAGTTCATCATCAGAGGATGAGAATCACTGCTCCGATGACGAACAAGGCTTCAAGGTTTTCTTTTGCAGCCGCACACATTCACAGCTTTCCCAGTTTGTCAAGGAGTTGAGGAAGACTGTGTTTGCCTCAAAACTCAATGTTGTCTGTCTCGGCTCCCGAAAGAACTTGTGCATTAACGAAGGTGCCCCACCATTTCTCCTTCCTCTTTTTCATCGTTTGCTTCATACTTTCTTACGCTTCCATAGCTCATGTTCAGATGTTCTTAAGCTTGGGAATGTGACCCGAATCAACGAGAGGTGCTTGGACTTGCAAAAGAAGAAGAAATCTCAGGTCTCTAAAAAGAAGGTACACATTTATCAACTTGTTTTATGATGATTTATCTATCTATAAAAGCTTCTAACTTAAATGAATATCTGCTTGTTTCCTCATTTAGCTAAGTAGAAATCAAAGAAAGATTTTTGCTAACTAATGGAACCTTAAACATTTCAGAATTTAGGTGCAAATGTAAGACTAGGACGAACCAAAGTTTCTTGCAGATGCCCGATGCTTAGAAAACATAAACTACAGAGAGAATTCAAGGCAGAGAGCTTTCAACAAGAAGCCATGGACATTGAGGATCTTGTTCAGCTTGGACGACAAATGAGAACTTGTCCATACTACGGTTCTAGAAGAATGGCCCCCGCAGCTGATCTTGTTATTCTTCCATATCAGTCTCTTCTATCAAAGTCCTCACGAGAATCTCTTGGCCTAAGCTTGAAAAATAGTGTTGTTATCATAGACGAGGCTCACAATTTGGCTGACACTCTTCTCAGTATGCACGATGCAAAAATAACAGTGTCACAGGTAAATTTTCAGTTTCATCTAATTTAAGAGCACATGTTGTTTGAATGTTTGCATTGCTACTCGGTCCTAACCTTGAAAAACAGTGTTGTTATCATAGACGAAGCTACTTTGTTGATACTTCACACTATGTCGAATCATGATTTTTAAATGATTTGTATTGCAGTTGGAGGATATACATTGCAGCATAGAGAGTTATCTGGGAAGATTCCAGAATCTCTTGGGAGCTGGAAACCGGAGATATATCCAAATTATGTTGATTCTTACCCGAGCTCTCCTCAAACCTCTTGCTAGTGATTGGAATCTGAACAGCGTAAATGTTGGGCTTGATACTGGAAACCCCTCGAAAAGCAAGCCTTGTGGTGCTTGTTCGATGGCAATAAATGACTTTTTATTTTCTCTGAATATAGACAACATCAATTTGGTCAAATTACTCGCCTATATAAAGGAAAGCAATATCATTCATAAGGTGAAGTGGTTCTTAATATTTGCCCCTTTCGCTTGTCCAACTCTTTTCTCCTGTCCATTTCCCTTCTTTTTAACTTTGCTGTTCAACTGTGCGTCCAGGTCAGTGGATATGGAGAGAGAGTTGCTATGTTGCAGAAAGATCCAGTGGCTCATGAGGAAATGAGCAAGTTAACAAGTTTTAGAGCGTTTTCTGATATGTTGGTGGCGCTTACTAATAACAATGGTGACGGGCGGATAATAATCTCAAGGACGAGTTCGTCTGCCTCTGGCCAACAAGGAGGGTACATCAAATATGTCATGCTCACTGGAGCGAAATTATTTTCGGAGGTTGGTGCTTGCATAAATGAGTTTCTTCATTTCTGACTCCATATTGGTTTCGGCAATTTAACAGTGTAAGAGTTAATCAAACCAATGTGTAGGTGGTGGATGAAGCGCATGCTGTCATATTGGCCGGTGGGACTCTTCAACCTATAGAAGAGACAAGGGAACGACTCTTTCCATGGCTACCATCAGATCAGCTGCAGTTCTTCTCATGTAGTCACATTGTTCCTTCTGAGAGCATAATGCCAATTGCAGTTTCACATGGTCCTTCTGGTCAGTCTTTTGACTTTAGCCACAGTTCAAGAGGCTCAACAGGAATGGTGAGTAATCCAAATGACGCTCGTTTACTCACATGTTTCTTTCCTTTAACATTAATGAGATCCAGAAAGAGTACTGAGAGTAACCTATGTTTTATACTTTTCGGGAATGGTTGGCAGATACAGGAGTTAGGACTCTTAATGAGCAACCTGGTGGCAGTGGTTCCTGAAGGAGTTATCGTCTTCTTCTCCTCCTTTGAGTATGAAACACAGGTGCACACAGCGTGGAGTAACTCCGGGATACTCAGAAGAATAATGAAAAAGAAGCGTGTGTTCAGAGAACCCAGAAGAAACACTGAAGTAGAAGCTGTCCTCAGAGATTACAAGGAAGCAATAGAAAGCGAAAAAGGGGCAATAATGCTAGCTGTGGTTGGTGGGAAGGTGTCAGAAGGAATCAACTTCAGCGACAGCATGTGTCGGTGTGTTGTGATGGTTGGTCTGCCGTATCCCAGCCCGTCTGACATTGAGTTGTTAGAGAGAATAAAGCATATAGAAGGTCTTGGAGATTCAGATTCCGTAAAACCTTCTGTGACTTTGGTTGATGATTCTTACTACAGTGGAGATGTTCAAGCAGGATTTGGCGTGTTAAAGAACTGCAAACGGAGAGGAAAAGAATACTATGAAAATCTGTGTATGAAAGCGGTTAACCAATCAATCGGTGAGTTTGTGGTTTCAAATATATGTCAGGATATAAATGGAGGTTGTGTTTTATTTATTGATGATGGGACTGAGACAAAATGTTATTCCCTGCTTGCTTTTCAGGTAGGGCAATCAGACACGAAAAAGACTATGCCTCCATTTTACTGGTCGATGCTCGATATTCTAATGATCCATCCAAAAGAACATCTCATTCTCATCCATCCAACAAGCTCCCAAATTGGATCAAAGATTGTCTTATTTATTCCACCAAAGGCTATGGAGATGTTCACAGACTGTTGCACCAATTCTTTAAACATAAAAATGTTGAAAATTCATCCGAAACCAATCAGCATTAGTGACCGTGTCTATGGGAACATGTTGGAGGAAATCCTTGGCACTCTTATTTTGAGTATCTATCTACAAAAACCATTAGCAAAGAAGTATATAACAAAAGAATTTTCATTTCATCTGTTTTCTTTGGGGTTTGTAAACAACTTTTGAAATGTCTCTGTGATTAATACTGGCTGATCCCTAAAGCGAGTCAGATTTGTTAGACGAATGCAATCCATATCCATCTCAAACTATGTGCTAATATTTAACTACATTCACAGGTCCAGGCTGCAACTAATGAATCTTCTTTGCCCTTTACTCACTCACTCTCCTTTGACAACATCAGGATCAGGGGATGGCAATTGAGTGAATAAACACCGCAAGGCGACCTCATAAGCGGCAAAGATAGCACCGTTGACCACAAAGGCCCTGGCAACTGCAGTGCCAAGGCCACGCCAGAGAACGGTATAGCCTTCCTGTTTGACGCTCTTGCGAAAACAATCGGCAATGCCCTCGTAAGCCCCATGACCTTGTTGCAGTCTGGTCTTGACGACATCAAGAGGATAACAAGCGACCCAGCTGGCCACTCCAGCAAGGCCACCAGCGACCAGCATGGTCCTGAGGTTTTCTTGTCCGGTCTTTCGGCAGCCGGGGTGAAGCCTTTCTCTGACGTACTCATAGGTCCAGAAGTAGAGGCCATGAGCGGGAGCATCTCGGAGCACAGTGATGGTGAGGCCTTTGTAAAGCCCCTTGAGGCCCTGACTCCTAAGGATGCTCTTGGCCAAGGTGACGGGACCAGACTTGCTCTGCTGAAGCTGGAGACGAATCTTGATGAGCTCGACAGGGGTGAGCAAGAGGCTCTGGACAGCACCGGTGGCAACACCTCCAAGAGCAACGCCTCTGTAGGAAGGAGGCTCTTCCAGAGGAACAGAGGAATCAAAGGAGCGAGAGAATATGGCGTAAATCTGGAATACCATAGCATTCTGCAACAAAATAGTGACTGTATTGAGTAATGAATGAATGATTTGACACAAAAGAGGTGAATCAAGAAAGCATCTTTTCAGGAATATCCTGAGATGTGATCAAAAGGTGAATCTTTTATTCCTGCCATCATGTGATCAAAAGTAAGTAGGTGAATCTTTGAAAGAAAAAGGAAGAACCTGAAAAGTGACGGAGGCCAAAGGCGCAGCCATGCCTCTGTAGAGAGAGGTGGGACCCTCAACGGCGAGCATCCGCCGGAGAATGGAGAAGGCAGATCCTGATTTAGAGCTCTGTTGCTGGCGAATTCTGAGGGTGTCCAAGGGGTAGCCGGAGATGATTCCGGCAACACCTCCGAAACCACCGGCGACGAACTCTCGTCCCCAGCTGGTCGCCATAAACTCCGGCCAGAAATCCATATCCCAAGGATGGGATTGTACGAACGTCTGCAACGTTGTCCCTTTTTTTTTGTTTTTTTGGTTAGAAGAAACCGTGTGTATTAATTTAGGACAATCCGGGGGGAGATTATTAGGATTATGAGTGAGTCAGAGAGAATCAGTTTGTCAAAAAAAAAAAAGAGATTTTGAGATTGAGATTGGAGCTGCACCGTCACCATCATCTCGCCCAACCCACTCCCGCCACCTACATCTCCTGCCAAAACTCTCTTTACTTTCCTCTGTTTTTCACATTCCCCATTATTAATTTTTTTTAAAAAAACAAGATAATCATGTTCCTAATTTTTTTTGATCAAATTAAATGCATGCTTATTCACACTCCAATTGTTTATTATACAATAGATCCTCATTCATTTGATAACCCTCACTGCTCCACTTCTTTATGATTTCTCTCTATCCCCCAAGAATTAAATAATATAGCCACTCACTTTTCAAAGACTACAATAACATACAAACAAAAAAAACTCACTAAAGTTAAAATGGATTTTGTTAAGGAAGAAGGGGTGCACGTAATCCCCATCATCCGCATAATAAAGGCAAAGAGTCACATGAAGACGAAGAAGTAACGTAGAGTATACAAACATATGCCATCTTTTTTCTATACTAAAGAGACAAGAAAGCCAACCAAAAAAAAGTTGAATAGAGAGACGTCAAGTTACCAAATGATTAACTAATTATGTTTTCAAAGGAAACTAGTTAAGACAACAGATCATTCCTTTACTCATGTGCCCACTCTCTCCAAATGATCCCTTCTGTGATGCCTTTGCTCATACTTCTTTAAGGGCCTTTAAAAATATATTTCAATCACATCAACCATATTCAGATTTTTGTACTCATAGAGATAAACCCCCTGAAGACGTACAAGCATACGTACCTTGTCAAATGGGCTTGGCTTTTATTATGGGCCCAATCGGGGTTCTCCGAAAACATTTGTGTCGATTGGGGTATCGTCACTGACTTACTTGCGAAATAACGAAGAGTTTAACTAAAAGAGAGTTGAATACCAAAACTAACCCTAGTCAACACCCTTCTCTTGCGGAAACTCCACCCTGTTTTAGTAATTACAGCTCTAAATACATACATGTACGTAGAGAGAGAGAGAGGTGGACAAAAAAGCGGGGACACAGGGTTCCATGGTTTTCTTGCGATACAAGTCCGTTTCTTCAGATCTCAATGTAAGACCGAGCCAAGCCAAGGTCGTTTCTTTTTAATTCTTCCCTCTCTCTTTCTTATAAATGCCTTCCCTTACCTCAAAGCGCCAACCTTCTCAAAAGGACCACATTTCTTCTCTCTATCTCTCTCTTTCTTTTGCACAAGAAAGAGAGAGAGATAACAAAAACCACAAACAGAAAAACAACAAAACAAAAAAACCAAAAAGAAAAAGAAGAAGAAGACGAACATTGTCTGTCTTTTTGGAAAGGCAAAATGTTTGATGGGCTGTTCAAACCCAAGTTCTATACGAAATGGTAAGTCTCTTCCTTTCCGTTTCTAGGTTTCCTTCACCTTCTTCGTTTATTTTGTTTAAAATTATTTCTCAGCAAGTCGTTGGTCAAGATAACGAAAACAAGAGTAGACACGGTGAAGAGGAAGAAAAACTCGGTTTGCAAATATCTCAAGAACGACATTGTCGATCTTCTCAAGAACAACCTCGATTACAATGCATATGGCAGGGTAATATTATTTCCCTTTCATCTTCTTTACCCCATTGCGTCTTTTTTTCTTTTTTTTTTGGAGTTACAGACACGTTATCTATGTCCTCTATCGGCTTAATGGATCACGGGGATCTGACTGGTTTCCCGAACGTGAAAGCAATTACATTTCCAACAACAAATTATAAACAATTTCTTTTTCTGCAGAAAGAAGAGGAGGGTCAACGATGGTTTCGTTAAATCCTTGTTGGTTCTATTTTGGTATTATATTGAAGCAATGCAAAAAAGAAATATATATATATATATGTTTCATTAATTTGATGCTGTCACCAGCTGGTTATAACAGAGTGAATTGTTGCTTAAGAAATTCTTGGCCCCTGTCACATGAGTATGTACATAGAGATGGTTTTGATGGCATGTGTGTGTGTGTGTGACAGGCAGAAGGGCTTATAGAGGAGAAAAGGAGGCTGGCTTGTTATGAGTTTTTGGAGCAATTCTGCATCTGTGTTGCATCCAATGTCTCTCTCTTACAGAAATCCAGGTAACACCCCTTTTAATTTAACTTGCATGGATTCCATTCATCTAAATATGGTTCTTGCTTGCTTGAGAAGCGGGTGTCCTGATGAGTGTCGGGAGGCCATCTCATCCCTTGTATATGCAGCCGCTAGAGTCTCTGAAGTGCCTGAGCTACGCGACCTCAGATCTTTATTTGCTGAGAGATACGGGAACAAACTTGAACAGTTTGTGAATCCTGAGGTATTTATTCTTTGATGACTTTATTTATAAATAATATATGATCTGCCACTTCCGGGCTGACTCCCCCATGGGAATATTTTGCAGTTTGTGGAGAGATTCAAAGCAGAGCCGCCGTCAAAGGAAATGAAGGTGGAGCTGCTGCAGGAAATCGCAAGAGAGTACTCCATAAAATGGGATGCCAAGTCTTTAGAGCAGAGATTGTACACACCGCCTCATCATCCTTCTGAACCAAAAACAGAGAAGTCCAAGGACCCCGAAACGAGCATGGAGAAGAGAAGCAGCCTTTGGTTCCATGGCAGAGAAGACTCTATGGATGACACCAACACGTCCATAATGAGTACAAGCGAAGAAGACTCCATGAGTACAAGCGGGAGTTGTGTGACTGGCCCGGAGGAGGATCCTGAAACGAAACCCTTGTACTACAGATTCATGACTCCTGCTGCGCCTTACACCAAACCCAAAATCGAAAAACAGGAAAGCCTTCCGGAGAAGATGACCAAATCTGATCTCATGGACACCGGTGAGTATCTATCTAAATTCTTAAGTAAAGATTACTTTCTTTCTTTTTGGCAAGCAAAAGCAAAGCAAGCACTGATCATGATGATATATATATATATATGATGTGTTGCATAAAACAGAATCGCCGAGGGCCGGAAAACCAAAGCCGAGATCAGTGAGACGAAGATTCGCAAACCCGCCCCCTGAAGCGGAAGGGGAAGCATTGAAACAGGAGAGTAAGAACATAATGAGATCATCAGATTCGATGGGGAAAGCAAGCGGAGGAGAGGGGTTTAGGAGAATGAGTCGTCGAACAGTTTCGTGGCAGCATAAGCCCTCCTCCTGCGTCCCCGATTTTGATGAGGTCGCCGCTCGCGTTGATGCCCTCTCACGAAATTGATTTTCTCCTGTGTCATTACTAGTGAATTAGAGAAAGAGAAGCCCCAAAAAAAACAAAATGCTGTTGTTGTTGTTGTCTTCGTCTGTGTGTGAATTCTTATTTGTAATTAAACCGCCGCCGCCGCCGCCGCCACTTTAATCCAAACTCACTCTTTTAAATCCGGAAAATCCCTAATTAACGTGTTGGTCGAAAATGGAGGAGATTGAGGTGATGAGCGAGATTCACCTTGGTTGCCCACCTCCCGCCGCCACTAACGAACCCTTTCTTTCCCGTTTCATCTTCTCTTTTCCCTCCAATGATCATTCTAGTCTAGATAAAGATGGCGATCTTCTTCTTCCTAGACGCAATTACTCTAGTAAGATGAGATTTTCCTCCATCTCTCATATTAATCACACGAATTAATCATGTTTGTTTGGCGAGCAGGCCCATCGTTTACTGTCACTATTCAGCATTCTATCACATCAAATCTCCGTCATGTTGGTCTGCAGGTATGTCTCTTTCTCTTGCCTTTTCCACGCTCCTCATGACTGTCTCTCTCTTTCTTCAGGTGTGGAAAGCTCAACTCGTCTTATCAGAGTTTGTCTTGCATAAGATTTGCACCTCATCTGAATTCCATGGCATTGTGTCTCTCGAACTCGGTGCTGGAACAGGTGCCATTGGATTATGGATACTCTTCCACTCCATCCCCTCTTGTGTTCTTCACTCATATCTTGCTTTCTTTTCTCCCTTTTCCCAGGCCTACTCGGTATTTTGCTTGCACGGGTCGCCAAGGCTGTTTTCCTTACTGGTCTGCACCTTCACTTCCTTACTTTATTCTTCTAGCTATAATAGCTTGTCTCACCAGTCTTTTCTGTTTTCCATAGATCATGGAGACGCAATTCTTGCCAACTGTGCTAAGAACCTCGATATGAATTCATCCTTGTTTCACCCCCACACTGTGGTAAATGTTCGTGAGCTCAACTGGATGAGCGATTGGCCTATTGAAGACAACCGTGGTGACTGCAGAGATCCCGAAAAGTATTGATAAAAACTTCATTCTCTTCTTCACTTGATATCTTCTATTCTTATGGTGTGTGACTCCTTGACATAGCTGCGTGTCCTTTCTTTATGTGCAAGCTTCTGTTGGAGCAAGCAGGACTTTGAACAAGTCAAATGTGCAAGCTTCATATTCGCAGCAGATGTGATCTACAGCGATGATCTAACCATTGCCTTATTTAGCATGTTAAGGAGAGTAATGTCATTCGGTTGTGACAAGGTAATAGTTGGATCACTTTAAAGGCTTTAAGCAATCACATGCACATTTATTATAAACATCTGAAAATGGCAGGTGCTATACTTAGGATTGGAGAAACGATACAACTTTAGCCTTGATGATCTCAAGGTTGTTGCCAATGGCTACACCTGCTTTAGAAGCTACGTCAAAGAAGATGGAACAGGTGAGCAAGAGAAGAGGAGTTTTGTGGGCAAGCGCGTCGACGTTACACAGATCCCCCAGTACTTGAAGGGTTACGATAGAGGAGAAGATGTTGAGCTTTGGGAGATCAGATATGTACTTTGATGTCTGATTCGAATTCCATTTGCTGTTAAAAACAAGTTCAATGTAGAGCTAATCCACATTACACTCAACACAATGTTTATAGAGAATAAAATGAAACCACAAGGAACAATAATATACCTCCTAAAAACTGTTGTAGAAAGGAAGAACTAAAGATAGAATCTTTCGGGGGATAATAGCGAAACTAGAATAAGAGGTTCCACTAGGTAAATTAAAAAGAGTAAGAACAAAATCGATACAACACCATCTCGCGCTCGTCATTCATTTAGGTACTACCTTCAGCGGGATTCTCAGTCTCCATTGGTTCGGCAGAAGCTGGTTGCTCTGGCTCACTCTTGCCCTCATCCGCCGGCTCACCTCCCTTGGCTTGTGGTGCCTCTGCTTTAGCCGGTTTTGGTTTGGTCATTATAGGCCTGCAAAACCTGCAAAACATCCAAGACTGGTTCAACCTCTATATCATATATGATATCATTTCTATAACGAGAAACAGGTACAAAGAGCCTTGCTTACTTGTCCAATGCCTCCGCCTTGCTTTTTACGTCAGCTGACAAGAGAGCCGGAGTGGCATACTTGGGAAGTGTGTCCTGCTGCTGCTGCTTCTCTCGTAGCCATGCTTCTGCTTCCACACACTCGTTCAAAACCTTCATTATTGCACAACAACAAAACACATATCAAACCATTTTCCCCAAGCCTGTGAAATTTACGATTAGTTCGGTGCTATCTAGATGAGCCGAATTATTACCTTTTGCTTATCTGCCAATTCAATGTGGTCAAACTTGGGATCATTAGACATAGCTGCCTCTCTGTAGCTGTTAATACAGTAACCAAGCTGATCAATGACCGACCCTCTTTCCAACGACTCCTTGTAACGCACTTCCACAGGGTCTCCCACCTGCAAAATATTAATCCCACTCCTATGTTAAATAAAACATTATCCTGAAAAATGGTTTCTTCCTGCACAATAAAGTGTCATCATATGCATGCATTACCTTCTTGAGCTCCTCGAGCTTTGCAACATAAACACCTTTGGTCTCATCTTCCCCATCTTCATACAACCAATCCTCCACTTCCTGCAGCTTCGCCAGGAATGCTTCCCTCTCAGCATCAGTGATATATTCCTGGTATTTGTCACTCAACTGAAAACAAGACACGTCAGTACCCAATACTCACAACTTTACATATGCATACTGCCAATGAAAAGACGAAAAAAAGATTCTCACTTTGTTTCGCATATCATAAACATAAGACTCAACAGCATTCTTCCGGTCCTTGGTCTCTTCCATAACTCTGTCTTGCAAAGCCATCTCAAATTCCTTCTCCACAGCCTTATCGACCTCCACAGATTTCATGGCACCATAGACCAATTCTGACAGTGGTACATTTGTTTTCTTCACCTTCTTCTTCGGAGCCTCAGCCTGCACAATCCGTTAATAAATATCCATTATTTATCTAATGTTCACAAGCGAATAGCAAGCAGTATCAGTTAAGAGAGAAACTAGCCTTTAAATCAGTTTCCATTTGCACCGGCTTCTCAGCAGACTCTGGAACACCATTGTCAGTACCAGCTGCATCACTGGTATCCTTGGCGTCCTGCATGTTAACATCAGAGTCACCAGAAGCAGGAGCTGCCTCGGCAGAAGCTTTGTCAGTGTCCATCTTAGTAGTTTCCTCTGATTGATCTTTTGTGACCGGAACTTCAACTTCTTCCTCTTCCAAAAGCTGCATTTAGGGGAGAAAAAAGATTAGGATAAATTAACGAATCCCTAAGTTCATAAGGGAAGGCACGGTTCTGGATGATCAACTTGAAATCAGTTATTAGAGAGAATGAGACTTTAAATAGTACACGTAAATAAACTTACAGTTGCCGATTCAACTGAGACAATTCCATGCAGGTTCAATCTCACTTTTACTTTAAGCTTTGCCCTCTCGCCTTTTGATGACTGGAAGGGACCAATCTACAAAAGGGAGATTAACCATGAGAAACAAGAGTGCTACAACCTTACGTATTTATGACACTGGGGAAAGATCAAACCGTGTATGTGCTGATTTTTGGAGGTGCTTGCAAATCGTTCACATCACTGTACTGCACATCAATAGAGAATGTTCCAGATCGATAAAACGTTAGAGCCTTGACACTAGGAATGGGATTTCCTTTGGGAAAAACAACGGTGCTCTGCTGATTCTCAGCTCCTCCATTTTGAGCATCGGAAGCTGCTCCTGTCCACGCCAGCGAAATTGAGAAAGGGAAGCTCTCATGAACCTTAAGAGAACAAAAAAAAAATCATAATATGACTAGTCAGATAACCTGGAGTATAACAGTTCTCTAGTTGCTTACAAGTAGACGAAAATAACGACATTTACTTAAGCATAAATATGCACCAATCACCTGGAATTCGCGAACTTTAAAGGTCGGACTGAGAATGGCACACTGCAAGGCACATCCCCTCGACACACACTCACTTGCATTCATTGTACGCCTGGGCTCCTTACCAAAAAACTCAGTTAGAATCTTGATCATAGCAGGGACACGAGAGCCAGAGCCGACAACCTCGACCATATGTACATCTTCAACTGTGAGGCCCGCATCAGAGAGAGCTTTCTCTAGAGGCCTCTTAACACGCTCCAGAATCGGGATGCTGATCTCTTCAAACTCTTCCCTCTTGATGACACCCCTAACATCTTTCTCATCCATCAAACACTCGATATTCAATGGTGCGACAGGATTTGCGCTTAGAACCTTTTTGAGTTTCTCGCACGCAGCACGGAGCCTGAGAGAAGCCTTAGCATTCTGGGAGACGTCAATCTTGTACTCCTCCTTGAACTTAGCAGCAAAATGATTGAAAAGAACTTCATCAAAGTCCCTTCCCCCAAGTGAGCGATCAAAAGCGTGAGACAAGATTTTGAGCTGCCCTTTTTTGAAGCCTGCAATACAGACTTGCATGCTAGCGTGTCCAATGTCAATGAATGCAACATTGAGCTGGTCATTCTCTGGCAGATCTGTCTTATAAATTCCATAAGCCAAAGCCGTTGCTGTAGTCTCGTGGATCAAGTGCAAGGGATGCAAGCCTGCAATTGTGGCTGCGTCGAGAACAGCCCTTCGCTGGAGGTCGGTAAAGTAAACAGGAATACCAATACAGCAGTCGACCACAGCTGCATTCAAATTCTTCTCAGCAATACCTTTCAAGTTAGACAACATCATACCCATGACTTGAGTCGGGGTAAAGGCTCTCTTCTCTCCCAAATAATTAGCATGGATCAAAGGATAGCCATCAGGCCCTTGGGTGACAGAAAAGGGAAGGGATTTGATATCCCTTTGCAGCTCAGGGTCGGAAAACTGGCGACCAATTAAGCGCTTGATTTGAGAGATGGAATTTTTGGGGTTCATCATGGTTGAAGCAGCTCCAGCAGTACCGATGAAGCGCTGCTTGTCACCAAAGCATACAATAGCGGGAGTCTCACGATTGGACTCATCATTAAGCACGACGTCGATACCTCTTTGCCTTGCAACAGCAACAAGGCAATTCTCGTTTCCAAAATCAAAACCAACTACACTCATTGTCAGGCTTTGTGTTCGATAGCAACCTTATATATAAAAAAAACCAACCAATTAAAAACTGTGAAATAGCAATCAAAAGAGACTCAGGAGAAGACGAATACTCAGGCCAGGTAGCCTTAAACCATCGTATTACTGAACCTAAATCAAACCACCAGTTTGGATTTACATCACCAATACATACATACAACAAAGATTGGTGGAGTTTGAAGGAAAAAGAAGCGAAGATAATTTCCCACTACAAATCCGTAAGCAGCGAAAGCAGAAGAATCATATTGAAATACGAGTACGGGAAACAAGTAATCGGGGAGGGAAAGCAACAAGAAATAGATAAAAACCTATGAGTGAGGAAAAAGAGAGGCATCAGATCTAGAAGAAGATCTGCAAGTAGAGCATACCTGGATCGCGAGAGGGGTTCGCGTTCTGGAAGCTTCTACCGAAATCTGGGTGAGGTAAGTTAAATCTATAATCGTGTCGCAGCCAAAAAGTGAAGAGGCAAGAGACCAGAGTTTTTTTTTATATATAAAGGAAGAGCAATAGAGAGGTTTAATTAAGGAGCAGACACCACCACAGGGTTTGGGTTCGTCTGGAATGTTCTTCTCCTTTCTTTTTTTTTTCCTCTAAACACTTTCATTTCCTTTCTCTATTGTGATATTTTGCCTTTTTATTTATTTATTTTTTGCCTCTTTTTTTCTTTCTTAGGTTCTTTTTTTTTTATCCCAATATTTTTGTATACTTTTGAGTTTATTTAAACCCAATGTATAAAATTTACTTAAAATGACCGTCAAAACAAATTTTATTTCAAAAATATTTGTTATTTAATAGGTTGGGTGGGTCAAGTTGTATGATTTAACACATACAAAATTTGTTTATATTTTGAAACAATTATAAGAAAGTTACAATTTTTATAGAGAAGTGGATGGTGTTATCAGAATTTGTGTATTACATAAGATATGCTTGTTTAACCCGTTTCAATTGGAGAAACAAAACAACTTCAGCCTGGATGACCACCTCAAAGTTGTTGCCAATGGTCAGGAGAGGTGAGCCAGACGAGTTTATCAGGCAACCGCATAAACGTCATACATGGGAGAAGATGTTAAGCTTCTAAGAGATCAAAATCGTACTTTCATTTGCTGTTTATATAAAGTTAAACAGTCCCGTCCAACATAGAACGTATCCGTATACACTCCTTAATAATTATAGAGGAGCAGAAAAAATGACTTTCAAATTAAAAACAAAACCACAAGAAACAATAAGAAAAACGACGCTTCCTAAAAATTGTTATCGAGAAGGAAGAATTAAAAATATAGAATTTTTCCGGGAATAATAGCGAAACCAGAAAAAGAGGTTCCACTAGGTAAATTAAAAATAGAGTAAGAACAAAATCGATACAACACCATCTCGCTCTCGTCATTCATTTAGGCACTACCTTCGGCGGGATTCTCAGTCTCCATTGGTTCGGCAGAAGCTGGTTGCTCTGCCTCACTCTTGCCCTCATCTGCCGGCTCACCTCCCTTGGCTTGTGGTGCTTCTGCTTTAGCCGGCTTTGGTTTGGTCATTATAGGCCTGCAAAACCTGTAAAACATCCAAGACTGGTTCAACCTCTATACAACATATAGCAAGCATTTCTATTAGGAGACAGATACAAAGATCCTTGCTTACTTGTCCAATGCCTCTGCCTTGCTTTTTACGTCAGCTGACAAGAGAGCCGGTGTGGCATACTTGGGAAGCGTGTCCTGCTGCTTCTTCTTCTCCCGCAACCATGCTTCTGCTTCCACACACTCGTTCAAAACCTTCATTATTGCACAACAACAAAACACACATCAAACCATTTTCCCCAAGCCTGTTAAATTTACGATTTGTTCTGTGCTTTCGAGGAGCTGAATTCTTACCTTTTGCTTCTCAGCCAATTCAATGTGGTCAAACTTGGGATCATTAGACATAGCTGCCTCTCTGTAGCTGTTAATACAGTAACCAAGCTGATCAATGACCGACCCTCTTTCCAATGACTCTTTGTAACGTACTTCAACAGGGTCACCCACCTGCAAAAGATCAATACCCAGCCTCTGTTAAAACATTAACATCAAAAATGTTATTTCTGCACAATAAAGTGTCATCATATGGTCTTTGCAACATTACCTTCTTGAGCTCCTCGAGCTTTGCAACATAAACACCTTTGGTCTCATCTTCCCCATCTTCATACAACCAATCCTCCACTTCCTGCAGCTTCGCCAGGAATGCTTCCCTCTCAGCCTCAGTGATATATTCCTGGTATTTGTCACTCAACTGAAAAAATGAACGTCAGTACCCCATACTCACAACTTTACATATGCATACTGCCAATAAAAAGACGAAAAGAAGATTCTCACTTTGTTTCGCATATCATAAACATAAGACTCAACAGCATTCTTCCGGTCCTTGGTCTCTTCCATAACTCTGTCTTGCAAAGCCATCTCAAATTCCTTCTCCACAGCCTTATCGACCTCCACAGATTTCAAGGCCCCATAGACCAATTCTGACAGTGGTACATTTGTTTTCTTCACCTTCTTCTTCGGAGCCTCAGCCTGCACAATCCATTAATAAATATCCATTATTATCTAATGTTCACAAGCGAATAGCAAGCAGTATCAGTTAAGAGAGAAACTAGCCTTCAAATCAGTTTCCATTTGCACCGGCTTCTCAGCAGACTCTGGAACACCATTGTCAGTACCAGCTGCATCACTGGTATCCTTGGCGTCCTGCATGTTAACATCAGAGTCACCAGAAGCAGGAGCTGCCTCGGCAGAAGCTTTGTCAGTGTCCATCTTAGTAGTTTCCTCTGATTGATCTTTTGTGACCGGAACTTCAACTTCTTCCTCTTCCAAAAGCTGTATTTAGGGGAGAAAAAAGTTTAGGATAAATTAACGAATCCCAAAGTTCATAAGGGAAGGCACGGTTCTGGATGATCAAATTGTAATCAGTTATTAGAGAGAATGAGACTTTAAATAGTACACGTAAAGAAACTTACAGTTGCCGATTCAACTGAGACAATTCCATGCAGGTTCAATCTCACTTTCACTTTAAGCTTTGCCCTCTCGCCTTTTGATGACTGGAAGGGACCAATCTACAAAAGGGAGATTAACCATGAGAAACAAGAGTGCTACAATCTTACGTATTTATGACACTGGGGAAAGATCAAACCGTGTATGTGCTGATTTTCGGAGGTGCTTGCAAATCGTTCACATCACCATACTGCACATCAACAGAGAATGTTCCAGAACGATAAAACGTTAGAGCCTTGACACTAGGAATGGGATTTCCTTTGGGAAAAACAATGGTGCTCTGCTGATTCTCAGCTCCTCCATTTTGAGCATCAGAAGCTGCTCCTTTCCAAGCCAGTGATATTGAGAAAGGAAAGCTCTCATGAACCTTAAGAGAAAATAAAAAATCATAATGACTTGTCAGATAACATGGACTATGACAGTTCTCGAGTTGCTTATAAATAACGACATTTACTTAAGCATAGATATGCACCCATCACCTGGAATTCGCGAACTTTAAAGGTCGGACTGAGAATGGCACACTGCAAGGCACATCCCCTCGACACACACTCACTTGCATTCATTGTACGCCTGGGCTCCTTACCAAAAAACTCAGTTAGAATCTTGATCATAGCAGGGACACGAGAGCCAGAGCCGACAACCTCGACCATATGTACATCTTCAACTGTGAGGCCCGCATCAGAGAGAGCTTTCTCTAGAGGCCTCTTAACACGCTCCAGAATCGGGATGCTGATCTCTTCAAACTCTTCCCTCTTGATGACACCCCTAACATCTTTCTCATCCATCAAACACTCGATATTCAATGGTGCGACAGGATTTGCGCTTAGAACCTTTTTGAGTTTCTCGCACGCAGCACGGAGCCTGAGAGAAGCCTTAGCATTCTGGGAGACGTCAATCTTGTACTCCTCCTTGAACTTAGCAGCAAAATGATTGAAAAGAACTTCATCAAAGTCCCTTCCCCCAAGTGAGCGATCAAAAGCGTGAGACAAGATTTTGAGCTGCCCTTTTTTGAAGCCTGCAATACAGACTTGCATGCTAGCGTGTCCAATGTCAATGAATGCAACATTGAGCTGGTCATTCTCTGGCAGATCTGTCTTATAAATTCCATAAGCCAAAGCCGTTGCTGTAGTCTCGTGGATCAAGTGCAAGGGATGCAAGCCTGCAATTGTGGCTGCGTCGAGAACAGCCCTTCGCTGGAGGTCGGTAAAGTAAACAGGAATACCAATACAGCAGTCGACCACAGCTGCATTCAAATTCTTCTCAGCAATACCTTTCAAGTTAGACAACATCATACCCATGACTTGAGTCGGGGTAAAGGCTCTCTTCTCTCCCAAATAATTAGCATGGATCAAAGGATAGCCATCAGGCCCTTGGGTGACAGAAAAGGGAAGGGATTTGATATCCCTTTGCAGCTCAGGGTCGGAAAACTGGCGACCAATTAAGCGCTTGATTTGAGAGATGGAATTTTTGGGGTTCATCATGGTTGAAGCAGCTCCAGCAGTACCGATGAAGCGCTGCTTGTCACCAAAGCATACAATAGCGGGAGTCTCTCGATTGGACTCATCATTAAGCACGACGTCGATACCTCTTTGCCTTGCAACAGCAACAAGGCAGTTCTCGTTTCCAAAATCAAACCCAACTACACTCATTGTCAGGCTGTGTTGAAAGCAACCTTATAAAAAAAAAAAAAAAAAAAGTATCAGAATAACAAGTGTGGTATATCGATAAGAACAGATTAGTTTTCAGCTCAACAGACGAATTGGTGTTAACTCAGGTCAGGTAAGCAGTCTTATTACTGAACCTAAATCAAACCAACAGTTTCGATTACAATCACCAATACATACACACCACGCGAGCCATTCATACAAGTAGATCAAATCTAAAAAATCAAATCTACGAAATAAAAGAAGAGGAGCTTCAGATCTGGAAGATCTGGGAATAAATATTGGGAAACATACCTGGATCGCGAGAGGGGTTTAAGTTATGGAAGCTTGAACCCAAATCTGAGTTTTATCGTCGCAGAGAAAAACGAAGAGCAGGAGGTTGTCGTTAAGAAGGGAGAAGAGAGCAGGAGGTTTATTAAGGAGCCCCAGGGTTGCTTGCGTTCCTCTCCACTTTTCTTTTCCTTTTTTTTTTTTCACACTTTTCTTTTCCTTTTTTCTTTTTTCCATTACCACTTTTATTTCCTTTTCTCTTTAATATATTTTCTGATATTTATTTTTCCCTTTCTTTACTAATTTACGTCGAATCGACATACAAATATCAAAACCAAATTAATACATTTACGTAAAGCTCTTTCGTTCAAAATTAATTATTTCTATTGTAATTATTTTTAAAAAATTTATTAGGTTAAGTCAATACATAATAGAATATTTTGCAGTAGGGAATACCCTAGATCTATACCCTATAAATACCAAAATAGAATGTTTTGTCAGACATCAGTAAATTCCGTTGATACGCAGAGAGTACACTCAACACGTCTTCTGCAATTCAACTCGTCTCCTGTCAGCTCGACTCGTCGACAGTGGCTTAAGCTCGTATAACCCAAATTCCCACTTTGACCTCGTCCACTTTTTTTTTTTTTTTTGGCCTCGTCCACTTTTGTATTTGATCAAGTCGATTCTTGTAATCTCACTCATTTTGTTTAACTCTTCGCTTGTCGTTCAAAGAAATATTATTCTTACTTTCCTTGAGATCACATTCTGTACTTGTGTGATTCGTGCATTAACATATTTTGATATCATTTTCTCCTTTAACTGCAGCTTTGCTACGTGATTTTCCGTTTATGTAAACTTTTTATGTTTAAAACTATATAGCAAAGTTGCAATGACATGCAATTATACTATCATTGTTAGCTAGGTTGGAGTTAAATGAGATATTTTAGCAGTGTTGTCTATGTACAATATCAAAGGCAGAAATAAATTTCACATGGTATGACCGTATGAGAAACGATAATAGCTAGGCCCTGTTCGTTTTTCCATTCAGATGGATCATTTGGATGGAGATGAAAAATGATGTTCGTTTTTTACAATTTAACAGATCATTTGGATGAATTAGTTGGATGGATCATCTAAATGAGTTTGTAATTTTAGGCAAATTTGTCATACTCATCTGGATGAACATGATTGGAGCATTTGGATGGAGATGATTCAGTCAAAAATAACAAATGACAAATATACCCTCATTTATAATCATAAATCAAATAATGTTTATTTTCCATAGATTTTTCATTTTATATTCTAAAAATTACATATTTGAACCAAATAAAATCTCTAAAAATCGTGAAATCAATGATTATCATTTTTCGTCAAAATCATAAAATCGCGGAATTATGTTTTTTCCCGCCAAAAAGTCAAATCGTGATTTTTGATAGAAAATTATGGAATTCATCAAAACCGCAAAATCATATTTTCTCACCACAAAATCATATTTTCCCGCCAAAACTATAAAATCACGATTTTGGCGGGAAAATTACGGAATTCTGTTTTCCCGCCAAAACCAAAAATATTGAAGAATTGTGTTTTCCACCAAAACCGTAAAATCACATTTTCCCGCCAAAACTATAAAATCACGATTTTGGCGGGAAAATTACGGAATTCTGTTTTCCCGCCAAAACCGAAAATATTGAAGAATTGTGTTTTCCACCAAAACCGTAAAATCACATTTTCCCGCCAAAACTATAAAATCACGATTTTGGCGGGAAAATTACGGAATTTCGTTTTCCCGCCAAAACCGAAAATATTGAAGAATTGTTTTTTCCACCAAAACCGTAAAATCACATTTTCCCGCCTAAATTGCGGAATCATATTTTCCCGCTAAAATCGCAAAATCATGTTTTCCCGCCAAAATTGTGTAATCATTTTTTCTCACCAAAATCGCAAAATCATGTTTTCCCGCCAAAACCGCAAAATAACATTTTTCTGCCAAAAATCGTAAAATTATGTTTTCCCGCCTAAATTGCGGAATCATATTTTCCCGCCAAAATCGCAAAATCATGTTTTCCCGCAAAAATTGCCGAATCATTTTTTCTCACCAAAATCGCAAAATCATGTTTTCCCGCCAAAACCGCAAAATAACATTTTCCCGCCAAAAATCGTAAAATTATGTTTTCCCGCCAAAAATCTCAAAATTATGTTTTCCGCCTAAACCGTAAAATTATCTTTTTTCGTCAAAACCGTAAACTTAATTTATATGTTAAAATAATAATCTAAAAATTATTTAGATGAAAATATATTTTAAAGCAATAATTAAATTAAGATAGCTTAGATTAAGATTTAAAATATAAGTAAATTAAAGTATGGGTATTTTAGTCATTTTCTTGTTAAAGTCATCTAAATGGAGATAAAGATTTGTAAAAATTAAACAAACAAACAAAAATTCATTCAAATGTTCCATCCAAATGAGCATCCAAAAATTGAAACGAACAACATTGAGATGAAGCATTTGGATGGAACATTTAAATGGACCATTTGGGTGGAAATGGTAGATGATGAAACGAACGGACCCCTAATAACATATTCTTTGCTTTTGATGTCTATTTGTTAACAAAATTATATATTAACATGTGAACAAAGTTTCCAATGACTGGATTATTTGAAATAATCAAAACAAGGAAAATTATATGATATTTCATAAGACTTGAAACAATTATTTTGGTTCCATTGATTCATCAAGAATGACCAAATCATACCAAACTTTCCAAATCCTATTCAAAATCATTATTGGTTTTTCTTACACTATAAATTTGATAGGATTAAACAGTCAATAAAAAACCGATAATAATCAAATGGTTGCATACAAATGAAAAAATTGAATCGAAGAAAAAAAAGTTGAATAGTATTCAACTCATTCCTCTGCGAAATAGGAGATGAACACGTTGAACAAATTTTTTTTTATAATTTGTTCATTTTTTCAACTTTTTAAATTGAATGGTTAAATCATTTTTCCATCTTATTCATCTCAAATGGTAAAGAATTATATGAATGATCATTCAAGTTATTGATTTTAGGTAACCATTTACACCCAAAAAATGATTTATTGCGAGTGGAACAAATACATTTCTGTCCAATTTAGAAATAATCACAACAAAATGGAGATTAATGTAATGAGTAGAACATTTTTCTTAAAATGATAAAAGAGTAGAGCTTATAACTTGAAAGGGATTTTGAAAAGAAAAAAGGATTCATTTCCTTTGTTAGTTTTTTTTTTCTTTCTAATTTATTAAACTTCGTTTTTTCTTTCCTTCAGCGATAAAATGTGTTTTTTTTTGGGGAATTTGTTTTTCTTGTACCATAAACTTCGCTCTTAAATTACTCTTAGTTAGTGGAAAATAAATTACGCATAAAAATGTAAAAAGAGAAATAAATTGCGAATTGGGTTTGTCCAAAAAAAAAGAAAAGAGAAATAGATAGCGAATTTCCTTATTTTAATTGAGAAGGTAAAAAAAAAGTTAATAAGCAAGTAAGAAGAAAGAGCTCACCAATCAGAAGAGAAGGGAAGAGAAGAGAAGGAAAAAAACTGCAACGCCGTTTGTTGCTGCTCTTGCCCGATCTGCAGCAGCGCGATCTCTCTGTTTCTCTCCAAAGCTGCCGATTTGATCATAGAGAAATATCAGGTGAGCTTATTCTTCGATTTCCTCTCTGGTTCGATTTCATCTTTCTTCAATTATTGATTTTGCTTCCTTCCCGTAGTAAGGTTTTGTGTCGATCTCTAAGTGAGTGCAGGGATTGATATACTGTTAGATAGTTTACCCTAGATCTAATTGTGTTGATCGCCGTCATGTAGAATCCCTAAATTAATTTCAGTGGCCTCAGATCCAGCTTTGGTTTTATTGATAATTTTGTATCCTTTTGAAGATTAGAACAGAGCTTTTTCTTTCTGCAGAATCGAACCTCTCTTCTAAAAGATGGCGGCTTCAGAAGAGAATAGCGCATTGTTTCCCATTTTTATCTTGACGATTATGGCAATTCCTTTGGTGCCTTATACCATGGTCAAGTTAACCGGTGCTCTCTCCAAGAAGCAACGGACCATTCACTGTCAGTGTCTCGAGTGTGACCGTTCTGGCAAATATAAGAGATCCTTGTTTAAAAAGGTTTCCTTCCCACTCAACCACCTGCTCAGTAATATATTGCATGTTCCTAACCTCTCTTCTTCACTTCTCCTGTCTCCAGATCTCTAACTTCTCTACATGGAGCAACTTGACGCTTGTGCTACTCTGGGTCGTGATGATTTTCTTGATTTATTACACTAAGAACATGAGCCGTGAGGTAATCCCATTGCATTGCCTGCTGTTATTATTTTTTTGAACTTGAAGCAACACTCACTTCTATCAACAATTTCTACTTGCTTATTTACCTTCTTGTTGTGTCTTACAGGCTCAAGTTTTTGACCCATTCAGTATACTTGGACTGGAACCTGGAGTTACAGATTCAGAAATTAAGAAAGCATATAGAAGGCTGTCCATTCAATACCATCCTGATAAAAATCCAGATCCAGGTCAAGTTTTTATCATTACGGAATTATGCTTGCAGCTTTTGATCCTGATTGTTTTTCTTCTATGTGCATATTGTTGAACTCTACAGAGGCCAATAAATATTTCGTGGAGTTCATTTCTAAAGCCTACCAGGCTTTGACTGATCCAGTATCCCGTGAAAACTTTGAGAAGTATGGTCATCCAGATGGCAGACAGGTATGGATACATCTCATTTCCCTTCACATGGGCTCCCGTCTTATCGAGACTAACATATTGTAACGTGATCCCAGGGATTTCAAATGGGCATTGCTCTTCCTCAATTTCTTTTAGACATTGATGGAGCATCTGGTGGCATATTATTGCTTTGGATAGTTGGTGTCTGTATTCTCTTGCCCCTTGTGATTGCTGTTATATATCTCTCGAGGTCATCAAAGTATACCGGCAACTACGTTATGCATCAAACACTCTCCGCATATTATTATCTCATGAAACCCTCTTTGGCCCCAAGGTATATTCACTCATACCCATGTACATTCAAGTGATGCTATAGGTGCATGACAAATGGGCTGTGTTTTCGTTTGTTTGTATGACATTGACATGTTGAAAAATCTCTGTTGTCCAGCAAAGTTATGGAAGTTTTCACCAAGGCAGCTGAGTACATGGAGATTCCAGTTCGTAGAACTGATGATGAACCTCTGCAGAAGCTCTTTATGTCTGTTAGGAGTGAGCTAAATTTGGACCTGAAGAACATGAAGCAAGAGCAAGCTAAGTTTTGGAAACAGCATCCTGCCATAGTGAAGGTGAATTTTCAAATTACGCAACTGTGATGCTAAATATTGAAGAAACTGAAATACTCACTTCCTCATTTTCTGTACAGACGGAGCTGTTGATACAGGCCCAGTTAACTCGTGAATCAGGAGTCCTGTCTCCCGCCCTTCAGGGTGATTTCAGGCGTGTGCTAGAGCTTGCACCTCGACTCCTTGAGGAGTTATTGAAGGTCTAGTCTCTATTTAAATAGCACAATTTCTGATAAAATAAGCATCAAGAAGCGATGACCGGAAAGTGCTAACCTGTTATGTAGAAGAGATGTATTTTCCCCTATAGCAGGGAAACTCGAAACAGACTTTAAAATTTAGGTTAATAGTGATGCTTTTGGTCACACTGTTAAAATTGTGGTTTTCTTAACCATTCATTATAACATTGTGAGTTTCTTGCAGATGGCGGTTATACCGCGCACTGCCCAAGGGCATGGATGGCTGAGACCTGCAGTTGGAGTAGTTGAGCTATCTCAGTGCATTGTTCAGGTCTTAAATTACTCTCATCACCTATCTTCTAGGTTTTATCTTGTTTGTGAGCTTTCAGTTCTTTATGTCTCTTTTCTCCACAAGATTTACTTCTTCCTGAAAGTTTAAGAAGTGCTTAGTGTTGTTGTCGAGGAACATAAACTAAAATTTCAAAATCGCAGGCTGTTCCTCTTAGTGCAAGGAAGTCTTCTGGAGTATCTTCAGAAGGCATTTCCCCTTTCTTACAGCTCCCTCATTTCAGTGATGCCGTTGTCAAAAAGATAGCACGGAAGGTAGACTAATACTATCAAATGTGTCAAGTGCAGTATTTGGGATAATATCTAGTTCCATATCATATGCATTTTGACCTGAGAATCTTCTCGGATTCTCCTCTCCAAATAAGTAATAGTGTTGCTTTAGGTTGGTTTACTTAAAGGTCTAGTCTAAAGACGTATATAAACCAGCATTTAATGTTAACATGGCATTGTTTCTCCTATTTTCAGAAGGTTAAATCATTCCAAGATCTTCAAGAAATGAGGTTGGAAGACCGTTCTGAACTGCTCACCCAGGTAGCGGGTTTGTCAGCAACTGATGTTGAGGACATTGAGAAGGTGCTAGAAATGATGCCGTCTCTTACAGTCGACATCACATGTGAAACAGAAGGGGAAGAGGGGATCCAAGAGGGTGACATCGTGACCCTTCAAGCTTGGGTCACTCTGAAACGACCCAATGGGCTCATAGGCGCCCTTCCTCATGCACCCTACTTCCCTTTCCACAAGGAGGAAAACTACTGGATTCTTCTTGCTGATTCGGTGTCGAACAACGTGTGGTTCTCTCAGAAGGTAAGCTTCATGGATGAAGGTGGAGCGATAACGGCTGCATCGAAAGCCATCAGTGAGTCAATGGAAGGTTCAGGAGCAGGGGTGAAGGAAACAAACGATGCAGTGAGAGAAGCGATTGAGAAGGTTAAAGGCGGGTCAAGGCTGGTAATGGGTAAACTCCAAGCACCGGCAGAGGGAACATACAACTTGACTTGCTTGTGCCTGTGCGACACATGGATCGGGTGTGATAAAAAGCAAGCACTGAAAGTGAAAGTCCTGAAAAGAACCCGGGCAGGGACACGTGGTATGGTTTCAGATGAGGGTGCGATTGCAGAAGAAGGTATGGAGGAGGAAGATGAGATTGAGGAGGAGGATTACGATGATGATTACGAAAGTGAGTACAGTGAAGATGAGGATGAGAAGAAAGATATGGATGAGAAGAGAGGGTCGAAGAAGGCAAATGGGAGTGTGAAACAGAAGAAAGAGTCGAGTTCTGAAGAGTCGGGATCGGAAGAAGAGTGAAACAGAAAGGAGATTTTACACTGATAAACAAAAAAAAATTACAATACTTTTGTCCCGAGTATCCTGCTAGTCTTTTTCACAGTTTTGACATTCTCTCATTGGCTCTCTTCTCTTTTCACTTTCTGTATCACTTTTCTTCTCTTCAGAGAGATTACATACACAATCCAACGCGACTAGGGAGAAAATTAACGTAACTCGGACAAAATTTTCATACACAGCAACAGCATTACAAAACAAAGCTTTTAATTCGGTGAATTCAGACGTAAATCTTGTTTAGTTGCTTTCAACAACAAGAATTCAGATAATGGGCCCTGTTAATAAACTAATAATGGGTGATAATGGGCTTTTCGGTTGTTTCAAAAAGTGGAAGCCCTATAAGGCGGGAAAATCAGAAGAGGCGCGCCTGTCTAGTGTCTTGTTCGTCTTCTCCGGAGAGGTTTTGCGGCGGAATCCGACCCGAAAATAATGCCAAATTACAGCATCAGAGGAATCAATGTTGATTTCCCATTCGAGGCGTACCAGTCTCAGATCATTTACATGGACAGAGTCATCGAGTCTCTTCAAAACGTGGGTTTCCCGAATTCTCTCCCATTCGTTTTATATTGCTCTTTTAGGGTTCCCGCTCACTGTGCTTTTTAGTTTCAGCAGCTTGACGGAATAAAAAACGAAACTAATCTGGATTATTAAAACTTGTGAGATGATGCTGCAGAAATGTCATGCGCTTTTGGAGAGTCCTACTGGAACTGGGAAAACTCTTTGTCTTCTCTGTGCCACCTTAGCCTGGCGAAAGAGTCTGGGCTCTTTCTCAACCCGTAAGGATCGCAAGAACAGTTCCATTCCTTGGTCAGATTCTGACGACCTAATGTCCCAATCCGGAGGAGCTTTTCCTACCATTATTTATGCGTCCCGGACTCATAGTCAGCTCCGCCAAGTGATCAAAGAATTAAAAAGAAGTAGCTACAGGTCACACCACCAATTCTCTTTCTGCCTTATTACCTGCTCATCATCTCTTCTAATCTTTCTCTACCTCAATCATTTCTAGGCCTAAGATGGTGGTGCTAGGATCGCGGGAGCAATTATGCGTTAATGAGGAAGTCAACTCACTCCGTGGCAAAGCACTCACAAATGCTTGTCAGTACCTTTGCAAAAAGCGCGGTAAACGCCAATGCAACCATTTCAATCGCATTCCAGGTACACAGCATCACCACATGAAACGACGATATAAATCCTTCTTGTTTATTTTGCCTTTCCATTAATCTTTTGTAGATTATTTGAAGCATAACACTCATATTGGCGACGAACCAGTTGACATTGAGGATTTGGTCAATATTGGAAAAGATTCCGGACCGTAGGTTCCTCTATTTTTGCTACTTCAACATATTTGTTTCTTACGTTGCTGGCTTTTTCCATCTGTACCATATCTCTATTTTGCAGATGCCCGTATTATATCACAAGAGAGCTTCACAAGGACGTGGACATCATATTTGCACCTTACAACTACTTGATCAGCAATGGCTATAGAAAGTTTTTGAAAGTCAACTGGAATAATAGTGTCCTTATTTTTGATGAAGCGCACAATCTGGTAAGGGGACTAAGATGTTCCACATATAATTTCCTTATGTGTTCTCTGTTCATCATGAACTCTTCGTTTCTTGGTGTTTTGTTCTATTTTTCCGGGTTACCGAACGATTATACAGCTTCCAACTTCTCGAAACACTCAGTTTATCTTTAAAACATGTGCAGGAAAGTTTATGCGCAGACTCAGCTTCATTTGACCTTCCTTCGGTTCTTCTATCGGCTTGCATTTCTGAAGCACAAGAATGTGTACAACTTGCGGCAGCAAGAAGGAATTCATTAAATGACGTTTCCATAAACCCTGAGAATTTTGCTATACTTAAAGGTCAAATTTTAGGCCTTGACTGAGAGTACAATGTTCTGTTAGACGTGAATGAAAATGACATAACTGTTCTCATCTATGCATTGTTTTTCGCTTGCAGGACTGCTTCTTAAGCTGCAGGAACTGATTTCTAAAGTGCCAATTCCGAAAAGGGACGAGGGATTTACCAAGCCTGGCCCTTACATATATGAAATGCTTAAAAGCCTTAACATCACTCACGAAACTGCTCCTAAACTTATTGGTACAGTTGAGGAGGCTGCAGTGTTCCTGGAGGAGGAGAAACAACGAACAGCGACCAACACTGGAAGCAAACTAGAAATCATTGCTGACATGCTTAAGCTGATCTTTAGAGAAAATGGAAGTAACCATGCAGATGTTTATCGTGTAAGTTTTAAGAAGAGTGTTCTTTATATTCCGTGTTGAATTTTATAATTAAGTTGAAAAGGAATTTTTCTTTCTCTTATGTTATCTCATTGGCAGAAACCCTCTTTTCTACTCATATCTTTCACTTACAGTCTCAATATTCGTCCTTCGTTAGGTTCATGTACAAGAGCTGGAGCAAAATTCTACTGATGTGATGAAAGGTAAATAAGAGTGGGATTGTCTATAGCCTTTAAACATAATATTAATATTGTTGCAGTCCCAAAGCATTAACCAAAACGCCATTTTGCTAATTTGAAAATATAATAATCATTCTTAATCTGCTCTCCTGTGGAAATTGTTTTTTGGCAAATTAGTCAGAACTTTAGAGAAAGTAAATGATTTGATTTATTTCTGTAGGCAAGGTATCAAGAACGCTTAGCTGGTGGTGTTTCAGTCCTGGGATTACCATGCTGGACATAGCAAAAAAAGGTGTTGGGTCTATCATTTTAACATCGGGGACTTTGTCTCCCATGGATTCATTGGCTCAAGAACTAAAACTGTGAGTCATATCGATAATCTTTTCTGTCACTATGCTTGTCTATCTGCCTTTTTGGCTCTTCCCCCAGTTTTTAATGGAAACATCTTTTTCTGGAAAATGCAGAGACTTTCCCGTTCGGTTGGAGAATCCCCATGTTATATCCTCAAATCAGCTATGGGCTGGAGTTGTAAGTACTGGTCCATCAGGGTACGTTCTTAATTCTAGCTACCGCAATCGTGATGTACCAGAGTACAAACAAGAACTTGGGAATGCCATAGGTAAGTGTTTTGTTATTTGGTAGTTCATTTTGGATGGCCTGAATGTATCACTCTGAATTTCTGATGTGTGAACCGAGTTCTAGAATCTGGGGAGCTCTCAATATCGAAGCTGCTATCCTTATAGTGATCAATTAATTAGTACGTGTTTCTACTCTGCAGTCAACTTTTCTCGAGTCGTGCCTGAAGGACTGCTGATATTTTTCCCTTCCTATTACCTTATGGACTCTTGCATTTCATTTTGGAAAAATGGGGTATGGCCGTTGTTAATTTTCTCTTAAATATTAAAAAAATTAGTACTCTTTAGCTTGAAAATCTACCGTTTCTTCATCATTCAGTGTCACAGAAACTCAATGACAGTATGGGAAAGAATTTGCAAGCTCAAGAAACCTGTCATTGAACCTAAGGATTCGTCCCTCTTTCCTGCAGCAATGCAGGTGAGCAACAGATGCCTCTGATCTTCTTTTGCTTCCAAAAGGCAGAATATTATATAATTTAATCGTGTCTTGTGTTTTTCTCATGGTAGGACTTTTCAGAAAAATTGCAAGACAGATCGACTTCGGGTGTGGTATTTTTTGCCGTTTGTCGCGGTAAGGTATGTTTTCTTCAACCTGTATGAAATTTGTCTGTTTGTAATAAGAGATATCTTGTGTATCCATATAGTATGTATGAGAATGCTGGTACAAAAAATAGGTGGTCAAAAGTTTCTCTAGTGTAGTGTCTTCAGTATGGCTGGTCTCTGTTGTGTTGTCAGGTCAGTGAAGGACTGGATTTTGCTGACGGTGCTGGCAGAGCTGTCGTCATTACTGGGTTACCTTATGCCAGGGTGACAGATCCTAGGGTTTGTCTGCTCTATCCTTTACTGTTTTGTTCTGAATTTGTATTTAGGCTCATTGGCAAAATGGTTGCAAAAACTAGTGAACTGTTTTGCTCTTTTTGAGAGTTTCTTTCTCATTTGTCTTCACTTTTATTTAAACTGGCACTGAGAGGGCACATAGCTTTAAATTTTATGCTGCTACTTGCATTCCAGCATCATTAACCCATGTGTAAAACAGGTAATATTGAAACGAGAGTTTCTGGATGAACAATCACAACTTGCAGATGTCAAGGTGAGTTTGATATTAAGTTGACTATTGACACATCAAGGTTATAATACTTCTTGCAATTTTTTAGCTTCCAAGATCAACCCTTCTATCTGGAAGCATGTGGTACAGTCAAGAAGCCGCACGGGCTGTGAATCAAGCAATTGGACGTGTAATCCGCCATCGCCATGATTATGGAGCTATCATCTTTTGTGATGACAGGTTTTGTTCATGCTATCCATAGCTTTTTTCTTTTCTTCCTGGCTTCATGCAAGAATGTTCTTTTCGGGCATATATTCCGGGCATGATGCATGTAAATATGTAGGCCTCTCGTTTTTGGACAAATAGATAGTGCATAAAATGTGGTAGTTAAGGTACTGCCAATTTTAGCCTTGAGACGTATGCTCTTTGAGATTGCTTTTGGTTGATATTGTGTCTGACATTCTCTTTCTAAACTGTACTCGCTATAGTTTTTAACTATTCTCCAAATAGACAAGAACTGTGCTCGATCTTGGGTAAACATATATTCATTCTCGTTTTTTTCTGATTATTTCGTACATTGGCTATTGTTGACAGATTTGAACAACCGTCCCAGCAATCCAAGATATCACTTTGGATACGACCTAACGTCAAGGTATAAGTTATGCTCTGTCTTGCCTCTGCATTTTATGGAGCTTAAGTTTTTTTCCTGGATACACCGGTTTTGCAGTGCTACTCTAGATATGGAGAGGTTATTTCTGACCTTGCTCGATTTTTCCGGACTGAAAGATCAAATTTTCCTGCAAGGCTTGTAACAGATCAAGAGAACACTATAGGTAATGCACCTTGCAGCAAAAAGATAACTTTCATTGGACGTTACCATATCTTAGTCTGCCTGTCCTATTATCCCATCCTATTTCTTTCCTTGTGATCGACTATGGTTTGTGTTTGGGAGTTGGGGCATGATATAATTGCTTATCTTGTATCGATAAGAACTTTGTGACCCCTTGGTTATAATAGGTTGGAACAAAATAAAAAAAAGAGTACAGTGAGTAGTACGAGCATATATGCAATAGTTTGTCATAGCAAAATGCTCTAATACTTTAAGCCCTATTTTCAAGTATATGTTGGACATCATCGTAAGTCAAATCTTTTTTGATACAGATTCAACATTGATACCAATGGAATCAACCAAGGATAATCCTACACCAGCCTTTGGTCAGTGATTCATTTTTCCTTCATTCTCATGACTGAGGAAAGATGTTATCCCTTTTGCACATGGTTAGAATGTGGATCTAACTTCAACTCTCAAAGTTGTAATTTTGCATTGGGTATTTGATCTTTTGCAGGTAATAGTAATTTGAAAAACGTTGGGGTTGCGCAGAATGAGTTGAGTAGACTGGAAGCATTTCCTCCTGCAAATCGGGCTTCACCCTTGGAGCGTGACGGAAATAATGTTAAATGGAAAGGCCTGACCATTCTTAAACATACGGGCAAGATACCTCGCATTGTAAAGGGAGATGTTATGCAGGGTTGTTCTTCACGGAAGGCTAAGTTAGTGGAACTAAGTGATGATGAGGAGACTCCGGTAGAGAGGAGATGTGAAGTAGTGGATCTAGAATGCGACAACTGTGAGAAGCAGACCTGTGAAACAGAAGTGCTTGCATCAAGCACATGTTTCAACACAATGGGACTAAAAAAAAAGCGAAAGGTTCAAGAGAGTCAGGGAAGTGCATCGTCGTCAGTGTTGACAGCGAAAGGAAATGGAGGTGGTAGTAAAAAGGAAGCAAGTGCATCTGCATTTTTGAGTCAAGTTAGATCCCACCCTCTCTTTCCATGTTTCTCTTTTGTATATCAAGTTATTTGTTTACATTGGAAGTCATGTGCTGATGATCTTACTAGGTCAAAGAGAAGCTCAACACAGAAGATTATAAGAAGTTCATTGGATACATGCAAGCATTGAAGAAGAAGGAGATTAAGTTAGCAAACGTGATGGAGTCGATTGTGCAACTGTTCTGTGGAAGAGAGAGGGATCATCTTCTCATGGGATTCAAGGACTTTGTGCCAGTAAAGTATCGTCCTGCCTATGAGGAATGCATTAAAACGAGAAAAAGAGAAGGCTGATCGATCATCTTCTCAAACTCAAATTGACATTGTTACTCTCTTTACATTCTTTTTGTAAGTAAACTCTAACAGCCTTAAGTGTAGCTGAGAAGAAAAGAAAGAAAGTAAAAAAATTGTGACAAAAGAAAGTGAAATTGCATGAGAGTTAGTTGTCACTCATGATCATCCTCTTTCTCAGCCTCTCCCTGGCTGCGCGAGTACTGAGCGACCTCACAAGGCCTTTCCTGGTGATTCTCTTCTCCTTCTCACGAAGAGCGATGATGAGATCAACGAAAGCGCTTAATATGAACTTGTGTGACTTCTTGTCGTTGAGATCCAGATAGCAGAAGAGTAGCTCCTCCATCAAGTCCCAATCCACTTCGCTTTCTGGCATCCCTAACTTGGACTCCATCATCTCCACCATGGACAGCCTGAAGTCCTCTTGCGGCTCATCCGTGTATCTTAACACTGCGATGCAGTTCTCCGGCAGCACCAAGGTGGATCTCGATTGTCTATCCTCCGATGTAGACGTTGTTTCCATGCTAGGCCTCCCCTCCGATGATCCAGGAGGAGGAGATAGTCTCTCCGTTCTCAGCAAACCCGGCGGCTGTTTGGGGGAGTCGTAGACGGCCTGTCCCCATGTCCTCTCGAATCGGTGGCGATAGTCGTCGTCGTGATCATCACTGTCGTCTGATGAAGATTCCCTTTTCTCCTTGTTTTTGGTCAGCCGGACTTGATGGTCATCCTCCTGGTCGTCTCTGATGCAGAGGGATTTGAAGTTTTCCTCAAGAAAACGATCAATGTCAGACAAGGTGGCGGCGTGAGCGGAGTCCTGCTGGTGAACGGGGTCGTCTTTGCTGAATCTGGTCTTGCTGCTGCGTCGTCTATGCTTGAAGGAGAAGGAGAGCTTCTTGGGATGCTTACCAAGGACCCAATTCTTTGAGGATGAGAATGAATTCGACGAAGACAGTTGCAGCTTCCCTGTCTCTCGTTTGATCTTTGACAGGTAACCATGCAGCGATTTCTGCAATGGGTTTGGCATATCCTCTGAGACTTTTGCTCTACAAACAACTCTGCTGCATGAAAACAATAGAGATTTTTGTTTTAAAACCAATTCTGGGAGATTTGATGCTATAAGAGGGAGCAGAGAGGTTCATTGGTCAAATCTGAAACTGTTCAACGCTTTTACGTTGTGGGTAATCTCATTAAATTAATAGGCAAGTTTTTTCTTAGATTTGTTTTTGTGTTAAATCTGTTTCCATAAGTTCCAGATTCTGCATTCAATGCATCGTTGAATAGTAATTTTTTTTTTTTTTTTTTTTGTATTGGAACTTGGAAGTGAAGCTGACGCGCCTAATCTAAACACAGACTTGATTTACTTGACTCAATTCAATGTTTAAGTACCATTAAGGTAACGTTGACAAAAAATTTAACATCTTTAAAAGTGAAAACAAATGAAGAAGGCATGATAAAGCGGATAAGTAAGTAGCAAAACTGTTTTCGAGGCCCAACTTTTGTGGCCCAAGACAGGAGGTGTGCTTGTATTTTGTCCCACATCGCTTGTGAGACTAAAGAAGCAGAAAGAAGTTGTGCTATAAAAGAAATCTCACATCCTCCAGAGAAAAGCATCTTTGCGCTTGGGGCAATGACGCAGCTAATGAGGTTCTAACCGAGGCGCGTCTATTGCTGGTTGAAAACTATTTCCAAACCCCCTCATGGGCCTGGGCTCGACCTATGGCCTTTGAGAATTTCTGGAAGGGTTCCCTTCGGGGTAAAGCCCTACAAATCTTCAGTTTCAACTTTCTTTTTTGTGCTTGGTAATTTATCATTTACATATGTACTGTATGTGATGATTGAGAATCGTAATGTACTTGGGGAATCAAATAGGTAAATTCTCAAATGAAAGAATCATAATAATATTCAAACAAGTATGTTCTCAATCTGTCTCATTAAATTCATGTTTTTTTTCCGAAAGCATATACCTTTGTGTCACATATTAAAAATCCTATTTCCAAATGTAAACAGAATGTACTCAGCATTGTTTTTGTTATAGATCTGGTCATTGCACTGTGTTAATTAATATTATCCATTACAGATTTTCGGTTATTAATTATTAGTCTTACACAGATTGGATGGTATATTTTGTTTTGATAATTAGTTTCTAACGCCTATAGTTACATACAATGTCTCATATAATTTGTATTTTTATTTTAAAAGGTATGATCAATTGGAATAAAAGAAACAAGAGTAAAAGCAAGATTTGTTGGCCCAACAAAATTAAATATTACTTGAGGGGAACGCGTGAGTCTCACTCGCGTCTCTCTCCTCTCTCCTCCTCTTCTTCTTCTGATCGCAATTCCGTGCACCGCGTGAAGGGATTCCTCAGGCGATTCCGGCGTTGATGAGGAATCCATGGTCCATGGCGCTTCATCCGTGGTCCGTTGCACCTTACCGGCGAGGTCACCAGATCGGAATCAAGGGAGTTCGTGGCGGGGAGAAGCTTCTGCGGGATGCTCCGGTATGAGCTCTACTGGATGTGTGGCTTTGCAGAGTGAAGAAGGAGGTTTTCAGCGTTTAAGGAGAAAGGTCGGCGGTTAGATCTAGGCGATTGAAGACGCAGGAGGTTTTGTCATGGCCGACTTATGACGGGGGAGGTCTACGCCGGTAAGGCAAAGCTATGCCACCGTCTTTGGTTGTCTTCTTCTTCTCCCTACTGTCTTACCTCTCTCTCGTCGGCGCTGTGATTTCTCGACGGTCAAGATCGGTTTCTTCTACCTTCTCTTCACAGCTCTACGGTGGCGGTTTGGTAATGGTCCTGTGTTGCCTTTTCCGTTCGACTCTCGTCTTCCTGGGCTCGCCGGTGGTCCTGTTCCGGTGAGTATCTGCAGTTTCGTGGGAAGACGGCTTAGATCGGGTTCTCCGATAGAAGTCTAGGGTTTTTGTGTTCCCCGGTCTAGATCGGTTCTGCTGGTTTAGATTTGGTTTGGTCCCGGGTCGATTTTGATTTGGTTTCTTGGTTTGGTTGGTGTAATTGGACTGGGCCCTAAGGGGAATTGTATGGGCCTAATCCGGAAATAGCCCATTGGGCATATGTTTTAAATATAATTGCAAACCCTTTATCAAAAAAAAAAAAAACAAATATGTTTATCCTTAAAAAATTAAAAAATTGATAAAAGGATAATGGGAGACACGATCAGTCGTAGGAGTTGCTTCCGGTGAGAATGTGACACACTCTATACGTACTTTGTCGCGTATTTGTTAAGTTAATATTTTTACTCTTCTCTAATTTAAAAAAGAAGGGAAATGAGTAAAAATACAGAGGCAAGGCAAACAATACGAGTCTTGTACGTATGTATTCTCTCTCTTTCTCTGCTTCCTAATAAGCAATCAATCGATCAATCAATCACAGAGTACAAACACCAGCCAAATTATAAGAGCGAGAGAGAGAAGAAGAAGCCCGAAACTTGTTCATTTGATTTGTCCAAGTTGTAAAATCGAGCACCTGCATTTGGGGATTTCCTCTTATCTGGAAACAAAGAGCCGTCCGCCACTAATGGTAAATATATATATATATATATATATATATATATGCTTTTGATCCTCAACCTTCTTCTTCTTCTTCTTTTTTGAGATTCTTTCTAATAGTCAGCAACCACATTCATTTTTGACTAGCTAGGAGACTTTATACTATGTGAAAGATTCTCTCTATACTCATCGATTTTGTTCTTGTGTGTGTCGGGATTTCAGACTTGTCTGATCAAATCCAACCGTGATGAATTCTCAGTGATTATTGGTAGAGTCTCAATTTTTTTGATTCTACCTACCTACTGTGTTGATTGATTGATTGATTGGATGAATGAATGAAGCATACAACATATATATAACAAGTTTTTTGTTTTGTTTATTGTTGCCAGATAAAGAAAACCATCCCTACTATATATTCTTGTTTTCTTATGTCTCTCTATCTATCGAGTTCCTCCAACCATATATATATATATATATATATATATGCTTTTATATGCAATCTTTTTAGTGAATTTCGGTGAAAGGAATCATTATTCTTGTTGTTTATTTTGTGTTTTCTAGGAATGAGAGTTTCCGTGAATCAGAAATCATCAATCATTCAGGAGGTGAAAGGAATCATTATTTGGTTGTTGTCAACTCATAATAATGGCAATGGCTGAGCCTGATCCGGATTCCTCTGTGGATCTCAAACACATTACCACCCCACTCTTTAGCATCCCTGGCTTCTTTTCTGACTCTTTTGATGCCGAAAGGTCCCCTACTTCTCCCCTTGACTTTGGTGGCCTCTTTAGCCCCAGGTCCTCTTCATTTGGCCTCCGCAACAAATGGCTTTCTGACAAAGTTGGCCTTTCTCTTCTGAGCTCCAGCCTCGATCTAGGCCACGAGGCTTCATTCAGAAGGGACTACATTGTGCTTTCCCCTCAGATCAAGGTCAATATTGTTAATACAACAACTTCCAATTAGCTTTCCTGTGATCTGTTGTCTGATCCTTGTCTTAAATCTAATTCCCAGCCTAAGAGCTACGTCGCTCCTTCATTGTCTGTTGCGGTAAACATTCAATCCGACCTCATTGTGGAGGAACCAAGGAGATCAAGCTCATCCCCTATGGATATCATCTCCACACAGGCTTACTCTCGCTCGCTGGCTCTCTCTGAGGACTATACCTGTATAATTTCTCATGGACCAAACCCAAAAACAACTCATATATTTGGCGACTGCATTCTGGATTGTGACCCCAAGGAAGATATTGAGATGCAGGAAGAAGGGGATGATGATTCAGTGCCTAGCACAGGAAAACCTCAAGATCATATTGACAGGTTCTTCTGGCTCAAACTTACAAAGCGGTGAGTGGTGTTCTGATTTAACCTTGAAATAACATCTCTGACATGTATTTCCGTTTCTGGCAGAATGAACAACAGGGCAGAAAAGGAAAATGAGAAGGCCGGTGTTGAAGATTCATCTCCACGATCAAGTTACAAGGAGGAGGAACTGTTTCCTATGGCAATGCCTCTCAACCAATAATGAGATGGTTGAAGTGGCCAGAGTGAGTGTTGTAAGGTTAGGTTTGGGGATGATTTTATTGTGTGCTCAATAAAAAGCTTGATTGGGGTGAGTTTTGTTGTGGCCTGATGCCCCGGCTCATCCATTTGCTTGCTTCTTGTGTGTTTTATTTTACATTGTACGATTGTTTTGTTGTTGTCTCTACTTATCCTCCTCATATGATGGACATGCCACTTGTATGGATCTACATTACTGACTAAAAATTTTTTTATACTATTTTGGGATACAAGAGTGAGAGACAATAACGGAAAGAAAAAAAAAAGATCGACCACAGTGGGAGTCGAACCCACGACCTTTTGATCCGAAGTCAAACGCGCTAATCCACTGCGCTATGCGGTCATTCTTGTCTTATATATCAATCAATAGCCCAAACTTCTTCTTCCTTCTTCCTTGTTTCTTCTTTCTTCTTTTCTGTTTCTGGTCGCTCGCTGCCACCAAGACTCTCTCTCTCCCCCTGTGCAATTGCAAAAGGGCTTTTGTTGCGTTACCGTCTCCGAGGAAGGAAGTTGGCTGTATCATTGAGAATTATCGATCTGGTGAATCTCTAGCTGTGCCGATTCAGCGGATCCGGTTTGATCTCCCTTTGGCGAATCTAGGCTTGCGTGATTCTTACTTAGGTGCGTTCTCCATTTGATCGTGTAATTGAGGGTGGAAATCGAAACTAGATCTGGTTTGTGTATTTCGGGATTATTACTTAGGATACTAGGGAATTTTGTTTTGTGCTATCATCTGCTGCAGCAATGTTCTATGGCACAGCTGTATGGGACCCTTGGCTTATCGTTGGCCAGATTATTTGCCTCCAGTGCTCTTACTATCTCACTCTTGGTCTCTTCACCATGGTCTTTCTTGGCCTTCGTGTTCCTCGCCTTAGTCTTGTCTACTTCTTCGATTACGCTACTCTCACTACTTCCACCTTCACTGGTTGGTGTGTCATTGCCTCTTTCCTCTTCTCTTCACTCGCTGGGTATTTTCCTTGCCTATCCTTTTATTCTTTGCTTTCTCTTTAGTATTACTTTCTTAGATTTCTTCCATTCATTAATTGGCAGGGCTGTCTACATGATATTTTTGGTGGAACGAGCACGCAAATGCTTAGATTTCTCTGCAACTCTCTACATCATTCATCTCTTCTTCTGCATCTTGTATGGCGGATGGCCTTCCTCTATGGCTTGGTGGGTTGTTAATGGAACCGGACTCGCTGTTATGGCTTTGCTCGCTGAGTACTTGTGCATTAAACGCGAACAGCGAGAGATTCCCATGGATCGGTTCCATTCAAGTAAGATGATCATTCTTTCTTTCATGACTCTGTGCACAGCATATACTTTCTCATGACACATGAAATTAAATTTGGCTGCTGCTGCAGGGGTTTGAAGATTGGTGTATGAACAAGTGATGAAGATTCTTGTATCAGGGCGGGCGACTCATAGAGCCTACTAGTACTCTTAACAATTGTGATGTACAGAGATGAAATCAGAGGAGTAGAATGGGCAAAAAGAACTTGAGCCAGCCAAGTAACCATGTTGAAGCACCAGCTCTGACTGACTGCAGTTTTGTAGTGACCTCAAAAATTAAGACATTGGAATACGTTTCAATTTGTTCTTCTGTATGAAAAAACCGTTAAGACTCGAATAGGTTATCGATTTCATGCTACTTCTTGCTTCTTTTTATATACTGGATCTCCTCTCCTCTACTCGGTGCAGCTTTGTGTGTTTTATAATCAGTGTCTCATTCATCATACTCTTTTACCACCAATTGAATCCTTAAAAAAATCCAATTTACTTGGTTCTTGGACTGTGTTTTAAAAAAAAGGGGGTCGAAATGTAACATCTCGTATACGGTATGGTCAAGTGAAAAAAAAACGCGTGATAAAACGACGTCGCGTTAGAAAGACAAGAGCCCAGATTCAGATCCAAATCGCCAACGCGCACTGGAAGTGGGATCAGCACCACTGCCCTTGTTCGACATCTCTGATCCTCCCTGCGATCGGGGGCCATCTCCGGCGATAATCCGATCTCCGGTTCAGGCATTCTTTTGGACTTGCAAAGATGGTGAGTGACATGATCTCTCAGTTTCTCCATAGATGTACCTCTGAATCCTCTTTCAAATTTTTAACTTGAAATCTCAATTCTGGGCTATTATTGTTTTGATTTCTCCTCTCTTGTGCACTAACCTAAAAGTGTTTGCTTCTTTTTTGTTTGACAGCCTCTGCGACTCGAAATCAAGGTAATGCAGTCTCCCTTGATGCTCGATTTAGACCTCTTTCATTCTAAATCATTCTTATTCGCCTCTGTGTTTTGATCAGCGTAAGTTTGCTCAAAGATCCGAAAGAGTCAAATCTGTAGATCTCCATCCAACAGAGCCATGGTAATTTGAGCGCATTCTTCATTGCTTTATTCTCTGCTTTACATCATTCTTACTTCATTTTTGTTAAGGAAACAACTACTACTAATCCATACATTGTTTCAGGATCCTGGCAAGTTTGTATTCCGGAACCGTGTGCATCTGGAATTACCAGACACAGGTTAGTATCATCTTACTGTCTATCTATTAGTTTTCCTGATTCTTCATTCCGATATTTTGTGTTCCTTCTCTATTATTGTTAACCCATATATGACTTACTTTGCAGACAATGGTAAAATCTTTCGATGTGACTGAATTGCCTGGTATGATATTCAGCATCTTGTTGTTCCTGGTCCTTCTTATGCTGCCTTTCGCACATCATTCTGTGGTCCTGCATTTCTTGAATCTGTCTTCTTGTTGTGCAGTTCGGTCAGCAAAGTTCATTGCTCGGAAGCAGTGGGTTGTAGCTGGAGCTGATGACATGTTTATTCGTGTCTACAACTACAACATAATGGATAAGATCAAAGTATTTGAGGCTCATGCTGATTACATTCGTTGTGTTGCTGTTCATCCCACCCTTCCCTATGTGTTATCATCATCTGATGATATGCTCATCAAGCTCTGGGACTGGGATAAGGGTTGGCTTTGCACTCAGATTTTCGAAGGCCATTCCCATTATGTTATGCAAGTGACTTTCAACCCAAAAGACACCAATACTTTTGCTAGTGCATCCCTTGACCGTACCATCAAAGTAAGAATACTCTTGCACTTTTAAGATACATGTTCTTCGGTCATTCCCATTATGAGAAGCTAAACATTTTCCCTGTATTTACATCTAATCTTACATAGATATGGAATCTTGGCTCTCCGGATCCAAATTTTACTTTGGATGCACATATGAAAGGGGTAAACTGTGTAGACTACTTTACTGGTGGGGATAAACCATACCTAATCACTGGTTCTGATGATCATACTGCTAAGGTCTGTACTGAGCTGTCTTGCTTCTTTGCAAGTTGTTTGCTACATATGTTTGCTTGTATGTATCTCCCTTTGTATTGTTTGTATATAGGTTCGTGCTGGGTTTTCTATTGTTCATAAATGTCTTCTGGAAACAGGTGTGGGATTACCAAACGAAGAGTTGCGTTCAGACACTTGAAGGCCATACACACAATGTTTCTGCAGTATCTTTTCATCCAGAGCTCCCAATAATTATTACAGGATCTGAGGATGGAACTGTTCGTATATGGCATGCCACCACTTACAGGTAACTCGTATGCTGTCTGTATTAAAGCTGCTATTGATTTGGTCTTTAAGAACTTCCTTCAGTTTTTCAAAAATCTTCATCCAACAATTTTCTTAATACTTGACATCTAGGCTTGAGAATACATTGAACTATGGCCTTGAGAGGGTTTGGGCTATTGGACACATTAAAGGTTCACGCCGGTAAGTTTCTGAACTTTTACTTACTATGGCAATATTTGGTCCCTGCTAAAGGTATATTTATCTTCACATAATAATTATTTCTTTGTGTAAATTTATGTTTCCTACATAATTTACGATATGGCAATACCTTGTCTTTTTACAGGGTTGTAATTGGTTATGACGAAGGATCCATAATGGTGAAACTTGGCCGTGAAATACCAGTGGCTAGTATGGATAACAGCGGAAAAATTATTTGGGCTAAACACAATGAGATACATACTGTAAACATCAAGAGTGTGGGCGCAGATGAGGTTTGGGGTTTAAATGATGAACACTTGTACATTGTTGCCTTTTTATTTGCAAATTAGCTCATGTTTGGCAATGTTTATCATTTGGTTTTGAGCCTACTTAGGTCACTGATGGTGAGAGACTGCCTTTGGCTGTTAAAGAGCTAGGGACCTGCGATCTTTATCCTCAAGTAAGTGGCATCCTTCTGATTGTATAGATTTTGGAAATATGGTTTCGTATCTCTGGATTGTCATTTCTACATTTGTTGATGATATATTGGATATGTAGTGCTAACGTTTTTCTTAAATCGTTGCTTCTAGTTATTTGTTTTTTGGGCAGTTTGATAGATTACTGGTATTAGTAAGAAATACGACCTTAATCATTTATTTATTTTGTGACTACCCACTGTCATTTATGTTTCTATTATTTAACCTTTTGCTTTCAGAGCTTGAAGCACAACCCTAATGGTAGGTTTGTGGTTGTTTGTGGAGATGGTGAGTACATCATCTACACTGCCTTGGCGTGGCGAAATAGGTCATTTGGCTCTGGGCTGGAATTTGTTTGGTCATCTGATGGGGAGCATGCTGTCAGGGAAAGCTCGACAAAGATCAAGATTTTCAGCAAGAATTTCCAGGTTTGTAATTCCTTCTGGCACATTCCTTTTTTCCGACTGATTAACTCTAGAGCTTTTGTTTTTTTTGTCTGATTCTGTTATCTGAAATACACTTCCCTATACTGACAGCGTAGTTTAATTTGCAGGAAAAGAAGACTGTGAGACCCACTTTCTCAGCAGAGCACATTTTTGGTGGGACGTTATTGGCCATGTGCTCAAGTGATTTTATCTGCTTCTATGATTGGGCGGAATGTAGGTTGATTAGGCGAATAGATGTTACTGTCAAAGTAAGTGCTTATATACCAGAAGTAGATCAATAAGTTTCTACAGGAGAATGGTTTATAGGTTACGGTTCCAGTAATATTTTTATTGGAGAAAAAAAAAAAGAGTTTCTTATCTGGAATTCAAACGCAAAAGCAGATTGATACTGCTGTTTTTTGAAATAAAATCTCTTATTCACGTCTAACTTTTTTGTTTATTGAATGTGTCAGAATCTTTATTGGGCGGACAGTGGTGATCTAGTTTCAATTGCCAGTGATTCGTCATTCTACATCCTTAAGTTCAATGTGAGGATCTTTCTTAAACCTTGGTAGTGAACCAGAACTCTAATAGATTTCCTTGTACTGTTGCTGTTCGATACATGGTTTTAAGCTGTTTTTCTTACTGTTCTGCTGTAGCGCGACATTGTTTCTTCTTATTTTGATGGCGGTAAACAAATTGATGAGGAAGGCATTGAAGACGCATTTGAGCTTCTCAATGAAACCAATGAACGTGTTCGGACTGGCTTATGGGTTGGGGATTGTTTTATCTATACCAACTCTTCTTGGAGGCTTAAATACTGTGTTGGTGGTGAGGTAAGGCTCATTTCTAGGTTATTGGAAAGAAACGTTTTTCTTAAAAAAAGTTTTTTGTTGGAAATGAGATTCAATACTCCTCTTACATTACAGGTAACGACAATGTATCATCTGGACCGTCCTATGTACTTGTTGGGTTATCTTGCTAATCAAAGCCGGGTTTATTTGATTGACAAAGAGTTCAAGTAAGCAGATGTTTTACTGTTATTATTGCTAACAATGTTTTGTAACTTACTGACTTCTGTGTCCACTTTATTGTTTACAGTGTTATTGGATACACTTTACTGTTAAGTTTGATTGAGTACAAGACTCTTGTGATGCGTGGAGATTTGGAACAGGCTAATGAAATCTTACCTTCAATTCCTAAGGAGCATCATAATAGGTATGAGAGTGTGTTTTCCCTCGCATTATGGTGAACATGTATCCAAGGTCACATAATGGTTTAAACTGTTTTCCTAAATTCACGCATTCCTAATTTTCTGATTCTCAACTCCAAAAACCTGCTCCTGTTGTCAGCGTGGCACACTTTTTGGAATCACGTGGTATGACAGAAGATGCTCTAGAAGTAGCTACTGACCCTGATTACAGATTTGAGTTGGCCGTACAGCTCGGTAGATTGGCGGTCGCAAAGGTTAGTCTGTAGTTTTTACCATTTGAGAAGCTTTATTTCTATGACTTACCAATATGTTGTTACTCAATTCTTATTTTGACAGGACATTGCTGTAGAGGCACAAAATGAGTCTAAATGGAAGCAACTTGGAGAATTAGCTATGTCCACTGGGAAGGTGACCATTTTTTTAGCTGCAATTAGTGTTCTAGGATTCTTACAAAGGTTAAAGCTAATATGTATTTTTCTTCTCATCTTCCTTCCCATGCTTGGACTACGTAGCTGGATATGGCTGAGGAATGCATGAGGCATGCTATGGATTTGAGTGGACTGTTGCTGCTTTATTCTTCATTGGGAGATGCAGATGGATTGATGAAGCTGGCAGCACTTGCCAAAGAGCAAGGAAAGAATAATGTCGCTTTTCTTTGCTTGTTCATGTTGGGTCAAGTAGAAGACTGCCTGCATCTGTTGGTGGAAAGGTGCATTGTTACTGTTTCTTACATTTGGAACATATATTCCCGCAACTAGTTACGTCTATTCTGATACTTATCTGGTTACAGTAATCGAATACCTGAAGCCGCTCTGATGGCACGATCGTACCTTCCAAGCAAGGTCTCCGAAATAGTGGCATTGTGGAGAAATGATTTGACCAAGGTTAGTGGTAGACACTTCCGATGCACCTTCTGATTGAATTTCAAACCTTGCCCGTTGAGATATCCACAGATTTTCTTGATCCTCTGTCAATGTGGATATAGATAAGTCCAAAGGCTGCCGAATCTCTGGCTGATCCCGAAGAGTATCCCAATCTCTTTGAGGAGTGGCAAGTCGCCCTGTCCCTTGAAAATAGAGCTGCAGAGACGAGGTATCTTTTAGACGTCGTTGCCATCATTAGCTTGTTATTAAAAACAGTGCTTATGAGGAAACCTTTTAATTTAATTGTGGGACTTAAGTAATTTAGAGTCATGTGTCTGCCTTAGATGGCGAGGTAGCCGTCATGTGTTTTGCTTATAATTTGAATTTATACCCCGTATAAACATAACTCCAAATGTTGATTTCATTTATTCAGAATCCTCATAAACAAAGTATTTGTGTTGACTTATCTTGCAGGGGCGTCCATCCTCCTGCTGGGGATTATTGTAGTCATGCAGACAGAGATCATACAACTTTGGTAGAAGCTTTTAGAATTATGCAAATAGAGGAAGAGGGGGGACTTGAGCACGGGGATGTTGTCGACGAGGTATGCAAAGTTTACATTACATGCCATTGAAGGGGATGGTCTTTTACCCATGATGTCCAATCTAATTGCTAGATTTCGAGGTCTTTTGGCCATAATCGACAATGATAGGATCAGTAATTTTACTGTCGCTGCTTCATATGTGATGGACTGCCTTTTTTGTGAACAGTTTGGGGAAGAGGGAGAGGAAGAGGAGGAGGAGGAGGAGGATCATCAGGAAGAGAGTAGTGATGGGAGGCAACAGAATGTGGAAGAAGAGGCCGTAGTGGTGGATGCTGACTCTACGGATGGTGCTGTGCTAGTTAATGGGAACGAGTCAGAAGAACAATGGGGTAAGATTAATGAAGGAACCGCATCAGTCTTATAGCATTTGTGGATATTCTAAGATGCAGCTGCACCAAAGCATCTTTCAGTAATTAGATTCTTAGGTCGTTTGGTTCCTTTGCCATCTAGACACATGAGTCATATATCATAGGGCTTTGTGTTTGCATCTGTCCATCAATGTTTCCTCATCTGTCTGTCTACCATCTCCTTTTCACTGATTATCTTATATTTTTGATGTTGAATGTTTTTAGTTAGTGCATCTCAAATCCATTTACTTTTTTATAATTCTGTGGATTGATAAAATCATTGTTTGTTGTACAGTTTTAACACCGCCACAGGAGTAGGGTTGGTGAGAAAACATACATATATATATTCTTGGCTTTGAAACTTGGATACATTCAACAGAGAAACAAGGCAGCACAGAGAGAGAGAGATTAGTTTCCATTGTTAAAAACTGATCTATTATCTGCTTCCGCTTTGTGCTTTTAATACAGATATTATAAAAAAAAAAGGAGGGGTTTTGGGACTCTTATGTAGCTTAAACTGATGAGAGATTTCACCTGTAGAATATGTGTTTCCAACTGAAATGATCCCATATGATAAATGTTTTTGACTTTCGATTCAAATCTGACTTTATTGAACCAAGCCTTGCGCGTGGGCTTCACGCGTCCCCTTTTCTCTCCCAAATCAAGCGACAAAAACAGCGACAACCCTAATTGAAATTCGTTTCTGTCTCTCCGGCAACGGTGTTGTTGCTGGTTGTCGGAGAGGACCTGTCTCTTCCCCCTCTCTCTCTATTTGTCACTTCCTCCGTCTTGCCATTGAAGCTCTTGTGGTGGCCAGTCCGAGGTTTGTTCTTCGTCTCTTGTTGGTGGTGAAGCGGCGAGTGTCCACGCACGATTAAGGACAGATTGCCTTGCTCTCCTGGTGTGTTCTGGAATTCGACGCTCAAGGACGGCGCCGAAACTGGGATTCACCTCCGGCGAGAATGGCTTCAGATCTATCCTCGTGCAGCTTCGGATCTCCGTTTCTGGTTGTGGCTTTGATGTGGCGATTGTAGCATGAGTGTGGCTCCTAACGGCGGGACCATCCTCCATAACTGAGAAACCGGTGGTGCATCGCCGTGCTTCTTTAGTTGTCGTCGTTCCTCTTGTGGTATTGGCTATTCAGCGAGCTTCGGTGAGGCGGACCTTCTCTTCTCGGTCTCTCTGACCTTAGTTTTCTCCAGCTCTGGTGGTGGTGTGTTTGGATCCGGCGGGTATTCTCTTTTGGAGGCAAGCCTCGAAGTCATTCTTGGCGTTTTGGTTTGTTCGTTGCGGTTAGATGCGTTGTGGGTTTTGTTGTTGGTTGTCAGCGTGTCTCCTCCATTGGTGGGCTGTAGAAGGTGGCAGGTTCTTCAGCCATGGTTATGGCTTCTCCATCTCCATTTGTCTTCGTCCCTGACGCAAGTCTCCGGTTGCTTTAAGGTGGAGTTTTGTTGGTTAAGGTGTTGTCGGTGTTGGTTCTTTTTGTATAAGTGAGCTTCTAGGTGCATTGACAAGGTTAGTCGAGTGTTGAATAGAGGCGGCGAATAGGTCTAAGTGGCGTCGCTAATTCGATGAGCTAGTGTACAAGTCCACGGTTGCCTATGCGTTTTTGCGTTAGTTCTCGGAGAAGCTGTAGGCTTCTATCACGAGGTTTTGAGGACGGATCTCGGATAGTTTAGCTCGTGGCAACTACGATGAGGATTCCAGTGCTTCGGTCCTGTGGCAACCACGCAAATGTCTGAGCCTCGCGAGCTCAGAATCGGTGTTTCTCCTCGCAGCTTGGTCTTGAACACTCGGAAGTGATCTGAAACAATTTGAGTAGTAATGTTGTATTTATTTTCTGTAGAATGCTTTAATCTGTTTCTTGTAATCCCTGTAATTCTGTCAAAAATCTAAAATGGTATAAAATTTAACCTTTTACCAAAAAAAAAAAAAAAAAATCTGAGCAGGTTAAAGTTGATAGCTTAGTGTGCAAAACTCAGTAACAGTTGATGGCGGTAGCAAAAACTTAATTAACATGTAGTTTCTTGCATTCTTGCAAAAACTTGGTTCGCATCTCCTATGAATGATGCTAAAGGAAATGTTCTTATTTTGTTGCTCAAAAAAAACATGGTCACTTTTGTCAGGAGGATTAATAGAAGAAAATAGTTGGGAGGAAAAAGTGTTAAGGTTGAGGTAATATGTATGTCCTCCATTAGTAATGATAAAAAAAAGTAGTAAATGAGTAGTAGCATTCAAGTTGGATAATTCCGAAAAAAGAAAGCGTCAATGTAGGTGATGCGTGCATCGGTGAGTTGTGAAAAGGCAGCGCTGCTCCATTCACATTTTGATAAGAAGACCCAACGGACGGAGTCTGACTACTACATAAACAAACAAACAAGTAACCCCCAAATCAAAAATCCTCTTTAGAAAGAGGGTTTTCTTTTTTTTTAATAATTATTATCTGCGGATCTCTCTCCTCGCGGACATCCCCCTGAGAGAGAGATTCTCCTCTCGCTTTATCATATTTCTCCTGGTATCGTCGTCGTCTCTTTGTTTCCGATTGATTTTTTTTTTTTGTATGTATCTCTTTTTCACTGCCTGATTGCTCTTTTCAATCTCTTCCTCTTCTAGGGTTTGGGTTGCTCTATTATGGCCCCTGATGTCGTTGAAGACCCCGACTACGAGAGTGATCCCGACGAATTGAATCGCTCCTTGGCTACACGGAGGAGAGAAGCCAGCGATGATGAGGACGACCATGATAGGCTTAATAAGGACGACCTTGATAAGCTGCCAGCCGATCAACACAGTGCTGCTGTTGTCGTCGACTCTGATAACATACAAGATGATGATGAGGATGATAGTTATGATGACGATGACGATGACGATGGACATGTTGATGACCATGTTGAATACATTGCGGATACTAATGACAAGACAAGTGCGGCCGGCAGCGAGGATGACTCTGCCCCTGCTCTTGTGGATGGAGAGGACCATAAGAAGAAGGAACCTTTCGCAGTGCCAACTGCTGGAGCTTTCTATATGCATGATAACAGATTTCAAGAAATTGATGCCGCCTCTAATAGGTACTTATCATGCAAATGTATCTATCTATGGAGGGACAGTATATTGATAGCTCAAGTTACCAAACGACTTTCCCTCATCATGTTGTTCAAATCGATTGGAACAACTGCTGTTGCTTTGTTAATCTTATGTTTACCTTTGATTGTGAATCCGCTATAGATGTCAGCACAAGATTCTCACAAGCTACATTCTGTTTAGTTAGTTACATGGTAATGCCAACTGATATAGCTTTTCATTTTGTTTCTGTAGGCGAATGCGTGGTGCTAGGAGGCTCTGGCAATCCAGAGATGAAAGAAAGTGGGGACATGACAAATACGAGGAAATGAATACACAGCAAAAGCAATTTGATGTACTTCTCTTGCGATGTTTATACATTTGCCACCTCTTTTCTTTTTTTTTTTTTCCTTTTAAAAGCTTATTGATAAAACTTGTAAACATAGAGGAGGACTTCGAGAGGCCGAGGCAGAGGTCGTGGTCAGGGTAGGGGTCAGGAGCGTGGACATTCTCGAGGGAACAATTCTAAAGAATTTACTGGCAATGGACACCAAAATCAGCTTCCTAAGGCTGTCACGAGAGGGAGGGGGCCCAGAAGATATGAGGTTGCATTGAGAAATGGGAATCAAGCACCTTCTGTGCAAACCAAACGGTGAGTCTTTAATTTTTGTTTCCTCTCTACTCAACACATGAAGGCTTTATCTCTCTAATTATTGTGCTCGTCTACTGAATCATTAGGTCCCAAAATTCGTCTGTGAAAGTGTCACACGTTAATTCAGGGCGTCCACCAACAGAAACAGCTAGCATGGAGACTGAAGCCATCCAAGCCAAAAAGAATGTATTAGCTTCAAGTTTAAATTCAGCTTCTCCTCCATTTTATCCTTCAGGATCCTCCAATAACTTGGCACAAAAGGATTTACAAGCTGGCATGGGTAGACTGCACATTAATGAAAACCCTACTCCGACTGGAAAGAAGTTTGGGAATACAAAATCCAGCTCTTTGTGGGTACCCACTGCTCAACCTTCTCAGACTACAAGTCATGGTAGAGGTGCACCTCCTCATGAGCTAGTGCTTTACCAGCAATCTCCTAATCAAGGTGACAAAGTTTCTCTGCCGATGCAAATCCGGGGAATGCCAAAAGGCACTGACCAAAGCTGTACTCAACTTCCTGGTCAGGCTTTTGATCAACATTCGGCTGTTTTCAGTTTGCTGCCTTCTTCTCCACCAAAAACCGGATCATCAAAAAACCAGTATCTTTCTGGTGAAATAGAGTCAGCCGCAGAAACAGGTGCTCTGGTTGCCAAGGGAAAAGGGTCACTCCAGCCTAGTGGAAGGGGATCTTTGATGTATGGAGGGACACAGTTTATGGGGCCTGCCGGGATGGCAGCTGGTCATGGCAATCCAAATTTCCCTGCTTTTCTGCCTGGTAAGTTGTTCTTGAATGTCACTGTTCATCCTACATTGTAATGGTTGAAAGACATCTTTCAGAATCTATTCATGCATGCTAGTGAAATTGAAAGCTAGTGATGCTGAGCCGCTTGGCCTGGTTGCCCATGTCTAGGGCTGCTGGAGATCTGCACCTTTCGTATGTACCTGTGCTAATATGAATGCCTGACTAGTTTCAACTTTTTTGTTTTCACTTTCATGTTCAGTTATGCAATTCGGTGGTCAGCATGGCGGGGTTCCCACCTTTGGAATGGCTCTTCCAGGATATGTCCAACCAGAACACGGTACCAGAAATCCTGAGATGACATGGTATGCATTCCTTCCTTTTTGTTGTGCCATATTTATGGATGTCATATTGAGTTTCCACAGTTTTACATAATTTAAAAGTTATATATTTGGTGCGCTCTTAGTTGACTTGCTTAACGTCTTTGTAATCTGAGAGGATTTTAAATGTAATTAGTCTTTTACTGGCCCAAACAGAACCAGAATTATTGCTTTCACTCGTCTGCTGTGTGTTGTTTTTTGTTTGTTTGATTTCCCTAGCTCCGAAGCTCTTTATCTATAGTAGGTCCTTATTACTGCTACAATTTTCTTATATTATTGACAGGCTGCCAATTTTGGCTGCCCCCGGAGCATTAGGGGGTTCATATTGTCCACCTTATGCTGCCCTTGATGGTTCTTACCAAGCACACAAACCAGGGTTACCTTCCTCTGCGGGATCCTCCAGGTTTATAAAAATAATTTTCTTCATTTCTTACTATTGTTAATCAACGTGTCATTTTCATCTGCATATGTGGTTACTCTTAGCTTTTTACCTTAGAGGAAGTGTAGTATGGGAATGCAGCTTTAACTAAAGTAACTGTGTGTGAGATTTTAGATATGTGGTTTCTCTGATTCTAGACCCACTGCAAAAGGCTTGTTTACCCGTTAGATTTACATATCTTAAGTGTTTGATTAGTAGCTTGCCGACTATGTACACCCAGAAACATGTAGCGTTCATTAAGCAGACTCATTTTCTTGGTTGGGCACTTATGTAACAATGTTAATCTTCTCTGATTATGAGCGTCTAATGAAGCATTTAATTTGAGCTCACTTACCCAATTACTTTACTTTTTTGCAGCTATGAGAACAGTTCCAATAATCCTAATGATGAAGAGCCCATGGATAGACCTGGTAAGTCGTTTCCTTACTATTATGGTCTGAGACCAGTGCTTTAACATTTGCTGTTTGCGGCAACTTGTTTAGTAGGGGAAGCATCTGTTGTAGTTGATCTTATGAGGAAATATGAAAGATTATTTACTCTGATGTGATTAGTAGCTAAAGAAATGAATAAGTTGGATATGGTTCCTCGAGCATTGTTTATCAAAGTAATAACTCTTGCCAGTCAAATGGGGTTGTTATCATGGATTCAGAAGATTTTATTGTGTTTTGGCGAATAAGAAATTTGAATGATTACACTGGGTGACTGATTGTTTTGGGGTTTATTGATGTAGAGGTTACAAACAATGGGAATTCGCAACGGTCAAATAGCAACCAAAACAAGCAGCCTCGTAGGTGAGTTTGAAGCTATATCTCGTATAATTTATCTTTCAGTTGATCTTACTTTTGACATGAAACCACCTTGAATTAGGGTGCATAAAAAGTATTACAGGAGTAGTATTAGGGTACCATTATGTATATATATATATCGTGAAAAAAGAAATGTTAAATAAGGACACACTAACCCTGCACATGTTGATGCAGATACTCGGAGATGAGCTTTAGCAAGTGAGTAAAGAAGAGTGCAAAGGAAGGTCCTGATAGTTTGAATAAGTGGAGTGAAAGGAGGGTGAGAGAGAAGCTCCTTAGCAGCAGCAGGCCCCTGGTGCCTCTCCAAGCTGCTTTAAGGAGCAGTTTGGGCTGCTATTATTGCCTATTTTTATTAGGTACGCAATTTCTCAAGAACCAAATAAAAAAGAGAATAAGAATATGAAAGGTTTTGTTTATCCCAATTGGTTTTGAACTTGTGTGTGTTGTTTTGTTTTCAGGAGGTTGTTGTGCAATTAAAAAAGAGTTGTTTTTTTGTTCTTGAGCTTGAGCTTGAGCTTGAGCTTGAGCTGTGGGCTTCCTTCATCTGTAATTTTTATTCTTTTGTCCTTTTGGGTTGCTCTTTTTTTTTTTTTTGGAGAATTGTAATGTTGATATGTGCTATTTTGTTTTTGTCTTTCAACTTGTTTATCAAAGGTATTGTGCCCTATGTGAAGTCCCACACTTGACTACAATTGCCCAATTTGAGGGTTTTGATGATAGTTAGTTTCTCCTTGGGGGCTGGCTACTAAGAGAAAAAGATATGGTGGTCAGTCAAAGTCAGCCGATTCCTCTATGATGATGTGATGACAGTAGTAACTAGTAATTGATTGATTGTTACCATATAAATATATGTAAAAATACAAACTAAAATCTAAGAGATGGCTCTCTCTGATCTGCTTATGTATTTATGCGACAAAGAGACCGTTTAGCAAATATAATTACGCAAAAGTGTTTTGAGAAACTAGAAGGGAAACGAATGTTGTTGAGATTTTAGAGAAATCTAGATGATGGACGGCCATAGCGTTTTCTCACAGTCGGACCACTCCCTCTCTCCCAACCCTAATCATCTCTGCATCTCGGTTGGTTCCTCTCCTTCCTTTCTGTTACTGTCCTCCTTTGATTTCAAGAAATCAATTTGGGTTCCCGATTTCAATTGCCCTTTTTTTTGAATTTGGTCTTCAGATGGAAGATGGGTCTCAGAGCAGCGAGCAGCTGGTTGTTGTTGATGATGATGATGATGACCTTCCTCCAATCGACGACACCCCTGATCTCGATATTGACCTTGAAGATGATGATGACCACGACTCTTGTCACGGCTTGCCTCATCATATTAATCACCAAGACGAAGCAGAAGAAGAAACTCGATGCGACGACTCTTTTGCTGCTAATGAAAAGTGTTTCATGGCTCCCCCTGCTCCTGGAATGGAATTCGACTCCTACGATGATGCTTACAGTTTCTACAACTCGTACGCCCGTGCTCTCGGTTTTGCTATCCGCGTCAAATCTTCTTGGACTAAGCGCAACAGCAAGGAGAAACGTGGTGCTGTCTTGTGTTGCAACTGCCAAGGTTTCAAGTTGCTTAAGGATGCTTCCTCCCGCAGGAAGGAGACCCGAACCGGTTGCCAGGCCATGATTCGCCTTCGTCTTATCCCATTCGATAGATGGAAAGTTGATCAAGTCTACCTCGACCACAACCACTCCTTTGATCCTGACCGAGCCCACAATTCCAAGTCTCACAAGAAATCCTCCTCTGCTGCAACTAAGACAATACCACAACCACCTCTCCATGTCCAAGTCCGGACTATCAAATTGTATCGACCCCTTTCCCCACCCACCGATCCCACCCATGATCACGTCCAATCTTCTAGGCGTTTGGACCTCAGCGGAGGTTTTAGGGCCTTGCAGGATTTCTTCTTCCAAATTCAGCTTACCAGCCCCAACTTTCTTTACCTCATGGATCTTCGCGATGACGGCAGTCTCAGGAATGTCTTCTGGATTGACGCTCGAGCTAGGGCTGCATACTCTCACTTTGGCGACCTTCTTCTTTTCGACACCACATGTTTATCAAACGCATACGAGCTTCCCCTTGTCGCATTTGTTGGAATTAACCACCATGGAGACACAATCTTGCTCGGCTGCGGTTTGGTTGCTGACCAGAGCTTTGAGACCTATGTATGGCTCTTCAGAGCGTGGCTAACCTGCATGTTAGGCCGTCCCCCCCAGACCTTCATCACAGAACAGTGCAAGGCAATGCGGACTGCAGTCTCTGAAGTTTTTCCAAGGGCTCATCATCGCCTTAGCTTGACTCACGTCTTGCACAACATCTTTCAGAGCGTTGTCCAACTACAAGATTCTGACTTGTTCCGTATCGCACTGAACAGAGTAGTCTACGGTTGTCTCAAGGTCGAAGAATTTGAGATAGCTTGGGAAGAGATGATCATTCGGTTTGGGCTGACAAATAACGAGACCATCCAGCACATGTTTCAAGATCGAGAACTGTGGGCTCCAGTTTACCTCAAGGATACATTTTTGGCCGGGGCGCTGACTTTTCCACTGGGAAATGTGGCAGCCCCGTTCATCTTCAGTGGCTATGTTCATGAGAACACATCCCTTAGAGAATTCCTTGAAGGGTACGAAGCTTTTCTGGATCAAAAGTACACAAGAGAAGCCTTGTGCGATTCAGAGTCCTTAAAGTCAATCCCTGAGCTCAAAACAACGCACCCCTACGAGTCTCAGATGGCAAAGGTCTTCACGATGGAGATATTTAGAAGGTTCCAAGACGAGGTCTCGGCAATGTCTTCATGTTTTGGAGTAACGCAAGTCCACTCAAACGGGTCGGCCTCCTCGTACGTGGTGAAAGAGAGGGAGGGAGAGAAAGTGAGAGACTTTGAGGTCATCTACGAGACAAGTGCAGCAGCACAAGTACGTTGCTTCTGTGTCTGTGGTGGTTTCAGCTTCAATGGGTACCAATGCAGACACGTGCTCCTACTACTCAGCCACAACGGCTTGCAGGAAGTCCCGCCTCAGTATATACTGCAACGGTGGCGGAAGGACGTGAAACGTCTTTATGTGGCGGAATTTGGGTCAGGTCGTGTGGACATAATGAATCCGGATCAATGGTATGAGCATTTGCACAGAAGAGCGATGCAGGTTGTTGAACAAGGGATGAGATCGAAAGAGCATTGCAGAGCTGCCTGGGAAGCGTTTCAAGAGTGTGCCAATAAGGTCCAATTTGTGACAGAGAAGCCTTCTTAGATACTTACTTACCACTGTCTTTGTACGAGATGATTAGAATCTGTAATCATATTATACAGGTTCTACCAGTAATTAGGATGGATTAGAGCAAATCTTGTACTGTAATCCCAGTGATCAAATTGTGGTTATTTTACAGGTTCCTGAATTTATGACATTTTCAAAACTTCTTGTACATATGAAATTATTTTCGTCCTCTAGGTTTTGCTTTTACAATTGGGCTTTTTCGATTTTGTGGGCATACATATATGAAACTGAGCATCTTCTTGTGTAGCCCAGTGGGCAGTATAAAAGTCAGCCCAAAACGTAACTACGAAATTCAAGTATCTTACCCACTCGCACAATGAGCGCGTCGACGCCACCTCCACAAAATCTGTGGACTAAAACCTGCTAAAATTGCTGTTTTTGGTAAAATTAAAAGTTTGGGCGCGTGAGGAAAAAACCAACCGGCTTTGACTAAATTATGTACGTTTATACTTTAATTATAATTAGATTATATATGTTTAAACCTTAATAATAATAGATTATGATTAAATATATGTTGATTATGGTGGGCGAACAAAACTAAAAAGCAACATGCAAACAGATTCCCAGCTGCCCAGAAACAACAAAAGAGAAACTTATGAATAGTTCACTACAAATTCTGACCTAGAAGAGATATTGAGAGACAGAAAGTAAAATAATTTCTACGATGCCGCATTGTAACATCAAATCATCATATCAGCATCAATCACAACATACATAAACAACCCCCAAAGAGAGACATATGGTAAAAAAAAAAGCATAAGCAAGCACAAGGCTAAAAATCCAGATTAGCCTACAGTGACCAAAGCAAAATATGGTAAAGCTCAAACTAAATCTAAGGACAAGGAATGATAACAAGGACACCTCAAGACTCCCTCTTCAGGTTGTTTTCTGAGGTGGAACTGGAGGAGCTGTGCTTGAACCAGTCCTTTGCGCAGAAGAGAGCTTCCAAGGTCACATGTCGAAGGGAGCTCCTGTAATTATCCATCTTTTTCACCTCCGTGTCAAAAACAGAATCTGGAGAGACAGTGCAAAAGGGTAGTGACAAAACATCAGCCGCCATCTTGGTGAGGGTTGGGTATTTGGTTCGGTTCAGGTTCCACCAGCCTAGAACCTCAAAATCCTGTGATCGAGGTATTAGAGATTCCTCCAGGTATTGGTCGAGTTCTGATTTCATCTGTTGGTGACTGCCTACCTCGGAGATGTAAAGCTCAAAGTCTGAGAACCCATCTCCAATGGTGATGAGGGGAAACTCCTGTGAAGATGCTTCAAGGTGGTGGCCTTCCTGGAGAAGGACGTCAACGTGGTGACCTTCTTGAGAGATTGTAAATGTGGCTTCTTCTTGTGGCATTGCATGTGACTGAGAATCATGTTGTGCCTCTTCTTCCTGTGGCATTGCATGTGATTGAGGATGTTGGTCTGAGGCTATACCCTCATCTGCTTGCTGCTCTTCTTGTACAGCTTTACCTTCACGAGAATATTCTTCGCTGAGAATACCATCAGCGTTTTGAGGGATTTGGCTGTGTTCGGGAATTTGATCCACTGGCTGAGCCTCATGTGCCACTTCCTCAACTGGCTGAGTCTCATGTCCTGCTTCCTCAACTGGCTGAATATCAACATGGTTTTCCTCCAACAGTTCTGCCTCCTGAGCCACTTCCTCAACTGGTTGAGTGTCCTCCAGCAATTCCGCCTCCGGCTGTATCTCATGTCCTACTTCCTCAACAGAATGAATGTCATCCTGCTTCTCCACCTGTTGTGCCTCCTGATCCACTTCCTCAACTGGTTGAGTGTCCTCAAGCATTTTCTCGACCGGCTGTATGTCATGGGTTATATCCGTATCATCCACTTGCTGATTTTCCAGCGGTATTTCCTCAATGGGATGGCTCTGTGGTGGAATATCCTCCACTGGCCGGCTCACCTGTGATGTTTCTTCCTGCACCACTTCTTCAACAGGTTGAGTGTCTTCAACGATTTCCTCCATTGGTTGTGTCTCCGGTACATTTCCTTCCCCCGACTGGCCGTCTTGGTTCATATCTGTATCCTCCACTAGCTGACTCTCCTGTGGTATCTCTTCCACTGGCTGGCTCTGAAGGGTTACGTCCTCAGAAGGCTGGCTCTCACATGGAATTTCCTCAGCCAGCTGGGTCTCATGGGCCATCTCCTCAGCTGACTGGTTCGCGTGTGTTTCCTCCATTGCCTGGTTCTCATGGGATGTCTCATCTGTTAGCCGGCTCTCCTGTGCCGGAGTTAGCTCCTGATTGGATTGCAGATTTTCTTCTGTCAGAAGAGACTCTTGTGTCAATCCCTCCATTGGTTTGCTCTCTTCCATGATATGGTTCTCCTGTGTACCGGCATCACCCAACTGGCCTTCTTGTTCTACTCCCTGTGTGGTATTGCCTTCCACCGATACTGTCCCCGTTTGCTGACCTTCTCCAGAGAGTCCCTCCAAAGGTTTTTCATTCAGTGGATTTCCATCTTCAGGCTGTTCAAATATTTGATCATGTGAAAGCCCATTTGAGTTGTGGTATTCATGATGGAAGTGAACTTGAGACATATCTGTTTCAGAAAAGCCATCATTCCCGTGGCCTACATAAGCATCCAGCAGGGAGTGACTCTGTTCAGCATAGTCATTGTACAGCTCATGTACAGCATCATCAACACTCCTGATCCATTTATCTGCATCTTCCCCATAAGCCTTAGAGAAACTAAACTCAATAAGCTTCATTTTGAAGCGCGGATCCATCACCACAGCAACTGCCAAAAGCAGGAAACATTCTCTCCAGTACTCGTCAAACTTCTCTTTCAGTGGGTTCGCCAGGTTTCTGACATCTGGATCTTCACTCATGGCTGAGTGGCTTAGCTCTAGCTGAAGCTTTGTCATTTCATGGTACAAATCGTTTGCTGTCAATCGAGTTGAGCCAGTCAAAACATTGGCCGCGTCAAAAAGAATCTTCAAGCACGAGCAAAGGATCTCAATCTTTCTCCATTCTTCAGGAGATGTTGACATTTTATAATCAAGATCGCAGTTTCCCAAACAAGAAAAGACCTCTTTGTGTTCACAGGCAGCCAATAACATGTTGTAACTTGTGTCCCATTTCGTCTGGTTGTCAATGAGAAGATCTTTGGTAGAAGGGGTTTGAAGTTGTCCCTTCAGTTCATCAAACCTCTCTTCGCAACTATCTTTGGTTTTCACATACTTCACGCTATCACGGACTTTTTTGATGGGTGTTTTAAAATCCTCAGCTCCAAGGAGATCTTGCGCCATACTGCTTAGGAGGCGAGCATAGCAATTACCCAACAACAACTGACCATTCAATACATTCTGGTTCCTGGCAGACAAACAGCATCTGAGGTTTTCAATAGAGGTTTTATTTACTAGTGACTGCCCAACAGTGAGGCTGGAAAGCCTTCTCTCCAGATTCCAGTCGGATAAACAAGCTGCAATAGGCTGGTTTAGAGCAAAATCTGAATCAGGAGAAGGAACAACAGCAACATTTAGAAGCCTGTGAGTTAGATTCCAGTCCCTATCGATGAAGTGACCAGTCAGAAACGCATAACCCACTGATTGATTAGAGGTCCAGAGATCAACGGTAAGGTTAACTCGGCCAGGAATCTCACTGATGAAGTTTGAAAGTTTGTGCTTCTCGGACAAGTACATATTGACACAATCAGCATGAATGGTATTGAAGCTTGCCATAGTGAACTGGGGACGAAGGGCCTGCACGAAACCAGTAAATCCAGAATGCTCGACCATGTGAAGGGGATAATCATGCATGATAATCATCTTTGCCATCTGATTGTAGCAACGATCTTGATCTAGAGGGATGTAGGAAGCAGAAGACCTCTGGCGTTTCTTGGGAGGAGCAGTGCTGGGATCTTTGGAGCCAAGGATCTGTGCGTGGGTGCTGGTGTCTCGGCTCATAGGACAAATACCCAACTGAATGTGACGCTTAAGATGGCTAGTTCCTGCCAACTTTTGGCCAGTAATGTAGGCGAAAGATTTGCGGCAGTGCTTGCAGCAAGCTTTGGTAGATCCAGGGCTAGAAGTTTCAATGGTGAAGTGCTCCCAGACCATAGACTTCTTCCTCCTGCGCTTGGTGGGAAGAGTGCCAGGATCAGGGAGCAAGCCATCGTCAGTGTCGGCATTAGGCAGATCCTCAGTGGGCCTAGTGGGAGTGAACAAAGTCAAGGAAGGGGTATGGTCGGCATCGGTATGGGATTGGTCATCAATCTCAAAAGAGCCATTGTTATCAATGAGCATCAAGGAATTATTATCCATAATAATATCCTTGGTAGAAAGAAAAGTCCTGCACTGCACCAGACAAGAAAAATGGAATCAGCATCTCTTCTGATATACATACTTGCTAGAATTCTATCAGAAGAAGAAGAAGAATTGGAGACAATTTGGACACAACAGAACAACAAACAACAGAGAGCGAGTGTCTGATAGAATTCAACAGCAGAGAAGATCATCGATGATCAAATCATCGTAAATAAGCTACAGATAAAGAGAGTAAATAGAAGAAAGAAAGGGCTTAAGAAGAGATCTGTTTAATACCGATCTCAGTAGGAGCAGAGTCGAATTTGAGGAGATAGAGATCTAGAACCACTGGAAAAGCACAGTAAAATCGAGTTAGATCTGAGATGGAGCACTGCTTGAGAGAGAGAGAGAGATTAGAGGACTCACAGATTGTAGCGGCGGGAACGATAAGCGCGAATCGAGGCGAAATAGCGAAACTTTGAAAAAACAAAAAAGAGAGAGAGAGAGAGAGAGGAAGGAGAAGAGACGAGGCTAATGGGCTTTGAGATGATGAGCTGAGTTCGGCTCTGCGCTCTTTCTTTCTTTCTTTTTGATCGAAACCCTAAAAACAAAACAAAAAATATAGATTCTCGAGAGAGAGCAAACTCTTCTGTCTTTTGTTTGGACCTTTAGTATTACGGCTAGGGTTTTGAGCTTTTTTTCTTTTCGGCCTTTTATCGAGGTTAAGAGGGCAAATTTGGTATTTACCTTTTAGATTTGGATCTCAAGAGATCTATGGATCTCCCGTCTTCTTCTTTTTTTCCTTTTTACTCGTCTGTCACAAGATTGTCACATACTCTCTCCCCCAACGTCTTCTGTGTTTTTTTTTCCTTTTTGCTCGTCTGTCACATAGTAATATGTAAAATTATCTAATATTACCTTACCAGAAGAAAATTAAATAAGGAAATCCAATGCAAACACACACACACAACAAGAAAAAGGGAGTGAAAATTTGTTAGAAATGTTACGGTTTCGAAAAAGCATGTGCTCTCAGATAGCATATCCTGCGTCTGCTGGATCTTAATTGAGTTTCGTCTAATTGGTTTAGCTAAAAAACTAGTACGTAAAAATAACTCGAGAGGTTTTGTAATTTCATGTCACAAGTATACAAAAATAAACATTCTTGGAGACTTTGATCATCACATGTTCCATCAACATATGTGGCTTCCGCAACCATTTCCTCCAACAAACACCAATCAAATAAGTTGGAGCGGTTTAGTAAGATACACTTCTCTGACCTTTTTATTTCTTACCAAAACCAACTCGAAAAAACCGATTGCATCTCTACTATTAAATGGAGTAGGGGCAGGTTGAGCAGAACCGCCCTCTTTTCACAATATGTGCACCAAATTGAAACTGAACACACAAAAAAAAAATGTATTGTTTTCGCAAAACACCCTTAACAAATGAAACAATGAAATTTTCCACATTGGTACCATAAATGCAGCGGATAAAAGCTTTAATGCATGTCCAGTTAGTTGAAGATGGATCTCTAGAGGTTATCTCTCAGCCATTTCAGAGCTCCATTTGCCACAGACCTACAAATAAATAGCACAACTGTGTTTGAGAAGAAGACAGTATGTGCTTCTGATTTAAGTACACAACAAGAGCTTGACGATTCACTATATGACTTCAAAAGAATAGAAATCAAGGGTATAATCCTTTTTATTGAATTACCCTGCAAAATCTTTGATGTTTTTCCACAAGTCGTTTTCTTGCTCCGCTTCTTCATTTTCCTCCTTAAATTCATCTGTCTTGTTTTCTGAGCTACTGGGTAAACTGCTCAGAGCTGAAAAATCAAAGGCGACATACGCATGACGGGATTCATCAATGTATACGTGTATCAAATAGTCTCACATTGATGCAGATGCACAGAAAATTACAACAGGTTCCATTAATATTGGCATGAAAACAAAGAGTCCTCTGCATTAGAGATTTTCCAGAGATCTGACAACTTACAACTGGGTTGCTGAGGCTTAGCACGAGTTCGTGACCGGTTGCTGGACGTGTCCTTCAGAGATGCAAGTTCCTCCAGCAACTCCCGTTCTCCAGCACTGTCCGTAGGATGCAGAAAATTAATTGAAAGAAGGCATCCACAGACTCACAAAACTCTGTTTGGTTTAGTTAAAATTGGCCACAAGACAAGTTTAGACGGTAATACCTTATTTGATTTGGTATAGAAACTCTGACTGTAAACAAGTGGTCACCGCGGATAGATGGTCTATTCAGTTTTGGTACTCCTTTCTTTGCCAGGACCAGCACATCACCAGGTTGTGTACCTGGAGGTATCTGCAGTTCAGTGTCTCCTTCAACTGTTTTCACCTACAAAGATGTTTTAAGATTAATCATGAGATGAATGGTCCATTCTGAGAATATCTACATGTAAGTAGAGTGTACTTCTAATATATCTGATGCAAAGAACTAAATCACCTTAACAACCGCACCCAGTATAGCATCAAGGTAACTGATCGAAAGGGTAGATAAAAGGTTTATGCCATCTCTTTGAATTCCCCGGACATCTTCAACATCAAGATATACGTACAAATCTCCTGGAGGGCCACTAATGGAAGCAGAAATCCAATTACCAAAAATCATAACCATTAAGATTCCTATAACAGAAAGAATGGTTTTCTACTGGTAATTTATCAATCGGTAATGTTATCAACATACCCTCTGGGACCAGAATCACCTTCTCCGGCAACTCTAAGGATGCTACCTGCACTAACTCCCGGGGGAATTTTGACTTTGATGCTTTTTTTTATACGCACACGTCCTTCTCCAGAGCATTTCCGGCAATTTTCAGAAATTACCTCACCATCTCCACCACAGTTTGGACATATAGAAACCTAAGATGAAAGAGACCACACACATAGGAAACAATTGATAAGTTCAGCTACAGGGATGTATTGTTACCAGCAAAAACAAACGTTCACAATCAATAGAAACTACAAACTGGATTTAACCAAATTCCGACCGAATTCTCACTTCTGCATTTACTACTAACCACGAAACAGATTATTTTGACCAAACTGTACATTAACATCAATTCTGATGCTGCAATCAGAAGCCATTTCTGACATCAGACCCGAATTAACTGCAACAGAGATAAAGCAGACAGGAAGAGAAAATCAACTGCAAGGACCTGTGAAAACATGCCAAATGGTGTTTGCTCAGTTCTCATAACTTGCCCCCGCCCACCACAAGTGGAGCATATTCGCATCTTGGATCCTGCTTTTGCCCCAGTGCCAGCACAAGCTTCGCATGTCTCCAGATGCGTAAGATCAAATTCTTTCTCAGATCCAAAAATAGCCTCTGACAGTTCTAAGGTGACATCATACCTAAACCGCAATAGAAGCAAATATGAAATTTAATTCACTATTGGTGTTTTCAAAGCTTATGCAGGATATGAAGAGCAAGGAAAAACTCCAAAAGAAAAAGCAAGCGAGTGGACATACAGACACAACCCTCCTCTGTTTACTGATTCAAGCCCATGGTAGTAGAAAATTTCAGGACACAGGGTAAGTTAGGAGACACTAACAATATTTTTAATCATTAAATAGTATCTTATCAGCAAACAGTGAATGCTGTGCTAGCAGAGAATAAGGAAGAAATCCTTGGGCGGCTAGTCAATAAATGCATTGTTTTCTAATAAAAACTCACCGTAAATCTTCACCTTTGGTAACCCTACTGCGGCGGGTTCTCCCAAAATCAGCTTGGTCCACCCCGGGAAATCCACCCATACTCGCACCAAAGAATGTCTCGAAAAGGTCAAAGGGATTTGTCTGCATGGAAATGTAAGAGAAAGTAAACGCCAAGGTCAACTATGGCACAAGTACAGGAACTGATGGCCAATGCACATCTCAAATCAGGTTTCAACTGCTAATCCATCAGTAAGGAGAAGAAACGCACAAATTTGTGGGTCATGCGAATGATTAAGCATAGAGAGAAATAGATAATGTGTTACCGTGTAAGTACCAGAAGCTCCTCCTACAGTACTCTTGACTCCGGCTTCACCATATTGATCATATAATGCTCTCTTTTGCTCATCTGATAGAACCTGACAGTGTTGTAGTTCAGTAACCACAAGGCTTTAAAATAGCTGAGAACTCATGTTACACGATTACATATCCCAACATTATTGTAGCAGCAAATGTTAAAAGTAAGGCCTTGTGGACAAGTAACAAGTAAGAAGAAAAGCAAACCCAAAATATAGTGATAGGGCAGGAAAAGATGGCATGAAGAGAATCGAACTGGGGACCTTAGCTTGTGGTGCATACCTCATAGGCAGCACTGATTTCCTTGAACTTGTCAGTTGCGCCAGGTTCCTTGTTCACATCGGGATGATACTAGATTTCATAAAATCAGTTGAGAAGTTCCATGTGAGTAAGATACCTCATTATATCTTCACCACGATCATTCATTATATAGCTCAATAAGCTAGAAATATAGTTGAAAACTAAAGCGCAGCTGAATGATCAGGTTTCCACATTACAATAAGCGAGAAATTCACAAAGCAGAAAAACGAATAACGAGAAAGAGAAAGGACACCTGACGAGCGAGGCGTCGATACGCGGCTTTAATCTCCTTGTTATTGGCAGATTTAGGGACACCGAGAGTAGCATAGTAGTCTCCGGAAGCAGCAAACACGACGAGGGAACGGCACGGTCGATTTCGATAAGGCGAAGAAGAAGATGAAAGGGATAGGAAGCTCTTGTGATACCTGAGATTGGTACCGCCGTCGGAAAAGGCAGAGAAATTAGAAGAGAGAAAACGTGGACCATCGGCGGCGGCAGCGGCAGGGAAGCAGAGAGAAGAGGGGATGAGGGAGGGAGAAGCGAGGGCAGCCATTAGAGACGAAATTGATGACAAAAACGAGCTTCTCTCAAGCTACCAAGAGGAAAAGGAGAAGCTTGGCAACGGACATTGTTGAGATAATGATGATTCCAGTCAGTTCTCGCTTCTTCTCCGAATTCTCCAAAAGCTTTTTTAGGCTAAAGAGAGTGAAACTCGAGATTTGTGGTGCGAACCTCGCTCACGTGGATTTTTCTTTCTTTCCTTATTTTCTTTTTTTTTAATTTATCTCTCTTCCAAATCACTCTTTCTGCAATATCCCCCAAATCACGTTTGCGTCTTTCTTACCGGTAAAAATTACTCTCATCATATTATAACGGTTGATCCGATTGGAAACAATGTTCACTTATACAGTCCTATGTACCAAAACACATCCTTGATTTCCCAATTAATGCGCCTGATCACCACAGACAAACAGCAGCAAACCAAATAAAAAAAAAAAAGGAAAGGAAACAGATGTTTGTTTGTCCTGACTACACAGTAATACGACGCAAAAGCACTTTTGTTTTGTAGTTTGATCTCTCTCTCTCTCTCCCTCTACTTTCGTTTATTGCCTTCTCCTGCAAGTGTCCTTGTTTCTTGGAGAGCCTTAGAAGACGTCCGGATTGAATCTTCCTGGCATGGAGTTGCCATGTTCCACTTGCTGCAGCTGCATTCTCAACGCGTAGTTGTTCACCTGCATTTTTTCTAACTTTTTTCATTCTCTCTTTCTTTTCTGATGCATCATCAAATTATAACAACATTTGCTTTTACGTCACCCTGTCAGATTAAATTTTAAAACAACCAACACCACAACATTCAAGGCAATAGCAAGAGATACTTAGAACCTCTCTAATGGTTTAAGGGGCTTACCTCCAGAGTTCTTAGCTTTTCCTGGTACTGAGGAATCAGTTGCTTCAAAAGTTCTAGCTGCTGGTTCGCATCTTCGAATGCCTTCTGCCGCTCATGCTGGATAGCAACACCACGTTTTAGGACTGTGTTGTCCTTCACCAAGGCCTCCACCTGTTGCTGCACTGCCACATTCTCCTGTAAATCAGAAGAGGGTGTTATTTTGATACAAGAGATGCCAAAATTCCTAAGAATTATCTACTCTATGATAACTTTATTTCCTCCAATTGAAAAAAAAAACTCTTAATTTCATAGATATCATAGTTTTGACAGAACAAATGGAGGATGATTGTCCTTTCACAGTTGATTATGACATAATTGTGTTTAGAGCCAACAGACTTGTAATGAATGACGACATATGAACCTACATAAGAAGTAACTAATGGTGCAACCTATGTCCTAAAGCAACCCTGAACTAGAAATTGTCTTCCATGCCCAGAGCTCAAAGAACAAATATGATGATCACTATTCATGGTCTGATACCCAGTATATAAGCACAAAAGAAGGTGCAAATGTAAGGATATATATTTTGAATGGAAGACATTAAAAAGAAGGAATGCTTTACCTCTTGGAATTTTTTTCCAGCTTCTTCACGAGCACGTGCACTTAACATCTTCTCTAAGGCCTCAAGGACTCTTGCTGCACGTACTTTTGCATCATCTGCACCAGAAGATTGTAACACTTCCCTTACTAACAATTCAATCCAGTCATCACCACTGGTCGGGGGATTTCCACCAGAAACGGTATCAGTTTCCTGATTAGCACCTCCTGCGGAGGATTCTTCAGCTTCTTTCTCCTCAGCGGCTGCCATGGAGTATAAGCTCTTCATAGCAGCATTCAAATCACTTCCATTTTCTTCTAGTGCCTTGACAAGAACCTGAGAAAGACACCCAAATCTAGATAAAATTTCTCAGCTACAAGAAAACCAAGCTACTGTACAGGTCAAAATTTACTTGAAACCAATCTCACATAAAGAACCTGTGCAACCGAGACATGGAAATTCGATGAGCGAAAACTCAATTAACAGGCGGTGAAGAAGAAGAGAGATATCGACATGCGTAATTCGAGTCCAAAAAATGCCTAGTCAGAGAGATTTCTAGTACGAACAAGGTAAAGCTAGATCTGTATGGATTGAATAGAACAAGGCCTACCGTGAGTTCAAGATGAGGAAACGAAGTGCGAAGCTGATCGAGCGATGAGGAAGGAGAGGGAGAGGACCAGATTGGAGAATTGGAAGGCGAAAAACATCGGAACCTCTTAGAAGAGGGCGGAGAAGGAATATCGTCGAAGTAAGATCTCTTGGTTCCGCAATACACGGCAGACATGGCTGGCTGAGAAAACCGCAAAGAAAGAATTGACAGCTGATTCGATCCAAACGCGATGAATAAAATAGGGTTTGGGAGAAGAAGAAGACTCTTGAAGGGGACAAATAAAATCTCCGACGATCGAGAGAGATTGAGGAAGGAGCGTAAGAGAGGAGAAGAGGTTTCGTATCTAAAAATCTAATCGGGTTTTAGGTTTTCGATGGGTTTCCTTTTTCTTTATCTAAAGGTCAGGCCAGGGAAGTCCTCATTTACCCTTTTTTATATACAAAAACTTTAAGCGGCAGGGGCTTTCTCGTACTTTTTTATTTACATGGGCGCGTGCGTTGCGCGTGAAACGTTTTTTTTCTTTTTTCAAAATATTGTTTATCTATTTAATTCCTTTTTTGCCCCTTGGTTAAGTTACGATCGATGAAAATTATTCCATGTTACGAATTTTTCAACTTTCACTTAATTTCAGATCCCTAGAGAAGCACTCTAAAAAATAAACCTTACTTTGACGTGTTATTAACTAAACTGCCACGCTGACGTGTCGCTTTCAGAGTGATTTTCCACCCATTTAAATTATTACCCAAATTTTACTAGACTATTTACAGATTTTGTCATTAGTCTTAATATATATATATATATATATATCACACAAATAAAAAAACGAAATTATAACTAAAAAGCAAATAATTAGACAACTAATCTTCATATCTATATTTAATAAGAAATCACGAGAGCTTTGTTTATTTATATTAATGATTTATTTTTTAATAATTAAAAAACATACACTTTTTGTTTATCTTATATTAATAAATCTTTATATTTATATTTTTCTTTATATTCAAAAATATAGATCATCTTCGTCAATACTTTTTTTTATCACGTTGAAGCTTTATTCCAGGTTTAAATATTTCACGGGTGAAACGTATTCTTATACGAATAAGTCCCAAATTTGAATTAAAAAAAAAAATTATTACATGTTTCGTTTTACACAAAGGGATCTTGGATTTCAGATAATAACTAGATGAATCCCCGCACTACGTGCGGGTTTGTGTTTTACTATTTTAAAATTATTTTATATAATGTCGATTTATATAAAGTATAGTTAAATGCATCATTTTTGAAACGTAAATATAACTTGTAATTGTTTTTAAAAAGTCCAGCTATATTAGTGCATATGAAAAGCCAATTACTGACCTTGAGTTCTTTTTTGTTGTTGTTCAAGAGTTTGAGTTCTTTGATTCAATTTTTATTTCTTTCTTTTTTTTGGTTTTGTTTTTTGTCATATGCTTAGATTGTGAGAGGATGAAATTTTCGATTTTATTTTTTTTACACAAAATATATTATATGACATAGTCTTTATTAAAACTAAGCATATTCAATTTGATGTTCTTGGATAGTTTAGTTAAGTTATTGTCACAATCTAATATTAGTAATAAAGATAGCGCCTGAAACATTTTTCAAATTACTTGTTCTCTTAGCTTAGTTATACTTAATTAATCTGCATATTCATGGAGTATTTTTTTGCATAAAAATCGTCTTTTTACCTCATTTGTTATTATGCTTACCAATCAAGTTACCGACCGATCATTATATTGGTAATAAATTTTCTTCTTCTAAACAGAGCACCATAATGTTCATAACGATCAATTAGTTAGTTAGGACAAATTACAAAAAAAAAAAAAAAATACAACTACTTAGTAGGAAAATAATGTTACCAATTCAACAAAATATAAAACAGACTTTCAAGATGCATGGGTGAATGTAACCTCATCATCTGACCCACTTTCCTGAGTAGTATGCATGTGAATCCACCTTTTCTTAACGAAGCAAATTCTCTCATCGGGAGAATCAGGAACTTAAACGTTATGGTCCTCATATAGCTATTGAGTTTTCCGTACTTTGTTTGAAGTAGTAATCCTCAGTAAATTTTTGAAGCCAAATATAGCAAAACTACAATATCATGCCGTATAGGTCTTCAAAACTACTCAAGCAACAACAAAGTATATTGAGCAAAATCAGATTCATCACCAAAATCAAATTGTTCCAGGTTCTTTCTTGTTAGATGTACAATAATCAGAGAAAACGTGTGCTTGCATAATCAAGGAAATAGCCTAAGATGATTATTTACTGTCTGGCCACAGTAAATCAAACTGTGTTTCTTTCTTACCTGAGCGCCGATAATAAGAAGGATGAGTTTCTCTCCTTTATCGTCAGAGTAAGATCCATCTACCATCTTCTTGTTTACATGAATTGCTTTCCTCTGGTCTGTTGCTAATCAGTTATTGCCTTAACCAAGTTCGGGATCCACGCTACACCATTCGGAAGAGCCTAAGACAAAAGAGTAGGTAGGTAACTTTTAACAGTCTCTCTTCACGTATAATCAAATCAAAGATTCGAAAACCCAAACCTTTTCGTCCTTATCGTTCTTGCTGCATCTTCCACTGTTCTCTGCATAGACTACCGTGATTCCAGATTCCTACAAGCCAGTAGAAGAATGAAACTGATTCTTGCTACAATGAACCAAACATACATTGGAAAAACAGTTTTCTTAGACTGATATATGTATATAAGTCTACCTCAAACTCTTGTTTTCACATCTTTGAACCAGCACATATAGTTTTGAGGTGAGAATTTGATCTCTTGGAGGAAAAAATTTCGTAGGAAAGTTCATCGGGAGGGAAAAATTGAGCAGTCAGAACAAGCAAGGTTTTGCACTATATATCTTTTCCAAAGGTTTGGGTGATTGCTTTAACAACTTGCTTATCTATCTCATCGACTTTTTACACATCCAAACGATCAACAGAGAGCAAGACATCTACGGTTCTGTTCACAAGAAACCTGCCCAAAATCCGAGGAACATAACAACTATCGTACACACACACACACACACACACACACAATTATACAACTTCAGCATAAACCGAATACTCATAATTAACAATTTCATAAAAACCCACAAGTAAACAGTTTAACCACATATTTACTTAGCTTAATTAATAACAAAACGAAGGAGCCTATATGCAAGAAGAAGATATAATCACATCAATGAAGAGCTTGTCAAACAAAATGTCATCCAAGCCAATAAATGAAGGGAGATTCCAAAAGAGTAGCTACTGATCCTTTGATTAAATCGAGGTCTTGGTGATTGACATATCCAGCTTCCACAAGTCCATGAGTGTCAATAATGTTGATAGTGAACCCTCCCATTGTTCTTGAAACCATCACTGGTCTCAACCCTTCAGCCTACAAAATCCCAAGAAAGCATCGTTATTGTGCAAATGACTACGAGAACGAAGCTTGAGGGAAACTAAATTACGTACCTGGAAAGGACTGACACGGACGACTTGTTTCCCGATAAGAGAATTTAGAGTGGATGATGTTGACACCGCATTTGCCCAGAACAAGAACTGCCATTGAGTTCATATTCTGCAATTACAAAAACCCATTATCTCCTAATCACTACGGAGAATCCGAGAAACCGACTTAAGCACCAAAGAAACAGGACCAACAACAACAACAAAAAAAAAAAACCTTTTGCTTTTCCTGGGTAGCCACTGGAAATTGTTGAAACCCAACACATTCACGAACGAGAGACCCCATCACTCCAAAACCCTTCAACAAAATTTATGAGTTTTCTTATGGTATATATCGCTAAACACCTACCTAGCCACAGGTTGAATAATCGAGATTCAAAAATTAAACAATAAGTCCAATGAGCTCTTCCTCTTCTTCGTTAGACAATGAAAGCCATAAAAACTAAGATTGAAAAGCGAAAAACTTCTGAAATCATGCCGAAGAAGCCATGTGCTCTGCCCCTGGTTGATGTCCAAGATATAATGGATCATAATGAATTCTAGAAACTTGGTTTTGAGGATCATATTGGGAGCTTGTTGCTCGGCCGAAAATTTACGAGAATAATTTTGTCATGTGATCTTCCTTACAAATTCTTAGTCACTCAATAAACTCTCCTCAGCATCGCTTTACATATATCATCCGTTTTGAGGAATTATATGGTTGCCGAACAGATGATAACCAACACGCAAATTAACAGTGAAAAAGTAAGTCAATGGATTGGGTGAAGTAGGAGTCTAACCTGGGAAAAAAGAGTGTTTTTCAACATTATTGTAGTATTCTAAATGGTGAGTCTCCTTACAAATTAGGGTTATCGCCCTAGTTTATCTGAGGTAATCCATAATTTGGACGATTTTTTTAGGAGAAACGTTTTAGATGCTTTGAAAACGAATATGTGATGTTACACCTGAACTTGAGGTATGCGAATTAATTTATTCAAGGCATATGAATCAGCATTGACTACCACAACAAAATTACGGAGAAGACGAAGAGGCTGATGAAGCAACCGAAGGAATGGAAGATGTTTCGACCAATCTAATCCTGGACACGTGGCATCGATTGGTGTGCTGACGTGTCACATAGCTGTAGAGAGTTCACCTCCTTTCATATATATGATTTTAATCATAATAATTTTACTTAAATCACTTTATCCCGCACATAGTGCGGGCTGTTATCTAGTGAGATGTTAAAACAACAAACTTTGAACTTCATATTAGATTGTAACTAGCATGAATCATTCCACATGGAGCCGAGACTATATTACAATATAATCAATCCTTCGTTACAAAATCGATTAAACCGATTCTGTTATTTGTCATAGTCGTTGATATTACATTGACGACCGAATAGAAAAACGCTTGCTTATAAGGTTAATTCATCAAACTGGCTTGGCTCCACCAGAACGTACAATGGCTTTCCCTTCAGCTTACATTGCCCCTGCATATCACGGCGAAAACGAGTTATTTTATCTTCAATATATGGGCCTATAAGAAGACCCCATTAAAGCCCAAAATATTATTGGTTCGAACTTAATTAAAAGACGAAACGCTTTAATTAAAAGAGTACTTCTACCTTAAACTTAGGCAAACCAACAACGCATGCACACTCTACAACTTCGGCCCCGGCGCGCTCTAAAGTGCATATAGACTCATTAGTCTAATACTCGATACACTAAACCTTTTCAAAAGGCGTATTATATAAATCATCTTGTTTAGCATTAGTATTCCATTTTCTAATAAAAGTAGAAAGATATTATTTACCCAAGAGGCTAATGGAAGCAGAGAGTGTCCCACCAGTGGCAACTAAATCGTCGATGACGAGAGCTCTTTCGTCGGATTTGACAGCCTCCACACTCATCTCTAGACGATCTCTTCCATACTCAAGCTCGTACTCTTCGCTTATCACTTTCCCTTTGTTAACACCACAACCAATTATCACACTACTTCTCTTTTTATATAATAAACACCAACGACACGTACGTTTTTTTGTCTGAGATTTTATCTGTATGTATATATATAAGTAATCGTACCGGGTAGTTTTCCCGGTTTGCGCAGTGGAATGAACTTGGCACCTATGGCTAACGCGATGGGAGATCCAAATATGAATCCTCTCGCCTCTACTCCTGCATACATCAATTTATGTTTTAGCATTTCTTATTCACTTCTAACTAAATTCCTAAAAGAGTCACTAGAAGACAAAAAACTAGAGGCAGACTAATTAACGACAATAATAATTAAAGATATAAAGGGATAAGTAATTAGACACCAACCACACTAGACAAACTAGTATGTGAGTGTAAAATCATTAATCCATTAAAGTTGCCTATTATTGTTTATTCAATCTTTTCATCAAATTGGGTGATATGATTATTACGCCTCGGATTCTATCATAAAGGAATTTGAGACTATTCTGTCGTATTACAATTTAATAATATACATGTGTGTGTTGCCTTTCAAGCTGAATTCATAATTTGCTGGTCTTGTTGGTGTGTGTCTTTGGCAAAAACTAAATAGCGACTTAAAACAAAAAAAAAAGCAGACGGTTTAAAGAAAGGAAAGTGAAAGGAACCGGCGACGAGAGAGATGTTCATGTGCTTGTAACGATCAACGAAGATATCAACGACATGTTTGAAGGCAACTGGATCCAGCAACAAAGTTGTTATGTCCTGAAACATGATCCCTGCAACACAAACACAGTACTCTTAAGTCGTCGTTTAGTTAATTTGTAAGCGAAAAGAAAAGCAAAAGGTAAAGAAAGAAAGAATTAAAGCAAGAAGCAAAAATGGACCAGTCTTGGGGAAGTGAGGAATGACACGAATGGCGTCGGAGATGGCCTTTAATCTTGGGTCTCCCTGCAACCCATTCTCCACGGCAAACATCTCTCACTCACTCACTCGTGCGTGTGCTTGTGTTTGTGTTTGTGTGTGTCCAAGAAGAAGAGAGAAAGGGTTGGCTGTATTTATAATAGCACTTATTTTGATCATTCTTCTTTTCTATCTATCTCTCTCTCTCATTTCCTTCACCCACTCATCGTACGTCTCCATCCGAAGTTATTTTTTAATACAGTACATCTTTTAAAAAATTGAAATATATAACAACAATCAAATTAAAGCTCACACCGTAACGACCGCTTCATTCATAGTGGCTGAATTTACTATGTAAATTAAGAACCAATGTTCAAATATCTCGAGAAATAGTATAATTTTCAGCTCCTGATCAAACCTTATCATAGAAGAAAAATCTCCCTCCAAACAATATTAATTTCAAATGGTTTAATTAAAACTTTACATATATATTAAAAAAAAATGGTGTAAATGTTAAGAATAAATAATTATAATGGAGTGTATGCATTATGTATCCAGAAGGATTTAAATTTACCAAAAAAAAGAAGGTAAAAGAAGAGGGAGGGGCCTGATGAAGAGATAAAATAAAAACGTACGAGTGCCTATTTCGACTGTTTAAGCGCACGCCTGCTCACTTTCCCCCACTTCTCTTCTTCTTCTTCTTCTTTTTTTGTTTGATTTTCTAATCATTCATTACTTTACTTTTATTATATAAGGAATAACACCCAATTTCAATGCCCCCACATTCCATGTTATGTATGGACTCCATTCACCTATGCCGTTTTTCATCACAAGTAGAAGATTTGGTTGGATTTAGATTTCGTGTAGAAGATAGATATTCCTTTTGTCGTTTTAAGCTCTACACTACTACTTTTTACTCTATCGTTCGAGATAAGAGATTACACCACCAATTCTATTTACAACCACTCGTTTGTTTAATTTTCCCCCTTAATTTCCATTACACTGACCTATGATTATCGTTTCAGAGAAGATAAGCAAAAGGAAATGTTTTAGAAAGCTTGAATTTTGAAGAAGAGAAGTTGATACAAGAAATAAATCATATAAACAAAAAAGACCCCCATAACTGGACTAGCTTTTTGGATTCAAAGAAATATAGCTGAAAACACATGAAGAGGCAAAATGAAAATCAATCAGACGAGACTATTATCCTTTCCAGTCCACTAGTCGGATCTGAACCAAATATATATATATGCTTTTCATGATTTCATCTACATACACTATGACTCTATCAATTAGACTCTTTTATCTTTTCTTAATAAAACGACAACACAGCACTCAAAACTCAATTATTATGGTCTTTCAAATCCAACTTCAATACAAAAAAGAACACAACAAATACAATCGTAAGTGGCCGAGTTGCATCTATTCCTGGATAGTAGGATTTCTTCACTGTAAACATCTAATTGGTCAGTTTATTTCTTAAGATCTTGAAAGATTATTAAACGAAATCAAAGTACATAAACGGGAAAATAAGAAAGGCAAAAGTGGCTGTAAGAGATGATCAAGTTTGAAAACGAAACACAAAGGAATGTGTACCTCACAAATATCTTTCGTGCAGTTAATTTCCAAAGAGACAGAGAAGGACACCAAATCTTGGGAGGACAATCACTACCCAAGATCTCCTCTGCCTCTCTTTCTTTTACTTCCAATAATTCTATATATATATAAGAGAGGGACTTGACCATGTGACTCTGTGCTCTCCTCTTAACAGTGACATCAACTCTAATCAAAATGGGAATCAAAGATCCCACTTCTTTGCGTTTTTACTGTTGGCAGATAGTGTAAGTCACTGTATGCACTATGCTCTCACCTTTTGATGTTACATTTCAGTGCATGCAGCAGGACAATGGGACTATTACACATCCAATATTAGATTAGACCCATATGCAGAGAGATCCATCAGTCATACCAATTTCTTTAGAAAGTAGAATCCTGACCTGTAACAACCTCAGTGGCTGTGCCTAGCGGATTACTTTACTTTATTGAGTGGTATACTCTTCGTGGATCACACAATGCAGAATAGATCGAGAATGAAAGTCTTTAAGCCTGTCTATATATTGACACTCACTGTCTACTTCTGCACTTGCTTCCACTTTTTCTGCATTTCTTCACTTTACCAGCCAAGAAAGCAAATACAAAGAAACAAAGAACAAGAGACAAAAACTGTATTCTTAAGACAAGAACAAACCTTTACACTCGGCCAAGAATTAATCCGATCATTAAGAGTCAAATTTCTCTGAGTGTTTTATAAGATTACAAAGACAAATCTCTAAGAGTGGATTCTTCACTTTCTCAAGATGTAGAAGGAAACTATATTCTCAAGCTCCTAACAACCTGTGAAAGTATTGACCAACTTAGATATAATATTAATTCAATGAGATACTGGTTCAGTGGTGGAACAAATTTGAAAACTAAAAATACGAGGAAGGCTTCAATCGTGCCTTCTAAGAAGAATCAAATAAAAACATTAAATCAGATGTGAACCATATGGCACCCTATGAATCCAGATTGTCAACAAGTTAACTTCATACAAATAAACATGAAATTATGACAACGATAGACAGTTTTTTATATAAAACGGAGGCAAAAGAAGATGAGCATTCTAGTGGCGGGGCGGGTCATTTGTAGATTCTCAGGTGGAACATTGGTTTGACCAGCAAAATGGTGAGGCCAATTATTGGGCTCAGTAGGTTGGTATGGATTTAACCATTTTCAGCCTGTGCAAGGTTTACCTTGCCATCTTACTTCTGAATTATTCATAATCCATGCTCAATTTATTATTGTCTTATTACAAATGAGATGATCTTACTACTGTGTTCTAGGCTGAAAATGTGCGAATAATAATGCACCTTCTTTCTGCTTTCATAGTGCATGAAGACAAATCATAGATATGAAATTTGTAAAACTATGGATCTTTTGAATCAATCCTAGACAACAAATTCATAAACCAATAATCATTGAAAGAAAGGAGGAAATTAAAAAGGGGACATAGGAAGAGGTTGTGACTTACGGTATTACATCTTGGGTCTGCCACCGAAATGCTTTAAAGAAAATCTGGAAGGACCACTGCGTCTTTCGGGTCCTTTTCTGGACACTCCCCAACGTCCAGCATACGGCAACCATCCTTTAATTAAGTTAACTAGTCTGAATTCTGCTGCTGGTAACTCGTCTTGTGCTCCTGGATAACACTTGTCAGCTACATAATCCACACCGTTCTGGTTTTGGTTTTGTAGTTGGATTTCGTTGACGTTGGATTCCACTTCCAACCTACCATAGGAGGCTTCTTTAGCAGATCATCGAAATGCAGAGACGATATAGGCAGATTGTTACAACGTACTTACTCGAGATAGCGCTTGCAACTCGGGCTCTTGGATCTTTTGTTCATAGGAGAGTGGTCTATCGACAAATGCCTAACGAAATGTAACTGAAATAGAGTGAAAGGGATGTTAAAAATTTCAAAGGAAAGAAACTGCGTGCATAGGATTCTTATATAGAAGTGAGAAGGAGTTATACGAACTTGGTCCCCATCATTGAGACCGAGATAACGGATGCTAGTCTTGTCATAGACTAATCTCTGGTCTCGATAACACAAGCAAAAATGACCCCAGACGTGGGACCTGTTGGAAAAGATCAAAGTGAAAGAGTGTACCAGATGTAGCTTAAGCAGTGAGAATTTCATATGCACTGACCATGAAATCATGCCGTGAGCTTCCAGAGGAGAAATGGTGAATACTTGTTCCACAGCTCTTTTGAGCTCTGCCACAGAGCAATCCTTTGCGACTTCCACATCTGTTGAATCGTTGGAAACCATTTAACTTGTAGAGAAGCCATATCACAAGTATCCGAAACACTAGTCGATACTTATTTTGGAAACATGATATGGCAAGATTGTGCTGAATGGAGCCAACATTATGTCTATTAAGGCTCTTAAACAATGATTTCAACAATAGATTCCGGATTAGAGCTCGATTAGGGTATCACCAACTGAGGTGAATTCCGAGACGATTTTTGTAAAGAAAATCACATATAGAAGAAACTAAACTCTTAAAATTGGAATTTCGGAAAGCAAAATCGTACCGAAAAGGGAACCGTTGAGCTTAACGACGGAAAGCTTGATACGACCCTGAGGAGGAAGTTTCAGGTAGGAAGATCTCCGTCCAGAAATCGAACCACCGTCGTTTAAAGCAAACGATGACAAAAAGCGTGGCTCTATCAACGACCTCAGTCCTCCACTTCGACGACCGTCCCTACCCGGACTATGCTCCTCTCGCATTGCCGATTCTCCCAGATTTTCACTGACAAGCTTCTCTGCTCTCTTTGCTCTTCTTCAGGTGTTGAGGGAGCTGAGCGAGCCAGAGAATCGGGAGAGTTTGTTTTCCGGGGAAAAACGCAATTTACTCTAGTTTCTATAATTTATAGCTCCTCAATAAATGACCAAAAAGAAAATCACATTAAAAGTTTGTCAATGGGCATCACGGCCCAACAATAATAATTAAAGGCCCATTAATGACGAGTTTATCGGTCTACTAAGCCGGTTTTGGATAACCGCCTAAGCTTCTGTTCGACACCGCCTGTTTTTTTTTACTCACTCCTCATATCTGCTGATAATATAAGGCCGAACGAGAACAAAAAAAAAAGGAACAAGTGACTCACCCGAAAATGTTTTAGGGTTTTTCTTTACTCGATTAAGCTCACTAGTTTGTCGCAACGTAGATAGAGATCGACACTGGCGCGGTGGATTTAGGGTTTTTGTCCTCCGCGACTACGCTCGGCGTTTCGATTTCGAACCCTAAGCTATGTGGAACAACAACGATGGTATGCCCTTAGCTCCTCCTGGTACCGGCGGCTCCATGATGCCGCCACCGCCCGCTGCTCATCCTTCTTATACGGCTCTTCCGCCGCCTTCTACTCCTACTCCGCCGGTCGAGCCTACTCCTGAGGAGGCGGAGGCCAAGCTTGAGGAGAAGGCCCGAAAATGGATGCAGCTAAATTCCAAGCGGTACGGCGACAAGAGGAAGTTTGGATTCGTCGAAACTCAGAAGGAGGACATGCCACCTGAGCACGTCAGGAAGATCATCAGGCGAGTTTTCTCCTCTTCTTTCTCTTAGATTTATCGAATTCCAGTTAACTGGAATATTATTTTCTGGCCCGATTTCTATGATTTGCTTAGGATTTTTACTTGTATTGAGACTAAAGCTGCGATTTCTTTCTTTCTTCAGGGATCATGGTGATATGTCATCCAAGAAATTCCGTCATGACAAACGTGTATACCTTGGAGCCCTTAAATTCGTTCCTCACGCAGTTTTCAAGCTCTTGGAGAATATGCCTATGCCCTGGGAACAGGTTCATTATTTGAGCTTAAGTAGTTTCTGCTTTAGCTTCAGCTGTTTTCGTAGTCTGTTCATTTATCTAAATCCCCATTTTCTTACAGGTCCGAGACGTGAAGGTTTTGTACCACATCACCGGAGCTATTACATTTGTGAACGAGATACCATGGGTTGTGGAACCTATTTACATGGCTCAGGTGGGTGATTAGTTTGTCTCTCTTTTCTTGTCTCTGTTTGTCGATGGATTTTCAATAGATGTTTTTGAGTGTATTCCTTTCTGGTTTTGCAGTGGGGTACTATGTGGATTATGATGCGAAGGGAGAAGAGGGATCGTCGTCATTTCAAGAGAATGCGGTTTCCACCATTTGATGATGAGGAGCCTCCACTAGACTATGCAGACAACTTGCTGGACGTGGATCCTCTGGAGCCAATTCAATTGGAGCTAGATGAGGAAGAAGATTCTGCTGTATACACTTGGTTTTACGACCACAAGCCACTCGTTAAAACAAAACTGATTAATGGTCCCAGTTACCGGAGGTGGAATCTCTCACTTCCAATTATGGCAACTCTTCACAGGCTTGCAGGCCAGTTGCTGTCTGATTTGATTGATCGGAACTACTTCTACTTGTTTGACATGCCATCTTTCTTCACAGCAAAGGCTCTGAACATGTGCATACCTGGTATTTCCTTCTATGCTCCAGTTCTTATACTTTCGCTGCAGGTCCATTTCTTTTGTTCTTTTCTAATTCATTTTGGTACTCTTTTCCAGGTGGACCTAAGTTTGAACCTTTGTACCGCGATATGGAGAAAGGGGATGAGGACTGGAATGAGTTTAATGACATCAACAAGCTTATCATTCGTTCCCCTCTGCGAACCGAGTACAGAATAGCTTTTCCCCATCTCTACAATAACCGGCCCAGGAAAGTAAAACTCTGTGTGTATCACAGTCCTATGGTTATGTATATAAAGACCGAGGATCCTGATCTTCCTGCATTTTATTATGATCCGTTAATTCACCCAATAAGCAACACTAACAAGGAAAAGCGTGAAAGGAAGGTTTATGATGATGATGATGAGGATGACTTCGCCTTACCAGAAGGAGTGGAACCTTTGCTAAAAGAAACCCAACTCTACACTGACACTACAGCTGCTGGCATATCATTGTTGTTTGCCCCACGACCTTTCAATATGAGGTCTGGGAGGACTCGCCGGGCAGAAGATATTCCCTTGGTGTCAGAGTGGTTCAAGGAGCACTGGTAAGCTATATGTTTTTATTCTACTTTGATCCTCTTTCCCTTTTTAAATTAGCAAGTGTCCTAATACATTTTGTGAACTCATTAACTGCAGTCCTCCTGCCTATCCGGTTAAAGTTCGGGTCAGTTACCAAAAGTTATTGAAATGCTACGTCCTGAATGAGTTGCACCATAGACCACCTAAAGCTCAGAAGAAGAAGCATTTGTTTCGATCTCTTGCAGCTACCAAGTTTTTCCAAAGTACCGAACTGGATTGGGTTGAAGTGGGTCTGCAAGTCTGTCGGCAGGGATATAATATGCTGAATCTGTTGATTCATAGGAAGAATTTAAACTACCTGCATCTTGACTACAACTTCAACCTCAAGCCTGTGAAAACTTTGACCACCAAAGAGCGAAAGAAGTCACGTTTTGGGAACGCTTTCCATCTCTGCCGTGAGATCCTGCGGCTGACAAAACTTGTAGTTGATGCAAATGTCCAATTCCGACTTGGTAATGTTGATGCCTTCCAATTGGCTGACGGTCTGCAATATATTTTCTCTCATGTTGGCCAGTTGACGGGTATGTATCGTTATAAATACAGACTGATGAGGCAGATTAGGATGTGCAAGGATTTAAAGCACTTGATATATTATCGTTTCAATACTGGTCCTGTGGGTAAGGGTCCAGGGTGTGGATTTTGGGCTCCAATGTGGAGGGTATGGTTGTTTTTCCTTCGGGGAATAGTTCCTCTTCTTGAGCGATGGTTAGGGAATCTTCTTGCACGTCAATTTGAGGGGCGTCATTCAAAAGGAGTGGCCAAAACAGTCACAAAGCAGAGAGTTGAAAGCCATTTTGATTTGGAGCTTCGAGCTGCTGTCATGCATGACGTCCTTGATGCTATGCCAGGTTTCCATTCTTACAAACTTTTTTTCCTTGTGTTTATCAATGATGAAATTGCTTTACTTTATTCTTTGGTTAACATTTTCTGCTAATGTGCAGAGGGTATCAAGCAAAATAAAGCGCGGACTATATTGCAGCACCTTAGTGAGGCATGGCGATGCTGGAAAGCTAATATCCCATGGAAGGTCCCTGGGTTACCTGTGCCAGTTGAGAATATGATCCTCCGTTATGTCAAGTCTAAGGCAGATTGGTGGACGAATGTTGCTCACTACAATCGTGAACGTATCCGAAGAGGGGCTACTGTTGATAAGACCGTTTGTAGAAAGAATCTCGGAAGGTTGACTCGTCTTTGGCTAAAGGCAGAACAGGTCTGTTCATTGTCTTAATGACTTTATCATTTTTGCTTGAACAACATTTTATGAAATGGCGTTATATATTGATGCATTATCTTTGTAAAACTGTTACAGGAACGACAGCACAATTACCTGAAAGATGGTCCGTATGTCACTCCGGAAGAAGCACTTGCAATTTATACAACTACTGTTCATTGGCTGGAGTCAAGGAAGTTTTCTCCAATTCCATTTCCTCCATTGTCATACAAACATGACACAAAGTTGCTCATCCTTGCCCTTGAGAGACTGAAGGAATCGTATAGTGTAGCTGTGAGGTTGAACCAGCAGCAGCGAGAAGAGCTTGGTCTAATTGAACAAGCTTATGACAATCCTCATGAAGCTCTATCACGAATAAAACGTCATCTTCTCACGCAACGTGGCTTTAAAGAGGTAACTTGATATTTCACTCTATATTGGAGCAATGGATTGACATAGGTCTTCAAGGTTACCGCAGTAAAGTGATGGTGTATACGTTTTTTTTTGCAGGTTGGCATAGAGTTTATGGATCTATATAGCTACTTGATTCCAGTTTATGAAATAGAGCCTCTAGAGAAAATTACCGATGCATATCTTGATCAATACTTGTGGTACGAAGGTGACAAGCGCCACTTGTTTCCAAACTGGATTAAACCAGCAGACTCAGAGCCGCCCCCACTTCTGGTTTACAAGTGGTGTCAAGGTATCAACAATTTGCAAGGCATATGGGACACAGGTGATGGGCAGTGTGTGGTGATGCTCCAAACTAAGTTCGAAAAGTTCTTTGAGAAGATCGATTTGACAATGTTGAACAGGTACCTATCTCATTAATACTTTATTGATTATAGACATGGAGCCACAACTTTCTGGAGTAATAAGTGTTTTGTGTTGTTTCTTTCAGGCTTCTTCGTTTGGTTCTTGACCACAATATTGCAGACTATGTGTCTGCCAAGAATAACGTGGTCCTGTCTTACAAGGATATGAGTCATACTAACGCGTATGGTCTCATTAGGGGACTTCAGTTTGCATCGTTTGTTGTTCAATTTTATGGGCTATTACTTGATCTTTTACTTCTTGGTTTGACTCGAGCGAGTGAAATTGCTGGGCCACCTCAGATGCCTAACGAGTTTATGACGTTTTGGGATACAAAAGTGGAGACACGCCATCCCATAAGACTCTATTCTCGGTATATAGACAAAGTTCATATAATGTTTAAGTTTTCCCATGAAGAGGCTCGGGATCTAATTCAGCGATATCTTACGGAGCATCCTGATCCCAACAATGAAAACATGGTGGGATACAACAATAAGAAGTGCTGGCCACGAGATGCAAGGATGAGGCTGATGAAACATGATGGTATGTACTTCTTTTTTATATATATAGTCCGATTGACTATCATTTTATGCATTAGATGTTGATGTTGTGTCTCATTAATTATTCATCTTTCAGTCAATCTTGGTAGAAGTGTCTTCTGGGACATGAAGAACCGTCTTCCTCGGAGCATCACTACTTTGGAGTGGGAGAATGGCTTTGTCTCTGTCTATAGCAAGGATAATCCTAACCTGCTCTTTAGCATGTAAGTCTTTTATTTGAGCATCCTAGTGCATCTGATATTAGTGCTAGGCCTTTGTTTAGACCGTAATTTGTCACTGCTACTGACATCAGTGACTCTTTCGCATCTTGCCTGCAGGTGTGGATTTGAAGTTCGCATACTTCCAAAAATCAGAATGACCCAAGAAGCTTTCAGCAACACAAGAGATGGTGTCTGGAATCTGCAAAATGAACAGACCAAGGAGAGGACTGCAGTAGCTTTTCTGCGAGTTGACGATGAACATATGAAGGTATTTGAGAATCGTGTGAGGCAGATCCTTATGTCATCAGGATCAACCACCTTTACCAAGATCGTCAACAAATGGAATACAGCTCTAATTGGTATAATCCTATGAGCCCCTTTTGGCATCATTGTTAGTTTTTTATGATGTGTGGTTTAGCATGAAACTGATCACGTATTCTATTATGAACAGGTCTCATGACTTACTTCCGGGAAGCCACTGTACACACACAAGAGCTCTTGGATCTACTGGTCAAGTGTGAGAATAAAATCCAAACAAGGATTAAGATTGGGCTGAACTCAAAGATGCCTAGTCGGTGAGCAAAAGCTATCTTTTTTTATTTATGGTTGACATAGCAGTGCTGACTGCTGTGTGTTTATGTTTCTGTAACCTGATTGTTCTACTTTCTCTTTGGCAGATTTCCTCCTGTTATCTTCTACACTCCAAAGGAAATTGGTGGGCTGGGAATGTTGTCAATGGGTCATATTTTGATCCCACAAAGTGACCTTCGGTACAGCAAACAAACAGATGTTGGTGTAACCCACTTTAGGAGTGGAATGAGCCACGAGGAAGATCAGCTTATACCAAATCTTTACCGTTACATACAGCCGTGGGAAAGTGAGTTTATTGATTCACAGCGGGTGTGGGCAGAATATGCGTTAAAGAGGCAGGAAGCCCAGGCCCAAAATAGGCGTCTTACACTGGAAGATTTGGAAGTAAGTGTCATACTTGTGTATTTATTACCTCTTTACTTAATGTCAAAATTTGAGAGGGATATCAGCGTGCTAGCTTGCTTTCTTTTGGTAGTCCTGGAAGTAGTCACAGAGGGTTTTGGGAGATTATTGTTGCGTAGTCCCCTTTTCGGGGTCTAAGCGCAAAAATCATTTTGAATTTTATTTGCTTCTAGAACATCTGATCATTGAGGAGGAATATAACTCATGTATAAAAATTTGACAGGATTCTTGGGATAGGGGAATTCCTCGCATAAATACTCTGTTTCAGAAGGATAGGCATACATTGGCATATGATAAAGGTTGGAGGGTTCGGACCGACTTCAAGCAGTACCAAGTCCTTAAACAAAATCCGTTCTGGTGGACACACCAGAGGCATGATGGGAAGTTGTGGAACTTGAACAATTACCGCACTGATGTCATCCAAGCTCTTGGAGGTGTTGAGGGTATTCTTGAGCACACGTTATTCAAGGGGACCTAGTAAGTCTGCTTTTCATTTCTCCTCAACTAATTATGATATTTGTTTCATAATAGCGTAGGATGTTCAGTTGCGCACAGCTTTTTGTTCTCAGCCTATCACATCATATTTACTAATTTTTTCATGCTTTACATGAACTCAGTTTCCCGACATGGGAGGGACTTTTCTGGGAGAAGGCATCTGGTTTTGAGGAGTCGATGAAATATAAGAAGTTGACTAATGCGCAGAGGTCTGGTCTGAACCAGATTCCAAATAGAAGATTCACGCTTTGGTGGTCGCCAACAATTAATCGAGCAAATGTCTATGTGGGTTTCCAAGTGCAGTTGGATCTGACAGGAATATTTATGCATGGAAAGATTCCTACACTGAAGATATCTTTGATTCAGATTTTCCGTGCCCATTTGTGGCAGAAGATCCATGAGAGTGTTGTTATGGATCTTTGCCAAGTATTGGACCAAGAGTTGGACGCTTTGGAGATAGAAACTGTGCAGAAGGAGACAATTCATCCAAGGAAGAGTTATAAGATGAACAGCTCTTGTGCTGATGTTCTTCTATTTGCTGCTCATAAATGGCCAATGTCTAAGCCTAGCCTGGTTGCAGAGTCAAAGGATATGTTTGACCAGAAAGCGAGTAATAAGTATTGGATAGATGTGCAACTTCGATGGGGAGATTATGACTCCCATGATATTGAGCGTTATACTAGGGCCAAATTCATGGACTATACAACTGACAATATGTCTATCTATCCATCTCCAACAGGTATTTATTACTTTTTCCATTTTGCTTTGTTTTGTTAGTCTTTGCTTTTCTGCAGTATTTATCAAGTGATTACAAAATCCGTGTGCAGGTGTAATGATTGGGCTTGATCTGGCATACAACCTGCATTCTGCCTTTGGTAATTGGTTCCCTGGTTCAAAACCTCTTCTTGCTCAAGCAATGAACAAGATCATGAAGGTACTAGAATTTCTTTTGGGGTGTCTTTTGCAGGACCCATTTTGTTTAGATATGTGACTTACCGTTTAAACTTTACTAATTGCAGTCCAATCCGGCCCTATATGTGTTGAGAGAGAGGATAAGGAAGGGTCTGCAGTTATACTCTTCTGAGCCTACAGAGCCATATTTGTCATCTCAAAACTATGGTGAAATATTCAGCAATCAAATTATATGGTTTGTTGATGATACCAATGTCTATCGTGTCACGATTCACAAGACATTTGAAGGAAATTTAACGACAAAGCCAATCAATGGTGCGATTTTCATTTTCAATCCAAGAACTGGGCAGCTGTTCCTGAAGGTATTTCTTCCTCTCCCGTCTTAACATTAAGAACAGGCATATATACATTGTTCCACAAAACTACTTCTTCTTCTGTTTGTCTTGTAACATGCTGTGGAATCTTAACTGTTTTTTGGTCCTCTAGGTTATCCATACAAGTGTTTGGGCTGGTCAGAAGCGTCTTGGCCAGCTAGCGAAATGGAAAACTGCTGAAGAGGTTGCTGCACTTGTGCGATCTCTCCCTGTTGAAGAACAGCCGAAACAGATTATTGTCACGCGGAAAGGAATGTTGGATCCCCTTGAGGTTCACTTGCTGGATTTCCCCAACATTGTTATCAAGGGAAGCGAGCTGCAGCTTCCGTTCCAGGCTTGCCTCAAGATAGAGAAATTTGGTGACTTGATTTTGAAGGCCACAGAACCGCAGATGGTCTTGTTTAATATATATGATGATTGGTTGAAGAGTATTTCTTCGTATACTGCCTTTTCAAGACTTATTTTGATCCTTCGTGCGCTTCACGTGAATAATGAGAAGGCTAAGATGTTGTTGAAGCCTGACAAGTCCGTTGTCACTGAGCCACATCACATCTGGCCTTCTCTCACTGACGATCAATGGATGAAGGTAACTCTTCTGCCACTTTCCAAGTACTTCTTCTTGCTATATTATATTATTTGATAGGATGCCTCTTTACACTACATCACCTCTGCATCTGCTGTTTTTACTTACTAGTGAATTATATTATGTAATGCTTTTACTTTCTTCTCTTTGTTTGAATAGTCCTTCCTTATTCACGATCATGTTAAATTCAGGTGGAGGTAGCACTTCGAGATCTTATCCTTTCTGACTACGCGAAGAAGAACAATGTGAATACCTCAGCTCTGACACAATCAGAGATCAGAGATATTATTCTTGGAGCTGAGATTACTCCACCCTCTCAACAGAGGCAACAGATAGCTGAGATTGAGAAACAGGTACTCGTAACTGTTACTTCTATCAAACATTGAGAGAGTAGATCTGTGCCTATTATTCTTTTTGCTCACTGTAAACAAATATCCTATTTGCAGGCAAAGGAAGCCAGCCAGCTTACTGCAGTCACAACAAGAACTACAAATGTCCATGGTGATGAGCTCATTGTCACCACCACGAGCCCTTACGAGCAATCTGCATTCGGTTCCAAAACAGATTGGCGTGTACGTGCAATATCAGCTACTAATCTTTACCTCAGAGTCAATCACATATATGTGAACTCAGATGACATAAAGGTTAGAATCCAATTCACTCTCATTCACTTTGTCAATTAAGTAATAGACTTTCAGGTGTCGACCTTAAACATTGTTTCTTGTTGTTCACAGGAAACCGGATACACCTACATCATGCCAAAGAACATTTTGAAGAAGTTTATATGCGTAGCAGATCTTCGTACTCAAATTGCTGGATATTTATATGGTATTAGTCCCCCGGATAATCCCCAAGTGAAGGAGATCCGTTGTGTTGTGATGGTGCCACAGTGGGGAAGTCATCAGCAAGTTCACCTGCCGTCATCTCTTCCTGAGCATGATTTCCTAAATGATCTTGAGCCTTTGGGATGGTTGCACACACAGCCTAACGAGCTGCCTCAGCTGTCACCACATGTATTATATTTTATTTATACCTTAATATCAGCCTGTTATATTTGATCTATACCTTAATATCAGCCTGTTAACCCCATGGCTAACTGATCTTTGCTTTGATAGGATGTAACCTCTCATTCCCGTGTTCTGGAGAACAACAAGCAATGGGATGGAGAAAAATGCATCATCCTGACCTGCAGTTTCACTCCGGGCTCCTGCTCTTTGACGTCATATAAGTTGACCCAAACCGGATATGAATGGGGGCGGCTTAACAAGGACACAGGCAGCAATCCTCACGGTTACCTTCCCACCCATTATGAAAAGGTTCAGATGCTGCTGAGTGACCGGTTCCTCGGGTTTTACATGGTAAGAAACACAGTTTTCAATTGTGCTTTTGTCCTTGGATGATATAAACCATTGAAATCTGATTTTGTAACTGTTGTTGTGATAGGTTCCTGAGAATGGACCGTGGAACTACAACTTCATGGGAGTGAAGCACACGGTGAGCATGAACTACAGTGTCAAACTCGGATCCCCAAAGGAGTTCTATCACGAGGAACATCGACCCACTCATTTCCTGGAGTTCAGCAACATGGAGGAGGCTGACATTGCAGAGGGAGATCGCGAGGACACATTTACTTGAGATATACTCACTTTTCTTACCATGTGTGTAAACTTCCTCCTTTTTGCTGATTTAGCTTTATTTTGCGACAGAGATTGTAATATATTATACTGTCTTGTGCGTTACTGAGATAGATTGTAACGTCCTTAAATCTTAAAAAGATGTTTTGCCACTAGAATGAAGATCTTGAATGTGTTGCGTGGGCGCATTTGATGCAATCATTCGTATGTGTATCAGGGAAGTTCGGTAACTAATATGTCTTCGATGAGAGGAAATAAAATGACAATTTTAAACTTTAGTAGGTTCTTCTTCCCATATTGAATAAAAGCCAAATGTTCCAAACATGGAAAACCAGCAAATACTAGTCTCTCTAGTCTCCAGAAAGATAGAAACAGAGATAAAAGACAGAGCATAAAAACAAAAGGAACGAGCAGTTAGCAGGCTACTACAACTAGGATATGTGGCACTCTTGAGCTTAAATGTTTTTTGTAAGTTGTAACCATGAATGAAGATAATTAATTTGAAGTTCAACAAATGGAGAAAAAGCATCTAACATTATTAAACTCGGAAGTATTTACAGAAGTTATATTATCCCTTACCTAACTAGAAATTAGCATGAAAATGAAAATGAAATTGTGCAAGACAAGAAAGAATGCAGAAAGATAGGAATACCCCAAAGACTTGGAACTGCTTGACACGTTCGGCATACCACCATCTTCTTCTCTAGATAGATGCTGTACCGTACCAGAAGGACCTGGTCTCGGCGTTTCTCCAACACACAACCTGACACTTGAACCAGATGTTGAACCGAATGCATCATCCAAGTCACTGTCCCGGTTCACACACAAACCAGCATTGTTATACAGCCTCAGCTTTCTCCTCATCCTCCACACTGTGCCTCTCTCGAACGGTACTGGACCTGTCAGACTGTTATCGTTGAGCCTCAGCTCGCTTAGATGCTTTACGTCCCTAAACTCCAAAGGAATCTCTCCGGTCAGATTGTTGCCCTCCAAGTGAAGGACCCGAAGACTGTCTAACCGAGTCAATGATTTCGGTATCGAACCCTGGAGATTCATATTTGAGAGAACAAGAATCATCAAGTTCTTGAGCCCTTTGAACGCGTTTTCAGGAATTGTTGTTGAGAATTTTGAATTGCCTTTGAGCATCAAAGCTTGAAGAGAGTTTAGGCCTTGGAGAGAAGGCGGGAATGGACCTGATAACCGGTTATAGCTCAAATCCAGAAGCACTAATTGGTTGAGCCGGTTAATCGAGTCTGGGATAGGACCAGTGACTCTGTTTCGGCTAAGATCGATTTTGATCAACGATCCACAGGTCGAGAGTGTGGATGGAACCGGTCCGGTCAAAAGATTCTGGTTCAAATCCAGAACGTTCAGCTCCGGAAGAAGAAAAGCGGGAATGGAACCAGTCAACCGGTTCCCACTCAAATCAAGCGATCTTAAACCGGAGAACCGGTTAAACGACAAGGGAATGGAGCCGTTGAGATAGTTTTTATGCAAATCAAGAACTTTCAAATTGGTAAGATTGCCCAATTCGTCAGGGATAGGACCCAAAAACCCATTCTCCCTCAGGACCAGCGTTTGCAGACTCGAACCGAGACGGCCCAGAAACGCCGGTATGCGCTGTGGGGAGCGGCCTAAACAGCGGTAGAAGAACAGGGCTTTGAGGTGTTTGAGCCTCGTGAGGGACTCGGAGACGTAAGAGCGTTGTGGATCACAAGTGGGGAACGCCGTGTCGTCTGAGAGCGCTCCGAAAGACAGAGAGACCACGTGGTAGACGTTATCCTGGTCCGGCATACACTCGATCCCGTGCCATCGCCCTCGGCAAACGTCTGGAATCGCGGCAGCCCAGTCGTTGCCGGTCGCACGCATAATGTCGTAGACGGCGTCTTGCTCGTCAGGCTCCGTGCGAGCGCCGTCGTTGGTCATCGTGAATCCAGTTTGGGGGCCGTCGATCAGAGCAGATGGCGCCGTCGAGTCGGAGGTGATCACGGTGAAAGATCTGACTAACGGAGAAATTATCGTCAAGACAATGACTATTTGGCGGAAGAGTTCATATTGTGCCATTTTTTTAGTTGTTGTTGTTGTTGTTCCAAATTGTTAGTGTACATACATATACTGAAAAGAAAAAAAAAATTGGTGGGTCCAGAAAAACGTTCACAATGCCATAATGACTTTCACGGGATAACTCGAGGAGCGAAATAAACACAAAATTCCTGATTCATTTATTGCTTTCACGAGATATTCATTCGCCTTGGGTTGGGCCCTGGATCCGACCCGTTTCGTGAATGGGACCCGATCTCGTTTCGTTTACTTTTTTCTTTGGGCTGAGCCCATTTTCCGATTTACGATATTTTTGGCTATTATTCAATTTGAACTGGGCACTGTATTTGTCTTTGTAACAAACAGTAGATAGTTTAATTAAAAAAAGTTTCCAACTGCAAAAGTTTTTTTTTTTTTTGTTAATCAGCATACAGTAAAAGTTTTGATTTTGAACCTTAAAATCACTATGTTGTAGCACGAAATCTGAATAAACGGACGCGTGGTCTGTGCATACGAAAAGCACATGCCCATGGAGCAACACATGTTATACGTGCCATCTTCCTAGTAACATTGACTAATATATGAATAATGAAGTAAACTATGAAAGCATCAAATCAAAGATTAGAAGTTAATCAGCCTCGTCCCATTTTCTTCAGACTATTACCCAAAACACAAAACCTCCATGCAGTCGCACAGCCGTCTGATGCAGCTCAAGGTCAAAGATCTGATGGTCCACAAGCGGCGGCTGGTCGAAGTTCCTGATAACGCCACTCTAGCAGACGCCTTGAACACCATGGTAAACCACGGCTAAATAATTAATATTCTTTCTTTCTTTTTTGTTGGAGTTGACCGTTTTATGTATCATTAATTAATTTCTAACAAGACTGTTCTTTTTTTTTTTTTTTTTTTTTTTTTTTTTTTAATTTTTTTTTTTTAAATAAATATTTATTATCTTCCCAATTGGGCTGGGTCTGGGCCTTAACAAAGATGATCCAGTTACAAAAGAAGCAAATTGGGAAAACAATCGGAAAACGGGAAAAAAGCTCCGATCCTGTTGTATCACCGGAAGCAGATTGTCGCAGCACTAATTCCGGCGGGATTCAAGCTCCACGGCTTTGCGAAGGCACCGAAGGATCAGAACCAACAACAGAAGAACCCGATTTCCGTCGTCGATCCTTTTCCGACGAGCCACCATACCCACTACGGAACTCCCAGAATGCACAACATCCAACATCCGGCATCGACGTTCTCAGATCCCGACCAAGCAACCTAAGAAGCTCAGACCAAACCCCTCTCTCCCATTTCCGAAATTCTCCAATCTCCCTCGAGCAGAACCCAATCAAACCGGTCCGGTGGAAACAAATCGCGGAAGAAACAAATAGCCGACGGCTCACTCAAGCCCACCTGAATCCAGAATCCGCGACCGCCATCTTAGATCCGCAAAGATCTACAGTTAACCACGCCGACGAACATCGTTCCCCACCTCTCTCCCATCGGCTTCCGCCGTAGCCACCGCGCTAGAAGAGCGGTTGAGCCGCGAGAAGACTCCAAGCACCTCACCGGCGTCCTCAACCGAGAGGCCCTGCTAAGAAGCTTCTCTTCCGTCAAACCAGAACCATAGCTACGCCGATTGAGAGAGCACCACACCTCCGATGACGGCAAAAAGGGGTCTGCTCACTCTTGGATCTCTTTTGCAAAGTCATGACCTGCGATTAAGATCAAACAACAAAAGAGAAAAAACAGATCTAAAAAAATCGCCTTCAAGCGAGAGAGAAAGCTCTATTTTCGATGCAACGATTGTGCCTCTCTCTTTAACAAGACTGTTCTTGGTATCAAACCGGTGGCAAACCGAGTTAGAGCTGTGCCGGTGGCTGCGAAACCAGGCCAATGGCTGGGTGCCGGCGGGTCAATGATAGTAGAGTCGGACAAACAGAGCGGGAGTGCAAGGAAACAGTACATAGGAGTGGTGACGATGCTGGACGTTGTGGCTCACACCGCCGGAGACGACGGCGAGAGTGGGCTCGATAAGAAAATGGCTGCTCCTGTCTCTTCTATCATTGGTCATTGTCCTGAGGGTCTCAGCCTCTGGTCTCTCAATCCTAATACCAGGTTACTAGTATAGAAGATTGCTTTATGTATAATATCTCCTTCCCTTTCAACATGTTAGATGTTTTACACCACTTTTCCCCAATAGTAAGAATTCTTTTGCTTTCTAGCAAAAAAAAAAAAAAAATTTACCAACACCTAATATACCCATATTTCTGTCATAATTCCAACTAATATAAGATAAATATTAGAAAATATTATGCAAATTTTGCATAGAAAATGCAAACATTAGTTTTCTTGTCAAACATTATGGACGGAGAGAGTACTAATCAAAGATGGTCATGATGAAAGCAGCATAATGGATTGTATGGAGATGTTGAGTAAAGGAATCCACAGGGTATTGGTTCCATTGGACAGTAACATAGAAAATATAACAGGACCTGAGTTGGTAGAGTCAGCTTCTGCTTACGCAATGCTGACTCAGATGGATCTCATCTCTTTCTTCCTCGACCGATCCTCTGAATTGCATGGTATCCTCTCCCACACCGTCACCCATCTCTCCGCTATACACAACACCGTTTTAGCGCTCACTAGCCAGGTAAATTAATCAAGTCTAGAATTTTCATCTTCATTCATCAAATCCTAGGTTAAACTTGTCTTCGTTGTCAGGCAAGAGTGAAGGATGCAATTAAATGCATGAGTACAGAAATGCTCAATGCGGTCCCTATCGTTGAAGCCTCCACCGAGGAAGAGGATCATAAACAGCTCGTCGACGTACGTGACTTTACTTACACATCTATCTATCTGCGAAGATCAATGTCGATTAGTTTGGTGTTTTGCTGGTGCAGGGGAAAAACCGGAGAGTGTTGGGGACATTCTCGGCTAGTGATCTGAAGGGATGTCATTTAGCCACGTTGCGTTCTTGGTTGCCGCTAAATGCACTAGATTTCGTCGAGAAAATCCCAAGAACTCCCTTGTTCACCGCTGCCACCTCAACACCAGGGAGGGAGCTTGTGACGTGTCACGTGACATCAACCTTGGCCCAAGTGATCCATATGGTCACCACGAAACGTGTTCACAGAGTTTGGGTCGTGAACCAGAACGATAGGCTACAAGGCCTAGTTTCTCTTACTGACATCATCGCTACGGTCCGATCTGCTTTGCTTTCCGGAGCTCAGGATCTGTAACTCTAGCTTTCAGTCTTCTCTCGAATTACTCAAATTTTCTTTGTTTTGTTTCTTGGAAAATTTTCATAATTGTATTGCCTACTTAGTTTATGGCAAACGAATAAGTATAAGAGGGTTTCTCATCTCATCATATCGAATGTTCACATCACATTTACGCCCATAAGGCCATACGCACAGCACTCGAAGGGGGGTGTTAGCATTAAAATAAAGAGATTTAATGGAAAAGTTGGAGAATATACAGATTTGGGATGCCCACACCCGGATGTGAGCATTAAAAAAATGAAAAATATTACATATCTCTCTATCTCTCTCTATCTCTTTCTTTTTTTTCTCTTTTTTTACTTATAATAATAAACAATTTTTCACACCCATACTAACATATATGCCATTGTGTATGGCCTAAGAAAAATGTAGGGGAAAATGATTATAAATAGAAAAACTATCAAAGGAAGGAATGACGAGTCTTGTTGCTCGACAGATACGTTATCAATTCAATAGACGGGACTTTCCATCACTTGGAATTTCTACAAAAGAATATCTTATTAACATAAACATGTTACCAAAATTGTACATGGAATAATCTCATTAATTAACAAAAACAATCGTAGAAATTATGAAATATTGAGAGGGTAGTGACTAATGAATAGGGTACTCGAGCACGGGGCGCAAACAAGCATGACATACGAATGAGACAATTTCAGTTTTCGTATATATAATAATTCCATAATCATAATTTAATCACTAGTTTTAATCGGTAACATAACCTTAAAAAGCATCCACTCATTATGCGCTCCACTTTACTACTTACTCTGATAACAAGAAAAGTGTATGTTTAATAGTATTTGTTTGTTCCGTTTCCAAGCACGCTATTTCTTCTTTTCAGTCATTTTTATCCGCATTTACAATAATATATAGCTATTTTCATACTTTATCATATTATCATTCTATACTAGCTCACAATAATTACTTATGAGCACGCTTTTTGTGTTCAAATAAGTATAATCTCTTATAAGTATATACTTTTTGGTTCCACGGAGACTAATTAAGAAAAATGATTAGAGGCTTATTATACGTGCCATAATTATTTCTTTTCTTTATTTTTATATGTCATATGATCATTTATTTATTATTCTTTTCGTTTCACAAAGAATATCGTTTTTAAGTTTTTGTTTGACAAAGTGTGTTGTTTTGTATTTCCAATGTAGAATTGTGAATAAAAACATATTTTAAACCCTTTATAATATATTAATAAAATATATATTTTTATTTAGAATATTAATAAATGACATTGTAACACTTTTAATAGTTTTTTAATATGTGTGAAAAGGGTAAAATGACACTTAAAGTGAAAAAGATAAAGTATTTATGTGTCATGATTCATATATAGCGATGCAACACCAATGTTATGCGTGTAACCTGAGGTGTTGGAAGTTAGCTATAAATTTACCTTAGTTGATATATACGATAATGAAATGTTGTAACATATTTTGTGTGACGAAACATATTGGTCGGAATTCAATTATTTTGTCCTTCTTTCTGGTTTATAATACAGACCAAACAATCTCTATATATATGGCAATGGCATCTGTTGTTGTTTACTATGTGTATGTTACAAACATTTTCTGTCAATATTAATCAGACTTATTAAAAATAGTTAAGAGGAATTGTAATATTTTGTGTTTAACTACTGATAAAAAAAATTTACTTAATTCGGGGAAACAATTCACGCATGTTTCTGTGTTGTGCTTGTGTTTCTTGTATTCTTCTTGTAGCTTTTCATTATATAAAAAAAGAAGGATTAATTGATTAGATCGAGAAAGAGAAAGGCCTTTTGAGATAGAAATAGAGAAGGATGGATTGAATTTGAAGCATAGAGAATAGCGAACACTCACTGCAAAGTTAGTGGGAAAGTCGCGCGTCATACGAGGGAGGAGCAACAAAGTGTGGGCCTTTCTTTTACCGTCTCAGAAACTAATGCATGCTCACATTTTCAATTTTTTTATAAACTACTTGTGTTAATCAAGACTCAAGAGTGTGGATTAATTATGAAATTATCTAATGTACATTACTTTTATTCCCATGATTATAACTTGATAGACTAAGATCCTTATATATAATATCTTCAGTCAATGGAAATCAGCTTAATCAGACCTGATAAAATAAATGAGATTAATTAATTTTTAAGAGTGGTGAATTAAAAATAGAAAGTACGTACATTAAGTAATAAGGTACATATTATTGGTGTATATATATCCTATACTAATTATTTATAGAAATATTTAAAAGTTATAAAATGTAAATGTAGAGGCTGCGGGAGACTGGTCTGACAGGGTAAGCCGGTTGTCGGGAGGAAGAACGCCGCTATTGGCAGAGTCACGCGGGGTAACCGGCTGGCGGCTGTAGCCGGTCATTGAGTGAATTGGTCGTCCTCCAAACAAGTACTTACAATATTTGTAGAGTGCTTTTTCCTGTGACGGTCCCGTTTATTCCCCACACTCTCCTCGATCGATTCTTCCACTTAAAAGTGGGAAAAAAGGAAACCTGACTCTTAGAAATTTGAATACAAGTGTGGGTCACCTCATCTCATGTAGTAGTCATGATATAAATTATAAATACCTCTCAACAAACCCAAAAGCAAGAATTATAAGCCCTCTAGCTAGGAGTTGAAGCAAGACCGGCGGGTTCAATAGTAAAAAAAAATATAGAAAGAGGAAAGATCGAAGCGGAAAACGGGACAAGACGGGTGTGCCGTTGTGGATGTTGGGGTTGGGTGTGGACCGGCTTCAAGCCGACATCAACCGGCTCCTAGCCTCTCTTTTCCACCAGGGAGTGCTGGACGAGCAGTTCTTGCAGCTTCAGCAGCTTCAAGATGAGACTTCACCAAACTTTGTGTATGATGTCATTAACATCTACTTTGACGAATCCGAGAAGTTACTCCGGAACCTTAGATTATTGCTGTGAGTTTCTTTCTTTGTTACAATGTGCATGTGTTCCATAGCTAGTTTTCTGTTGTTTGGTTCCAAAATGTATACGTATATATATATATATGATACGAATGATGATTGTAAAGAAATAAATGAACAGGATGGATAGAGAGTTCTCGGACTACAAGAAAATAGGATTACACCTGAACCAGCTGGTGGGAAGCAGTTCAAGCATTGGTGCTCGTAGGGTTCGTAACGTCTGCGTTGCCTTTCGTTCTGCTTCCGAGCTTAGCAACCGCCCAGGGTACAAATTAAACGCTTCTTTGTATTATTACTACTTGGGAAAATAGGTCAATATTTAAGTCAATGTGACGATGCTTCAGGTGCTTGAGAGGACTGGAGGTAGTAGAGCATGAGTATCATTACCTCAAGAACATGATGCATGAACTCTTCCAGGTACTTACTTACTTTGTTACTAAATTACACACACACAAACAGTAGGTAAAAACGTGAGTCTAACTAATAGTATAAACATATATCTTGGTAGTAATAAATGATAACAATGATGTGGGATTCATTTAATATTTGAATGGTTGCAGCTGGAGCAGCAGAGGATATTAGCTGCAGGAGTCCGATATCCAATGTAGAATTATAATTTTGTCATAAAAGTGAGGATAAATGAGAAAAGCTAGTTAGTGTGTGATGATAATGTTGTTGCAAGCTACCGAAGCCAAACCCTTAAGTTTCTTCTTGTGATATATATGTTTTGTTGTTACTCTCTTCATAAATTCAAATTATATTGCCTTTTGTTTTTTCCAGTGAGATTTACTCATGTCAAAAGTATCATCTTACATGAACATAAACATATAAATAAAATAAAAAGAAACTGGGCTATATATTATGACCGACAGAATGAAAGAAAGTGGGCCCACTGTACGGCCCGTTAATCTCAAATAAATGATTTTAGTGTTTTTTTTCATTTTGGCAAAGATAATGATTTCTGAGCAAAGAGAATTGGAAAAAAAAAAATGATAGCACATATAGCAGAAAATAGCTTAACTTTCAATATGATAGTACATGATATTATGTGTTTGTAGAATCATAAATGTGTGTCGAATGAAATGATGAAGTGATTATCTGGATAAAATTAGTAGTTGAAAAAAAAGTAAAGAGAATGACAGGTGGGGTTGCTTACTAGTATAGTATAGTAGTCATGCAAAGTAAATCTGAAAAACCGAGCAAGGAATCGACAGGTGTGCTTCATCCCTAAGTCTCATCCTCCTTGCAGATGAAAAAAATATCCGTTTAATTTTAAAATAATGCACGACTTCCACGTCTCTTCTTTTACTATAAAACTCATTAAATGTGAACAAGTAGTATAGGAGTAGTATAATCGAGAAAGAGAAGAGATCTTTATACTTTTTAAAGCCAATCAATCAATCGGAGCAAGCAATGAATAATCTCCCAGAAGACTGCATCGCCATGATCCTTTCCTTGACTACGCCTCTCGACGTTTGCCGATCATCTGCGGTCTCCAGGATCTTCAGATCCGCCGCCGACTCCGACGATGTCTGGAACCATTTCTTACCGGCTGATTTCCCCGCCGGCTTTGCGGCACCTGCTGGTCTCCCCACCAGGAAGCAACTCTTCTTCTCCCTCGTCGATAACCCTCTTCTTCTCAACGACACTCATTTGGTATTTTACCCGACGCTCTGTGCATCTGGAACTGATTTGATACTCTTTAAGTCTAGAATATTACACTATTGTTGTCCACTGTCAAGGGCCAAAATTGATGTTCATCATCTTAAGTAGATTCTGCCAATTTGTAATTCTGTTCCGACTCTGTAACCTGTGGAATCAATCTAATTTTGGGGTTTACAGCTTTAATAATGTCTTCAAGATAATTGGAATGTCTTATCTTTGTTTTTTGGCTGTGATCATCATAGTCTTGAGTACTGAATTGTGTAATCAAAACAGAGCTTTTCGCTGGAGAGAAGGAGTGGCAACAAGTGCTACATGATGGCAGCGAGGGCCTTGAGTATTGTTTGGGGACATGATCCTAGATACTGGCACTGGATCTCTCTTCCTAACACCAGGTCTCTTTCTTCCTTTCTTTTTTGTCTTACAAACTAGACTAATTCCTCTTCTCCATTGCTTTATCTAACACTGTCAGATATTAAATGGTTTTGTGTGCACACAACAAACAGGTTCGGAGAAGTGGCTGAGCTCATCATGGTCTGGTGGCTTGAGATCACTGGCAAGATCAACACTACCCTTCTCTCTGATGACACCCTCTACGCCGCTTACCTCGTCTTTAAGTGGAACCACAGTCCATACGGTTTTCGCCAACCTGTAGAGGCCTCCCTTGTCTTCTTGGCTGACACCGAGAGCACTGATGATGTTCAGCCTTCCATGATTAGTCTCATGCAAGATCCAAGCGGTGATGACGGTCAGTCCGCTGAGCTGAGAAGAGACGGTTGGTACGAGGTGGAATTGGGACAATTCTTTAAAAGGAGAGGAGATATGGGTGAAATAGAGATGAGCCTCAAGGAGACAAAGAGGCCTTTTGAGAAGAAGGGCCTTATTCTTTATGGCATCGAGATAAGGCCAATGCCCTAATTGTATCCTAATACCTTTGCAGTTTCCAGTGTTCTCTTGATTCTCAATCTTGTGTTCTTATCTTTCTATGGCTTCTTCTTCTTCTTCTCCTTTTCTATACTGATGCAGAAAAATAAAGTTTTTTTTTTTATGTTTTTATATGAGCTTGCGTTTATGACAATTAATATATTGTTTGGATTTTTGTCTTGGTTTGCAACAATTTAGACAATTAATTCGGATTGGAAGAGAAAACACGCTAATTTTTGAGGGAAATTAAATTAATCATTGACAATGATTCATTGTTAGTCTATGATGAGAGGTTTTGGGTTGTTCTTTCCTACGTCTACAAAACAAATAAGACCGTAGTTTGTTGTAATATCGTTGTTGTAATAGGGCCTAAACTAAAAATTTCCATGATACATGTTAATATGATGTGTTATTTGAAGAAGAAAAAACAAAATGATATCGGCACGGATCTAATTTGAGAAAATTGAGAGCACATGCGTTAGATATGATCATTGTCATAGTGCTGGATAGGCCTGGGCATTCGGATTTCGGATCGGATTCGGTTCGGATTTATTCGGATTCGGATAATTCGGATAGGAGATTTTATTATCCGTTCGGATTTTATGACTATTCGGATCGGGTTCGGTTCGGATAGTGTCGGATTCGGATCGGTTTCGGATCGGTTTTGGATTGATTTTTGGGGAAAAAAAACTAAAAAAATGTTCAATTTAAATAAAATATAGTTTAATCTTACTAAAATTTGGCTAAGTTTTCCAAAAATATGTATAATTTTAACAATTATAACAAAAAAACTTCCCGATATCTAGGTTATTTAGGATATTTTTGTTATTTGTTATAAAATTATAGCTAAATATAACTAATATTTTTGGATATATAATTTTATTTTCGGTTTTCGGATATCCTTTCGGTTTTCGGTTCGGATCGGGTTCGGTTCGGATAATTCGGATAGGAGAATTCATTATCCGTTCGGGTTTTATAACTATTCGGTTCGGATTCGGAGTCGGATTTTTCGGATCGGTTTCGGATCGGTTTTCGGATTTCGGATTTTATGCCCAGGCCTAGTGCTGGATGTTAGAGACCGACTTTACCAACGTTTTCATTACGTTTTCTACCCGTTTTCCTTATTTCTTTACCCAATCGGGTCAGATCGAACGTTGGACTTATAATTCCAGAATTAGCTAAAATTAGATACTTATTTATTGAAACAATCTTGAATCCGAATTCAGGTGTACTTTTTACCTAATTAGATATTTCAGCAAAATATCCCCTTCTGATCATTACTACTTTCTCAAAATAAACTAATCCAAACCAAAACGAAAATTATTTTATGGAACTTATTACATCTGTTAAATGAATTTCGCAATGGTCAAGACATAAATAACTTAACCATATTAAAAGAGAGCAATAAAAAATTGGACTTCAATTATATAAAAGTACTAGATAATATCCCGCACTATGTGCGGGACAAAACGATTATTAAATATATTTTAATATATTGATAATATTAAAGGTGTTCGAATTTTATATTATTAAATAAACGGTAGTGTATTAATGATTATCAAGATTAATGAATTTTTTTTTATTTATGTATTAAGTTTTATGTTTATCATGATTTATGATATATATCTTGTTATATTATTAATAGATACACAAAATATTAAGTACTCCATTTTGTATAGATTTGTATCTCTTAATTACATATTTTAATTGTATTTTTGTTTCAATTAATTGAGAAAAATAAAAAGCATAAATTAATTAGAAAAAATAAACATAAGTAAAACTAATGGCAAAATCTGTAAATATCCTAATAAATGTTGGGTCTTTAACTAAATAGATTGAGAAGCTCTGTGAGAACGACACGTCAGCATGGCATTTTCGTTAATCACACATGAGGGTAAGGTTATTTTCTAAAAATGCTTCTCAATTAATATATAAGGGATATATATAGTGTCAAAAAGTTCTTTAGGATTAAATGATAGTTATAAGGTTTTCACAATCCATGATAGTGCTTAAAATTTTCACTACACTGTTATCATACAAACAAAGAATAAAATACTACGCTATTTCTGTAATATTTGATGAGAACGTTATGATTATGTTATCTTCAATTAAGGGGTGAGAATCTTTATTTCCATACAGGCCACTTGATGGGTCTATTTGAAATAATGCAAATAGATATATAAATATACAAACAACAAATATGTGTATTATTTATAGGTCCCTTATTTATACATACACTCCGGGATAACACACATTTTCCACAGTTTTAATTCGTTTCCGTTTCAGGACCAATTTTTAAAAGAAGGTTGGTATTATACTATTGACTAGTTAGCTGGTCATGGACCTTGATGGTACATGGAAGGTTCAGATTTTAATATAGAAACAAAATAATAGAGATTATAAGAATATCAACGACGAGATATGAGAAGATATTTTCCCTTTTCTTTTGTTTTAAAATATGATAAGATTTTGTAAAGCTGTAAGTTTTAATTTATAAAAGACTAAAAGTTAATTAACAAAAAAAAAAGACTAGAAGTCGAGATGCAATCCAGTGACTCCATTATTTTCAAATCCACTAGTACTTAGTTACCCTAATGTTAAACGTTATAAAAATGAGATTTAGATTAGTTATAGACTTTATAGTTAACTAATCATATAGGGGAATCAATAATATGAACTTTTGATGATGCCCACACTGTTAGATGCTTTATTTAAATAAATACTAAAGATAGAAAGAAAAGTATCCTTTTTGATCTGTACTGGTTGTATAATCGTTCTATATAATATGTGGAATATTTGTTAATTAGAATCGGAAAAAGGAGTGAAGGAGAAACAGTGATCGGAAAGAAATAAGTGGTGTAAGGTTATAATGTTGCCTAAGACCGTCAAACAAGAACAAGAATCTTCAAAAGTATACACGAATATGTAATAACTTAAGTAATTAATTATAGCAAAACAAAAAAACAACTAAATGTTGGAAATTATTTATTTTTGTTTGTCAACATCAACATGCTAGTTTGAATCTGAACGGTAACACATTTACGGTAATAACACAACACATAGTTGTAGGCTGGAAGTAATTGAGAAATTATTACCTATATTTGATAAGATATGTCATATGTGTATCATTTAATTAACACGCTATAATTTTGCTAGGGGCTACGTACTTTATATATAGGGGATTAGGGCATCCGCAGTGGTGTATCCTTGCGGGTGTAAACATTATTTTAAAATACAGAAATAATGTAAAAGTTGTCTCTTTCTTTACACCCGGGTGTAAGTTTACACTCGGGTGTAAGCCACTCTATCTCTCTCTCTCTCTTTCTTTCTTTCTCTCTTTTCTCTCTCACTTTAAATTATAATAATAAAAAAAATCTTACACCCCTCCCTCACACTTACACCACTGCGGATGGTCTTAGAGTAATAAACCAAAAACTCACTTCACCCAATAAGTCAAACAGAAGTTTTGAAATAGGTTATACGTATAAGCCAATTAAAAGAAGAAGAAGAAAAATTAAAACACGAATTCATCATCCCCTACGTTTGTTAAACTCTTTAATTGTATCGAACATAATGAATTGATGATGGTACATTAGATATGTTTAACGTGACGTAAAAAAAAATTAACGGTGAAGTGAAGCGTATGTATGTATGTATGTACTTAAAAAACTTTTTGAAAAAAAAAACTGAAGAGTGGAGTCAGCGCCACGTGTCAAGTTAGCATTAGCTTAAACCGGAACAAAATGTGGGGTGGGAATACGAGCGAGTCGTCGTCTTATAAATATTGCACTCATTGTCTTCCTTTCCCCCAACCTTCACTTTCCTTTCAAATCTCCAATAAGTATACTCTCTGATCGAAAGCTTAATTAAAGCATCATCACAGCGTAGAGTTGAAGATGAAGGGAGGTTTGCTTGTGGACGATGAATTTATTCACGAAGAAGAAAGGAGCCTGACTGTTCGGAAAACTTCTCTGTTTTTCGCCGGCGATGGTTTCACGGTTTACGACTGCAAGGGACGTTTGGTCTTTCGGGTGGACTCTTACGGCGGTCCCAACACCCGCGACACCGACGAGGTTGTCCTCATGGACGCTCACGGCCGTTGTCTCCTCACCCTCCGACGAAAGGTGCTGACTTTATTTATTTCATTCTCTTCATCATTAGTTTGTGTATGAAACCAAATCGATTTTTTTTTTTTTAATTATCTTAAAAGGGTTTGTCTTAGAATTGCCTTTTTTTTTATATATAATAGATTTGGATAACTGAGTTAACTCGCTGAGAGTTGAAATTTACTCAGTTTTTTTAATTTGCAATTGGTGAAACAGAGGCCGAGTTTGCGACGGAGATGGGAGGGGTATCTCGGGGAGAGATCGGACGGCCAGAAACCGATATTCGGGGTCAGGAGATCGTCGATAATCGGGAGGAACAGTGTGACGGTGGAGGTGTACGGGGACTACCAGTGCAGCGAGTACCTGATAGAAGGTAGTTTCGGGGCAAGGAGCTGCACGGTGGTGGAGGCGGAGACGAGGCGGAAGGTGGCGGAGGTAAGGCGCAAAGTGGACGCGTCAACGAACGTGATGCTTGGGAAAGACGTTTTCTCGTTGAACGTGAAGCCCGGTTTTGATGGAGCCTTTGCCATGGGATTGGTTCTTGTGCTTGATCAAATCTACGGCGACGATCTCCTTGAGGTTGGTGAGGAACAGGTGCACCCTTCCGCAGAAGATCTCTGATTTGATTTTTCTCCTTCTTTTTTGTTTTCTTCTTTTTTGGTTGGACGCAAAACCGAGTGGAAAATAATAATTATTGTGAGTTTCTGTCGGCTTGAAAGGAAACGATTTGCACAAATTATTTCTCGTCATTCATTCCCATGCTGTTGTAATCTGGTTTGAATTACTTACTACTCAGTTACAGCTGTTTGATTTGAAGAAAAAAAAGGGTTTAGGAAAGGAGTTAGTTGTAGATAACATTACTTTTGTGTCTAATTCATTTTGCTTTTGTTGGTGAGTTAGGCAAAAAGTTACAACTTGTACAGCTTGAACGAGTTGCATATTTAAATATCAAAGCGACCAAACCCTTAAAAGTGTTCCATCTATTTTTCTCTCTCCGTAGACATAGCCTTTATAGGACGGTTCAACTAAAATACTCCAAATCTATGGGAGATAGTGATAGCATAGACAATTTGTGTCAAATAATTAACATTTACACACAAAAAAAAAAGAGAGTAAGATATATGACCCAAAAATCTCCTCACATTTAAGTCTTCCACACCTCTTTTCTTTTCTATAATCATTTTCTTGTTTCGAGGAATGGTCACATTGAATTATGGCCCATTAGCCCACTATCATGTGGATGTTTCCTAATCCCTTCCTTACTAACGAGAAATCAGACGTCTAGGCCCAAGAACGAACAAGATATTTTGGTTTTTAATTCCAAACTATTTGTCGATTGGCTAAAGTTGGCTGATGATGTCAAGTGTCAATTAAATCGATCTGTATCATCAATTCCATCATACTTTCAGCAAACATATGCCTAATATTTTGTCTATCTCGATAGGAACAGGGTAAGTTTCATTTACAATACAAAAAGACACATACATACTGCAAATAGCAGTACATATCCATATTATAAAGAGTAAAGACTACAGAACATATACAAAGATTCTTAACAGATATTATACAAGCATATTGCATTTAAATATGTGTATTAAACATGCTTCTATATATGTTATTTATTTAAATGCGAAACTCACGAAGGTGTACATATATGTGTCTTAGGATGATGCGGTAATAGAAGTGTGTTGGGGAAAATCACGGAAGATGGTAGTTGGAGGCACATGGCCAGTTTCATCACTCCTTTGCTCTTCTTCTTCTCCTTCATCTTCGTCCTCTTCCACATCCCACAGAAACCTCGCGTATGAAGCTTGCACATAGCTGCACCATTATTACAATATTGTTATCATGAAGTCTTTTTCCTCAATTTGCAAAAATGGTTTAATTTTAGAAAGGTACTTTGCAAAATTACCAATCTTCCGGGGACATTTTGACGGCTTGCTGATAGTAAGAGTGGGCTCTTTGACGATCTCCGTGGTTGTGCAAAATGAGATCAGCATAGAGAGATAGAACGTTTCCATCGTTGGTGTTCCCCAAAATTGCTCTTTCACAATACTCTTCTGCTTTCTTCATGTCTCCTTTCACCTGTTCATATACATATTGATTTTTTTTTCCAATGAGAACGTTTATTTCCTCTCTTCTAGGATTTCCCCTCAAACTAAACATGAAGAAAACTATGATATTTTTTAATTTTTATCTTGGGACGCAATACAATCTTACACGTGGATGGATCTTCTACTAATTAAATATCTTGTATAAATATCCTATAAAAAAGAAACTAAAATAAACGGCCAATAAAGATATTTTCCTTGACAAAATCCTACTCAACTTATTACCTCTTTCAAGAACTTGGCGTAGTTTCCGGTCAAAAGCGAATTTCCTGGACTCGCGTCGATCATCTCCTTGTAATACGTATCGGTAGCGTCCTCACTCCCACCGCCGTCAACACCACTTCCACCCAAACCACCGCCAGTACAAATCTTGCCGCCGCTGCTTCCCATCCCGCCACCACCACCACTCACAAGAGTCGCCAGACGATCATCACTACTGGCCTTGTCTCCCAGTCCAGAGCTCGAGAAGAGCCTCTCCACTAAGAAAGGTGACGACCGATCCAAAGTTTTTTTTGTATAGCGTGTTTCATCTAAAGATGACCTGCGTTGCCTGCTTGATGTTGGATTTTTATAGCTGTGCTCGCTGCTGTTTGATTTAAGAACACTCTCCTTGTGGTCGGAGAGTGCTTGATGCAACACCTCCCCAGTGTGTCCATCTATTGACTTTGATGAGAAAAGAGACAGCGATCTTGACCTGCGCTGGAGCTGTGACTCCGGCTCCGGAGACGATTCTCTGGAGCAGTGTTGTGGAAGCCACGAGTTCAGTATCGGAGCAGATGTGCTTCTCAATAACATGATGATCCACTCGGTAACCAAATATCTTAGATTAAAAACTCCATTAAACAAGAACCACTTATGAGTACTAGATAATGTATAATGAGAGTAGCCTACTAGAGTCTTTATATAATGGTAAGCCGCCTAATTAATTTAGACTGTAAAAGATAAGTGTATATTTTATTGGTCTCTAAGTTGACACCAGCCAAGTGAAATACTCAGTGAAATAATTTTACGGGAACGGGACCATGGGTTGATAGAAAAAGATCGGAATAAAAGACAGCCTCTAGTACTTTGACACGTTGACCACAACCACATGGGTAAATGCGGGACCCACCTTTCACCCTTTTGTCGACATCATTATATAGTAGTTTAGTTTCCACACAGAAAATTGACGGTGCTGCGTTGCGTATGAGATGGAGACAAACTGTAATCGTAACTGTCAGCTACAGTGTTATCTTGGATCGAGACAATAGTCGACACGTTTAAGACTTCAGCTGACGAATCCCTACAAAGACGAAGACGTTATACGGCAAGCGGTGAGATCTCTCTCAGTGCTTCACATTCATCATGCTTTTATCAACTACGGGCTCTCTTCTTTTGTCACGCTATCGATTAAAATGTATTCGGTAGATAATAATGTTTTTGAGGGAATCTTTCGAAGATAATGATACGTGCATGATCCACTTTACATAGGATTCTCTAGGATCATTTTATGGAGCTGAAATATACGAATTATTACAAATATTAATATATGAATTTGATTGGTCCTATATATGCCATTTTTACATCAACATAAGGGATCACTAGGATGTGAGGCCTGAGGTTGAAATGATCGATATTCAATTTTGAGGAGGCGCAGTCGAGTTATTCATAAATATAATTAAGATGCGATATTGAAACGGTGGTTATCTGACAGACAGGTAAACCAAAACGTACGGTGTGGGATTGTGGTTTGACTTGCGAAAAGGTCTTCGTTACTGGAGTTGGGAACTTTATGTTTAGTAGGCCCATATCCTTATTTTGTTCTATTCCGGCTGCTCTTTATAGGCCCATAAAAATTCAGGCCCAAAATTAGTACGCATGTGGATCCGTGTGTCATACGACATGGATGATACATACAGACACCGACAAACACATCATCAACTTTTTTTTTTCTTTTCTTAATACACACCAATACACCATCACTATCAATTATGAACACATGCGAAGCAACGAGTAGATGTTTACTTGATTATATATCGAAAGATTTTATAATCCCGACAATTTTCAATGAACCATCATTCATGGGTCATCATCCGTCCATGAGACTCTCTCATGGGTCATCATCCGTCCATGAGAAGCAACACACTAGATAAATAATGTATATATAGATACTGTTCTTAAGGTTCAAATACTCTGTCTCTACATCTACAAATCCACTTTACCGGATAGTATGGTTCACTATCATCATCATCATCATCATGAGCACCACGAATGTCAAATAGATAAGGAAGGCAAGGCTTGCAGTTCATGCACTTTGTCGCACACACGGGAGGCTCTGAACCAAAAACCGATTCTTTCATTCTTTGTTGATGACCATGTGCCCCTACATACATGTACATATATATAATCAGAAATTAAAGTTATTAACAAAGGGGCAATAATTTCACAGGGATTTGGATATGTATATATATACCAGATATATTGTAGTGTAGAGATAGGAGAGAGAAGAAGATGTTGACAACGAACAGTGCAGCTCCAAAACTACATCGTTTATAATTTCTTGATGAATCCATATCTTGACGATTTTCTCAAAACCCAAACCCAAAGTTATATAGCATGCATACACATGCTTTGGTACATAAATACATATATAGGCGCATGTGTATATATAGACTAATATTAATAGGGTACATTTGCATGGGGAAAGAGCATGCCCCCTTATTTCCGTTTGGCCGGCTAAGCTGTATGTTGCATGTCAGTCATAAACATTAAATTGAAACTACGTCTAAATACTAATTTGACGAAAAAAGAATTGCTAGCTAATAGTACGTCACATGGTTGCATATTTGTGTGATCATTCTGAAAATGAGGTATCCTATCGCATGGTGATGATATACGTACACAAATAAAAGACTAATTAATTGCATTATGATTTCCGTCTAACCTTCACAAAATCACTTTAGTTTGGAACCAAAAAATGTCATAAAACAAATCCACCAAAATTGGCATTGTCTTCTGTTATTGAAACCAAAATCATAATCCGGTCATCTCGAACCACGATGGAAGTTGGGGACGGGTGAGGACTGAGGAGACAAGAGACATGTCAAATGATGCCAATTGGTAGAAATGACGACCAATAGAAGATAGCTAAAGTTTGTCGGAGAAAACCAAAAGCATTTACGTTAATTTATTGTTGTTTCTTTACGTTTATTCAAATCTTTTCACTTTGGGGAAACGTTGCTGTTGACTTTGGGGAAAAGTCAAGAATACCAAGACATTACTTTCTTTTTTTGACGGCACCAAGACATTACTATGAACTTGTGATCTCTTTCTTTATCACGATGGTAACAATAAATTCTTCCTCTATATATTATCTAGTGTTTCATTTATTTGTAATATAAAGACCAGGGGACTTAATACCATTATAATTCTATTGACTGCTGTGAATCCGAAAGTCATTTAATTTTTTTTTTTTTGGTAAAAGGTGAAGTAAAGTCATTTAATTTTTGCTGTGTTTCTTGGATTGAGTCGAGCAATGTAAAATGTTGGTACTGATTCTTGAATCATGGATCTTCATGCTAAACAAGAAACTTGGTCTTTGTGCTAAGAGATAAAACAGAGCAACTTAATACCATCATAATTCTTAATTAATCCTTGTTATTAATTTGAAATATTAACTTTTAAATAAAAAGAAATGCCTATCTCCTTTATTGCTAGAAAATTCATTGAACTTTCAAGAATCAGTACAAAGAATCCTAGGATAGTGCTCGATATTAGAGGAAACTTAAGACTTCATATGAAACACATACAGAGAATCCTTGGATGCACCTATATATGTATCCATAAATAGATACCTAAGCAATTTAAGAAAACCAAACAGAGTGCATGCATTTGTATCCAATGCTGTTAATTTATCAATTTGAGGTTTGAATCAATCCTTTATGTTGTGTGCTTATATATATGTCTTAAGACTACAATATGAAAGTAATCCACTATTCAACTCTGCTTAGATCGATCCATTTCTCGTTAAAATGGTAAGACTCTTTGCCTATATCTACTAACATTAGACCTGATTTTAAAAATAACCCTCTTTTTGTACATATGTATGTAGGATCGGTTTTTGATCGTACTCGTTGCAATTTTAGGACTTCCCAGGTTAAGCTACGGTGAATCGGTGATGAAATATGGAGCGGTCGGGGATGGAATTGCCGATGATACATCTGTAAGTTATTGGTGTGTATATATCATTTACAAGCAGCTTAATTATTTAGTCATCATATAAAAGTTTAACCTTTGGTAAACATTGTTGGACATGATTTGTGGACAAAAAAACAAGGCGTTCCAAAAGGCGTGGGAGGACGCATGTAAGGGAAGCTCCAAAATGGGAAGTGTAAATGTACCAGCAGGGAAGGTGTTCCTCCTCAACTCCCTTCACTTCACGGGTCCTTGCATACCCAAACCTCTCCTTTTCATTGTAAATCCCTCCACCACTTTACTTGATTGATGTTACGTGAATACTCGAATATGAACCTCCTCCAAGTCAATTATAAAGTTATTTTGTTGATGTATATAAAGATCGATGGAGAGATGATAGCGCAGAGTGATCCACGGAAGTGGGAAAATGGTGAGAACGGGGTAATACCATGGCTCATATTCGATCAAGTGGATGGACTTGCAATCGTAGGGCGAGGCTTGTTGGACGGCCAAGGCAAATCATGGTGGGATATTCATTGTAGAGACCATCCCGGACCCGTAAGTTTCTTTATTTTCACCTATTTACGTCCCTTTTTTTTTAACTTTTTATATTTCTTGGTGTATAATGTATCCTGACTAACCATCTCTCGTACTTATAATCTGTATCAGAACTGCATCTGGCTTGCACCAACGGTAAGTTTGCTATTTAGAAAAGAAAATAGTATACAATAAACTCGGACGTCTCAATCTATATATATTTTTGTCGCAGATGATGACATTTAGCAACTGCGGAAATGTAACATTAAAGAGTTTGAGATTCAGAAATAGTGCACAAACACATGTTCTTGTGATGGGAAGCCAAAATGTGTATATAAATGATATCAAAATAACCTCACCGGAGGCTAGCCCTAACACCGACGGTATTCACATCACATCTTCCACTGCCGTTTCTATCAATCACTCTGACATCGCCACTGGTATTATACTTCCTAACCATTGAAAAGATTAAAATAAAAGTTTAACTCGCGCTATTTATTTATTTATTCTCACGCAATTAATTAAACAGGTGATGATTGTGTGTCTATCGGAGATCAAGTGAATAATTTGAATGTTACTTTTATGAATTGCGGACCTGGTCACGGTGTGAGGTAATTACAATCTCCTTATCGACCTCGTAGTCTTGTATTTTTCAAAAGAAAAAAAAAAAAACTAATAAGAAATTAGGACAGCATTGGGAGTTTAGGTAGAGGAGGAACAGAGGTAGCAGTGGAAAACATACGTGTGTGGCACGTTAACTTCACGGGAACAACAAACGGAGCTCGAATCAAGACGTGGCCTGGAGGAACTGGTTACGTCCGAGGAATCGAGTTCTTCGACATCCGTTTCTCGTCTGTACAAAACCCCATCATCATTGACCAGTTCTACGGTTGTGCCCCTAAATGCGTTGAGACTGTAAGACTCTTTTTTTTTTATTTAGTTCAAGTTATATTGATATTTTGATGAAATTGAGCCAACGTTTTATGTAATAATATATATGTATCAGAGAAAGGCAGTTCACATAGAGAAAGTGAGATACATGAAGATGAGTGGAACATCGGCGACAAAGGTGGCTATGAAGCTCGAGTGTTCAGGGGAGAGTGTCCCATGTTCCAACCTTTTGATGAGAGACATTGACTTATCTCCAGCCGATGGCATTGATTCTGTCTCCTCTCTCTGCTCTTTTGTTCACGGCTCCGCACAAGGCCTCATCCGACCTTCTTCTTGTCTCTAAGACTCTAACTATTTTGGGTAAAAAAGAAAAAAAAAACTAATTTGGGTAATTTGTTAAGTTTCGGGGTGTAAATTGAATTACTATGTAAATTTATGGGTCAAATTTGGAATAAGCAACAAGTATTTCAGTTAAAAGGCCGATTCCAAGCCCAATAAAAAGATATGAGCCCAAGAGTCACAGAAATTGTTTTCTCAAACCCAAAAACCTAAAACCTTAAACCTCCGTAATGTCTCGAATCAGTTCCGTCGTTAGCCTCCTGGTAATCTTCATCTCAGATCGCAATTTCTCCCTTTTCCGGTCACTGCTCCGGCTTACGATTATACCGATCTGAGCTAAAGTTCGGCTTTGTTATTAAATTCGCCGTCGGAGGGATATGGCTGTTGTTGAATCGCATGGGGTTTTGGGTTGTTGTCGATTTAGGTAAATGGATGTCGAGGGTTTGCTCAACTCTTCGCTCTCGTTATCTTTGAAGCTGGTTTTATAGATTGCTTTGCAGATCTCACAAATTGCAAAGATTGGAGATTTTGGGGGATTTGAATAAAGCTACATGTTATCGGGTTCACTATACGGGTATGTTTAGGCTCGAGGGAGGCCCTGGATCATGCTATCTCTGCGACACATTCGCAGATTCTGCCATTTTTCTTCCTCTGCAGCCACTGGTATTGCATATGTTTCAACTGACTCCAATCAGATCCAGGGTTTGAAACCTCTTGAGGAGCCTGCCCTTGTCAAGCTTAAATCTGAGCGAGATCCCGAGAAGCTATTCAAGCTCTTTAAAGCTAATGCCACTAACCGTTTGGTGATTGAGAATCGATTTGCTTTTGAAGATACGGTTTCTAGATTAGCTGGGGCAGGTCGGCTTGATTTCATTGAGGATCTGCTTGAGCATCAGAAGACACTTCCACAAGGTAGGCGCGAGGGTTTCATTGTTAGGATTATTATGTTGTATGGCAAGGCTGGAATGACGAAGCAAGCACTTGATACTTTCTACAATATGGATTTATACGGTTGCAAAAGATCTGTTAAGTCCTTCAATGCCGCTCTTCAAGTCTTATCTTTCAAACCTGATCTCCACACCATCCGGGAGTTCCTTCACGACGCTCCAGCAAAGTATGACATTGATATTGATGCAGTTTCTTTTAACATTGCCATTAAATCTTTCTGTGAGCTGGGTATTCTTGACGGGGCGTATATGGCAATGAGGGAGATGGAGAAATCAGGGTTAAAACCAGATGTAGTTACATATACTACGCTTATATCGGCGTTTTACAAGCACGAGAGGTGTGTGATTGGAAATGGATTGTGGAACCTTATGGTCCTCAAGGGCTGTAGGCCTAATCTCACCACTTTTAATGTTAGGATTCAGTTTTTAGTCAATAGGAGACGAGCTTGGGATGCAAATGATCTGTTGCTGTTGATGCCAAAACTCCAGGTAGAACCGGACAGCATAACATATAACATGGTTATCAAAGGGTTTTTCCTTGCGAGGTTCCCTGACATGGCGGAAAGGGTTTATACAGCGATGCATGGTAAGGGGTACAAACCCAATGTGAAGATATACCAGACGATGATTCACTATTTGTGCAAGGCAGGAAATTTTGATTTGGCTTATACAATGTGCAAGGATTGTATGAGAAAGAAGTGGTACCCAAACTTGGACACAGTTGAGATGTTGCTCAAAGGGCTTGTGAAAAAGGGCCAGCTTGATCAGGCTAAGTCGATCATGGGGTTAGTTCACAAACGAGTACCTCCTTTCAGGTCAAAACAGTTGCTCTCCCTTAAGTCCATTTTGTAATGTTTACACGAACAAATTTGCTACATGTACACGACAATGCGGCCAAAAGGATTCTTTCTTTCTTTCTCCTGAGTTTCTTTTGTATAGCTGTGGTGGAACTGGAAATGGGATGTAGCCCCATATTAGAAGGGCAGAGTTATCTTCTAAACAGATTCAACTAATTGTTGTTCCATGTGAATAAAGCTTAGGATGATTTGGGAACTTCAATGGAGGATACTCAGTAAGTCATGGATGCCTCTACAATCTTAAGTTTTGACAGCACAGAACTAGTTTACCTTTTGTTATGCTATTTACAAAACATGTTATTTCTTCTTTTGATTTCAGCTCGAGAGCAAAATGGCATACACAAAGTAGTGGTGACCATGTTCTGAAGAAACCGATAGAATCATTGTCTGGTGATGCAAGCAATGAGCCCTGGAAAATTCAGTTATGTTTTAAATGTTTTTCAGGCCAAATTAAAAGCATTAAGGATAAACATAGGCGATAACACCGTTGATAGGTTTTCTTGATATAGCACGAATGTAAACAACAGAGAAGAGAACAGAGACAACAAGTAATGAATATTTTTTAATTTATTTGTCGAATAAATACATTTTATTTGTTTGTCGAACTTTTGAGCCCACAAGTGACAGAGCAAACAAAATTTACATGTTTTTGTCTACTCAAAACATATATCTATATACAGTAGATAGATGCCTCAACACTTGGTGTCTGACTGGTTACGGTAGATTTATGGCGGTAAATTATAGCATTGTAATTTTAAAATATCTTTTTCGTAAGAAACAAAAATTTGAGGGACATGTATATTTGTTTAGTTGATTCACGTGTTCTTTATGTTTGAAATTCCTGAATTTGAAGATTTAAAAAAAAAAAAAAAAGATACGACGTACCCTCAGTTCCAAAAGGATGAATGATACAACTCATACAAGATAAAACAAAAAAAACATAGGCATCATCGCCATCCTCAGATCAGTTCCGTAGTTTACTCGATCACGACACACATCATGACACATATACACGTGTACATAAAAGCCATTCTTATCAAAATCTCATCATTTTCCTCCTGAATTCATTCATTCATTCATTATAGGCGCGTATACTTCGGATTCTAAGCTTTGTTGGTACGATCGAGCCAACGTTCTGTTTCTTGTGGGGAAAATGAAGGAAGATACTACCGGAAACCCTCTGCATATCAAGTCTTTGAATCACATCTCTCTCCTCTGCCGATCCGTCGAGGAATCCATTAGCTTTTACCATAACGTTTTAGGGTTCCTCCCCATTCGCAGACCTGGCTCTTTTGATTTCGATGGCGCTTGGTACCCATCCTACCTACATGGGAGATATTTCTTCTGATTTGTTAAAAATTTCCTAATTATATTTTTCTGTGATTAGGTTGTTTGGACATGGAATTGGGATTCATCTTCTTCAATCTCCTGAACCTGAGAAATTACTCAAGAAAACAGAGATTAATCCCAAGGACAATCACATTTCTTTCCAGGTACGTGTACCTTCTTCTTCTTCTTCTTTTTTTTTTTTTACTTTTCATTTCGACCACATACCATTTTACATACTTGCTCACTAACCCCTTTCTTTGAATTGGAGCTCATTAATTCTCTTCTGGTTGTAGATTTTTTTTTTTTTTTTAAATGTGCTAGTAATTAATTGTGAGACTATGTATGGAAGTTTTAGCTTTAGAGGGTTTAGGCAGAGCCCAATGTTGTAATTAGTACGGACATATATTTGATAGAAGAATGTGTGTTGAATGCAGTGCGAAAGCATGGAAGCGGTGGAGAAGAAGCTCAAGGAGTTGGGGATAAAGTATGTGAGAGCAGTGGTGGAAGAAGGAGGCATCCAAGTGGACCAACTCTTCTTCCACGACCCTGATGCCTTCATGATTGAGATCTGCAACTGCGACAGCCTCCCCGTTGTCCCTCTCGCTGGCGAGATGGCTCGTTCCTGCTCTCGACTCAATATCCGCCAGCTCGTCCACCCCTAGTTCTCTGTCTTCCCTAATTTCTGTTTTCGTAAATAATTTAAGTAGTGTCCATGCATGTGTTTGTCTCTTTGATTGCGTGTGAATATCATTGCCTGTAATAAAACAGAGGTAGTTGATGTGATTCCTCAACCGGGAAAATGACCATTTGCTTCACTCTGGTCTCTCTCTACCCTCATCAGTTGAGAAACCAAACTCTCTCTCTCTTTTCTTGTTTTCCTTCTAATACTTGTGGTTATGATATCAACAAGAAAATCTTATAATACAATTGAAATTGCCTTAGAAGCTTTAGAAAGATAATTAGTAAGATATATTATCTGTCACATGAGACATGAGACATGAGACATCTATTTTTTATGCATGTGTAATATATCAAAGACTTCCTCTAGGGAGGATGTTATCGCACTGAAGAGAAAGTTGTCGCCGGAAGTTTTGGATGAAAGCTTCGGCGCATTTGTCGACATCATGATGAATCGTCGGCTTGCTCTCTAGATGATGCCTGCCATTTGTAGGGATTGTCACCGATTTTCTCTTCTCTGTAATGACGTTGGAGATGGTACTGTGCACAGAAAGTTGTTGTAAGGTACTCATCTTCCTGATCTTTTATGTGTGTGTTTTGGGATAATTGGATGGTGGTGAGAGTTTAATTTTGGGAGCTGTATTTATAGGATTGTTTGTATATTTTATATGCCTAAGTCTTTTTTATCCCTACGGAAACAACTTTGAATTATTGAAAGGAATAGATAACTAACTAATAAGAGATGGAATGTTGAATTTAAACGTTTAGATAAAATATAGCTACTATTAGTAAAACCATATCCTTTCAACACTTATCCACTTACATCTAAATATCAGCAATTAATTAAAACAAATATCTTGCAACTTCTGCTTTTGTGATATCCTCTAGATCAAATTATATATACGTTTCTATTTAAATAAGGAAACGAAGCATCAAATCTAAAAGGTTCTCTTTGAAAAAGGAAAGGCTTACATGAAATCTAACCTAACAAGTGGAATTGATTACTCATAAGGCTACAAGTAGAACCTAACGACTAGAAGATAAGCCACCGAATCCTAAAGTCATCGTCCACCGCCGTCGTTTTCGTAGCTTCGATGACTCTTCCCCCTTTTATAAATAACAGATAAACACATTAACGGGTCGGGCTTTTCATATTCATCTTTGTTTCGATATATTTATGAATGGGCTATATTGACCCAATAATTAGCCCTTTAACGTTCAAAAGGCCCATACATATTCCGCGATTATTCCCCATGAATTAGCCCTTTAGTCGTGGCTATGACAGATGTACCCCTTCTATTTTTGTTTATTAATTACTGCACATCTTTTTACTAGTTTTCGTAATTACATGTTGTTCCCCTATATTTTGGCTCATTACATAAAGTTCTCATAGTTTTGGTTACACATTTGTACTAAGATTGTTTCAGCTAAATTATAATCTCCCCAGCAACCGTGAGAGAGAGCTCTAAATCCATCGTATGGCTCATAAGGTAAACTTGTGAGCTGGAAGTGAGTGCAATAAGAGATAAACTCGATGATAAGGGAAAGATTAGTGAGCTGAATTTGCCAAATCGTGACCATATATTAAAAACATTAGGCGTGTGCACCACTAAAAACGTGGCAGATTTGCAATCTGAAACCATGAATTCAAAGGTATGCAGATGTGATCCCGGACTGAACCGACTGTTCCAAAAAGATCGTGTCATCTGAAAGGCAAGGAGGAGGGTACACTTGACCCGAACTAGAACCATAAGCTTCCCAACAGAAGGACTCAGTGAAACCATCACCGTTTGATGGTTCTAGATCAATGTCTTGTAAAAGTATGTTGCGACATGGTGAACTATCGCTGCAAGAGATCTTGATTGCTTGTTTTGATGCTGAAGTGCCCCGCACATGAACAAATGAGATGTTCTCAATGCTAACAGCTGATGTCTGCAGTTTTTGAGTTTTAGACAGGTTTTCAGGTTCATTATTGAGTTACTAAAGAAAGACATGGCACAAGTTCTTTACCTGATTCGCACAAGGCTTCCGAGAATCGCAGTAGTACTGATCAATGATGATGGGGTTCGACACATTGTTCATCTTGATGTTCCTAAAGATAATTTTTGAGACCAAACCACTCCCTCCCTGGTTAAAAGAGTGAGCAAGCAAGTTAAGTTCTCTTTATCTGCAGAACGTAAACTGGAACTTTGAAAAGATGGAATCACCTGCCATGTTTTGATCCGAACACCATTAGCAGTGTCAGAGATGAAGGCCGTATCAACCGTTATGTCTCTAACTTCTTCCCAGGATTTTGATTTTCCTAGGCTTCCAATGCTACACGAACAATTTAAAATTAGATTATGCTTAGTCTGTTTCTTATCTGTCTGTCTTTAGTTACCTTATGCCATGGCCAGGACCACATATAATGTTGCTGATGGAGATCTGTGAAGAGTTTTTAACTATCGAAACACAGTCATCTCCTATACAAAAACAGATCCGATTAATCAAGCAAAGAGAAAATGTTAGTTAGATTCAAGGTCTGGTTAAGTACACTGACCTGTCCTGACAGTAGTGTTGTCTATCACGATACCACGGGAGACGCTTATGTGAATTCCATCAGTATTTGGACTAGTAGCAGGAGCTATGACCTTTACAGCAGAGATAGTCACACGGCGACAGCTGGTGAAGGCAATGTGCATTTGTTGGCTATCAATCACATTGAGGTTTTCAACTCTCATATTCTTGCACTTGTGGAATGTTATGGCCTACAAAACAAACATAGTCTTACTTGTATAGACAGTAACCACACCAAATAGAAGAAACTAATTGGATGCTTACCGTTGGAGCGCCTCGACAAGGCTGCAAAAGAGATAAAAGTGAGAATTCCCTTTAATCTCTGAAGATAACAATATTGAAGGAAAGAAAAAGGAGACAACTAACGTTGGAATGGTTGTGTTTGCAAGATCTTGTCCACCATTCTTGCCCCATTCCATTAACAGTGCCACCTCCTTCAACCGTCAAGCGGCTCAAACCATGGAAATACAGCCATTTGCGGCGGTTTAGACCTTCCCAAGCATCTGGATCATTGGGAGCAATGATTGTACCAGAGATCTAATGGGCAAAATAGAGCAGAAAGCAATAAAGACAACAGAACAAGGTCAACAATCTGAAAATATCCTGTGGAAGGGGAAGGTTTGACCTGGAGTGTGAGTCTTGCTTTACAAGGTCCAGAAAGATCAATGGGCCGGAGGAGACAGGTGTAGTTTTCAGGCACCAAGATTCTGGTTTTGACTTTGGAAGAACAAGCTGTCTTCCAAGCATCTGCAAACGCCTGCGTACCATTATCATCCGACACAATTATTAAGTATTTACCGGTGCTGTCTGATTTCCTAGATCCTATATAACAAATACCCAGAAACTCAAATTCAAGATTTCGTTTTTACAGTGAAGAGAGGTTTCTCGAGGGTTTAGCGAATCGTTTACTTTAGTGTCGTCGGTGAAGCCATTGCCTTTGGCACCAAATTTGCCGACGTGGAGGAGCCGTTCGGATCTGGGTCGGGTCGAGCGCGACTGTCTTCGCGGGAGCTGGAGGAGCGATTCGAACGAATTCGCGTTTGCGGTCAGAGCGAGTGAGGAGGCCACCACTAGTAACAAAAGAGTGACAACAACAGTAGTACCGCATGAATAACTCATAATTTAGAGTGAATCTTTAGGAACCGAATGGATTTATAGACATTAAACACAAGATATTATGATCTATGTATGATTTTTGAATAAACAAATGAATGAGTCTATTTATAATCAGAATTACAACAGATCTAAATTCTTCCCTCCTCTCTACCTTGAGTGAGATTTAGTTTTCCTGATTGTAGTGATTATGGTGAAATGACGTTATGTTTAGCCACAAAGAAAAATGGCAAGATAGCTTCAAATTTTCAGTGGATTTAGTAATGACACTCTTTGAATTTTTCCATACATTATTTGATTGATTAGTGTAGGTGATCAATCATATACTCAAAAATTTCAAGATGAAATAAAATGTGATAACCCATTTTATATTTTTTTTAAAAAAGGATATCTTTATAGTTTGATGGTTATGGGCTACAGCCCAGACAATCAGCGAGGACTATATATTTTGCACTAAACTAAGCCCATATTATTTTTGCAAAGGCTCCAACTTTTGGGAAAAAAGAAAAGAAATAAAAAACAGTGGATGGGTGGGAACTGTGGTGCCATGCTTGATCTGGACATACACAGAAGCGAGTCCCTGAAAGCTGAAACGTATCGGCGGATGAATTAGCCAAAATAAATATATGTAATCAGATAGAGATAAGAAAATAGCATTGGTCCTTTATCCTAGGAATGAAGAATCTCATGTTGTTACAACTTATTTGTCAGAAATGTCAGGTTCAGGTACACTTTAGCCGCCGCAGTCAGCTGCCCAGTTTTGAATCCATTAAGATTATCATATCCAATCAAATCACTCGATGTATTAATAATAGGAGATGAAGAAGATTGTCGATCCTCTGCTTTGATCTTCCTTGGAAATATTTGGAATCTTCTCGAGAAGGAAAGAGAGATGGAATAAAAAGAAAACAAGACACTTAATAATAATATACATGGAAATCTAAGATCAGTCGGCAAGAAAATCGAAATCAAACAAATATAAACAGAGTCTAATTAAGTTCAAACAAGTTTAAAATTAAAGCAACAAAAAAACACAAACAAAAACAGAAATAAAGAGATTCATTAGCAGCAGTATAAGTATATATATACTCTTTTTTTTTGTTCTGTTTTCTCATCTTTGTGTGTGTTCTTCTTTACTTTAGACTTTAGTTCATGCCTATCTGGATCTACGCTTCGTTTGCCTTTTCCTCTGATTAACCTTCTTCCCCGGCTGCTTCTTCCCGAAGGCTGAGCAACACCCAAACGCCGACAGTCTCGGCGACGGCGGGTCCACCGCCGGAGACACTCTCCCTGTGTTTCTATGGTGTCGGATGGCTCCTCCTCCGTTGGATCGACTCCTCTCCATACCACCGGCGCCTCCGTCAGTTCTGATAGGCTTGAGTCCGTCTCCGGCGATGGGTTTGGCTGGCTGATCCTGTCCTTCCGATGTAATCAGCTTGGCATGTTCGTCCTGTTGTAGAGTTTCGCCTTGCTGGTCGTTGGCCGCTTGTTTGCTTAGCTCGGCGATGAGACGATCGTCCCAGACTATACCCGAAGAGCCCTGTCGCCGGAAAGAGATGGTGGATCTCTGAAGACCCGCCATGGATGGCGCTAACTGTTCCTCCTCCGTTTTTTCTTTTATTTTTACTCTGTTTTCGTCGTTGTATGTATGTGTTGCTAAAAGTGGTTCATCATTGTGTTTCAGACTAGTTCATTTCTTCCTCCTCTTTCTTATCTCTTTATAAGTTGTGTCTTTTCTAATTAACTTTTTTTTTGTCGTCTTATTATTTAAATATTTTGGTTTCTTTTTTCTTTTTCTGGTTCTTGAATTATCTAACCAAATATAATCGCGACTATTGTGTTTAGATGCGTAATCTTGTATTTTATTTGTTACGTAGTTTAAACGGGAGGGAAAACTGGGTCAAAGCAGCGGGTAATTATGGGAGTAGAAGAAACAAACAACGTTTTTGGGTGGTAGGTGTTGAAATTTCAAATGTTTTTTTTTTATCATTAAAATTAGCCACTTATCTGCCAAAATGATGTTTTTTTCAAGATTCACGCAAAAATCATCGCAGAGCATATAATTTTATCAATCATATTCCAACATGGCTTAGTTTTTTGATATATTTCGTAAGGAAATCCAGCGTTGGTGACTCCTCGTTCTTCATGCCTGATTTGGTTAGTTCAAAGTTGAAACTTACAAGTCTTAGTAGATGACTGATTCTTCGAGATTTTTTTAAAATAACAATCACACAAAATTCGAACCTAATATTTCCTTAAATGGCTCACCTTTGAAAGGTGTGCATTATTTTATTTTGTTACATGGCTTGCTGGACCATCCCCATTTGTAATGTGGAGACAATAACTAATTTTTTTTTTTTGGGCAAAACACAATAACCATTCATGTGCCACTTTTTTCATATGGACAACAAAATTTGCGTGGCCATATCGTAACCCCCAATTAAATAAATCTACACCGCAAATCTAATATACACATACTTTCAAAATCTCGCTACAATTATGGAAGATTTTGAATTGATTAAAGCAGCTAAAAACGTACGCATGCGAACAAAACGGTTTTAGTTTTTAAATTTCGATGATGGTCAGAAAGAGAAATCAAATTATTGGGAAAAATAAGAAGCATCTTATCCGTAAGTGTAGATTTGATGGAACACCAAATAATTTGTATCAATTTCATATGGTATTTTGGCAAAACCAACATGATCAACGGGGTTTTTTCTTTTGTTAATTGTCAGTCAGCCAAAGATATATATATATACAAAACAAAACAAAAATAAAAAGAGAGAGTGACATGTATATATGCGCACAATGTCAATCGCATCACTACCAGTCAAATGGATCAGCCTTATCTTCAGACCCAAAGATTACAATCCACTTTAAATATTCAGAAACATGTACACGCATATAACTTCCAAATGTTGAAAAAGGAATACAAAAACATGTGTTATTAATGCAATAAAAATTCAGATTAATGTCCATTCTAGTGATTGTTTAGACGTTTAGAATTTTGAAAAATAGAAGGATAGGGTACATTAACCAGTGACTTAAAAAAAATCTAAATCCTAGTGATTTATGGTAGTGATATTATATCACACTATAACATGGCACTCAAATTCAAAATCCGTATAGTATAATAAAAGGTTAAAAGGTATAGAATCGATTTTTGTAAAATTTGAGTGTTTCCTAATTCCCACAATGGTTTGACTGCGTTAGAAGGTCAAAGTAAAAATCCAAAAAGAAAAAGAAAAAAGAGGAAATGTTTTGGTTCTAAGAAAAAAAAAAAGTTGACGAGACGGAACTAATTGAGAAAAATCCCGCCAAAATTTTCACAGAACCCCTAAAAAAGTTTGGAGTGTTGCCGCCATAGATTTAGTCCACCATTTTCTTCTCTGGAATCCCATCGCCGCCGCGAGAATTGACATTGTTTTGGCTTGCAGATCCATCTCCGCAACCGTATGGTACGCTTTACTTAGATCTAGGGGTTTTTGTTCATCCGTTGATTCGGCGACATCCACAACCGAAAAGGTTCGATTCACATATATAAAAGCCTACTTTTTCAATATTTTTGGGCACGCACGCCAGATGTTTGATGAATTGCTGGAAGAATAGATAGATGTCAAATTGAGCAAAACTAGTGAAGCGAGAAGAGCCGCCGATTCAACATGTACGGGAGAAAAGGTTATCAGCTTATCAAAGATTTTGCCACCAGAGAGAAGGGTCAGCTCAAACCTTTTAACGTAAGTCTTCAAGCTCCGACCTTTATGACACCAACCAAATCTCCTAATTTATTTATTGAAATTTCGAGTCTCTGAATTTCTGTAATCTTACGTATATCAATCTAGCAAGTTTGGCCACTAGGTTTCGATTATTGGTGACACAACTTGAGAAATTTCCAATATCCATTTCTGTAATTAGAAAGTATCATCTTGGACAGATTGTTGGTTGGAGACGCCCTTTGATTATCTATTAGGTAGATCACTTCTTTAACCTCTTGTATTTATAACAGAGAAAACTCTTTGATGAGACAATCGAAGAGTGTGACCAGAATCACCATCTTATCCAGTCCTTGATAAGGTATTTCTCCCTTTTTCACAAGATATACGCTGGTGCATTTGCCAATCCATCACAAAAGACTCACTTCTGATTCATTGAGGTTGATGTTTCCATTTACAGGAAAATGCAGCAAGAAGGTTTGGATGTTCAGAACAACAGAAACGCAGACCACTATGGAGCACTAATCCACCACCTTTCTTTGATCCGGAACAAGCGCTGCCTCATGGCTTATGTGTGAGAACCACTTTTGCTACCAATTACACTATATCTGGTCACTCTGTTTGTTAAATTAGCTGCAATTGGTCTCGCCATGCAGGTACAACCGAGCAGAAATTGTGCGTGATTTGGCGTGGAGAGTCGGACTTGAACTTCTCGACCTTCCCTCTGAAATCCAAGAGAAGCTCACTACACTAGAGAAGGAGTACTTCAAGAACCATTCGGTAGCTCTAAAATCATACATGGGAAAAGTAGGAATCGAGTTGAATGTCGTAAGTCATCTTTCCACCACACTGGCTTTCGGATATCGTAACAAGTACTCTCCTTTTGGTAATTGGATTTTTTCTTATTTGGTGGACGGTAACAAGTACTCTCCTTTTGATCCATTTCTTTAAGGATATGGTGCCTCCTAAAGATCCTTATATCAAGGTCAGAATTTTGGATGATATTGATGAAGGAATCGTGCTGAGTGACAAAGCAACAAATTTTGCCCGTCATTCTATGCATTTCCTCAAACGAACTGATGCGGAACCGTACATTGCTCGGGTAAGTCTTTTTGTTATTCCTTCCCTAAAACTAGAATGATCTAAAGCCCATAAACTTCCGCTTTTTGTAATTGAGAAATTCAAAGAATGTATGCAAAAGCCTTGTTCAATTTGAGAGATGTAGATAGAACCTTGATTACAGCCTCACCTAGCAGGTTTAATAGAAAAAAAGAAGACTGCTAAAGATAAATTATAACTGAAAAACGATACTTAAGATTCCCTGAAAGATCTGAATAGTGATGCAAGTAGAAGTTTTAGGCTTAGAATTAAGTTTAAAAATGATGCATGAAGTGTAATGTGAAGACTTGACTTTTTTCACATTTCTTGGTACCATCAAGATTACATAAGGGTGAAACATTTCATAAACTGTGAGAGTATTGGTTTCTTTGGTCTCACATTTGATGTTTTACATAGTATGCTAAAGGTTGTTAATCAAATGCAGTCTGATTCCATTGCCTAGTTTAAAAGTTGGATAAAGTGTTTCTAAATGTTGAGATGTGAATGGGATAACAGGGCCAAATGGAAGAGCTGACAGGTTGATTGATCTAATCAGAAGCTGTGGTGAGCTCAGATTAATCATGGTCGGGTCTGTGATCAAAGAATGTAAGCTTACTTAGCCTTGTATAATTGTAAGACAGGAACATGAAACCTCATACTCAAACTCATGTAACAATTATTTATCTTACAAAGTTACTTGTGTGGTGCATAACATCACTAGCAATAAGGCAGTTTTGACAGCTCAAATTACAATGGGCAATCTTTCAAGGCTTCAATACTCAGTAGTGTTTGTTACTTGCTGGCTTTTCACTATAAAGTAAACCTACAGCTAAAAAGATAGGAATCTCCCACAAATGCTGCAGAAAATGAGAATATGTCATCTACACAAAACATAGCTCAAGATTAGCTTGCATTCAATATAAGAGGAGGCTAGAATGTAGTTCCCATGTACAAACGATGAGGCATTTACTCGATAAATGGATTCTTGATGTTTCCATATAGTTTGATATTGTCTATTTCCTTAGTCCTGACCCGTACGAGCTTCTGGAGGGATTCTTGCATCTTTTGAGGATTAGAGTTTGTTTTTACTTGCTTACTCTCTTGCCTTTTTCTTACCACCACTACTTCTTCAGCATTTTATCATTGGATTCAAAACAAAATTTCCTCTTTATTTTTATTAAAAAAGGGAGAAAAAAACACACAAACTTTTGTGTTGACCAGAAAAAAAAAGAGAGGATAAAACGTGGGGGTATTAATGGGAAAGGGGATGTTCCACATATTTCTCTGAATAAAATTTTCCCTCTGCTACGAAACCTTTGAAATTTGTGTCATCTCAATTTTTCCGACGAAATCGAAAGCAAATGGATCATCTTTCGAAGAAGAAATGGGCTTCGATAATCTCCGTTATCGCTTCTTCTCTGTTTTCGTTCCTCATCGTCTTCCAGATTCCTCTTTTCAGGTATCATCTTCCTCATTACCAATCCATTCATCGAAATTTTGTCATCTGATGGACGCAGAAACCAATGCACTAACTAGTTGAATTTTAGATTAGGGTTTCTTTCTCTGTTCAACAATGCAGGGGCGATATTGGATTTTAGATTCTCGTATAAAGATTGCATTTGATTAGGGATTGAAGATATGTATGTCTTAAGACCATTCCTTGTCACAGAACAATATTATTTGAATTGCTTGCGGTTTGTTTGTGCAGAGTAGCGTGCAGGAACAAGAGTTGTGAAACACCATTAGAGATCATATCCTCTGAGTTGATTGCTAGTGAATTGATTCCTTCTTCTCTTGTCAAGACCCTCCTTTATCCTGGTGCCATTGCCAAGTCTCTTTTCGCTGGCTCCAAAATCCCCAGCTACCACCAGTTGCTCGAGTTTTACAGTTTCGAGGACATGTTTCGAACCTCCTTTGCAACCGACATTCATCATCTAGAGGTTTGCGTCTTCCATTCTCTCCATCCATCTGGTTATAACAACACCTTTTTAGTCCAACAATGTCACAATGTGCTTCAGGTGTTTGCTGGGAGTTGTTTATGTCTACTTGGAGCTTTACTCAACCTGTTCAAACCCACAAGAATAACCTTCATTGGAACGCTTTTGATATCTTGGGGTCTTATCCGAGACATTCTTCTACTCGACTCCGCTCACGATTGGATAAGCCCCCACAGAAACTCTGTTCGTGTCTACCCAACCCTCTTTCTTGCTTCACTTTCTGCATTTCTCTCCATGCGAAGCGACGTCAGGAAGATCATCAGATGTTGTACATCTATGCCCCTTTCCAAATCCTCTAAAGGAGACTAGGCTTCTGCTTCACTAACTTCATAGATTCCATGACGTAGAAGAACTCACTTTATCTTTAGACAACACAGAAACTGTTATTTTCTGAGACAAAAAGCTTCTGTAACTTTTCATCATGAATATGCAATCAAGGTTCACTTTTTCTTTTCCTCCTCATATTCATTATGAATTTGATATATATATATGAATACATATATTACAGCATCTCTTGGAAAAAAGTTAATCTTCCATGAAAAAGAAAAAAACCAATTATGCTACAGATGGGTAAACTAAGAACAGATTTCTGCCTATGATACAATCGTAACAAAACAAATGTCCAAATAGAAACATACACAAAGAGGAAGACATGTGCCTTTCGCCACAGATCTTTCTACAATCCTCTTCTGCTTCGGCTGCCAGAACCGTGAACTAGACGAGATGGTCCCCCGCTTGTCTCTGCTCCTTTCAGTTTCTGTGCTTCCAAAACCTCAGCTTCATCCATCAGCATTGCTAACTGTACAACACACAACAGGTTTCAAACCCAACCAAAAAATCATCCATGAGAGAGCTTATGAGGAGACACATACCCGGATCTTGTTCTCCTTCAGCTTATCTTGAAGTGCGTTAATGGCAGGACTCAAGCTGCAAAAGCTTAGAGTTCATATAACGAATGACAAAACCACGTATCAAATGTTTTAACACGCGCTACTAACCAGTATTCGATCAACTTGCACATTGAAGCCTGATATGTTGATGTGTTGTGAATGAAAGCAAGAGGATGAACTCTCCCGTCTCTAGAGAAGAAACAGAAGGAGCTTTTGCACTTAAATCTCTATACTTAGGGTATGAATAACATTTATAAAAAGATTAAAATCGAAAACCTCATGCTTTGCTGCACGGATTGGTGGTACGCTGCTCGTTCCTCATCATAGAGTACTCGTTGCAGACTTTTAAAAGATGCTAAAGGTGAATTGAGTTGAAGAAGGGATGAAGTCGGCAAAACATGAAGTGGGACTTCTTTTCTAACATACCCCACACCACTGCACGTAAAACCCTTAGCTTAAGTAATAACGTAAATGCAATGTGCAGTGTTCATAAGCCCAAAAGTGCATGTTGAGAAATACCTGGTTTCTAAATTTGAACGGAGCATTGCCTCTAGCATACTTTCAGACATGTCCATCGAGTCAATTTCGATAGCTGTGCTGCTGAGATTGCCTGAGCTGTAGTTTCCACTTGTTCCATCTCTTCCTGTGCTGTTGGCCTCAGCATTGTTGACAAAGAAAGCCCCAAAATCTGAAACCCGTCCTCCACCCTACTCAAGCCACACACACATACAAGGCTCAAAGATCAATGTGCATATACATATCAGCCAATGGTTCAGTCAAAAAAACCATGATTGTCTTAAGAATTTGAAAAATGAGTTGTATTATGCACAAATTATAATTTGCCAACTTTGAACTAAGCTCGAGTAAAATGCTATAGCTTTTGGAAAAAGAGACCTTAGATCCGGAAGTAGTAGCTGTATCACTTGTGTCTAGCTCGGGATTGTCTCCCCGTGCAGAAGAGGATCTCTGGTATATCGAGTCCGAAGAACTAAATGACGATTCTAAATCGATGACAGAGTCTTTATTAGCAAGTACCAGGCTCATTGATTTGGGAATACTATTCTGCTTTCCATCAGAAGACTGGAAAGCGATAACTTGGATTCTACCAACCTGGAAATATCAACTAAGCAAATTCAGCAATGTGTCGAAGCTGAGAAGAACTAGTCTTGAAAAGTTTCAACTTCCTAAACCACTCATAGCAAATACTAACTAACCTTGTTAGCATCTTCACTAAAACAGGAAAATATGAGGCCAATAAAACCAGAATCTAAAAGCTGATACATAGCTTGTGTCCGAACATCTGCAGCAGAAACAGGACATAAATACGAGGAACAAGATAAAAACATCCAAAGTTACAATGATGATACATACCAACATGGGAAGGAAGAACGGTAATATGAGGATGGGAGTGGTACCATCCAATCACCCGTGTAGTTCTGCCCGTTGATATCGTCATTCTGTGTCAGAGGTTAGTTAAGGAAGACTACAAAACACTCTTTGTTTTAACCAAACCATATCTAAAAGAGAAAAGAAGAAGCACCACCACACACAGACCATCAATTCTGAAAATAGCAACTTTATAAAAAAGGATATATCGGCCTGAGCAGAAGCAGCAGCCAATTGTTCAGGATTGGTTTCAACTCGATCCTTCTGCCGATCAGACCGTGACTGAGGCGATGCTCCCCAGATCATAGCTGTGGCACTTTCGCCGTTCTTTGAGTACTATTCAATTTCCAAAACCAAAACGAAGAGTTTATACATATACACAACAAGATTTGAAACTCAGTGATTGTCTGGGAATTATGCAAGCCTTAAATACCATCAAAAACAGAGATTACAGAGAGGCAAAAGCCAAACTTTTGAACTGAATTTGAGATAGATTCAATTAAAAACAAGAGAATCTGAAGCAACATTGAATCCAAGAGAAAGATGAAACATTCGCTGTAGAGTAAAGACTAAAGGAAGAAATTCCGAATTACCTCGATGTCGCCGAGAAGGAGACCCATGATCTCTTCGGTCTCGGTGGATAATGCGTGAGTGAGGCAAGTCAACCAGACATCCTCGGACATATTAACGCATGTCAGAGACATTATTACTTCTTCGGAAGAGATCTTTAAGCTTTGTATGCAGATGTTGTTATTTGCGTCTTCGAGAATTCGATTTGATTTTGCCTCTCTAGATTTATCGGACAAAACAGTGGGGAAAGCAGAAGAAAGAATCGTACATTAATAATACTTGTGTTTGGAACTTGTAATTTAGCAGACTTCTGATCGCGTTTATCTGATACGCGAGGGTGTACGGTGTTCCCTATTCACCCTCAAATCTGGACCGTACATATTCTATTTTTGGAGGTATTTCATTTTCGGCTTTCCACTTTGTTTTTGGAGCTGGCCTAACACAGAACGAATTATCGATACTCGTTATGTTGTAACTAATAACAAATCATATTAGGCCTCGTAATGGGCTTTTCAGTTGTTTGTTTAGAATTCTTTTCTACTTATATTTTTCTTATTTTTTTCTTTGCTTTTTTTTAATCTTAATTTTCATTCGTACTGTTTGCACTATATAAATTTAAGTGACATAAAATGTATGTAAAATTAAATTTTTGACTAGTGTCAGTGTCATATTATTTTAAGTAAGGCCAACTAAAATCTATATATATGTATTATCTTTAACTATCTTATATTAAAATCAAATTAAGTAAAATTTATATGTCTTTAGTAATTACTTATCTTCATTTTGACTAGTGGCGGCGCCGGATTATCTAAAATTTAATGAAGTAAATCTGTAAGTTTTTGTTTTTTAGTTATATGTTATCTTAATTTTGACAGGTGTCAAAATTATACTATGTACATTTAAACTAAGTAAGATATATGTATTCATGTAATTTATTATCTAATTATTTTGACTAGTGTCAACACTATATCATAAATTTAATTAAAACTTCTGTGTCTTTAATAATTTGTTATGTTTATTGACTAGTGGCGGCGCCGTATTGCCTACATTTATGTTAAATAAAATTCATTTGTCTTTAGAAACTAACTTCCTAATGATTTGACTAGTAATCTAGATTTAAGTAAAAAATTATTTGTCTTTAGTAATTTATTATTTTCAATTTGACAAGTGGCGGCGCATAATATCTAAATTTAAATTAAGTAAAATCTATATACCTACAATAATTAGTTATGTAAATTAAACAAAAAGATGTATATTAAGTAATTTATTATCTAATAAAATTGACTGGTGTCGGCGCCGCATTATCTGAAATAAGTAAAGTAATGAAATTAGTTATAAAAAAAAAACATATTAAAGATAAAATATTATTTATGGATTTACTTCTTTAGTTCATACAAAAGTAATTAAAAAGTGATATTTGTCTTATTTCTTTATTTCTGTCTAGTTTGTATAGAATGGTTTTTTATAAGTTTTAGTTTGTTTACTTTTACACTTTAGACATAAAAAAGTTGTGCATTCTTTCTTTTTTCATTGAATTGTTGTATTTCCTTGTTAAATTTCACTCTCTTTCACTAAAGAAAAGGAACTCAATTTTTTTTAAAAAGACAATTATGTTTTCTTTGTTAAAGAAAATCGAAAAAGTGGAATAGAAAATAGGGGTATTTTGGTCAAATGAGACAGAAGAGAGGTACATGGGTAGCTTATAAAAGCCATAGAATTCACACAAACATGCATTCAACATCAAACTTTCAATCTTCATCAAGACCAAATTTCATCGTTTTCATTTTTCTCTAAAATTGAAGTATTAATCTAGTCAAGGTATATAGTTTAATCCCTTATGTCCAGTCCTTGATTAGATTGTTTTCCTCGATTCCTCATATCAACTTCATATTGATCTCACTGATCTCTGTTAAAATTTTAGACCGCTTCTTTGAAAAAGTAGCCAATACAAGCTATTTTGCATAGCCAAAAAACTTTCTTATACATAAAGATCCAAAATTCTTGCGATTTTGAGAATAACTTTCGTTCTCATATATTGGAGGAAAAACGTTTTAAACCATGATTTAGTGACCAGATGCACAATAAAGATACCACGTGATCTAGCTTTGTCCATTTTGTGGTTTAAGAGGTCCATTTCCTTTAATTATATGCATAGGGACTCGATGATGATTGGATCAACATGTTAATCGTTTAGCGCTTTTGTAGGTTTGATTATAAATATATGGTCATTGGTTACTCTATACATCGAATAGTAATCGTTCGTGGTATGATCTTTGAGTGTGAATAAAACATTGATTCCAATAATCTCGTTAATGATATGTTCACATTTGTTGATGATCATGGATAGTTTAATTATGCTTTCACGATCATGTGCATCCAACTATGTTTTATTTGGTTTTATGAAATTTGATTTCTAACTTAAATATTGATGAATGTTGTATTTAGTCAAGTTTCAAATCATTTTAGCAGGAAAGATGTGTAAAGAAAGACGTATAATGTGTGAGTCAAGCAACAAGATCAGAGTATCGCCATACCCGCTTCGATCTACTAGGACCAACAAACTCAAAGCAATTGAGTCACCTATTGAAACAGAATGGGAGGATGTGAGGTGTGTGATCTGCATGGAACCGCCCCACGATGCTGTTCTTTTGACATGCTCTTCCTCCCTCAATGGATGTCGTCCTTACATGTGCGGCACGAGTGTTCGTCATTCCAACTGTTTCAAACAGTTTTGCAGAAACAACAGAAAAAAGCACTCAAACACTAAGACCTTACATTGCCCTCTATGTAGAGGAGAAGTCTTTGAGACCAAAAAGGCGGCGAAGACTGCAAGAAGATTCATGAATGCTAAACCGAGGTCTTGCCCTGTGGATGGCTGTGAATTTTCTGCGACGTATTCTCACCTTAATAAGCACTTGAAAACTGAGCATCGGGGTCTTGTCCCGACAAAGGTCGATCCACAAAGGCAATGTAGGTGGGAAATGATGGAAAGACATGCTGAATATGTTAATCTCATGACTGCAGCTGGGATTCCACATATGTCTGAGGTTGTGCATCATCAACTTCCGAACAATCATCATCTACCAATGTTCCATGTGAACTTTAATGGAACCCTGCCAAATTTGATTGGTCCGAGTAATGTAAGTAACGGATTTAGTCTCGTCAACCACGCCGCAGTTTTCATACCCACACTACAGTTTCGACCAATGGACACGTATCGTGGTAGGACTCCATGAAGAATCTTAAATGGTTTATTGAAAAACCAAAATTATGATTCTGTTCAAAGTGCTAATGTCTTAATCTTTTTCCTTTTGTCCGTTTGGATATATAATGTTTAAAATTAAGTAATTTGGATTAGTAATGTTTAAAATTCAGTATGTTGGTTGTATATATATATCAAGTTATCAACTTATCGTATTCTTCCAAAGCTTTTTTAATAATATATCTTGACTAATTTTTTCATAAAGAAAAACTCTTATAAAAAAATACACCAACTATTTGGTATATATACACCATCAGCTTATCGTATAGTATCCTATATATTAGGTCAAATTATTAAAATACATAGAATAAAACTAAGAATATATTTTGTAAATTTTTTTATGTATGACTCTAATTTGATCTTAGAATTTTTTAAGAATTTTGTAGGTCTTTTAAAAGAGTTTTATAGATTTTTTCAGAAAACAATTTAAGAAAGTTTTAAGAATTCAAATAACTTTGGTCTGTCCTCAGATTTTTCAAAAAGAATATTTGTTTTACTATAATTAGCGGACATTACTTTCGCCAAGAGTTGTTAAATAATCTTTTTAAAAATTTACGTATTGTGTAATAGAAGATAAACTTAGTGTAATATTACTTTTAGACATGTAAATTTTCAAAAAAATTATATCTTAAGTGTAATAGCTAGACCGTATATTTTTGTAATGGAATTTTCAGTTTTATTAATATGCTAATCCACTCCCAATTTCACTGGAGCAAGCCAACGTACATAAAATTAATTTCGTTATTATTTGTCACCTTTAAATTATTTTGTATAAAATAATCTGTTAAATTATTTATTATTTTCTGTAAAAATAAGTAGAATTAAATAAGATTCAACAATTTTCGTTTTTTATTTGGTAGAGAACAATTTTCGGTTTTTATTTGTGTCTAAAATAAGAAATTTGGTTTGTTAAATATCAATTTGGTCAACGCGGTCAATACCTGTTTTACTGGATTCCGATGATATTTTGATAGTTTACTACCCATTTTGAAATTGAAATTTAGTATACATTGTGCAGCTAACTATCTTTTTCCTCAATTTTAATTTGAAAATTACATAGAAAAACACATATCGTTTGAAGAGCATAAGGAGAAAGACCGAAGGTAGCATCTCAATTATTTGGCAAAAATGGCGACGAGAGCCTGAAGATCGACCATCCTATTTTCGTCGGTTTAAGGCGATCGCTGAAGCAATTGGTAGAGCACTGAGGGTGAAATTTAAAAAAAAAAAAAAAAGAACAAGACGAGGCTTCACATTTCAGAAGCCATACTCTTTTTTATTACAATAGATTGTTTCCTTGGATCAGTGATGGTCATCTCCATGCCCGTCAGGAGGTCCTCCAGGGCCGACCACTTCAAGCTGTTACCAAATCGTTTTGCGTTAATCAGTTGACCAATGCCACAATTAACGTACAATATCCATGGATAATCAATCAACTATGCTAATGGCTAACCTTAAAGTACTGTGTACACACAGGGCATTCAAAATGCTTGCCTTTCTCCAGCCAAAACCAGACAACATCATGCTCATCCTCTGTAGTTCACAAGAGAATGAAAACCGTCATATCTCCTTTGGTCTAAAAGTACAACATATCATCATGATGCACACATTGAAAACAAAATAAAGACCCCACCTCCTTCACCTCCAGGGCAACCAACTATTCTCATGTCGTAGTAGGATTTGACTACAGCAGGAGCTTCCTATAGATCAGAAAACATAACATTCAGACAAGATTCGAGAGAGCTTTGCTTATTATATGCAATATAGTCTATCCTTACAATGACACAAACCTTTGTTCCAAAAGGCCCCTCGGGAAAGTCTATATCGTCCAGCTTCCTTCCCTGTCAAAGGGAGTAGCAATCAGAATCAAATCAACTGCTATCTGATGATATATTCAAAAGGTAATCAACATACTCCTACATATTACATCTTCAACCACACGGTCTAACGCAACAAACGAATATTGTTTAGCTAATCTCTCTAATCATCTTGATAAATAACTCAAGAACTCAACAACCAGTATCCCTAAGTTACATTTCAATATCATCTGTGTAAACCAAATCAATTAGGCAGAAAAGTACCTCCAATTCGGCTTCTAGTTCCTCTTTCTCGTGACCAGTTGCAATAGGCATCACATCTTCAACACGCTTCTTCACAGCAGTATCTGCTGGAATAATAAAAACGAATCAACCCCATCGTCATTTTTTAACATCTACCTTCCAGAAACCAAAACACAAACTACAGAGAACCAGGTTTCACATTCTTAAGACGTACTATCGTAAACGTCAAATCCACCGACTAATCCATTCGAAATCAAAGACAAGCACTCAATAAATCATCAAATAACAATCGGATCCATTCAATTACCTGCAGCGGAACCGATTTGACGAGAGAAAATCGAGGAATGGGCGGGAATAGAGGATGCACGAGTCGAGAGAGAAAAGTGAGTGGACTCCGCAACGGCGTGTCTACACGACGGAGCCGCGCATGACCTAACGGCGGAGATGGATTTAAGATGCGTTGAAACGATTCTCCTCCACATAATGGTGACGATTCTTCGGGAAAATTAGGTTTATCGTTCCGATCTCAGATGATTCTCAGTCTCCGACTACCTCCTTCAAACGGAAATGAAGATTGAAGAAGACTTCGACTTTTAGGGCCTGCTGGGCCTGGATCAGCGACTTGGCTCGTGCCACTTGTTGACCCATTATCGTATTTATTCGAAACTAACATAAAAATCAAATTGTAACGAATAAAATATTGGGTAACTAGTAAAAACTTCATTCTGAGATTTAAAATAAACTTTTTCTTTTTGCTAATCATTTTAAATAAACTTTCTAAAATATATTTTTCTTATAAAATTAATTAAATAAACTTTCTAAAATATATTTTTCTTATAAAATTAATTAACGCATATATGATCTAATATCTCTTAGATTTTATTGGCTAGTAAAGTTGAAACGATGATTAATTAATTAATAAATTTTGTGGGATTAGATCGTTAAAATTACATTTTTCTTATGTAAATAAATCCTCGAAACATAAATTACAATTAACCATTGTAGTATTCAATGGAATGAGTCAAAGACCCCAACTTTCATCCTCGGAGTTTCCGAACCGCCACCAGCCTGACGTCATCGATCACCGGACCACATAGCGAGCCAGAGTGATCACTCTTCATATGGTAAAATGTGCTCAAGAAAGTGACACGTGTCCTGGCCGACACCGCCTTGAACACAAGCCTCCCACGTCTAAACCCTCCTTTCCCTTTAGACGCGTAATCCACCATGATCTTGCCTTGTCCAGCGAACGCCTCCACTATCATTGGCCCTTCACAACCGTCTCTGGCGTCTCCGACGCTGAACGTGAGGGCGTAGAATTTGTTCAGTGACGTCCTTACAATCTGAGAAATGGCGCTCTCTTTGCCTCCAACAAGCTCGATGGCTCGGAGTCCTTCGGGGACAGCGAAGTGTGCTTTGTCTACGTACTTAACGGCCTTGAGAGACTCAATGATCCAACCGGGCAATGGGCTGTTATCGTCCTCGATGAACGGTGGGATCAGTACTCCCCATTTTGCCGTGGGAAACACGTAAGGTCCTTCTTCGAAGTTCCCATTCTTTATCAGATTATCTGCAAACAGAGGTCACCATTTAATAACCGAATTCTGGTTTAATCTAAAAGATATGAATTTGATCGGTTCTGGTTTACTTACATCCGGAGAATCTGGGAGGGAACAAAGCCTTGATAGCCACGGCGTCGATCAATGGTCCACAGGCCGGGTGCTCCTCAACACCCGGGTTATGGAACCGGATCTCGATTTCTGGGCCACCAGCTTTAAAAGCCCATGAGTATGAGTCCCAACCATCGCTGCCGTACATTGTCTGGATAGGGATCACACCTGACTCGTGTGTCACGGAGATATTGAGTTTCTCGTCTTGAGCACAAGTTCTAGCGGCGCTGAACGTGATTGAGTACAGGCGGCCGGGTAAGACGGAGATTTTCTGGGAGATTGAGGCTTCGTTGCCTAAGCGAACGGCGGAGGAACCCTGCGGTACGACCAAGACCATGTCGTCTTGTTTTTGACCGGATTTGATGTACTCCACAAAACCGGTTATGTCCCAGTTTGGTACGGCAGTTCGTTCCTTAATCACGGATCCTTTCAATTGGGAGGGTTTAGGACCCAACTCGAAGTTACCGTTTGGTAATAAACCTGAATGAAACCAAAAACATTAAGAAATGTTAATGTATAATCTCGGATTTGAGTTGAAATGATGCTTTAACTAGAGTTATAAATTACCATCGCGGATTGGGGCTGATACGACGACATTCGAAGAAACGAAGAGGAGAGCTACGAGGAGTGCTGCTTCTTGGTACATTGTGACTTCGTTGGGTGATGATAGGTGAAGATGAGATGGAGATTACTATCCAAAGGGTGAAGAAAGGCTGGGGTTTTATGAGTTTGAGATTATAAGAAGAACACTGGTTTTGAAGAAAACCACGGGAATGCCACTGGAAGCATCCTGGTTTCTTGTTGTCAGGTGGCACGCAGACACAAAACAGCTAGCTCAGGAACATTGACTTCATGATTAGGAATTCCATTTCTTCAATGCATTGTTTTAAAGTTGCCTTAACAACCATTATATTAAACTATTCAAACGTACGCGTAAATTGCGTTTGCCTATCTAGCTAAGATATTTACATTTTAATTTCATGAGTATTGAAACACTTTGTAGCTTGTCACAAAACATTTTTTGGGAGTATATGCATGAGTAAACGCCAAAAGTAGTTTTTTTAAAAAGTTTATGATATGGAAAAACACACACACTAAATGTAAAAATATATAAGTCAACACTTATAATGCAAACAGTTAACAAACAATGGAAACCTAAAATATCTACAGTGATTTTTTTTTTCACCTCTCAACTATAGTGCCATGTTTGGAAAATCAAAGAAATGAATATTTGAGATGTCTCAAAGATTAGTCATTTAACGCCATGCAACGAAACTCAACTCTAATCAATAAAAATGTATGATTTTCGTATACAATGCGACAACCCAAAGCTATTGGCGGGGGGAATTATGTGCTATTTTGGAATAAATCAACAAACTTAAAAATAAATCAATATGGTAATGATTAATGTAAATATTGATCACACTAGGATGAACACGTGCAGGGGTAGGTTGTTTTCTGGTGCAGGCACGACTGCCGACTTTACCGCATTACAAGTTTCGATCAATTTTCCTAATGTCCAAATTAACATGTCAACCATTATCATCTTCCCAACATCTTCCCAACATCTTCCCAACAATTTAAATATATATATTTATGTGAGATATCTTTCCAAAATAAATTATGTTGTGATGATGAGTATGTATTGGGGGTTTGACTATACATCACAAGAGCAAAATATGCGAATTATATTGTAGCGGAAAGAGGCATAGCTAGTAGAGAGGGGACATTAAAAATCTTTAGTTATATATAATGACTATGGTTGGGAGAGAGATAACGTGCGACAAGGCTGGAAAGATTAATTTGCCTTGATTTCAAAGCAAAGCATCTCTCTATAGATAACTGTTTTGATGTCTGTCTCTAGAGGTTGGAAAAAGAAAGGATTAAAAAAAAAAAAAGAGGATATACAGTTCGGGAGTTTTGAACCCGACGTGAATCGAACACGCAACCTTCTGATCTGGAGTCAGACGCGCTACCATTGCGCCACGGATCCTCGGTGATTGCAACTCTTTGACTAACTAATTATACTAATAGTTAACGAACGATAAAAACCCCTTTCGATTCTACTAATTTTCCGGCGGAACAAATTAGGGTTTATCGTTTGCATCGCTCTCGTCTCTTCTCCCATAGACAGATGTCTCGAATCTTTGTTCGTCGACCATGAAGTCCTAAATTGCAATAGATTACTCGTGAGGAATAGATTGGCCTTTATCGTCTGCCGCTTAATTTCTCCGCCGGACTCTGTTTTAAGGTGAGTGACCCCAAGTATTGTATTTATGGTTTGAATGATGCTCTTATGTCTTGTTGTTAGCTTAGGTTTTACCTTCAGCCATTTATTTAGGATTATAAAAAAGGGTCACCTTGTTTTAAGCAGTTAATCTCTGAATCTTGGAAACTTGCTCTTCTCTTAGGATGGAGGAATTAAGCCAAATCTTGAAGAACAATAGGACGGATGATCTCACTTGGTTTTGCTCTCTCTCTGAATCTGAACTGGTAAATTCTCCTTCTTTCATCAGTCAAGCAAACATTGGTACCCATATCCGCCCAACTTGTTTTTGCAGGATCTGCTCATCAGCTTAAAGAAGCTAGCCATTCAACGCGCCAAAATAAGTGCTCACCAACAACTAGCTGACAAATTTGATCTCAAGTTGCTCCGAGCTCTCGGTTCTCTTCTAACTTCCCAGACTTTTATAAATGTTGCACAATCATGATAATTGTTATTGTCTATTATTAGACATGATGATTTTTCTGTGAATCTTTTAATCCTTGACCTTATGAAAAAGGTATGTTATTCTGCAGGGCTTGTGCTAATGGAGTTCGTGAAAAAAAGGGTACAAGATGATACTTGTCTTGCCCCAAGTGTTGTTCATCAGCTCAGGCTTTTGGATAACTGCAATTTGTTGAAAACGCATGAAGATGATACTGTAGACATGGAGGAGATTCTGACTCAAATCTGCGATAACAAATCCAAAAAGAAAGCACCGAAAAGGTTGGTACGGGAGTCTAAACAGTAGGCGGAAAGACCTTAGTGTATTCGATGCTAGATTTTTATGCTTTCCTTTTGTGTTTGAAGGAGGCGGTAGCAGCTAGCTGTTGCAATGGATGGGGAGCTCCGACTGCTTTAAAATGAACAGTGAGAGGAAGAAATCAGGATGCTCAGCAGCAGGAGTACAAGAAGATGGAGTTGGCCAAGAATGCTCGGTGTTTGGTCATTCTTCTTGATGCACGGTGGTTGCAACTGTAAATGTTTGTAATTTTGATTGATGATGGTGTCCTTACTTGTGATTTCCTTTAAGTAGTTGATATAGCAAAATTAGATACTTTGTGGTCTCTGGCCAAAATTTTGAAAAATTGTATTATTGTATGGTTCATATTTAATCAAAGAGATCATTTCTTGATTTGAATGGCAAACTTTGTGGATGTATACAGATATATATATAAAGGGAATCATAACAATGTGGGTCAGTTTGATAGACTTGATGACTTTGGTGTTTGTGTATAATAGGGCAAAGGCTCTGCAACAAAAATTCGCAAGCACCACTGGTTACTGGAACAAAAGCTCCTCAACTTTGTGGATGCTTTTCATCAATACGCAATGGACAGGGTATTGTCTGATGCTAAGTGATTGGTTTCTAATTAGTAGTATCATTTTGTCGTTGGAGAAATATAAGTTTGTGCTAGAAATATGGCAAAATTGAAAGCCGATCTCATGGCTTGAATAAGATGAAAAGCTTATCATGCTTAACTGTATTTTATAAACAGGTATATCACACTGCGTGGCGTGAACTGTGCGAAGCTATATATATAATTGATTAATGCTTAATGAGGGAATGGAACTTGCAGGTATTATCTTCGAAGCTGAATGTGGGACACTTCCCTCATTTGGCTGATTTGGTGACCAGAATCAATTACAATTATCACTACATGTCAGACACTGGAAGCTTGATGACTAGTGATGGAGGAGAGACCAACTCATCCAGACCCTGGACTGCCAAATCTGATGTATGAATGGACCGGGAATTTATCGGAAATGTTGGATCGTCGCAACTATCACGCTTCATTCTTCAAGTCTCAGGCTTGACTTGAGGCTGGTATCTACTGTTTATAAGATTCATTGTTTTGAAATAGATATTGTACAAAAATGCTATCAAGGTTTGTTTTTTTGTACTATGTTTAACCGGAAATCATCAAGTTTAAACTCTAATCGCGTGACCCCTACTATTATGCAATATTTGATAATTTAGCATTAACTAAAAAAAAAGAGAGACTATAATTAAGGTTATAGGTTTTGAGTTAATTACGAAAGGCCCATTTTTATGATGCAATTAAGCAAACCTTGTTGGAGGACAAAATGGTCAAAAGAAAGAAAACGTAAAACCCTAAAACATTTATTTTACACTCGACTTGTCTCAATTCTCTCATAAACCCTTGTAGGCTCTCTACTCTCTAGCTCACATCCCATTTCTTGATCGGCTCGCGCACTGTGTGTTTACTTACACGTAATCTTCTAGCTTCTTCTGTTTTCCTTGTCTAATTCTCGATTTTCTCTTTTTATGGGTCAGATCGTTTCATTGAAAGGCATAACCTTTCTTTTGAATCTGATTAAAATGCTATTGTTAATCTGATTTTTGTTGGGTGTCTTTTTTTCTTGAAAGAGTAGGTAATTTCCGGAGAAAATCAACAGAGGAAGCATGTTCGCTCTTTCCAAGGTTTTGCGGAGGTAAGGATCTCCGTTTTTGTTCTAAATAAGTGTTAGAGATGTCGCTATTCAATGGCAGGGAAACAGATTTCCAATAAAATTGAAATTGAAGCATGCTTTTGATTTGCCATTGAAATATCTGTGTTGATTAGCACTCTTTTTCCAACTTTTTTTTGGTGTTGTTGTCAATTTTACAGAACGCAGAGACTCCGACTGGGAGCTTGTTCTGCTGTGTACTCAAAAGATATACAATCAGGAGGAGAAATGAGCTTTGTCTCTCTTGATTCCAATTCGACTGTTTCTAATAAACGTGAAGCTGTGCCAAGATTTTACGAGATCTTCTCTTTGAGTAATCGTGCACTTTCCTCCAATGCTGGCACTAAAAGCGATCAAGAGGAAGACGACCTCGAAGACGGTTTCTCAGAACTGGGAAGTTCAAAGTCTGCCCAAGATACAATTAGTGATGATGATGAGGGAAAGCTCTCCGCTGATGAAGATGAGACTGAAGAAGAAGAACTAGAACTAGACCTCATTGATAGTAATAAAACTGTTGAAAAGAAACCATCTGAGCTATTTAAGACCATTGTCTCCGCACCAGGTCTGTCTATAGGTAGTGCACTTGATAAGTGGGTGGAAGAAGGAAATGAGATCACTCGAGTCGAGGTTGCTAAGGCAATGCTCCAGCTGCGCAGGCGTCGCATGTATGGAAGAGCGTTACAGGTAATTCTCTTCTTACTTGTCATTTAAATTTCTGTATTTCAAGTCCTTACGTTCATTTCTTTTCTGTTTGTATAGTTGTCAGAATGGTTGGAAGCAAATAAGAAAATTGAAATGAATGAGAGAGATTATTCTTCTCGGTTAGATCTGACAGTTAAGATACGTGGCTTAGAAAATGGAGAAGCTTATATGCAAAAGATCCCGAAATCTTTCAAAGGGGAAGTGATTTACCGTACCCTCTTGGCGAACTGTGTGGCTGCTGGCAATGTGAAGAAATCCGAACTGGTGTTCAACAGAATGAAGGACTTGGGATTCCCTCTCTCTGGATTTACTTGTGATCAGATGCTTCTCCTCTACAAGAGGATCGACAGGAAGAAAATTGCTGATGTGCTATTGCTCATGGAGAAAGAAAATGTCAAGCCAAGTCTTCTCACTTACAAAATCCTGATTGATGTCAAAGGGGCAACAAATGACATAAGTGGGATGGAGCAAATTTTGGAGACAATGAAAGATGAAGGTGTTGAACCGGACTTCCAGACACAAGCTCTCACTGCTAGACACTATTCGGGAGCTGGGCTTAAAGAGAAAGCCGAGAAAGTCTTGAAAGAGATGGAAGGTGAAAGCTTAGAGGCAAATCGCCGGGCATTCAAAGATTTGCTCTCCATCTATGCCTCTCTTGGGAGAGAAGATGAAGTGAAGAGAATATGGAAGATCTGTGAATCAAAGCCTTACTTTGAGGAATCCCTTGCTGCAATCCACGCTTTTGGAAAGCTCAATAAAGTGCAAGAAGCAGAGGCGATTTTTGAGAAGATTGTGACGATGGGCAGAAGAGCTTCTTCTAATACTTACTCCGTTCTCTTGAGGGTTTACGTAGATCACAAGATGCTCTCAAAGGGTAAGGATCTCGTTAAACGAATGGCTGAGAGCGGTTGCAGGATCGAGGCAACGACATGGGATGCACTCATCAAGCTCTATGTGGAAGCTGGGGAAGTTGAAAAGGCTGATTCTTTGCTGGACAAGGCATCAAAACAGAGCCATACAAAACTGATGATGAACTCCTTCATGTATATCATGGACGAATACTCAAAACGGGGAGATGTTCATAACACAGAGAAGATATTCCTAAAAATGAGGGAAGTTGGGTATACATCTCGGCTTAGGCAGTTCCAAGCCCTCCTGCAGGCTTACATAAACGCCAAAGCCCCTGCATATGGAATGCGAGATAGAATGAAGGCCGATAATATCTTTCCAAACAAATCCATGGCTGCACAGTTGGCTCAAGGTGATCCATTTAAGAAGACAGCTATCTCTGATATTCTGGATTGAGTAGTCTCTCTCTCTCTTCACTTTTCTTATTTCTCCTTGCAAGAAGTATCTCATTTGTCGTCCTAACGTTTAGTTTAAGAATCTGCTTAGTTGCTGTGTTTTTAATGTTTCTGTTGGGTTCTTTGGTGATCACACTTCAGAGACCTTTAAGTCTCGTGACCTTTATGAGTACACGAAGAGTTACAATAGAATGACATTTTCAAGCTCAGCCACTCTTCATTTAAGTGGAAAATAAACAGAATTATTCCAAACCATTAACAACTCTGATGAGAAAAACAGAGAATGATACATTAACTCTGCTTATAATGAATACAGAATTACCAAGACCTCAAAATCACCCCAACTTGTTTCCTTTTGGGGCAGATTAAAAAAACCCGCAAACACTAATCGATTGTGAGCTAAGAAGACAACTACAAGTGATCACTGTGTCACTCACTCCTCACTAAGTACAAGTCTGCTAATGAATGGGGACATGGCTGCAAGAAGCGCCTTGGGACACTCCTCATGTGGCAGATGTCCGCATCCTGAGATTGCTACTAGCCTCTGTTTGTTGGCATGTATAATGTTAGTTGCGTATCAAGAGAGTTTATGTGTTTGATTAGATATATAGAGGACTTACAGAGTTTACGAGTTTTGAAGCCATGACTTGGGAGGACTTGAGGGGAACAAGTGCGTCTTCTGCTCCAGCAACGACTAATACTGGTAAGTTTTCCACTGCCTTGAGAAGTGACAATGCATTTTGAGTTGGAAGCACCATCTCGGATGAGAGTCTGCCTATCTCGTGAAGCGCCTCATCCCAGCCTTCCACATGAAGTGGTGCCTTGTATAGCCTTAAGACATCTGTTGTCATCTTGGCAGGATCATACCAAGCTCGGCGATTCACCATTTGAGCTATTTCAGTGCGTAAAAGCGGACGAACGAGGTGTTTCTTTCCTAGTGATGTGTGCAGAAGTATTCTTGCAAAAGCTGGCACTACTTCCCTCGTCAAGCTTACATTAAGCAAAACCACTCCTTTTACATTGATGGGATCTTTTGATTCTTGCAATCTTTGTGCAGCCTTGAGAGCAAGCAAACCTCCATCATCATGGCCAACCAAGACTACAGAAGCAAATCCCATTTCGTGGCAAAAAGCAAGAAGCATATCTACCTGAAAACATCAGCAGATCATTGAATTTTAACATTTCTTTTTAAGTGCAAAGACAAAGCTCCCATGAGTAATAAATATAGTCCGGAATTGAAGAGATATTTACCTGATTTTCCAGAGTGTAAGGGTTAGGCATCTCTCTTTCTTCCAAATCCTTTTTATGAGGTCTGGCGGTTAATCCCCAACCAGGCCTATCAAATGCAGTGACAACACAGCCAAGCTGATGGCCAAGAGAAGCCATCACATGTCTCCAAGAAAACACTCCTCCGCCAAATCCATGGACCAACACTACACCAAATTGACCGCTTCCACCCGCATTTTGCTGTTCCGTGGCACCAAAATTGGACACATTGATGACTTCCTCTCGGCACGCTTCTTCCTGAACATCTTTGAAAATACGAGGAGAAGTAGGAGAACCATCTAGGAGAGGGTCGTGCAAGGAAGAAGAATTGTTAAAGAGACTGCTGTAGCTCCTATGGTGGTGATGATTGAGCTTGTTTCTCGTGACCATGCTCAATATATTTCTGTCAAGCTTCAACCTTCCCGCCATGGCCTCTGGCATGTTAAGCATAGAGTTGGCTTCAACTGTTGAGTGGCGAGGAGAACCAGGTGTGCAAATCTTGTAATGCACAGTGAGCCCTCTGACTGTAATGAATAAGCTGTCAAGATCAGCAAGCAATCTCGCAGGAAGCTCTCCTTCATCGTTGGATGCTGAAGGATGTAGCTTTCGTCTTGCCTCGCCATCAATCTTGGAGGCCTTTCCTACCAAAGGAATTGGAGAACGTGGGACTTTCTGGTAACCAGAGAAGACACTTTTGCAAGAAAGAACCTGCAACACAGTCAATAAGATAACAGATCTCCAGTTAAACAAAGATCAAAGCTTTGGAGCAAAAAAAGAAGAAGATAATAAACTCACAGCTTCAGGGTCCACTCTGTGATACAAGAGTTTCCTCCTAGCTCTGCAACTTGTTCTGTAAGCAACAACTATATGACCAAGAGCAAAAACCACAGATGAAAGGAACAAAACTGGCATCCCCCAAGACTTCTTCAGATGGAGTCGTTGCCTTGACGGAGAGGACGAGGCTTCGGCGTTAAGTTGAGAATTTGCAGTAAAAACGCAAGCTTTTACTGATAGAAGAATAATTGAAACAACAGAACACAGCGACACAGTTCCTAGGTAAGGGCCGTGCGAAAGTGCAGGAGCATCGGATAGAGAGTAGACACCTGTACATGAACAGAACAATACTATCAGATCGAGAACAAGCAAAACTCAGAAAGATAGAGGAGGATGGTCCTTACAGATGACAAGGAAAGATCTGACGAGGGAGACAAGAGGAATATCAGTCAGAGAGCTCTTGAAAGCGTATCGACTCAGATGCTCCTTAAAGCCGTAGCACGTCAAACAAGTAAAGCTCGAAAGCAAAAAGGTCGGAACCAACACGTCGCCGATGGCAACAAGCACAGGCAACGAAGAAACTAACAGCGAGGCCAACATCGCAACCATGAAGAAAACCGTCCTTAAGCATCTTCTCGCTTTCTCTACGATAAACCAACCTTTCCCCATTCTTTCCCCAAAATATTCAAATCGGAGATCGTTGGATTGAATCCGATACAGATCCTTAAATTATGTGGGAGTTGGAACCCTAGAGAGAAGAAAAGGAAACGACCAACAATCCACCAACTTCGGAGGATTTCGCGACGAAGGTGGTGGCGAGTTGGCCATAAGCCGGCGGCGAGGATGAAGAGAAAAAAAAAGGAGACCCCTTTTATTACACAATGAGAGAGACGGATCAAAAAAGAGGGAAAGCCATTGCTACGATTCTGAATGAAGATGAAAAGCTTGAGGAATTTCAGAATCGCAGGAACGGCGAAACAAGGAAGAGAAAAAAAAAGAGAAACTTTTGGAATTACAAAAACAAAAACCTCCGTTTTCTTCTGCTCCTTTTTTTCTCTGCAACGTTTGTTTCTCTCTCTCTTTTTATTTAAAACACATACAGATACAGTACATATAAGTATAGTATTATTAAGAATATTCAATTTCATTAATTAATTAATTTCTTTGTTTACGTATATTTTGCACGATTCTGCTCGGGCCTATCAGTTTACCATTTACCAGAAAGTCTTAATTGGCCTAATATATATATACCCTTGATATTATAAATACATATAAAAAAAGGAAATGCGACTATTACTTAGCTGGTTTATACCATCATCTATTAAAATTAGTAGTAGATGCTTATATTTATAGAAATAATCTTTCTTTTTCTGGAAATAATGTTTTTTTAGAAAGTAAAATATTTTTCTATAAAATCTTTCTTACCCTATGATAAGACATGCATTTTCTGTATTAAGGAAAATTCATATCTGAGTTAAAGAAAAAGGAAAACAATGTAGATGACGGTTATACCCCTATAGAGAAGTACTGTAACAGTGACAACGGATAGCGGGAGGAACGAGGCCGTTTCTTTTTTTATTAATTATTATTCTTAGTATTTTATTATTTTGTGACCGTTAACTTTCAAAGTTGGATTTCGTGAGGTTTTTTTCTGAAGATTCTTGTCGGGGACCATTTTATTTACATAGCAGTCCCTACATTCCTCCTCTTTTCCCAATCACTGTCTATATCTTAAATTAACAATATGGGCCATCCATTACTCGTATCGCTTTTTCACATGTTATATGCATAAATTAAGTGTCACCAAACTATCTTGTTGTAACTAGAAAGAAATTTTGTGTAATCCGACTATAATGTCACTTAAGTCAAGTCACAAAGATCAATGTATATACTAATCAAATCACATGCCTAGCTAGTTGATGGAACAAGGTTTGCTGATATAGGTGCTTTAGTTTTGTTGACCATAGAGACAACCCAAATGCATGAAAGTTCAAACACAACACACACACTTATAGTAGAGAGAGATAGATTGAATATATAAAAGGGAAACTACCCAACTGAAAAAGAGCAAAGATCACGTGCATGGGTCCCAAATTCACTCTCTGCACTTTCACGGTTTGAGCAGCTCACATGGGACCATACCTGCTGCCGCATCTAAAGCTGCCCGATGTACAAACCCCTTCGCTTCCCCACCATTTACTCACTTTCATGCATCTCTCACTCCCTATGTTGCAATTTTTTTTTCTTGGGGCAAAAGGTTTATAACTAGATCTCAATATTCATTCGTTTGTTTTTTGTCTCCGTTTCTATCTACAATGGAATCCGAGGCAGAGGATTCTGTCATGACTTGTTGATATTGAATAATGTTTGTGCTTGAAATCTGAAGACTAATTTATTAATTAGGCAGTAGTGTACCTATGACTTTGCTTAAAATAAACGACCAACTTGTTTCTGTGCTTTGTCATTGAGTTAAATGACACACATGTTTTGTCGGTATAAGTGTGCTGTGCTGTGCTGGCTTATAACAAACTAGACACTCTATATAGCCTAGCATTTCACCTAACTCTCCCGTTTTGTTAGTTAAATGGTTACATTCCTATACTCCTCAAGTAAGTCGTTAACATACCCAGAAAAGATGTATGGGCTTCGTTTTTTTTTTACGCCAAGTGGGCTTAGTTACATTTCTTATAGGGCTTTATTAATAAAAACCCACACGGTCGCGCTTACTTTTAGATTCATGTGCGCCGTTGATTTAGCCTCGAACCGCCTAAGATGATGGTCCAACACCAACTAGTCAATCGGAATTCCAATTCTCTCCGTCGAGAGATTCCGATGCCGGAATACCATCAGCTCCTGCTTCTCCCGAGGTAATTCTCTCTATGCCTGTTTCTTTGTTGACATAGACACACGCACGCTTATAGGAAACGAAACTGCGATCCATCCTCGAATGCAACATCCATCGTTCTTCTCTGTTTCATCGAGGAAAACTAGGTTGATATGGGAGTTACTAGAAATAGGTTCTATATCTGCTTCCTGTTCGTTGTTACGGATCTCGTGTTCTGCCGCACGCTCTCAGGGGATCCGGATCCATGTGATTCAACGAAGCAGATAGAATTTCAGAAACTAAGATCGGATCAGATCACCGTTCTAATCAACGGTTACTCTGAATACCGGATTCCTCTTCTGCAAACCATCGTGGCCTCGTATTCTTCATCCTCAATCGTATCATCCATCTTAGTCCTTTGGGGTAACCCTAGCACACCTGATCAACTACTTGACCACTTGTATCAGAATCTCACTCAGTATTCGCCTGGTTCTGCTTCCATCTCTCTAATCCAGCAATCTTCGAGCAGCCTCAACGCCAGATTCCTGCCTCGTTCCTCTGTAGACACTCGTGCTGTTCTGATATGTGATGATGATGTCGAGATTGACCGGAGATCGTTGGAGTTCGCATTTTCCGTGTGGAAGTCCAATCCTGATCGTCTTGTAGGAACGTTTGTGAGGTCACACGGTTTCGATTTGCAGGGAAAAGAGTGGATATACACTGTTCATCCAGATAAATACTCCATTGTGCTGACCAAGTTCATGATGATGAAACAAGATTATCTGTTTGAGTATAGCTGCAAGGGAGGTGCGGAGATGGAGGAGATGAGGATGGTTGTGGACCGAATGCGTAACTGCGAGGATATACTGATGAATTTTGTAGCTGCGGATAGGTTAAGGGCAGGGCCAATCATGGTTGGAGCAGAGAGAGTTAGGGATTGGGGAGATGCGCGTAACGTAGAAGAACAAGTAGTTGATGAGAGAGTAAGAGATGCAGGATTGAGCAGTAGAAGAGTGGAACATAGGAAGAGAAGAGGGAAGTGCATCAGGGAGTTTCATAGAGTTATGGGGAAGATGCCATTGATGTATAGTTATGGTAAAGTTGTCAACTCTGTTGGGGAACAAGGATTGTGTCGTAAAGCCGGAAAGCTTGTGTTTTGTGACCGAGATTGAACGCTCTCTATACAGTAGTTTTTAAATTCGTTATCTTAAAATCCTAAAAGGATGTGCAAGTTCATCAATCGTATACTGTAATGGCAACATGGAAACTAAAAGAAGCAGCAGTAGAGTAAAATTGAGTTTTTCTAAAAGAAGAAGCTGGCCTTTGAGAATACTGTCCGTTTGTAAATGGGCTTTCAAACTATACAGGCCGCATTAGACATAACTGAATCCAGATCTCTCAGATTCTGGACCAAACTCAAAGATAAAAGCATAAAATGTAAAATCTATTTAACTAGGATTCTTTTTTTTTATATAGCATTACTTAAACAGTTAAACTACAAATAATTCTTCGTTTTTTTCCTTAGTTAAATTATTAACCAATAACATGAAAAAGTGTATACGAATATATGTAAAACAAATAAAACTGTGTGTATTTTACAAAATTATAAAATGGTAAATTTATAGCGTGTAGGCGTTACCTACTATGTTATCATTTTGTATACAAAAAAAAAGAAAGAAAAAAAGGTGCTTAATAAGTTAAAAATGGCGTGGCAAATACGGAGCCGTCGGAGGATTTTGGTTTTAGAATAAAAAGACAAAAAGAGAGAAATATCTAAAAATGCGGGAACGAGGCAGCAGCTGTCACAGCCGCAGGTAGTGGTGACGTGTCTCCATAAAACACCGTTTATGTGCCTTTGGTAAAAGTGCCTCCTTACGTTCATCTCTAAAACCGTTAGCTTTGGGCCACGTGGAAGAAATCAGTACCGTTGCGATGTTAAAAAAGGGTTAGTAGTAGTAGTACTTCTCGTGAGATGATTTGGTCCCACTTTACTCAAAGAAAAGAATCAAGAGGAGAGAGTATCGGTATCGGATCTTCCTAAACCATAAACAATGCAGCAGCAACACGCTCCATGCCTTTGGATATTTCTTTGGCAACTTGTAAAACTGACAATCGGAGCCGTCTCTTTCATCCCACGGCTCTCGATTATCCTCTCAAACATATATATCGACTTGCTCGTGTACATGTGTTTCACAAAATATGTTTTTATTTTCTAAAATGTTGCACTATTTGGTGGACCTAAATATGATAAACTCCAATAAACAAACTAATGATGCCGCCCGATGACCCATTCAAATATAGTTGGTGGTGTCTTTGTCCTAAGTACTTGCATTTTCTTAAAAATAGCTTCTGAAAAAAAATTATAATCGAAACACCTACATGCACCTCTTGAAAAATAGTTCCATTTTCTTATCAACGAATATATTTATTGATGTATATTATTTCACAACGAATATATGTTTTCTAATTGGTCCCTAGAATATAATTATGCGATATTAAAGTTGGATGCATGGAAAAAAAGATAATTCTCAAAAGGACAAATATTCCACTAAAATGTAATAATGTATAGAGTTTGGTCATCTTATTTCGTTTGACGTCCTTATTTTGGACCGCCGTCGAAAATAAGCGGTCAACTCGGAGGAGGATGCAAATTCTTTTACGTTTAAAAAGGGGAAAAAATTGACATCAAAACAGTTGAGTGTAGATGACTACTTTATTATCGACCAATTAAGGAAAATCATATATTGAAATATGTTTTTCTTTTTTTCCATTTGTAACCAAAACAAGTTACGTAAAAGAAGATGGATGGCACTGTTTTAAACTCCCTCAAATTTGAAAAGCCTTGAAAGTTAATAAATATTTTAATTTTAAAATGACACGTGATTTAATATAGGTAAAGTAATAGCCATTAGCCACCAACTCAAAGAAAAAAGATATAGCCACCAACTACAAAACCTCACAAGAAAAAAAAAACAAAAAAAAAAGTAATACAGTACCCAAAAGGTCATTACGGTCATTAGACTTGTGAAATGGAGGGGCAAATCATGAATTTGAAGGGTACCCTGGAGACTTTTTCTGTGTTGGCTACCATGAAAAAGCTCACATGCTTCGACACACCACCGCAAATTAGTCTCGGATTAAATGCGGATTAGCCTTTTCTTGCATTAAGCAGAGAGTAAAACAGTGAGCGTTACCACATTTCATTTACAAGTGCAAAAAAAAAAATCCTCTCATTTCTACATAACCACATTTGTTAATACTTAATATTCAATTGGCGATACTATATTCTTTCATTGCACTAACCAACCAGTCTCCTTTATCATCTCTCTATCTCATCAACCTCCTCCATTTTCTTCCATTTCTCTTTCTGTGTGTCTGCGGGAGAGATAGAGATAGAGAGATGGAAGCTGCGATTCAAACGAGAGGACTTCTCTCCTTACCCACCAAACCCATCGGAGTGAGAAGCCTTCTTCAGCCTTCCCACGGCTTAAAGCAGAGACTTTTCGCCGCGAAGCCAAGAAATCTACCTGAGTTCTCTCTATCCTTTAACGGGCACAAGAAATTTCAAACCTTTGAGCCAACCCTTCATGGGATTTCAATTTCCCACAAAGAGAGAAGCACCAAGTTCATATGCAAGGCCGAGGCCACGGCCGCTGGCGACGGAGCTGTCTTCGGCGAAGGCGATTCCGCAGCTGTTGTAGCGTCGCCGAAGATTTTCGGTGTGGAGGTTGCAACCTTGAAAAAGATTATCCCTTTAGGATTGATGTTCTTCTGTATTCTTTTCAATTACACAATTCTAAGGGACACAAAGGACGTCTTGGTGGTGACGGCGAAAGGAAGCTCTGCTGAGATTATACCTTTCTTGAAGACTTGGGTGAATCTTCCTATGGCCATTGGGTTTATGCTCCTCTACACTAAACTCTCCAATGTTCTCTCCAAGAAGGCTCTGTTTTACACCGTTATTATCCCTTTCATCGTCTACTTTGGGGCCTTTGGTTTCGTGATGTACCCTCTCAGCAACTACATTCATCCGGAAGCTCTCGCAGATAAGCTCCTTGCAACCCTCGGCCCTAGATTCATGGGTCCTCTTGCAATCTTGCGTATTTGGAGTTTCTGTTTGTTTTATGTCATGGCTGAGCTTTGGGGTAGTGTGGTGATCTCAGTTCTCTTCTGGGGCTTTGCTAATCAGGTGATTAAATTGAACTTGTGCTGATTTATGATCTTCTTACGTTGACTATGGATTTTTGTGTATCTTCTGTTCATTTGTTATTTGACAGACTGGTGTGTTTATGGTTTGATGATTATAGTCTTTGATTGCTACCGAGTTTGATGTGTAATCATGCAGTGAATATTATTACAAGTGGTGATGTGTGAGTTTTATAGCAATGCTTCAATTTCTTTGCAGATCACAACTGTGGATGAAGCCAAGAAATTCTATCCTTTGTTCGGACTTGGAGCCAATGTTGCGCTGATTTTCTCAGGAAGAACCGTGAAATACTTCTCTAACTTGAGAAAGAATCTTGGTCCTGGAGTTGACGGCTGGGCAGTTTCGTTGAAAGCCATGATGAGTATTGTCGTGGGAATGGGGCTCGCCATCTGTTTCCTCTACTGGTGGGTCAATAGATACGTTCCTCTTCCAACCCGCAGCAAGAAGAAGAAGGTATGGTCTGCAGAAATTTTTGTTCTGTTTTTGCAGCTTCTGAGGACTCTTCTTCTGATTTGTTTTCTCTCTGCAACTCTTTTGACAGGAGAAACCGAAGATGGGAACAATGGAAAGCTTGAAGTTCTTGGTGTCATCACCATACATTAGGGATCTTGCTACTTTAGTGGTGGCATACGGTATTAGTATCAACCTTGTGGAAGTCACTTGGAAATCAAAGCTTAAAGCTCAGGTATATACAGCTCCTCATCCATCGTCTCTTCATTCTCGATGCTTCCATTTTCTAAGTTCCTTGCTATGCTCTGCAGTTTCCTAGTCCAAACGAGTACTCAGCATTTATGGGAGACTTCTCAACCTGCACGGGTATTGCAACATTCACAATGATGCTTCTCAGCCAATACGTATTCGATAAGTATGGTTGGGGAGTAGCTGCAAAGATCACCCCAACTGTTCTGCTATTGACTGGTGTTGCGTTCTTCTCTCTGATATTGTTTGGCGGCCCATTCGCACCACTTGTTGCCAAGCTTGGTATGACACCGCTACTCGCAGCTGTGTATGTTGGTGCCCTTCAGAATATTTTCAGCAAGAGTGCCAAGTACAGCTTGTTCGATCCTTGCAAAGAAATGGCCTATATCCCATTGGATGAGGACACCAAGGTTTGCTAACTTTTCTCTCTTTTAAGGAATCCATATGACATGAAAGCTGTGTGGGTTCTTTAGCTTTGGGTTTGAGCCATTGTGATGTGTTGCAGGTTAAAGGCAAAGCTGCAATTGATGTGGTCTGCAACCCGTTAGGGAAATCAGGAGGAGCTTTAATACAGCAGTTCATGATCTTATCATTTGGATCACTAGCGAATTCAACTCCGTATCTAGGAATGATCTTGTTGGTAATTGTCACTGCCTGGTTGGCAGCAGCTAAGTCGCTGGAGGGACAGTTCAACAGCTTGCGGTCTGAAGAAGAGCTTGAGAAGGAAATGGAGAGAGCTTCATCGGTGAAGATCCCTGTCGTGTCTCAGGAAGAAAGCGGGAACGGTTCCCTTGGAGAATCTCCTAGCAGTTCGCCAGAGAAATCTGCTCCCACCAACTTATAAAAAGTTTTTTTTTGATATTTGGTTTTGTTGGGGGGATTTTAGTGGGAAAGAAAGAAGGATGATGAATCAAAAATAATATTTTGAGACCAGTCTCACAAACAATCGCCCTTTTGCAATTGCACCACCACCTCTTTATAGTCGGTAGCTTTTTTTCTTACATTCTTTTCAGTTCAATGTGGTTTTACGTTCTAAGTTTGTTCCTTGTGTGTATCCTTCAAGTCAAAAAAAGATAAATAAATTAGATTTAGTTCTACTCCTAACATTTTCAGAGTAAGAATGAATGAAGTTGGGTATAGTTCCTTGGAATAAAACTAAGATGAGATATTGAAATTCTGGAGACATAGTCAGATAGCTCATTTCTTCTGATTAACATCAACCAAATGGAGGAGTGTTTGAAATACACACACTGCGTCAGTGAGTCTCTCTTACTACCTGAAAAAAGGAAAGCGTTTGCGCGGAAAAAACGGCAGGTAGTTGAACCGTTGAAACAATTTTTCACATGGTCCCGGGAAATTTCAATAAATTCTTTTATTTTTAGATACAACAAATTAGAGCAAATTTCTTATGGTTATATTTATTTGCACGTCGTTAAAACATTGGACTCGTCGATGTCTGAAAAGCCGTCTTTTATCCAACTTCTCCGGGGATTCCCAATCTTTTTATCCTTCTTATAAAAACAGAATTGTCAACAGAGAGAGAGAGCGAGAGAGCTTTCTCTTTAGATCCAATCATGGAGCCAACTACCACTCCTCTGCTCCCCGGTGATCGTGGCCGATGCGGGTGGCTCCGCCGTCGTCTCCGCCTCAAAAACCCTCTCTCTTCTGAACTCTCCGGCGCTGTCGGTGATCTCGGCACCTTCATCCCCATCGTCCTTACACTAACTCTAGTCTCCAATCTCGATCTCTCCACCACTCTCATCTTCACAGGTTTCTACAACATCGCCACCGGTCTCCTCTTTGACATCCCTATGCCCGTCCAGCCCATGAAATCCATCGCCGCCGTCGCTGTCTCCGAATCCCCACACCTAACTCCTTCTCAGATTGCCGCCGCCGGAGCATCCACTGCCGCCACGCTTCTCCTCCTTGGCGCCACCGGAGCCATGTCTTTCCTCTACAACCTCATCCCTCTCCCAGTCGTACGCGGCGTCCAGCTTTCTCAGGGTCTTCAGTTCGCCTTCACCGCCATCAAATACGTCAGGTTTAATTACGACGCTGCTACTCTCAAACCCTCTTCTTCTCCTCGTACTTGGCTTGGCCTCGACGGCCTTATCTTGGCTCTAGCTGCTCTGCTCTTCATCATTTTGTCCACCGGCTCTGGCTACGACAGAGACGCCGAAGATGGAGATCTTGCCGAGACTTCCAGCAACCAAAGCCAGTCTCGGAGGAGGAGACTGCGTCTTCTGTCTTCGATTCCATCTGCGCTAATCGTCTTCGCAATCGGGTTGGTGCTCTGTTTCATACGCGATCCGTCCATTTTCAAAGACCTTAAATTTGGTCCAGCGAAGTTCCACATTCTGAGAATCAGTTGGGATGATTGGAAAATCGGGTTTGTGAGGGCAGCGATTCCTCAGATTCCACTCTCTGTACTGAACTCAGTGATCGCCGTTTGCAAACTATCCAACGACTTGTTCGACAAGGAACTCTCCGCGACTACAGTGTCCATCAGCGTTGGGGTGATGAACTTAATCGGGTGCTGGTTTGGTGCTATGCCTGTCTGTCACGGTGCTGGCGGGTTAGCTGGGCAGTACCGGTTCGGGGCAAGGAGTGGATTGTCTGTTATCTTTCTCGGGATTGGGAAACTGATTGTGGGTCTGGTGTTTGGAAACTCGTTTGTAAGGATTCTGAGCCAGTTTCCGATTGGAATTTTGGGGGTTCTGCTGCTATTCGCGGGGATCGAACTGGCAATGGCTTCCAAAGACATGAACACCAAAGAAGATTCCTTCATCATGTTGGTCTGCGCCGCTGTGTCGATGACCGGCTCGAGTGCCGCCTTAGGATTTGGGTGTGGAGTTGTTCTTTACTTGTTACTGAAGCTAAGAACATTAGACTGTTCTTCGGTTACTCTGTTTTCCCAGTCAAATGATGGATCGCGGGACGATTCCGAAGCCGCTCCTCGCGCGGTCTAAATCACTCTGATGTGTGGCAGCTTCGAGTGCGTCTTCTGTCTTCGATTCCATCTGCGGTCATCGGGTTGGTGCCCTGTTTCATTGAGTGTATTGAGATGTGAAACCATTAATCAATGTTTTTTTTTTTTTTGACAATCCCATTAATCAATGTTTTCATTGCTCAACTTTGTGCTTAAGATTATAATAAACTGGTATGATTAAGGACTAATATTGACAAAAAAATTAACTAAAGAAAATCATAAGGCTGACGCATAAAAGAGCCAAAACTGGATCTCTCCCAAGTATTGTCCTTTCTATAAAGAATCGAATCCCCAATCCACTGTGAATGTACAATTGACTTTGACGCCTACTGATTTACATGTTTCTATAAATGCAATGCTAGAGTAAGCTGTAAAATCATCACCTGACCTTTCGGCTATCCACTCCAATGGACTCACATGAAGAGCAATGCTTACCTATCCTGGACTTCTCCGGCGATAAACTAGTGACAGGCACGAGTCACTGGATCACGACCAGGGACAATGTCAGAAGAGCCATGGAGGAGCAGGGTTGGTTTGTGGCAGAGTTCAATGGCGTCTCATGTGACCTCAGGGACAAGTTGCTGGCCGGCATGAAGGAGATGTATGATCTCCCAGACCAAATCAAAATCAAGAACGAGAACCACAAGGCCTCCCATGGCTACATGTCTATGGTCGTTGACGATTACCGGATCCATGAGAGCTTGGGGATCGACTATGCAACCGAGCACCAAGCTTGCAAAGATTTCTCTAAACTACTCTGGCCACAAGGAAATGATCCCTTCTGGTAAAAGAAAACCAAGACTTTCGTTTCATTCATGTCTTTGTTGACACTTATCAGAGTTGATATATGATTTGCAGTCAAACGACGCATATGTATGCAACGGCAATGGCAGAGCTAGACCAGACGGTGATGAGGATGCTGTTTGAGAGCTATGGAATGGATGAGAAGAAGCATTCTGCGAGTCATTCCGAGTCAACTCGATACCTGTTGAGGATGCTGAGTTACAGGAGACAGCAAAACGGTGAAGCAAACACTGGCTTTGTATCACACACTGATAAGAGCTTCATGAGTATCCTCCACCAGAACCACGTCGGAGGTCTCCAGTTGAAAACCATGACCGGTCAATGGGTCGGGTTTAACCCGTCCCCAACAAGATTCGTCGTTCTCTCCGGCATGGGTCTCACGGTGAGTTCTGAACCAAATTGAACTGTAAACGCATTCGATTCGAATTTCACCATAAACGTATTAAAGAACTCAACTTCACCCTAAACCCACTCACTACTAGCAATAAATTTGAAATCTTTGTTGTTGATGAAGCTAGGCGTGGAGTAACGATAGGATAAAGGCATGTTACCACAAAGTAGTGATGAGCGCAGATGAGATTCGATACTCTTTAGGGTTTTTCTCCTTCCACAAAGGAACTATTCGTACGCCGGAGGAGCTCGTCGATGACCAACATCCCCTCCGCTACAATCCTTTCGAGCACGACGGCCTCTTACGCTTTTACGAGTCGTACCTCAATTCTCTCAAGAAATCCAGCGAAGATCTTCTCCAGATCTACTGCGGCGTCAATCCCTAATCGCCGCCGCAATCAGATAATAACCGTTCTCCAGATCTACTGCGGCGTCAATCCCTAATCGCCGCCGCAATCAGATAATAACCGGCGATTAGAAAAAAATGTGGTTGCTAAGTATTCATGTGTATTAAATTTGGTTCATTATGTGTTTAATATAATACAGTAACTCTTTTTTTGTAATAATTAAGTAGAAGATTCGCATTTAATTTTAGTTTTTATTCAGAGGGTAACATAAATATTGGAGAAGGAGATTTAATTGGTAGGATTAACGATCCTAATTGCGTCCAATGCCTTGTCGAAAACCTCATACTTTATTTGGAGGTATTCCTTCCATGTGATTGATCGGTATAGAGACGGTTCAACCGGACCGATTAACTTAGATATAGGTGTGATTTGCACATCACCAGATGGACCACCCCACAAGTACGCAATCGAAATTCTTGACCGAGTATGGTTGACTTTGGCTCGGTGAACCACGCTTGGGATTTTCCCGTTTGATAAGATGTGAAAGAGATCGCCCATGTTGACCACGAGGACACCAGGAACTGGCTCAACCGTAACCCAACCGGACTCTTCCCTGAACACTTGTAGCCCTCCCGTGTTGCTCTGGTGCAGAATGGTTAGGATAGTGGAGTCTGTATGAGCGGCTAAACCCATGGCCCGTTCTGGTTCAGGACAAACCGGGTAATGGTTTAGTCGTATGGCGCCTCGGCCCACTTTTGTACCAGATTTCTCTAGCTTGTGAGCCCATTCAATGTCTTCCACGGTGACACCAAGTGAGCCTAATATGCAAGACAGAAGTTTGCTCGCTAATTTTTCCATTTCGTCCACGTATTCTTCCATTATTCTGCTGCACAGTACCAAAAATGAAAAGCCGTGGAGGGTTAGATAAGCCAAATTATTCACATTTGAAAGAGACTTCTCTGTATATATAATATTGTTACATGTATATATACATTAAGAAGTACTACATAAATTATATGTTGCCCAGATCATTTAAAATACTTTGAAGACTAAAATGCATGTGTACTAATCATAAACATTAATAGGTCTGAACACTTAAAACACTTTCAATCATAACTAAGTACAATTTCTTCCTTTGCCACACTTTTGCGGAATAAGCAATAATATACGTGTTTAGTGGACGTTACCAATACTTGGTGTGATCATGAGGCCAAAGAGAAATGAAATGGTTGCGATAGGAGGCATCGGCTATCGTGAACCCTTCAGACCACATTTTCTTCTCGAAAAAGGGAGAGATTCGAGGTTCTCCGTAGCCACTAACTCCTTTATCGGAGGAAGCCGCTTCAAGCTTCCTCTCTGACGGCATATCGAAAAGGGTTTTGGAAAGAGACTCGATATCGTCGAGGAGCTTCTGAGAGATCCCGTGGTTGGCTATCTGAAACGCTCCCCACGTTTTACACGCATTTCCTATGAGGGTGGTGACGTCAGAATCGGAGAGGTCGATCACCGGAATGGACTCTTCCACTGCACCGAAGGAGACGGCAGAGGAAGGAGGCAGAACGGAGTCAGCGGCGGTGAGTTTCCAGGTGAACGAGTCGGGGAGTGTTTGGAGACTGCCTAAGTTTCCAATACATATCTCTTCTGCTATTGAAGGCATGACTTGTGAACTAATGAGAGAATGGGATGCTCACTTGCTCATCACATAAACAATTACTTTGGATTTATATTCATAAATACACACATATGGTATGAATGTATGTAGATCACAACAAGTTTATTACATGCATATATGATGATGAGGATAAAATCAGTTTTAATTCTGTCCTTTTTTGTTGAGCTATTAAACCCCCACCCCCTAAAGACTTTATTAGCAAATGTAGTGATTAGTGAGATATATCCACGTACATCATTAGTTTTTGTATATTATATCAAGTTAAAGTCCTTTTGGTAAAATTCCAAAAAAAAAAATTCTACTATTGGATCCACGTATAATTAAAAAATCCAATTTTTAATTAAACATAAGCAATTAGATTGGATCCACGTACTATCATTAGCAAATAATACGTGGTTTGATTAGCAATATCGTTATGTAATTCCTTATTCACTATAATTGGTGAAATGCCAATTCCTAATTAAATCTAAGCAATTTGTTTGGACCCACGTACTAATGTTACAATTAAAACAAGTGTGTTCATGCATGGTATCAGTTACAATAGGTTTTGTCCCTATTAGTTGTAACAGAGAGCTTTTAATGACCTTTAGATTTTGATTCCTCTAGAGTATGTACTTTGCTTTGTAATTTTATTTTATTTTATTTTTAATCCTTTTTTGTAAATACTTTGTAAAAGCTCGCAAATTGATTATAGTCCGTAAATTTAGTTGTATAGTTCATGTAAAACATCAAAGATTAGCAAGTTTTCATATTTTCGCAAATTTGTGAGAAAAAGAAAAAACTAAACGAGCCTTTTCATGTAACATGTCAATATTAAGTTACTCGTTGTGAATTTGAAGATCCACTCATCTAAAATCTAAACAGTAATAGATATCATATTACTAAGAAAAGAAATAGTAGAATATGAAAATCAAGAAATTTGGTCTGAAGACAGATAATTTTTAATAATGGAAAGAGACTGATTAAAATGAGTAGCTTTGGTAGCAAGGTACTGTTTCCAAGTGAGCGATGGCTAGAGAGGAGATTGGAGAGGATCAACGAGTTTGGGAAGTGGAGAGATCATTAGATCGGATGGTGGACCCCACAGGTAAGCCATTGAGAACCGAGACCGGACGTGGTTAACCCTGGCTCGGTGAAGCACGCTCGGGAAGATTCCGTTGGTTAAAATGTGGAGCAAGTCACCGACGTTGACCACTAGCGAGCCAGGGACAGGTGGCACGGTAACCCAGCCCACGTCATCCCGGAAAACTTGGAGACCGGCGGTGTTGTTCTGGTACAGAATGGTCATGAGGGTTGAGTCGGTATGGGCCGCGAGGCCCATGGCTCTGTCTGGTTCTGGGCATATGGGGTAATGGTTTAGTTGGGTAGCTGCTTGTGTTCCTTGAAAGTCTGAATTAGGTCCGGCCAATTTTATGTCTTTTTCTTCCACTCCCAGTGAACCTAATGCCAACCACATCAACTTGGCTGCCAACTTTTGCATATGTTCTCCATACTCTTCAATAATTTCACTGTTGAATCGATAATGTGAAATTAGTGTCTGAAATCTTGAAAGCTATAGAAATCGTCATGTAACCACAGGAAAATCTTATACTGTATTTCACCTTCTCTCAGTAATATTTATTTTCAGTTAATCTTTGCACAAATGTTACTGAACAGTTTTACTCTTAACTCCAATCCTTGAGTCATAAAAAGTCTTTTATGTATATATATAAATATTATATCATGTAATCTTTTGGTGGGTCCATGAGCTTTCATTGTGCTTTTTACTAACTACGACATGGCAAAAAGTGGTTTCTACTTTTCCCTTTTCGTATTATTCCCGAATCTATATCAATTGAATAGTCAACTGTACTAACGTCCACAGGTGCGTTTTTTTTTTTTCCTTTTTGAGAAAAAACAACACTTATACAAAGATATGTTATACGGTCTTAACGTTAATAAAACGAATCATAGAGAAAGATACCAGTATTTGAGGTGATGGCTGGGCCAGAGTTTACGGAAATCTTGGAGAGGAGAGCCAATAACGGTGAAACCTTCGGACCACATTTTCTTATTAAAGAAAGAAGCAATACGAGCAACGCCGTAGCCGGAGACGCCATTCTCTGACCGAACCGCCTTGAGCTTCCGCTGCACGGGAAGCCGGAAAAGACTTCCGGTGAGGAACTCAATGTCGTCGAGAAGTCGTGAGGGTACGCCGTGGTTGGTGATCTGGAGCGCTCCCCACGTGGTACAAGCATGGCCCACAAGAGTGGTCACGTTGGGATCGGAGAGGTCGATGAGCGGCAGGGTTTCGTCGGAGGCGGAGGCGGAGAAGAGGAGATCATCTTTGGGGGTCCATGTGTAAGAATCTGGGAGGGCTTTGAAGTCCCGTAGGTTTGAGAGTGGGATGTGAATGGGATGCGATCTAAACACATCGCTCAACGTTGAACTCATGCTAAAAGGCTTATGTGTCTGTTAACACTTAGAATTAAGTGTGAGATTTCTCATTAAACTGAAAGTTATGATACAACCGAGTATTTATAGTATTAAGCTAAAGGAGACTTAATACTAAGCATATATTAATATGTTAATACACCCCCCTCAAGCCGAATCATCCGAAGGATTGAAGAGGCTTGACACTGATAGTCGACTGAGGAGTGAGTAGAAAGGACCAGGATGAAGTGGCTTCGTCAATATATCCGCCAGTTGGTTCCCTGTATCAACATGTAAAACCTTCAAGAAGCCATTCTTCACTTGGTCTCGGGTGATATGACAATCGATTTCCACATGCTTCGTTCTCTCATGGAAAACCGGATTGTTGGCTATGTGTGTTGCAGATTTGTTGTCACAGAAGAGTTTTGCTGATGAGTCAATCTTAATGTGAAGATCTCTGAGCATTTGATTGAGCCAAAGAAGTTCCTTCGTAGTCATGGCCATACTCCTATACTCTGCTTCTGTACTACTGCTGCTAACAATATCTTGTTTTCTTGACTTCCATGTAATCAAAGAGTTACCAAGAAAAACACACATCCCTGAAGTAGAACGTCTTGAATCTAGACAAGTACCCCAATCAGCATCAGCAAAACCATTCAAGCATACCTCTGGGGAAGCAGGATAAAATAAACCTTGTCCTGGATTATTCTTCAGATACTTGAGAATTTGTTGAGCTGCTTGAAAATGTACATCAGTGGGGCAAGACAAGAATATTGAGGCAATTTCTTTGTTAACATCTCATAAGGTGTCTTATTCTTTAACAAAGTAGATGGCATACGATTTATAAGGAAAACAGAGGTTAATATGCAATCACTCCAGTAAGCTAAAGGTATATTAGATTGAAAAAGTAATGATCTAGCCACATTAAGCAAATGCTGATGTTTGCGTTCCACAACAGAATTCTGTTGTGGTGTATAAGGACAAGAATATTGATGAATCATGCCATATTGTTCAACTATATCATTAAAAGCTAATTCTGGTGCATTGTCAGTCCTTATTGCTTTAACAACAGCATTATATTGAGTTTTAACATATGTAAGAAAAGCAGGAAATTGTTTAGAAACATCACTTTTATTTCTTAGCATATAGATCCAAGTTACACGGGTATGATCATCAACTATAGTAAGAAAGTACCTATAGCCTTCTACAGATTCAACTTTAAAAGGACCCCAAACATCTAAGTGGATAAGATCAAATGGTGATGAAGACATGTGATTATGAGACTCAAAACTTAACCTTTTTTGTTTAGCTAAAGGACAGACTGAACAATGAGACTCAATTAAAGAACTACTTTTAGACATAGAAAGAGTACCAGACAACAACTTTAACTTGTCAGAAGATGGGTGTCCAAGGCGTTGATGCCAGAGATGTCCATCTACCGCCAAGGATCCAGAGAAATATTGATGAGCAGGAGATGAGAGATTGTGAGATGAAGATGCATCAAGCTGCAGTATGTAAAGATTATGAAGCAGAAAGCCTCTACCAATCATCAAGCCCTGAATAGACTCCTGAATATAACAAAAATCAGGAAAGAAATGAGCTGATGCTTGACTATGTTTTAATAAACTGCTAACTGATATGAGATTAAACTTGAAAGAAGGTACATGTAAAACATCATGCAAAACTAGAGATGTAGATAAATGTATTGTGCCAGTGTGTGCTATATCCACTCTAGTTGCATTAGGTAAAGAAACTGTAACACCAGTAACAGTCACAGTTTCATTGAATAAAGCCAAGTCAGAGCAAACGTGACTTGTAGCTCCACTGTCAATTATCCAACTACCCTGAGGAAGATGATTATAAAGAGAAGATAGACATTGATGTTGAAATGTGAGTTTGTTATTTTCAAAACGAAGAGAGGTAGATGGAAAAGAGACAGTACCAGAAGAAGATTGCGGATCCATAATACCATTCTGTGTAACAGAAGCAACTAATGGGAAAGGTGCTTGATTCTCTGAAGCTTGAACATGAGTGTTCAGTTGTTGTATTAGAGATTGCACCTGTTCTTTATTCATCTGACTCACATCCAAATTGGTTGTTGATATAGCCGTAGAATTTGAACCAGATGCACCAGTCATGACATTAGCAATTGCATGTGTCGATGGTCTGGGACTAGAGTACTGCGCCCTAGGTTGAAAATTGTTGTTGAATGATGGATTAGGAGGTCTTGATGTAGACTGAACTTGATATCCTCCATTATGAGTCTGATAACCTCCAGAGCTTTTAAATCCTGGTATATAACCTGGAGGATAACCATGGAGTTTAAAGCATTTTTGAATAACATGACCAGTTTGGCCACAATTAGTACACACTGGTCTTGGTGCTCTAGGCCTGTACTGAGACTGCATTGCAGCATAGACATTGTTGTCTAGAGGACCTTGATATACATGTTGTCCAGTTTGTACACTTCCATCATAATATCCAGAATAAGGATGCTGATTCATTGTGTTACCAACTGCAGACTGAGAGTTATCCTGAGTATTAAACACCACATTGTCATTCTTAGACCTTGGTTTGATATTCTTCTGACGTTCATCCTGAGTGACCATATTGAATACTTCTTCAATAGATGGAATAGGCTTCAACATGAGGATATGCCTGCGAGTAGCTTCATAGGACTCATTTAGACCCATTAAGAACTTTGTTACTCTGCTTCTCTGTTGCAATTTATCCCAAAGAGTAGCAGCATTGCATTCACATTTTCCACAAGTGCATAAGGGAAGCTCTACATAGTTTCTATACTCTTCCCATAATGTAACCAACTCAGTATAATAAGCACTGACATCTAAAGATCCCTGTTGAATAACACTCAAACGTTGCTCAATCTCATATACTCGAGGAGCATCATCTTGTTTGAATCGTAACATCAAACTTTTCCAAATTCCTTCAGCCGTAGATATGAATAACAAGCTTTGACCAATCTTTTTCGAAACAGAATTCATAAGCCAAGTCGCTACCATGTCATTGCAACGAGACCATGATCCAAAATCTCTATCATTCTCAGATGGTTTAAGAATTGTACCGTCTATGAATCCAAGTTTGTTGCGCACATTAAGCGCCATACGTACTGATCGTCGCCAAGAATGGAAATCTGCGCCTGTTTCAAGTCGATCGGACACCAATGCCAAACCAGCGTGATCAGAATTATGAAGATAGTATGGATTATTGTAGTGATCCATTGTCTGACGGGAAGATTCACCAGAAGTCATCACAAAAACTTTGAAACAGATCAAGATTTATTCAAGATTAGATCGATCGAGAGAAACGAAGTTGATTCGAGTAGCGGAAGATGAATTCCAAGAAAAGTGATTATGATGTAAGCGAGAAAGATGATTGAAGATGATGAATAACGAGTCGATGTTCGATGAGCTCGTTGAATTGAAAAATCGATGAATCGATGGAGAAGATGATGAATAATAGTGAAGATGATGATGAATTGAAGATCGATGAAGAAATTTTGTGAAGAAGATGAAAGATGAAGAAGATCGGAATTTCTGTTTTCCGTTAATCACTTTTCCGGGAAAATGGGAATGAGAAAATGTTTTTGCTCTGATACCATGTTAACACTTAGAATTAAGTGTGAGATTTCTCATTAAACTGAAAGTTATGATACAACCGAGTATTTATAGTATTAAGCTAAAGGAGACTTAATACTAAGCATATATTAATATGTTAATAGTGTCTATATATGGCTTTATGTTTTTGATATGATATGATATTTTTGGTGGAGAAGAGGAGTGTATTTATAGATGTAGTGAAAGACTCAAGAATGTCAATAATGAAGAGTGAAGAGAAGTGTATATGTGGAGTGAGTATTTTGATAGGCCAAGACAAATTAAAAGCTCCTTTTTTTTGTCGATTCTTATTGGGTATCAAAACCATTTTCTGTTGTCTCTTACTTGAACATTTCTTTTAGCGTTTTTGTGTTTTTTTTTTTTATAGAAAAGGTTATATGTGACTATGTATTGTTGTTATGTTTTGTTTCTTGGAAATAATTCATTTTAATTTTATTAAGAAACAAAATACATTGCTTCCTCTTGAGAAATAAGAACATTTATTTAAAAGATTTAAATTTCCTTAATGATCCGCTATTACAATGCCAAAAAGTTTAAAACAGCAACTAGCTAGTTTAGTCTTTTGATTTGCAAGGTGTATAAAAATTTACAATAACTACATACTTTAACAAGATAAACTTTATACGTTCCACAATCAATTGCGTTTATGAATTATGATAATAATTTTGTTTTAAAACTAATATAGTTTTACAACTTCAATGTACTTTGACATGCACAAATATCTGATTTACATTTAGTTAACACAACATGGCCTTTGGGAGTTCATTCATGCCATGTATGGGGCCAGGCCATGGCATCGTTCACTAAACAACAAACTCGTCTTCCCCTGCCTCAACTAAAGGACGGTGTGGTCATTCTAGTCTCTTTGTAGAATAAATATAAATTTTAATGATACAATTACGGAATTACCAATCTAAGGAGGTATTGTCTGACACGACGCGTACGTCATAAATTGAGGCCCTTTCTCTACAGATTCGACTTACGATTTCCAATCAAAAGTTGTGTATATATTAAAAGAAATAATCCAGATTAGCAATATATATCGTATATTTAATTTTGTCTTTTAACGTCCCACCTGGCTCTCACTAGTGTTTTAAGAAGAAAGACGACAAATTTCGAAATAGATTTTACCATCTTGTGATTCTCGTGGCTCCTTGGTTAGTTATTCTCGACAGAAAGCGCACTTAATTATTATTATATATGAGCCTTTACCGAACAAAATTCTAAAACCAACCAATTTATAGTTGTAAGTTGTAACCATAATTTTAAATTCATCCTTAAATCCAAAAGATATATAGGATTCATATTTTGCTAGTATAATGTTAATTAATCATGATTGATAGCTTTAGATGTGAATTAGTTTGGGTTTCTGTCCAAGTCTTTTTTTTAGATTATTCTTAAACTTTCAAAATTCGAAACTCATTAATATAATAAAATCTTTCTACCACCTTTAAATTCCAGTAAACAAAAATTGCAGTGATTTTTTTTTCAATTCGATCGAAAAACACCAAAAATTAGTATTAACCGAAGGTTCTAGTTTTTTTAGCCAGATGCATATGGCAAACAAATCGACAACCATCTCGGTGATTTATGCGTTTGTCTCCGACGATAGGGTTATCAATTTATCATGAGGGCTAAGCCTTATAGCGTTACAAGTAGTTGTCTGTTTATGGCAACGAATCACGATTATTGATGCTACGTAACTCTTACGACAAAACCATATATATGTATGTATGGAACACGTAGATAATACACACGTACATAACACATGGACATGCACATTACTATCACTTGTAGTTTATCTGCACGTGTTCTTCTTCTTCTTCACATGATCATGCTTTCCACATCTATTTCCATATTGTCACAAACCACGATAGTTTATACTTATATTTTTTTTTGATAAACTAGTTTATACTTATATTTCATCGGAATATATATAAGAGACGTCCCTGGACTGGAATCGTATAACTTTTTACGTTTTTTTCTCTTTTTCTGTTGGGTCGATTATTCCTTATGGAACATATATAAATAACAACACATTAAGGAGTTGAAATGCGTTTTTGACATGGTTGATAATGATCCACGTTGAAATAACGCCTATCTTACATATCCTTTGGACTTATTTTCAATTTATTATTAAAAATTATACCTGAAACACCACTAAAGCTAGCCTATCCTTTGGTCTTGTTTTGGATTTTAATATATACTAAAAATTTATTTATGAAATTAAACACCACTAACGTATTGACAAAATATGTCGGACCTCGTTTATTCATACCTTTTCAACGCACATCACTAAGAAATGTACATATTGTCTTGTTTATGCCCATATGGATTAGATGTTACTGGGAAAGTATGTCTTAAAATCTTTGAACTGAGAAATCATTCACTGAGATGCGTTGGTCTAAAAATAACACGACAATCATTATTCTCTCACTAATTGAAATTGAGAAAATCTCATCTTGGCCTTCTTTCTTTTTTTGTTTGAAGTAAATAAATGGTAACGATACTTAATTAGTTTTCTGGAAATGATTATCTGTAAAAAAAATACTATATATTAGTTTAGAAAATTCAACATCCAGCCAGTCATATTTAATTTCAGCTTTTCTCTAAAGAGTCCTTAGCTGGTTATAGATGGGCACTACATTTTGATACTATTATTACCTACAGATAACAATTATGATAACTGAATCTGACGTTTTCTGGCAGCAATTCATGCATGCCTGTTGTTATTTGATCTTTCTTAGTATACATAAAAGATGTGGTACATACTTTATTCAGATTTCTATTTATTGGCTGGACAATAATTCACCATGGATGACTTGTAATATATATAGATCAGCTCCAAGTAATTTAAAATATAGCAAAAGAGGTCAAATGACATTTTCCAATGTTAAGAGATATGAAGAAACATGAAGATTGCTGTCAAATTTTGAAGATCGAGGGAAATGTCGTAGATGTGATTTAGGGTGATATATAGATAATGCACATAACAAGCCAAACATTGCCAACCCATGCATGCAGCTTCTCTAGCTTTTTTTTTTTTTGATAACCCAGTATCCAGACCACACAGTGATCTGACTAGCCCACTGGGCCTAAGCCCGCGTCACAGGGATTTTTAAGCCTCCACTTAAAGGCCCCCTGATAAACTGGTGGTCTGGGGCGCCTGAGCAAGTCCGCAGGTAAATTCCCAGGTGGCCACAGGAGTGAGAGAGCGAAACTGCGTCTGGGGAGGATCGATCCCTGGCCTAGACCAACAGGGCGATCCTTCCAACCAAACGAGAACCACTCGCCCACCACCATGTGGTTAGCTTCTCTAGCTTTCTTTGGTTATTTTTATTTATCTATCAGAAATGAGATATTTCGATCTATATATATATAGAAATACAAATTAAGGGATTAGAAAAGAACAACTGAACAAGTAACGAAGAAGGATGGAGTGTAAAGGTGTGATTGGAGGCAGGCAGAGATATGATGTTCTTCGTCGGCTCTATGAAAATATTATATACGTTAATATATAATTAATTAATCCACCTCAAAAACTCGAAAACATATATAGATCGATCGATGATTATATAATCACGTAGACAAAATTGAGGAGGTAGCCCAACGATGCAGGAACACTCTCGAAACTGGTCTGATGATAAACGGTGCTGCCTTGTCTCTTTACATTTTCATCACTCATCAATAGTGGTAACATATGTATAGTATTTTATGTAGCAGTGATTTTTTTTTTGTCAACGATTGGATGATGATGATTCAAACTCTATCATTGATAATATTTGTATATAATTTTTAAAACGATTGCTACCTATTGAAGATATACCTAGTAGAAAGTAAAGATCAGTTCTAGAATTTTAATCAGATTTTATGAATTATTTTGTAATGTTCTTTTATGTTTTCCTATTAAAAAAAAGTTCTTTACGTTTAGATGTTTCTATTGTTCTCCTATTTTATTTTTACTATCAGATATTATTCAGACATACAGTATTTGCCAATATTATTTAGATGATAGTTGTTACAATATTGTTTTTACATAAATTTGTTTTAATAATAAATTTCATTGGTTACGAATTAATTACAAAGACCAAGGTGATACTTTGCTGGTTTTTTTCTTCTTCTAAAGACAGTGTAAAGAAATCATGAAACTCTCCACTACTTTTTAAGTCTGAACCCAAAAAACCGAAGAAAATCATACAATCCTTTTCTTTTTCGTAGAGGTTTACAAGTTTGGAATATAGAAACATAAGAATATGATAAATGACTGGCAAATAATAATGATAATGATACAATAAACAACAAACACAAGAGAAGGCACACATCTTATGACACTAATAAAAAGTGGGTTTAAATTAAGCAGATCCAAACTCAGAGAGCCACTTCTCGTGTTTCTCAATATCAGAGGAAGATACACTCGGTTGCACTTTCCTAATGGCCTCTTCGAAATCACACATAGCCACAGGATCATTTGATATATCGTCTTTCGACATGTTCTTTATCTCATCCCTCGTTTTCCCCGCTATCTTACGCCTCATACCGTTCATTGATGCGTCCCTGCACACGTTAGTCAGATCGTCTCCACTGTACCCTTCCGTTCTCCTGGCCACATCTTCAATATTAACATCACTCGCCACCTGGAACGTGACAACATTCATTGTTAAATTGACTGCACTGAACCAGCAGAGAGATTTGTAACTATTGTAACAATGTATCCACAACTAACCTCGACTGTTCTCAGATTGATATTGATAAGTGCCTTACGACTTTCAAAATCTGGAAGTGGGATATATATACGTTTTTCCAGCCTCCTCCTGCACAAACATAAGCTCAAGGGTCAGCAGTTTCACTATACATGAGCAAGTCTAAATACGGTAATAACTCAAAGAATATTGAAACCTGAGAGCTTCATCTATGTCCCATGGGAAGTTGGTAGCTGCCAATACCATTACTATTTTGCGACTACCGTCTTCATTTGTCGCTGTATTGCTCACTCCATCTACTTGAACTAGGAGTTCCGATTTCACCCTTCTTGACGATTCATGCTCTCCAGAACCCCTGCACCATACCTCCACCAATTACACATACTTTTCATTTCAGTATTGAAATCTCAGAATAGTCAGGAAAATTTACCCCCGAGAATTGCAGAGAGAGTCGATCTCATCAATAAAAATTGTACTTGGAGCATATGCCCTAGCCAGATCAAACAGGCATCTGACCATGCGCTCACTCTCTCCACGCCATTTTGAAGCTAATGTAGCAGAAGAGACGTTGAAGAAGGTGGTACCACACTCGGTTGCAACTGCTTTTGCCAACAGGGTTTTACCTGTCCCAGGAGGACCAAACATGAGAACTCCTTTCCATGGTCTTCGAATACCCTGAGGGGAAGCAAAACCAATCAAATTACGTATCCTCCATAACTGGAAGATCAAATATCAAGTCTACGGAATTGATGAATTGAAACTGTTATTCTGTATGATTGCTCCAAAGTCTAATAATAGTAATATAGAATACAAATTTCACAGCGTATGGAACAGAATCAACGTACCTGAAAGTATTCGGGCATCCATAAAGGAAGGACAACTGCCTCCTCAAGCAGCCTTTTGGCTTCAGACAAACCTGCAACATCATCCCAACGGACACCAGGAGTTGAGTCCAACACATCCCTTTCAAGCATAGCAGCCAGGTCCTCATCAGGTCCCTCATACAATCCCCTTTTTGACTTCCCGTCTTCAGCATCACCATTCTGAAGCCGGAAGTTTTATTAGTTGTTAAAAAATAGGTGGAAACTACTGACTCAACATAAACATGGGAAAACATGAACACCACTCAAAAGTTTCTAATACAGATTTCAGAATTAGACATTCATAAACGCAACAGAAATCATGATCTTTGATACATCAGTCCAACTATAACATAACAACTTAGAAGTTCCATGACATTCTGTCTATCACCAAAGTAAAGTAATGGAAATGGAAATGCCATAGTCTAAACGTGACTCATGGAAAATTTTCAAGTTAACATTCTCTATATTGCAATACCAAAAGGCAAAAACATATAACTTACCATAGACTCTGCCTTGGTAGATTTTGAGGCAGCTCCCTTCTTACCGGCAGTGGAAGAGCGGGCGCCTGCAGTTGACTTACTAGTAGCCCCACCTCTTCCACCACGGGAAGCTGGACCTGTTCGTGTAGTAGGGCCACGAGCCCAAGCCCCATCCTGAGGTGATTTTCTGGTACCAGTTTGACCAGGCCTGGCGGGTCTTCTACTAGAAACATCACGGGTAGGAGGCCTCCAGACATCAGGATCATCCATAGGAGCAGCGGATGAAGTTGGATACTCATCCAAGGGCTGAAAAACAAAGGATGATTTGGTATTGATAGGCGGAGAAGCAGCGCGACGCCCAGTGGGAGCTTCTTTAAATGCTCTCCTCTCTGCATCCAATTGCTTAACAACTTCCGTCTCTTCCATTATGGCTTTTTTAACGTTCATCCATTTAGTCCGGGCCAAAGGATCGTCAAGGGTGTTTAAATGCCTAAAACAGTATACCATCGCTTCAGAACCACTAACGCAGTACATAAGAGTGTTCTATCTCTCTCTCTACACAGACATTGCACCGTGAAACATTGCAAAATTCTAGCTTTTTAAAGAGAAAATGATGGGAACTAAGCCCATTTCAATACAATCGAACACGAAACTATCAAACTAGCTAGGGCTTGAAGAAATTGCCAAAGGGGTTGTGATAAAAAAGTCTAGATTCAAGAGTGAAGAGACAAGAGGAGCTACTTACTTGTTGATCTGAGCAATGGCGCCATCGAAGAAGATGACAGATGTGTCATAGGATCCTTCTAGTGCGTATTCTCTGGCTAATTTCAAGTGATCTTGTAGACCCGCCAACGAATTACTACTACCCACCATTTCCTCTTTTACTCAAAACAAAATCTAGGGTTCCGAGGCAAGAGCTTCGATCTCGGGAGCACCCAAATTTCCCTTCTTTCTCTCTCTCCGCCTCCGGATTTCGGAGATGTGACTCGTCGGCGAAGTTGCAACGATGGAAGACAAATTAGAAGAAGATGGAAGCCACGTCAATGGTAGTTATGATCCAACCTCTCTCTCTTCGGGTTCGATTCAAATTTTAGATCCGGGCCCATCTACGGCCCACTTTCAAACCAATAAAGCCTAAAATCATCTTCGATTTAACTTTATTTGTTATTCTCTGGGTTCATAAATTAAAATTTCAAATTAAAGGCCAGATTATCAATTTCTCCCAAGTCATAACGTCTATCATCAAACTCGAATTTCATTTTGAATTTAGAGAACGAATAAAGATGATACAAAATTTGCTTTTGGATTTGGTTACAAAAAAAACCAAAAGGGTAACTTTTGCATTCATTGATAGATTATTCATTTGAATAAGTAAAGAGTATATACATACACCAAAGGGATTAAGGATTCAACCATTGGTATCCCAAATACAATGACTTTGTAAAGAATAAACCAAAGGGATTATTGAATAACCAAACACTCTTTATTCATTTTTAAACAAATTCTGGCTTCAAATAAACGCAAAGTAAACCATCTTTTGCCCCTTTTAACAACATCTCACTCCACCATTCCATGGTGAAGCAGCTCCTCTAATCCTTTCCTCAGCCTCTCCGCTGCAGCTCTCATTTCAACCTCCTGCAACCCTCCAAAGGAAACCCGGAGATACCCGTGGCCACCACTTGCACACCCCGGGATCACCACCACACCATGGCGGTGAGCCAGCCACCGCACCACCTTGAAATCATCTCTGTGTCCCTCTGGTAGTTTCGCCCACAGGTAAATCGCTCCTTCTCCTCCCTTAACGTTCTCCTTCCCCAGCGGCTCAAGCGCCTCTTTCAAAATATCCCGGTTCTTCACTAGACTCTTTACCCGTTCCGTTATCCACCCAGAACCTTCCTCTAATGCGTATAGACCCAGTCGCTGCGAGATTATGGCGGCACAGATTGGTATGTTGTCTTGAATTTTCACAAGCTCTGTTGCAAACCCATCTAATCTGTTTGAGTAAGCTATCTGCAGGTCAATTAAACCTGTTATAAGATAATCCCAAATCAACAGTTTGGTTTGGAATAGAATTTGAATCGAGCACTCACATATCCAAGTCTCCAACCCATCATGCCATAGGTTTTAGAGAAAGAGAAGACATTAACAATGTGGTCTCCCTCAACGCAAGAATGTTTTAAACCGTCAAACATGAAATACCTGCGATTTTCAAACCCCCCTTATACAGTACTAGACAAAATCAACATTCAATTTGGACATCATGGGAATTAGGAAATGAGAAACTCACTCGTATGTGTTATCTACAATCAGCCAACACCCTGCATCTTTGCATATTTGTGAAATCCTCTTAAGAAGCGATTCAGGGACATAGGTGCCGCTTGGGTTACCAGGATTCACAACAGTTACAACTTTTGGGGTTGGTTTAGACTCAGAGAGTGTCCTCTCTAACCAGTCTGGGACCAAAAAGAGTCACAAGTCACAACTTGAAGCTATTATTATAAGTCATGAAAATGTGATAGAGAATCAAGGAGGTACCTGCGTCAGGATAGAGAGTGTCTGACTGGCCAGGACCAACAATTATGTTGGTGACTCCTGTCATCTGAAAGGCCATGTAGGAATTGAAGTAGTATGGCTCAAACATGACAACAGAATCACCAGCATCACATAATGTGATAACAAGGTTAACAAACGCCTGCATTAGAAAACAAAAACAGAGTATGAGACTAGAAGAAAACAAAAGGAAGAGCCTTGCAAGTTGCAACGCAGTGGTATCAAACAAAGAGAGGTTATAACCTGATTGGCACCTGCAGTAACCATCACTTGTGATTGGGTTAGCTTGTTTTCTTGACGCAGCTTCAGAAGAAACACGAGGAATCAAAAATAAACAAACTCAGAGACGGTACTGGATTCAAGGAAGGTTTGCCTGCTAGAATAAAAAGATTCAGTCTTGGGTGATTACCTTATTGAGAAGAGCCTGTCTTAACTCGGGAAGACCTTCATCGGGGCCATAATTACTAACCGTAGGATCCCAAACAAGGTCCTTGACCTTGTCTAAGGCCTTTTGAGGAGGCTGCCAATGCACCACTCCCTGCAAATCACATGATTATTGTCTTTGTTTCCATGAGCAAAAGAATCAGCCTGCAGACTTATATATAACAGAACTCCATACAAAGAATTAAGCTCACGAAATCCCAAGTCTTTTTTTTTTAGGTAGATTAAAACACACATTTCTAGAGAGGGCAAACCTGGGCGAGAGACATGGGGGGGTTCGTCAATTCCGCCATTAAACTCCGAATCTGCACGCAAAACCCAACAATTTTTCACTAAAGAAATACTAGTAAACAAAAGGAGACAAGAACAATCAATTCAAAATCAAAATGGAAGTGGAGAAGTACGAGGTTTGACCTGAGCCATGACGGGCATATCGGTGCCCAAGGTTCTCCTCGAAAGCATCCCGAACGAACCCATTTCGATATCAAATCCGATCGAGATACCTGTTGGAGAAATTTTGCAATTAGGGTCGAATTCTTTGATAAATATGCAGCAGTATGCAAGAATACAGAGTTAATTGTGTGATCCAATTAAACCTAATGCAAAAGGGATCGTTGACTAGAACCTAAAACAGATATAAGCGTTACTTAAGCACGCCTGTTCTTTGTCCTCTTCTTCACCAACCCTTGTTTTTTACTTCATGTTTTTGTTGTGTAATCTATCTTTTTTTAATTAAAGTGTAATCTATCTATAATAAGAGAAAAGAAAAAGAAAAATTGTTTCTTTACTTTATGCCATAAAATAAAATAAAAGGTATTAGTAAATAAAAAATAAAATAAAAAGAGTAACGCCTTTCCTTTGTTATCTGACTTATGTGTATGATCTCATCGACTTTGATCCAATTTGGCTGCTTTCGCATTTTTTCCAGACTCGGCCCATAAAAAATATCAAGCAGCTTTAAAAATCCATTACTTCTCTACAGATTCTGATTTCAATCGCAGAAAACAAAGAAGAAAAGGAAAAAGAGAGAGGTAAAAACATCGCCAAACCAACAGAGAGAGAGAGAGACCTTTTTCGGGTGTGTTCCTTGCAGTGCTGATTCCTCTGCCACATGTTAGTGTTTCACCAGATGATTTGCTTTGCCTGAGAAAAAGGAATCAGAACGTAACGTTTCAACGTGTAGAATTAATTCATTGATTGCCTTACATTTCCCTAATAATCACATAAAAGATCCTTAATGTTTCTACATATTTGGTAATCCCACCCTTTCTTTTTATTTAGCCTTTTTTTGTCATACGAATGGCACGGACATATATTCCACGACACAATTTTGATGTTGTTACAAAAGAAGCAAATTCATGGATCATATTACTCAAACATGCAATAAAATTATATAGAGTTTAGTGGTTACATGTTTAGATAGATTGGGTCTTGTGGTAACCTAAAGGGAGTGGAGGGAAAGTTGGGAGTGTTCAAAAATTGAAAAATGGACCAACCAAACATGACATGATTTTAATGTCTCTAAAGATTATAGATCTGTTTTTTTAAAAAAAAATTAATTTTTATCTTTATGCGTGTTGGTTTGAATCGTATAGTAGATCTAGCTTTTTGGTCTTTGGATAAAACCGTAAAACGTTATTATTAGGTCCACGAAGACCTCTCGTTACGTCCTTCTCACACTATAACAGCTTTAACGCATTAGTCTTCTAAATAAAACCAAAAAAAATAAAAAATAATGTATAGTTGATTGATCCATACAAATACAATAAGATATATTATTATCTCTTAAATTTGAAATCCATGAGCTTTGAATATGTAACTCCCATGTGGTAAGTAAGACTATTGGTTCTAGCTCCTCACCGTAGCTTTTGAATTACTTATCCCGTTTTGTGTATATTTGTATATCCTATAAATAAATATCCCAACAATACTTTTGCTTGTCTGTATTCTTTCTTCGATTATATCATTTAACATCAAAGTTTCATATGATAGTTTTGACTTAATCATATATTTGACTTTATTGCCGTTTCACTTTATTACCAAAAACATACTGTGAACTTTAACTTTTTATAATTAACATTTTCATATGAAACTACAATTTTCATTTCAAATTTGATAGTTTTCGAACTTTTCTTTGTTGAAAACTAAAAAACTTCTGATACAAGATTATCAAGGTCGTGAACATAACAAGACCTGAAATGGCAGATTCCACCACTTTAATTAATTGTTCACGTCCTAAGTATCTTTTATTTTTCTAAGTGGATCCTGCGGATCTACGCATCAAAAGTAATATTATAATTATTTTGTTTATGCCAAGGACAATGAGATCTATTACAGTTTTTTATAACTCCTATTATTGAAAAAGAGTGTTGTATAACGTTTAATTGCGGAAAAATCTCCCCCCAAATGAACAAGTTTTAGTTCACGTAAATTTGGTCAAAGTAACCGATGAGAAAATTAGACATAAGTTTTGTTTTACATGAAATAAAGAAAGTGTTAGTATCACATAATGCATGTTATCTTTTTACTCAATAGTATACAAAGACCACGGGAGCGTCTTAAGTATGATTTTAAAACGGAGCAAATCCAATAGAAATAAAAACGGATTCTTTAAGTTTCTACGAAAATGTTAAAAAATTTGAAAGGATAGGTGTAGAATTTACTTAAGCATGTGGTGTCCAAATAAGCTTTAAGAAGAGTGATTCTGGGGTAAACGTGCATTTGGTCTTTGTTTTTATTTTTTACTACTAGTTAGTTTTTATATTTCAAAAGTTTAAACTTTACCATTAAAAAAATAACCGGTGGAATCTTTCTTCAAATCTTCAAAATTTGAACAGAGTTATGTAGTTTAATCACTTTTATTTACCTTTGGATGAATAACCACGCTGTCTAGAGTAACACAGCATTTTTTAAAAGAGTAATAACAGCGCATTTGAACGGTGTAAATAAATTAATTATGATACATTTCTTGGAAAACGTAACTATTCCTCCTCTATCGTTCTTTTACTTTAATACCAAAAGTAAATATAAAAAAACATTCGAACAGAGAAAAAAAAAACAAAATCTGCATCATAAATCCTCATTAATTACAACAGGTTAATGGTATCAGAAAAAGAAAATGACACAGAACCCAAAATAGCAATAGGTGATTAAGGTGAAATAAGGTAAATGATTAGTTACCAAAATCTAAAGAAAATCTATGTTCAATCACATACCAAATTGTAAAAATTAACCACAAATTACTTATCAAAAATTTCCGAAATAATAAAATAAACTATATTAGCTCTTTCTTTTTCCCTTGTTTCATGGTCAAACAGTCAATGAGTTTCGTTAGAAGCACATAAACAAACATTTTCTTTCTTTAATAAAAAAAAGTTTCTATTTATAAAAAAATGAAATGAATATAATATTAATATCTTTAAACCATTCTCTATCCCGCTCACTCTGAGAGACAGACAGACAGTCCCTTTGCATAAAAGCGAATTGACTAAACCATTTACTCTCTCGATCTGCCCAAGCTCCCATCTTTTTTGTTCGAATAGCTCCTTTCCCCAACTTAATAAAAGAAAAAAAAAAGAGTTGTTTTTTTTTCTTCTTCTTCTTGAAGAAATTTCTGGAGCGTAGTAAGTTTCTATCCTAGTCTATATCTCCATCATTTTTTTTTTCTTTTGAAATGTGATGTTATTATTTTTACGGCGACCCTGCATTTTTTTGAGGCGGTTCTTTGGGAGGGTTTCTTGAAACTTTCTCTTGGTTTTGAAGCTTTTTTTGGTTCATGGGTCACTCGGTTCTTCTTGGATTAAAGAAAATGTGACTTGATTACTTTTTTTTACGAACGGATCGATAGGGTTTATTTGGAGATCTTGCAGCTTTAAATCATGGGTCTTTTCGTTTTCCCTCAGACGAAGTTTGATGTAGTGGTTCCTTTTTTTTGTTCCGTTTTCTTTTAGGATAAACAAACATTTTATATAAAACCAATGAAAGAAATTGAAAAATTTCTCTGATTTTTTTCTTCACATTTAATTTCTCCAAATTCTGCGCATAGTCGGCTCCGTCTTTGCTATAAAATTGCTGTGACTTTTTCTTTTTCAAGGGTTGAGGGTTTTTTCTGCATTACAGTTTTCGATTTTTTTGTCAATAAGTAATAGTAATTCACAAATACTTGTTTTAGCTTGAATCTGACTTGCGTTTGACACTTTGGAACTTGCTTCGGCCAACTAAAACAAGTATGTGTTGCAATTCTTTGTCGACTCATGATTGATAAGATCATCAATCCTCGTTTAGGACAATAATTTTCCTTTTTTGGGCTAAACAATTTCTCCGAACATCTTATATGCATTGGTCTCTTCATAGATAAGTATAGATCTCTCTGTTTTGTTTCATTGATCTTCTATTTCTTTTGACTTCAATTTCTCAGATCGAGAGGTAATGTGGAGCTAAGGCCCAAAACGTCAAAAAGGGTTGGATCGTTCGTCTCAAAGGGTTTCAATCATGGGGAAGGAGAATGCTGTTTCTGGAAACACTATACCAATCCATGGTCGCCCTGTAACTCGTGCTCTTGCCTCTGCTCTGCGTGCTTCTTCTAAGCTGATAACATCTTCTCAAGTGGCTGCTACAACACAGAACCAGGGACGTGTTCTTAGAGCAAAGAGTAAAAGAGCAGCCTTGGATGAGAAGAAAGCCAATGCACCTAAGAAGCGAGCTGTTCTTAACGATATCACTAATGTTACCTGCGAGAGTTCTTACACGAATTGCTTCAGTGTTGCGGTTGTTAACTACACAATGCTGCATTTAAAATTGCTAGTTTATATGACAAGAAGTATGTTTTTGCTGACAATTGTTGGTTCTTCTTTTTACTTAGGTGGAGAATATCAAGCAGATAAAGAAGGGACGACCGAGTTCTTCTTCTTCCAAGGTGGCATCTTCTTCGGCTACTTCACAAGTTACAGATGCAAAGGTTGTGTCAAATTCAGCAGGAGAAAGCTTGTCTGGTTGTACAGATACAAGCTTAGGCACAAACGAAGCATCTTATAGCTTTATCCCAAAGCTGAGTTCCAGATTGCCTCGAAGACCCCTTGGGACAGGTGAATTTTATAAATGATCAGTTACTAAAGCTTGAGTGAGTGATTTATAACATTTCTGATACTTTTTTCCCCTTCTTGCAAATGGTTTACAGTTGAGAGAAGTTGTGCGGCAAGTAGCTCGAAATTCGTTGACATTGATTCAGATGATAAAGATCCTCTGCTCTGTAGCCTTTATGCACCTGATATCTACTACAACCTACGTGTTGCTGAGGTAATAATCCCTTGGATTTCGATATATTACTATTATGCATTTGAGGCATCTGAATCCTTACGACTTGTCTACCTAGCAGCTTAATCGCAGACCATTTCCTGATTTTATGGAGAGAACACAAAGAGATGTGACTGAGACAATGCGGGGAATTCTTGTTGATTGGCTTGTAGAGGTTAGGTCTACTTCCAGTTTGTTTGTTGCTTCCTTTTGAAGTCTTTTTGTGTAGCTTCTCACAACTCAAAATTTCAGGTCTCAGAGGAATACACACTTGTACCTGACACTCTCTACCTCACAGTGTATCTCATAGACTGGTTTCTCCATGGAAACTATGTTGAAAGACAGAGACTTCAATTGCTTGGCATCACTTGTATGCTCATTGCTTCGTAAGTTTCTCATCCACCTAAAAATCAAATAATGCACTAGTCTGAACACAAGATCTAAAAGAGTTTGTTGCAGGAAATATGAGGAAATCAATGCGCCACGAATTGAGGAGTTCTGCTTCATCACGGATAACACTTACACAAGAGATCAGGTCCTGGAAATGGAGAGCCAAGTAGTCAAGCATTTTAGCTTTCAAATATACACCCCCACTTCAAAAACATTCCTCAGGTAATCTCACCAGACAGTGCAAATGCTTCATCATGTGTTGTTGCTTTTTTTAAGTCTTCGGTGATTCAGAGTATTTCATTCATCTTTGAAGGAGATTTCTTCGAGCAGCTCAAGTTTCTTTCCCGGTAATGTGCCTTTCTTTTATCAGCTCAGATATATCTATTGCTCATAAAACATTATAGCAGAAGGATTGAAACTTTTTTGATTGATGGATCTGCAGAATCCAAGTCTGGAAATGGAGTTTCTGGCGAATTACCTAATGGAATTGACGTTAATGGACTACCCTTTCTTGAAGTTCCTTCCTTCGATCATCGCTGCTTCGGCTGTTTTTCTTGCCAAGTGGACATTGAACCAATCAAGCCACCCTTGGGTCTGTAATTGACCCAATATCGACTTCTTCATTAAGACACACAGCGAATCTTGAATCTCACTCTTGTTTATTTTATGAACAGAATCCAACTCTTGAGCATTACACAACGTACAAAGCCTCTGATCTCAAAGCATCTGTCCACGCCTTGCAAGATCTGCAGCTTAACACCAAAGGATGTCCCTTAAACTCTATACGCATGAAGTATAGACAGGACAAGGTATTAAAAAAATTGTTAATCTCAGTTTGGTTTTCTTAAACCGAAAGAAGAAATCTGGTTTGTTTCGGTTCGGCTCTGTTTAACAGTTTTTTTTTGGGGCAAATTACAGTTCAAATCCGTGGCGGTATTTAGTTCAACAGAGCTACCGGAGAAGCTATTCATCTCCTAAGCGATATAACACACAATCTGTAGTAACATTTTCTGATGGTCCACATTCATCTGTCTGTCAAATAAAACAGTGTTGTCTTTCCACGGTCTGATCATTACCAAGTAACCGGATTACTTAGGGTTCGGTTTTAGTCCGGTTTAGTTTTAGACTGGTTTGGTCCTTCCAAACCTGATATTTGTTCTGGTCGGTAACACGAGTTAATTGTAGTGGAATGTACATTTTTCTTTTCCGGTTTATTCAGGCAAATTCTTGTCCGCTTCGAATATTTTATCTCTTTATTACAGAAAAAAAAACTACAAATTTGACAGAGAGACGGAGCATTAATTACACATTATCCAAGGGAGAAATGTGACTCACATATTATGTGGCAAGAATTGTTTTTTCGTTTTTAGAAAAATAATAATAAAAAATTACCAATTTGTTTACTTCTTCTTCGTTGCTGATGTGTCTCTCGGCTGCTTGAGAGAGAGAGAAAAGGGGTCGAGAATGGCGGTCGCAATGTCTTGGAGTAGTTTGATATCATCGGCTCTTCAGCATTATAATAATCGGATTAATCTCAGAGATTATCCGATTCCGTGTCACTCTAATCCTATTTGCAATTCTTTTAATTTCAAAAGACGTTCTTTTTCTTCTTCTTCCTCCAAATTTAACGACCATGTCGTTAACCCTTCTTCTTCTTCCTCCTCCAAGCTTTCTCCAATTCGAACCCATTTCTCTTTCGCTGGTAAACGCCTCCAATATTACACTTTCATTTTCCTGGCTTCCTTGTAATTTTCCTGGGTTATTATTTTGGTTCAAGTTTGTTCTTTTGGTCATGTTTCTCTATTGAATTTTGTGAATTGTTTTGGCTATTTGGTAAATTTTAGTTTCAGATGGAAACAATTCGTTTGCATATACCGCAAATTGCTTGAGAATTTCCGCATAAAAAAAATAAAAATAAAATATTTGATCAGCACTCCTTGTGGAATCCATTTCTTTTGTCTGAGGATTATCTTGTATTATTTTGTTTTCGTTTTATTGTTCTTTGACGATTCTAGAATTATAACTAGATTTTTTCAGTTGGAGCTCTTGTTGTTGTTATTGGTTTTGATTGTTTCATTTGTGTTGTCCAGACATTGATTTGGATTTAATGTAATAAAATTATCGATTTTTAGTAACTGCAGAAACCGAATTCGTAATTGGCTCTGCAACTTCAGGTTTAGAGATTGTGACCTTCTTTTTGAATTACGTGTGTGTGTAGGGTGTGGCTGCTCCTGGATTCAGGACAATTCAATGGTTCATGATTATGCTACAACTAATGGGACGTCCAAGCGATGCTTGGCGTTACCAACAACAAAAACAGTGGATGTCTCTTCAGTGTCAGATCTTTTTGAATTCATTTGCTCGGGTCCTCTCGTAGACAAGATTGGTATCACTCCTCAAAGAGTTGGCCAGTCTATTGACAAATGGTTACTATACGGCTCACAACTCTGTAGACTGTTTCAGCTTAATGAGCTTAAGCTCACGATTCCTCAGAAAGCTAGGCTATACCACTACTATATACCCGTATTTATATGGTGCGAAGATCAGATTGCTCTGCACAATTCCAAGTTTAAAGATGGAGATGATGTACCTCCATTAGTGGTACTAAATTGTTTCTTTTCTTAGAATAGTCTCAAATCAATGATATATTGGAGATGATGGGTGGATCAATCTGATTGATGTGTTTTGACGATGCAGATTGGATTTAGCGCTCCTCAAGGATGTGGCAAGACTACACTTGTGTTTGCACTTGACTATCTTTTCAAAACAACAAAAAAGTACATTGATCTGCTGCACCTTATCTCATGTAACTCTTGTGATTCTTATACTAACAAAGCAATATCTCAGGAAGTCGGCGACGATATCAATAGACGATTTTTACTTGACTGCACAAGGTCAGGTAAGATGTATTTTAAGATTATACTTGTAACCTCTGTTGTCTGGACATTCTCTCGTCTCCACTTCTTAGCTTCCATTTTTTTTTCAGGCTGAATTGAGAGAAAAGAATCCAGGAAATGCACTTCTAGAGGTAAATTCTCAACCTTTTTCTTTTGTCTATCTTTTCTTTAGTTTGAATTTATCATCATGGTTTATTGTTTGTATCCAGTATCGTGGAAATTCAGGAAGCCATGATCTGCAACTCTCTGTTGAGACACTAGAAGCCTTGACTAAACTGACCAAAGAAGGTTTGTTTCATCAATAGAGTTTTATTCTTAGGTTACTATATTCTTATTTACCGTGTAAGTCTTTTGGTCATTAACAGGTATAAAGATGAAGGTACCTAGGTACGACAAGGTGAGTCACAGCTTGATATTATCTTCTCTGCTTCATCACTTTAGAACGAAAACAGAGGAGGAACCTGTTCTTAACTCCTCGATTTATTTTTTATTTGGCTGCAGTCTGCCTATAGTGGGAGAGGTGACAGAGCCGATTCATCAACATGGCCTGAAGTTGAAGGACCTCTAACGGTATTGCTATATTTTATGTGTGTTTTGGTTCAAGGTTACAAGGATATAAGTCCATTAAAAAAAGTTGTTCGATTTCTCTAGGTTATTCTCTTTGAGGGATGGATGCTTGGTTTTAAGCCTCTTCCAGCTGACGTTGTTAAAGCAGTTGATCCGCAGGTTATCTCAACTCCCTTAAAACCATTGAGTCGCAATACACAACCGATATAACATCTTATAATGAATAAGTCTGATCCTCTTTCTACAGCTGGAGATTGTGAATAAGAACCTGGAAGCCTATTATGACGCATGGGACAAGTACATCGATGCTTGGGTCGTCATCAAAATCCAGGACCCGAGTTATGTATACCGGTGGCGTCTTCAGGTTTGTACATCTCATAACAAAGTAAACGGTTTTCGCTGCGTTTCTATACAAACACGGTTTTGTTTTTTTTTGGTTTGAACAGGCGGAAATCGCCATGAGGCAGGCTGGTAAAGCTGGGATGTCGGATGAGGAGGTATTGATACGTTTTGACTAATCAGTTGTCTTCTGGTTATAGACACAATCATTGTTGTTTTTGAATGTTAATATATCTGGTTTTAGGTGAATGACTTTGTGTCGCGGTATTTGCCGGCCTATAAGGCCTATCTTCCAACTCTTTACGCGGAAGGACCAAGCGGCTCGGACCCAGACCGTGTCCTTGCGATAGATATCGATGAAGAAAGGAACCCCATACTCGCAAACTAATGAGATGCTGTCTCCATTGGCTTCATAGTATTTCTCGTTGTATGTAAAAGAGAGTACCATTACGTCACACGTTCTTCTTCCTTGTATCTTTTGACGTGCTATTTGTTACACTATACTTTCACATATATATATTTTTTCTTTATTATTATTATATGTAATTGTGGTCAGTTGTATTTGTGTGAGATTGAATGAAACAAGAAAATCTTGTCCGTCTTGTCGATGTCGTCATGTTCGGATCGTGGTGGTCGGCACTGATGTTAAAAAGTGGTGGTGATTATTACACTTACGTTTGTATAGTGATTATTAATAGTCATTTAAACAATAGTACATTACATACAAAATCGACGGCCAAAAAAGGTTTGAAATTAAATATTTAGCATATTGCAATACAAAAATGCATATGTATACACATCTGACAATATTTTATGCATTTGTGATCATAATCTTATAGCCTTTTCGAAGATCCGACGCGTTTACGTTCTGGAAAGTAGAGACCTATAATCCAATAGCATCTCCTATTTTCATCAACCTCATACGCTTGCACGATTCCACAAACATCCTGCACAATATTATCAAAATCCCAAGGAAATTTAGTTTCCTTCACAAAATATAATACAGTAATTTTAGTTTTGATTAGAAAGGAAAGAGTACGTAAAAAGCCACACAAAGGGTAACTCCGGGAACTCACATCCACGGGACATCTCCGACTAACATCCAGTCACCGTCCTTATCCTCGTAAGTAGCCACAAACTCTCCCTTCCTCTCCAACTCCGTCGCTTTACCTACCACCATCCAAAAACCACTCTTAAGTTAATTTACCATAATACCCTCCACTTCTTCAGTCCATCTAAACAAATCAAAATCTTTCTTTTTTTCCTCTTATAATATCCCTCGATCACTTACATATTGTTATTATCCCCTGAAACATGTTTTCTAGAGCGGTGAAAAGTTGTCCGTAGCAATCGTACATCTCAAGATCGACTTTTCTGAGATACGCCGCACCATCCACCGCCACTTTCACGTATTTCCGCCTCACCATCGTCGTCACTGTTTTCCTCGCCGTCGTTACCGGCGGCCACCCAACCAACTGGTCACTAAAACCACAATAAAGAAGATCAATCAAACATGCATATACATGCAACGATAACAGAAATTTAATATGCCGTACGTACCTAGTGATCATCCTTGAGATAGAATTATTCTCGTGTCTTTCCCCGAGTTTTACATCAACGGTCTCGAGGAATCTACGTTTGTTTCCGGACTTTTTTGGACCGTGCGATGCATTTGTCGGAGTGCCAGGCAAAGCTAGGGTCAGCTCAGTTCCTCCAAGATCACCGGAATCCGGCCAAACCCTAACGTATTCCTTCTGTGACATTAATATCTTAATCTATATATAAAAGTTAGTTAACAAACTCTTAGCAAAAAAAAGTTAGTTAACAAACAAAAGTGCGGAAAGTGATGAGACAATATGGCACTAACTTTTGGCTTGAGTATGTGAGACTCTCGAGGTTTCCAACTTTGTATTTATAGTCGATCTGTACTTGTCAGCTAAAAACCTAGTGAACCCTACCTGTAATGACACGTTTTCCTGTAACTGGCGGTTTTTATATCTCCACGAAAGCAAGTGAATAGTTTGGTGATTAGCTTCTACTTCGTGTGGTGTGGGCTCGTTTATAGTTATAGCCACTTAGCATGATAGCATCTCCTAAACTGTCATTAGTGGATGTAATTGCATATATATGTACGGATATCAGCCTGATTTCTTAGGTCATCTGGTCCAGCTCCTACGTCATGGGTTCGATTAAGGAGAAGAAAGAATCATATCGAATTACTATTAGAAAAGAAATAGACTATAATTTGATAATATTATAGACTAGCATGCAGAAATCGCGAAAAAAAATTCTTAGCATTTTACACTTGTAAAATATATAGTTGAATATAATAAACTTTAATCCCATATATTTGTTTGTGTTTGTCAATTTCAGTTCCATATATTCTTCGAGAGAGATCTCCAATAGTATTCCTTTTGTCGACACTTTGTTGTCACTTTACACTCCTTATCTTTTCAAATAAGTTTTTCTTTCTTGATCAAAAAAAGTTTCACCGTTAAATATATATGTAATGTATATCAGTTTTCACTGTCGGTCCAAAACAAAACAAATCATAGTTTAAATAATGTATTCCTAATTATCCATCATCGTACACTACACACTAATTAAGTACGTACAGCAATTCTTTAATCCAACAAAAGAAGATTCTCGGAATATGATATTACTTGTTTAGATATATGATGTAGCTTTATTTGTATTTTCACTTTATTTTCTATGTCTGAAATTTTCATTTATATAACTGTACGTTTATTACTAGAATGATAACAATTTGAAAACAACACAATTCATAGTATTCTTTCTATCCCATTTTATAAGATGTTTTAGAAACCTTTTTTTGTACCATTTTATCAAATATTTTACAAATTTCTATATAATTATTTGATATTTTGACTCTTTAAATTTTGCTGTCAACTACTTTAGATTCTCACGAGCAATTCCTAAACCGCTAGTGTTCACGCAAAATTGATCAACGGTGTTTCCGGTATGTGGTTTCTAAACCATAGTTTTTGTGCGTTTTCGTGATCAAAAAAGTTGTAGATACTGCTTGTTTGAAATTTGAAGACTGGTCTCGGTCGTAGATACTCGCATCAATTTCGTGGTCTTCATTTGTCCTTCTATATGGTGGTTCTATTTTGTCTCGTCGCTCTTACCTTGTTTTGTTCGTCTTGGTGGTTGTTTATTGTTATGTTATGTTTATTTCTTTTTATTTTATAGTTTTCGGTCTTTTCTCCTACTCGTTCTACTTTGTAACCGGTTGTTACAAACGAAAAATGGTAGAAACTTAATATTGATACCAAAAAAATGTCTTCTTCTGAGTTGTTATGATATTGATATTGTGTTGTAATTTTCATCGAAAATCAAAAGAAATCCCAACTAATATGCGTGTCAGCGTGTGGATTGTAAACAACGAAAACAATATTAACAGACCTAAATGATGAAACTTCTACGTCAAAATTGAAAAACAATCTAAAATAATATATATAATGAATTAGAACATCAATCATTTTTAGATTAAAAAGTTCATGATTTGTGATAGAAAAGTTAGAGAGGAGATAAGTATCACTTTTTTAGTGAGAAATTTCAAACTTACTGAACAGTTTTTCAATGTTCGGCATAATTTAATATCATATCTCTAACCGTGCTTATATTATTTACAAGCAATTTTGAAATCTCATTTTAAAATCTGTAATAACCAAAGCACGAATCATAATAAGAAGAAGAAAAAAAAGGAAAAAAACGTTTAGACAGAAGAACATTAATTACAGCAGCGCAGGCTCACGCGTAAGTCACGTGACTCTGTTTCTTCATCGGGGAACATTAAATCATAAATGATTTTCTGATGGTTCGTGACGCTATTCTTAGACCAATAAGACCATCTGCATTGGGGGATCACCCCCCCTGATCTAAGCATTATTTAAATCCAAAAAAATAGGTTAATGGGCTTAAGATCAGAAACTGGGCTCTTGACCTGGATCTGTTCTTGTGGGTGTTGCGGGGTGACGTGGCATTTGGGCATTGGTTGGAATATTCAACATATTTGGAATAAATTTGGATAATAAACTATGTATTAATTAGATAAAATGTTTTTGTGCTTTTATTAAGTAATATGTTTGTTTGTTTATTGTTATTTATATTTTTAATGTTTTTTTCATAAATATTTAGTATTGTATTTTCACTTTTATTTTCAGTTTTTCATAAATTTGGCATTTGCAATTTATATGTTATTTTAAATGTTTTAATAATTGTAAAATCTTAATTTAATTTAGATTATTATATTATTAAGTCTTAAGATCTTACACATGTTCTCCCACTAATCAACTTCTAAACAAAAGATCTAAACACATGATCTTACATTATTTTAACATTATATTCTCTATAAGAACACCCTCACATGATCCCCCATTGATGATGCCCTAAGGCAATAAGAGTTAAACCAGCCAAATAGGTCCTACTGGCGACACGTGACGAATTTACCGGTTTCGATTGCCAACCCGTGACCGGTAATTCCGGTGAGCCATTCTTTTTAAAAATTTGTTTTCTTTCGTTATAATAATGCGCATGGAATGAAACAGTCGTATAATTCATTTAACTCGAATTCCTAAAAAATTCTAGACCCATGTGAGATAACAATAAGTACATAAATGATGCAGACTACGTATTAGATGATTGTTAATAATTTAGATTTATTCAGACTTTTCTCTCAGATAATCGAAATTGTTTTTAGGATCTATAAAAGCGATATTGATGTCTTGTGATATATAGTTAAGTAGTTAACATAATATAACGGTCCAACACTTAGAGTTGCGAAATCTCCAATAAAGCCCAAACTAAGGGATGGGTCAAGAATACATCATATGGGCTACATGGCAGATTTTATACATCATAATGCCATTTTGTTATCATTCCATAAATAAAGCCCAGTTTTTTTTTTTTTTCCATATGATTCTCAAAATGTTATCGGGAATCCAGAATTCGATTAAGATTCTTCTATTCCTTTTATGTTCCAAAAATTCAGATAATTAAAGTGTCAGAGCCAGAGGATCCATATCTCTATAATAAACTTTATATTTAATTTCTTTGTCTTAACATGAATTAGGAAAAAAAGAATTAAGAACTGAACACATCAATAAAAATTACAGTATAAATGTATAATTTTAAAATTTGGAATGACAAAAACAAAATATGATTAAATTGTAAGAAATCATTGGGAATAGCCTTTTTGCAATAAACCTCAGACTCAGACTCTGAGATTGTTGTTTGTCTGGAAGGAAAGTGCTTAATTAGGTAATAAACCTTGGAGTCATCGAAGACCGTCCGATCAGATATTACACAGAGATCCAACGGTTTAGGATTTCAGAAATAACGACGAAATCTTCAATCATCAGTTTAGTAGTAAACTAAAAACTAATAATCAATCAGTCATCTCCCGATTTACTGCGAAAGCAAAAGACGAAAGCTGCAAACAAAAAAATCAGCCGATTCCTTTTTTTTCTCTGAAGAAGAATGAAAAAGAAGAAGAGTAGTAGTACAAGTACTAATAAGAAGATTTCAACAATAGCTTATTCGCAGCTTTTTCAATTCTGGTAAAAAAAGGCTTCTTCACCATTGTTTTCGATCTTCTGTCCTTTTTAGCTAATTCCGAATTTTTGGGTATCATCTTATGCTACGATTTAATTTCTTGGAATTCCAGTTTAGGGATCAGAATTTGAATTGAGTCAAAATTTACTTGACCTGGGATTTTTTTTGTTTTGTTTTTGACTTAGGGTTCGTCACTCAAATGGTGCAGAGTCCTTTTATAATTGATCCTAAAAAGCTATTTACTAATTCTGAATTTCTTCTCCATTTATTGGTTTGAATCCTAAAGCTGTTTCCTGTTTAGCATTACATTGCTCTTGGTAGCTAGAGTTGAGTTGGCTCTGGTGAACACAAATGTCAAGACAATTAGGAACGTCTAGTTGCTGACTTTGTGCTTTTCAGTTTTCTACTTGGGATTTAGATGGATGTTTCTTCCATTGCGCGAAATACTATTATCCTAACTACTGATCAAGATCCTTTGTTAATGGACCACGATACCCACAATAACCGCGACCACATCGTTGACATTACAATACGCAATGACCAGGACTCTTCTTCATCAACATCTTCTTCTATCGATGAGCTCACTCCTCCACATCAAGCTGAATTGGAGACAGTATCATCATCAAATGGTACAGCGCATCCAGCTCCTCCTCACCAAAGACCAACTTCTTCTAGGAATGCTCGCCGTACTAGGACTCCACTGAATTCTGGCCTTTGGATCTCAGTTGAGTTAGTTGTCACTGTCGCTCAGATTGTTGCAGCCATTGTAGTTATGGTTCTCGCTAAAGATGAACATCCTCAAGCGCCATTATTTACTTGGGTTATTGGATATACTTCTGGCTGTATAGCCACTCTCCCTATTCTCTTTTGGCGTTTTCGCACTTATAGTCGAGGTACAGGGCAAGATTCTTCACAGCGTGGTAGCTCTTCTCAAGCCAATAATAATAATCCTTCAGAGTCCACACCATATACAGCCGTCTCAGTTGCTCAAGCAGCAGATGACATGAGTGCAGCACCTAGAAACAATCAAGTTGGGGAAACCTTAAGAACAAGGTAAGTCTAATTATTTGTTTGGCTTCAATTAATTGGGTTGGTAACTTAAGAAGAATAAAAATTGATAATTGTTAATGACTTGCAGGCTCAACGGGCTGGTGGACCACTTCAAGATGGCGATTGATTGTTTCTTTGCGGTGTGGTTTGTTGTGGGGAATGTATGGATATTTGGAGGTCACTCATCTCCTTCTGATTCTCCTAAACTGTACAGGTACACGCCCTCGACTTCATCTGCTCTGATGTCTCTATGGAGAACTGAACAGCTAACACTCATGTTTTTTTGTTTGGTTGGGCCTTGCAGGTTATGCATAGCGTTCCTTACTTTCAGTTGCATTGGATATGCAATGCCATTCATACTATGTGCAACCATATGTTGTTGTCTGCCTTGCTTAATCTCTGTTCTCGGATTTCGAGAAAACTTCTCACAAACTAGAGGAGCCACTACCGAGGCCATCAACGCATTGCCTGTCTACAGGTTTAAATCAAAAAGTAGAAATGATTTGGAATTTTCAGAAGAAGGTGAAGGTGGATTTCTTCTCTTGGGATCCCAGAAGAAACGTCTTATATCAGGCGAGGATGCCGTAAGTAAATACTACTCAGATTTATTTTCTTTAGTTCCGCCATGGATTCATATGAATTAGTTGGTTAATTCAGTTGTGAGTAGGAGTACTTCAACTGTTAACTATTGTCTGCATTTCTTGGATATATTGGTTTTGCAGAGCTGTTGCATCTGCTTGACTAGATATGGCGACGACGAACAAGTTAGAGAGCTTCCATGCTCACATGTCTTCCATGTAGACTGTGTAGACAAATGGCTTAAAATCAATGCGACTTGCCCTCTCTGTAAAAATGAGGTTGGAGAAAGCAGCGGTGCTTCCTCATAGACAAGAGATGAGTTGATCCCAGCTGTTTGGAGTTGGGATACATAGTCTGTCATGTGTATAGACTTAAGACTTGTATAGTTGAGATGTTGTTTATTCATTTTGTCTGTCCAAGAGTTGTATCTTTCCAAATCAATAAATTTCGAAATAATGTTTGTTATGAGAGAACGTATATAAGAAAAAGATGTAACACCACTCAAAGGCAGGCTCATCAAATCAAAATTTTCCAGAGATGTCAAGAAGCTTAAACAGATAATGTGATGGGAAAAATAAATAATGTGGTGAAAGTGAAAAAAGAAGAAGATAAAAGGGTACAACATCAAAAAAGCTCGAAAAATCCTCTTAAAAGTGTGGAGAGAACAAAACGAAAAAGCAAAAAAAAGACAAGACCCTCTCTTTTTGTGGCAATGTTCTTCAAACTTGAAACCCAGCCTTATATAGAAAAACAATTATACACATTTGGCATGTTACAACTCCAATCATTTTCTGATCCACACACCTCGGGGAAAGATTTCACTAAATCTTAAGTTTGATCCGGGTCTGCAAGAACAGATCTGCCATCTTTTGTAAATTATCTCCTGGGTTGATTTGGTTCTTATTGATAACTAAGAGGTTTTTCAGGTTGAGACTGAGAGGCTCTTGAATGCTTCGAGTTGTCCGTCGCTCAATTCAGTCTGACCCATTGGGTGGTTTGGCGTGTCACCGTTCTCATTGCTCTTGCGAGATGAGTTGTACACTGAATCAGGCATCACAGAGCTGTGCTTGCCTTCAAAGTGAGTCGAACAGGGAAAATACTCGGCGCAGCGTGATTTCCATCCTGCAATTATAACACCATAGCACAGCTTATCATTTTCCAGCAACTTACTAAATGAGACCAACCAAACACACTAAATGAAAAGAACACCCGCAGAGAAGTCGTCATATTGGTGCAGAGAGCTACTACTTAATGGAAACAGCACAGTGAAGATATTTAATGCTTACTGGAGGCAGCTTCTGAGTCGAGGAGAACTGTCTCTAGGAGCTTATGAACTGCTATGCAGTCTTTTAGTTTCCATTCTCTCGCTGGTCCTAGAGCTCCATTTCTGCAAATGGACAACCAAATGTTAAACATACCAAAAAACAGAGAACAAAGAGAGCAAGGAACCATAAGGTATTTGTTTGAAGGAGCATTACGTTTGAACCACTTTATTGGTTGAGTCTTCAATTATTTTGATTGCCTCGGTTTTCTTGCTTGGATCTAAAATATACAGCATTTCTGCATATGCAGCTCTGTGCACCAAAGAATCTGCGGAGTTGCATGCAAACGTTACCATTTTTCATTAGACACTGTAATGTCTCCGTGAGGGTACATGTAATCAATTTGATACGAACCTTCGTGTCTACCAAGAAACTCTTTGTTTGCTTCCATTAGTGATTTATTCTGCAATTGACTAGAATGCAAATGGACAATTTATCTCACAACTGATATTCAAAAAGTAACAGTAAGATTGGATCAAAGTTTGAGTAGCCACCTGATTGACGGGCGCTCAGCCTCTAGAACACTCCAACGAAGTTTCTCAGCTTCAGTCGTTGGAGCACTTATCGATTCTGTCATGAGAAAGAATTTAACCTGCCACCAAGTTCAAAAGTATAAGCCACAAAATAGAAAACACGTCTAGCCACAGAACACTTGAAGGAAAACATTATTATCTCTTGTCTGCTTTACATGATTAAACTCTTCCTTAAAACATCACAAGTTACACAGATTTCATACCAAGGAACGGTGTGAATCAGGGTTCTCTGCATCCAATTTAAGCAATTTCTTGACGGCCTGAAGAGAATGGTAAAGCCCTTAGAATACTTGACGAAGCATATTATAGAAACATGATAGATCCAATCTAAGCTTGCATAGGATTCAAAGCAGTTACCTGGAATGCAAGTAGAAACTTCTGTTTTCTCATATTGACCTCAAAGGAAAGTAGATGAGTCTCCAAAGAATTAGGTGAATGCTTCTGGAGTAGTCTCAAGTACTTTGAAGCCTCTGCCATTGGCTGCTCAACCTGTACAGATTTGGTTATTTAGTTAGCCTCTATTAAAGTTAATACTCATACTAAAGTAAACCACAATACATCTTACAAATGAAGTAAACCACAACCTGAATTAACTTTTGCCCATGAGGATCTGGATCTACAGGTTTCACATTTCGTTTGCCAGACTTAGAGGCACCACTTGCAGTTGATTCTTCACTCTTACTCTCAGCTTCCTGAAACGAAAAAGAGCACTCTTAAGCCATCTTAGTGTCAATTCACTCGTCAAATCAATGAACGCGCCTACTTTCTTAGCCCGGGCTTCTGCCTTTTTCTGCTTCTTGATTTTCTTCTTCTGAGCAGGAGCCAACTTTGACATTTCATCTTCTTCAGCAGTCGACTTGGGAGAGTCATGCAATTTCAGGTAGCACCTGAACATTCAGGCCGAGAGGCAAATGAGCTATAGTTAAATGGAATCTATCATGCATCGATACAGTAGATACTGTAGCTATACAGTAGATACATTAGTACATTTATGCAACAAAGAGTTCACCTGATAGCCCTGATTGCTGCTTTGTGGAAATATGGGAACGAGTGCAATCGGTCTTGGAACTTAAGCATGTCAACATATGAACGCAAAGTCATTTTCCTTAGGCAATACGAGTGGAAATCAAATTGATCTTCAGAAATGTCAGCATAGTGCTTCTCCACAGCTAAGAACTTCTTCAAAGCACGTCCAAGATCACCCTGACGGAAGTAGCTATCTCCAGATGCAAGATCATACCTTCAACGAAATAGGATCAAAAGACAGCCATTAGAAAGATAGCTGAATGGTCAATTCTACATTAGCAAAACTACTCAGGGTTCTATAGAGCCATACCACATGCACTGCATGTCATGGAGATTGTTGAGCTGATCCCCCTCTTTGGTAAATAAAACAGCAGTTTTCTCAGCCAAGGGCACCTTCACCAGAAAATTTACAGAATGGAGAACTAGCGTTTAGGCTTAACGTCAAAGACATCGACCAAAACAATATAATACGAACAAAACCAATGCAAACCTGATCTGCTTGCAACATACGCTTAACGCATTCACTGTTTATATAACGATCTGCTAGGTCCATGCCTCTAGCTTCATCGGCAAGTGCAGCAGCGGCAGTCAAGTCTCCTGCATGCTTCATTATTCGGCTCTGTTGAAAGAAACAAGTACAAGGGTTAAGAGTAAACAAGAACATCCTCATACGAAAAAGATAACCTGATACACGGTGTGCACACAATATACAAATTTTGTTAACACAATTGCTATAACTAAAGAAGTTCAAACCCAGCCATCCTATCAAAAAAAGTTTTCAAAATGTGTCTCCAATACATAGTGCAAGCAGCAATAGTGACACCAAAAAAACTGATGGATCAAAAACTTATAAGAAGATTTTTGGTCATGATAAACAAGGATACCTTAACGGAGTACAGATCAATCACTGTTGGCGTATGAGCAATGGCCTCATCAATTTTACAGAGCGCAACATCATATTGAGCACGCCTGTCATAATGCTGCAATATGAAAAATTTGTATCAAAATAAAAATACACAAAACATCAAAAGTATAACTGTTAATATAGATAGAAATTAAGACAGTAATAGCAACAGTGAACCTGAGCCAAGAAAAACAATGTCCACAAGAGTGTGGAAGGGGGCTCTTTTACATCACTGCATCATTTAAAAATAAGACAAAAGATTCGACTGATCATCATTAACTTTGAGAACATTTCAATGTTGTTTTGTATAAAATAAGACCTTATATAATAGATGACAATAATTCAGTGACTATATCAGTAATAGATTCAGTTGTATACCTTCCTGGGAAACTTCCAGTAGTCCTAATCGAATGTTCCATCTCAACAACTAATTGCTCCAATATATCAGGCTGGGTAACAAAATAAGTATTTAAACATATATAAAAAAGTAAGGTAAAGCCAGATCAATGAAATTGGAGACAGCATGCTCAAGGACAAAGCAGGGAAACTGACCTTGCGAGGGTGATCATACAAAGAAGAGAGATCAGAAAATAATGAAGGAACCCCCTGAGACAAATATCAAGAAATGTAAGAACATATTCTATTAGATCACTGTGAAAACGAAGAGATTCAAGGGCAAGAAAAGATACCTTTGTCAAAAGAGGTTTAATGTATTTTGCTACAGCCTCCTTAAAGTTCTCATCTTGAAGAAAATCCAATGGTATCCTCTGAAATGGGGAAATAGAATATAACTTAACCCCAGTCTTAGAATTTCACGTATCAGCAGCCAAAGCAAAACATCAGACGGGAGCAAAATGGGTAGCCACTACTAGTTCCCTATGAAGTAGAAGGATATTAGAAAATGTATTACACTACAGGCAACGATAGGCCTTATCTCACCTTAACAGCGGATGACCTAGTGTACTGCTCACTTAGAGACTGGTACAAAGCATTTAACTTCTCAATCTGGTCGGACGAATATTGACCACTTTCTGAATACAATCCAAGGCATTTTTGAAGACCTTCATAATATCTGAAAAAGTAACGAATGCACTTTTTTATTTGTTTACAAAAACTGACAGTACCAAGAATATATAGAAGCCTTTGAAAGTAGCAAAGGTATAGGCAGCCAAATTTATGCCAAAGATAATGAAGCAGAGCAAACAGATATGACAATAGAGAAAAACGAAAAAATACACAGATAATTTCTTTAGAGCTACTTTAAAGTTCAAAGAAAAAAACCTGTAATTGTCAGGGTTCATGGAAAGTAAAACCCTGTAGAGTTTATTGGCTTCTTCTAGACGACCAACCTTTGACAAGAGAGATACCTCTTGTTCTTTGTAAGACAACTTATCAACCTACAAACAATGAAACGAGGAATGTTCAATCTACTACATGTGTGCATCCTATTATCCAAACACATTCATCTATCAGATTTGTGAACTTACTATTTTCGGTTCTTTTTTGTGCAACTCCTCAAGCGCTTTGTCAAAAGAACCACTCTCCTCAAGCAAGGAAACCTGGAAGGAAAAAGAATCCAGCTGAGATTTCCTGCAGCTACAGATATCAAAAATGTGCTAATGCCAAATGTGGGTTGCGCAAACAGAGAAGTTTCAGGGGAAAAGAGTGAACAGAGCACCACCACTCCGGGTGGCTTGGAGAGACTTTCCAGGGTTCATATCCAATTCTTCTTGTGAGGGTTATGCTTTTTTCACAAACGAATACAGGTGTAATTCAAAAATGTATGATACAAGCAGTAGGCCATACTTTGTACCAACCACAACTTGTACGTTTGGCATTTTCGTCAATAGGAGATAAATGTATGATACCCGTTTAGGGAAGCATGATTTTTCAGGGCAAAAAACCTTAGAGAGACAACAGTCAAGGTATAATAGTTGTAAAGTTTCTGGTTGATACCTTGTATAGAATCATTTCAGTGTGTTCACATAGCTCGTTCTCAGGAGGATAGTCATCCTCTAAGGTGCCTTCATACGCTTCCAAAATTTCAACAGCTTTAGAAGCACTGGTTTCAGGAAAAAATAAAAGAAGTTAAGAGATCAAGGTTTATATACATGGCAAGCTTTTACTAGTAAGAAAAAAAGTTCACAGTAAATTCTACTGTATGTTCATTGGTATATTATTTCCTAAAAGTCTGATGTCAGATTCGTCCCAACAAAGGCATACGCTATCTACTCCTTAAAGTGTTCAAGACTACAATTGCAAATTATAGTCAATTAACCAGTAACCAGCTAGCCAATAGTCCAAAGAAGAAAAACTAGCATTCCATTCAAATGAGAAAGTGCTGCAACATATTTAGATTTAAGGGGTCAAGGACCATAACATACTTCGCGTTCAAATGCTGAGAGACTGCAAAGCCAATCCAGTTCATTCGGTGATTAGGCTTTAATGTCAAAAGCTGCTGCCTGGTCTCCACAAAACCGGATAAGTCCCGCATTTGTGCCTAGGAATAAGAAAGTATACAAAATGATTAACTATTGAAAGCATCAAAAGAGATTAAAAGTGGAACAAGCTTACACAAAGTAAAAGTGATAAAAGTACGAATTGCCATCATCTTTGAGAATAATTGGCACACCTAATATATTCACCTCAATCCAGTTTTTCCCATAATTACCTGCAGAAGTGAGAGGTCTCTGAGTATTTCAAGGTTATCAGGATCTATTCTAAGAGCATTTCGGTAGCATTTGATGGCTTCTCTATACTCTCTGTCTGACCGGTACAAAAGACCAAGCACATGCCAGCAAACATGGCTTTTGATATCATTCTGCATGAAAAAAATAAGTATAAATCCTACATTACCCTGAAAACCATACCACGTCTAAAAACTAAGGAATAAAGTTGTGATTATTGAAGAGTATATTCGAACCTTCACTCCAAGCCTAACAAGCTCATATGCTTCAGTTTTGCGGTCCATACAGTTTAGAGTCAGTCCTTTCATAGATAAAGTCTCTGAAAATCACAAAAAACAAGAGAGACAAATCTTTAAAAAAGGAAAAGAATAACAAAAAGAAACATTCAGCAGAAGCAAGAACCGGGTTTACCACAAAACAGAATAGATCTCAACTAACAAAACTACACAATACCAAGCATTTCCTTTGCTTCAGTAGATGATCATACACTACAGCCCTTATACACTATATATGTAGTACACTAAATATAGAGTTGTAAGTTCAAATAGCAATGAATATTAGCACTAAATCACAAAAGAATAGAAGGAGAGTTTTGATAAAAGACAAACTGACCTCCATGATCAGGAAACTTTTTTAATATGGCATCAGCTGCCTTGAGTCCCTTCTTGTACTGCTTAGTCTCATATGATTTCTGCATTATAAAATCACTCAGAATAACTATATGCGATATATGTTTACTAAAACGCTTGAGAAAATTACATAAGAGAAAAAAGGAGAAGTATTTAAAGCAGGTTGAACAATATAGTGGTTAAAACCAAAATCTATGTTAAACTAGAGTTTAGAAAAGATGTCTGAGACTAGGGTTACATTAATAACTAGTTGGTAAAGATGCATATAACCTACAGAAACCATGTTGAGTATATTGATAAAGCTTGGTTTTCATGTTCCTCAAAGTAAACTAAGAATCCCAGAGCTTAAAACTCGACCAGGTCTCTCTATCTCAGCCTGTGACAAAGATCCTAGGCGACTAAAGAAGCCCAGAAGCAATCAATAGCCGATAGTCAAAAAGTAATTGAAGTTAAGAAATTGGTACATCAAACTAACACATTAAGATACCAAAACTCCACACAGTTTACTTCACATGTCAACGACTTTTCTATTGACCCAACACATTGACGATTAACTTAATTTGGGGTTTAACAGAGCAGATAAAACTCATCGTATTCCAATTTGTGCTGAACAGAAACATCACATCGCATGTTTAAGACAAAGCAAAAACTGAGAGATAAAGAGAGAGAATCGGAACATACGACGATGAGCTTGAAGAGGTTGGCCTCCTTAGGAGGAAGCGAAGCCCCCATTTTGTTGCGCTACTAAGAGAGCTCGCGAAGAAGAAGATGTTCTTCGCGACGAGTTCGATAGGGTGAGAGAGAGAGATAGAGGTGGCGTACTATCCGCTTCAACCCTATTACTGCGAACAAAGAAGGCACAGCTCTCTCAAGACAAAACCCAAATAAGGGTATAAATAAATTAGGGTCTTGTCTTCAATCAATCTTCTTCGATTCTAACCAAATCGGTACATGTTTCCGGTTTAAATTCGTTACTCTTATTTTAGAAACGGTTGTCAAATTGGATAGAACCAAACCGGTGAAAAACTGGAGACATCTGAACCTAATTTACCAAATCAAAATTGTATTTTAACCGATCAATTTTATATAATACCATCGTCCATCGACACTAGATCTGTAGTATCAAATCAAACCGACTTAATTGCAACCGGTTGCATCTGTAAAGACTTAAAAAAAACTAAACCGAATCCAATCCAATCCAATCCAGCATCAATAAATTTCATTAGAACCAATCTTCCCGAACCAAGCAGACCGGATTAATTTCAATTTTTATTCCGTAACATCCTACCAAACGTCTCGTGCTTTCATATGCAAAATGAAACAAGTTTCATCTAAAGACACTCTAAAGAAACATTCCTATAAGCAAGTTCGATCTCTTCTTCAGTCATCTCAACGGTCTCATCACTGTCATAGCCAAAGGCAACCCGAGAGGTCTCTCTGCTTTTTGTTCTCGATGATTCAGCTTCGCTCGTGTTTGCTAGCTCAACCTCATAGATCTTTTTCCAAGACTTGGCTTGTTTGCAAAGTTCTTCCTTTGAAGCTGTTGAATTCTCTTTTTTAGAAGACGATTCGATCTTTCCAAGCTCCTTCACTACACGAGGGACAAAGCTCCATAGCTCTGTAACTGATCCAATGTCCTAAAATTAAGAACATTCGAGAATAAATTCAGACGATTTGATTCAACCAACAATCTTCTTAAAGAAATTGATCGAAGTTAAAGAGGAAGAACATTTTTAAGGCTCTAAAAAAGGCGGCAATTGATTAGGCAACAATTATTGTTCAGACTTCAGAGATATTAACCTGCTTCTGTTCAAGAGACTCTATGGCGTCTTGTAAGCAGGTTAAGACTCCTTCAGCAGCTATTCGCTTGATTTCGGCTGGTTCTGGCTGTTACAATGGTTTTAGAATAACCGAAACATACAATCAAGAAAACATGTGTGTTTGAAAGAACATAATACTCCCCCTTACCTTCTCCTCCTGACTTTCAAGCCATGAGATGGTTTGAGTTAGGTCATCCCTGGCCCATTTCTTCACCTCTGTAACAGAAAATGGCTCTTTCACAAGATTGCAAGCTGATCTATTCTGTGAAGATATGGAAATAAACAGTCATACACCATTGATTGGAGCAAAATACGGTTCGTTTTGATTAACCAAATTATCAGTTATGGTCTAATGGGTGAAGGTTTAAACATGCCTTGGATGAGGTAGATGGAGTTCCCCTTGTTTCTGTTTTTTTCTCTACTTGCTTCTCTGGTTTTTTAGACAGGTGTTCGCTATTTTCTGATTACAATCAATTAAGCTTCACGGAGTCAACTAAACATCAGAGTGAAGCAGGGCAATAAGAAAAGCTATTCTCTTGTTCATAAACTTAAAAACATGGTGATATTGATGAACCTCAGGATGGTTAAAACAGAGATTCTATCTAAAGCCTTTCCAATATATAATTCTTTTTACCTTGAATAGCATTTTGACGAACATTGCTTTTCCTCCATGGTTTTCCAGCATGCATAAGGTATTGCTCAATATCCACCAACTTCTTCTGCGTATAACACTCAGTTATCCAATCCTGAAGACAGTTAAAAGATCCAAAACATCAGTAAAAAGTATAAATTCAATTACCAATGGATCACTTATGAAAGTCAAAGAGGTAACCTTTGAGATTATTGTTCCCCCATTTGTTTCAACTTGACGGAACTTTGGAGTGTTGGGAAAAGCACAGATCAACAACGTAGAGTCAGAGTTCCAGTCAGGTTGATAGGTGGCTCCCATGGTCAAGGCCTGTGATCTCAGTGTACTCCTCTCAGGATTAACAAAGCCCGACAGCACAAAAACAACTCCTTCCTGCATAGTTTAACCTTAAATTCAATCAAAAAAAGCATATGACTAACATGACAGCTAAAGAATATATAGTTTCAACAACACCATAAAGGCACACAAACCATAAGTTTAGAGAATTCCGTGGTACTTGAACTTGGCTCAGCGTGTTCTGACTTGTTGGAAGGGGCATTTCTTCTACTGTTGTGCTCTTCAACTTGTCCTTCATCCTTAGGCTTCTTACTATGAGACTTACCCGGACTAGTTTCGGGATCCCTTGAACTCATCCAAGAAGGAAGATTTCGCTTCTGGGACATGTTGTCCTTTACACTAGACAAGACAAGACAGGTTTCTTCCTAGGAAGAAACACAAACTTAAACCTAAGCGGCTAAGCCACTAGTTACTTGAAATCCCAGGAAGATATAGCTATTGCATCTAGCAGAACACAAAGCCAGAGACAAAACGGTGCAAATCTGCAAAAGTGTAGCAAAAATTGTAAAGCGTTCCCTAAGAACCTTTTTCAATTGCAACATAAAATGAATGGATAAGGGTTCTCCTACAGCGAAGAATTTAACAGAACTCAGTAGCACTAAAGTAGAATTCGAGTTCAGATCAAATCACAGTACTGGGAAATTACAAAAAGAAGAAAGCCATTGCAATTAACAGAAACATCACCATAAAGCCCTCGAAAACTAAATCTACCCATCTAAATGAGCCAACACAGATGTTACGAAGCAAGCGAGGAGAAGACTATAATTAAACTTGAGAAGAAAGCGAGGAACCTTAGCTAGCGCTCCGTGGCTTCTTCTGCGATCGAAAGCATCAGAGAGACTGTCAATTTGTCAACAGCATACACGTCGTCGTTATACGAAAGCCGAAACTCAATATCAGATTTAAAATGATGAGAGTATTCAATCTAAAAAATGAAAACAATAAGCAAAGGTGGACGTGCCGGAGTGGTTATCGGGCATGACTAGAAATCATGTGGGCTTTGCCCGCGCAGGTTCGAATCCTGCCGTTCACGTTTTTTTATTTACCATTTTTTGCTTTGACTCTGCCCGTTTAGATTTCTAGTGTTTCATTTTTTTACTGTTGCAGCTGGAGGTTTATGAAAGGACAATTACCATTACTAAGTTATTCCTCGTTTCAATATTTTTTCTGAGTAATTAGGAAACTCTTTACTTTAGTCTTTAATTTTCTCTTTTCTTAGGTTTCACAACCTTCATCGGCTTCAAATAATACATGAATCCCCATCCAATGAAAAAAACGAAATCCACGCACACATTGAAGGTGAAATCCTTCGTGTCCAGTACCTACAATGAGCTCGATGAATTAAGAAGACTTTATGCATGCATTGAAGAAGCTTACAAGCCGATAGGCCGGAAACATCCTCTTTCCTAAGAAATATATCTTATGCTTGTATGTATAATTGATGTGTTATGTCTCATTCTTATTAAAACTTACAACACAAACCCCTCATATGCTACGACACAATTCCATGACTAAATTTGTGAATATCAACGAGTCAAAACATGTCAAAAGTCTATCTTTACTTTGTCTTTAACGTTCCCTTCTTTAGCCGCAAACTGTTTTTGGACTTTTGAACCCATTTCCGAAATTTCAGGGCTTGTTTTCTACAAAGTTACGTACTAATAATAAGCCATCGTTACCACTCACGTGGTTAGTAAGTAAGATATGATTATAAAAGGATTCAATGGCTTTGACACGTTCTGTCCTCGCTTGACGTAAGCCATGTTAATTTAACCGTTGTGTTGTCGTTGGTCTGTTCGACGCTATCAATATATATATGAAATGTGTTTTTTTTGCTAAATTCAGCTGATTTACCCTTTTTTTTTGCTTTCCCTCTCGCTTCGAGTCACTTTGAAGTGTAGATCGAAGAGTATTGGGGGTTGTTTAGTCATCCTGATTTTCTTAATCAATATAAGTGATCATGTTGTCAATATTAGTTCCCAAAAATGACATTGAAAACTATTAAGGGCCTATGTTAGCAAGCAAAGATCAATGAGAGAAGAAATCTAGGACTTGGCCTGCTTTGTTTGCACCTCGAGGATTTTTTTTTTTAAAGTAGATAAGTTGATGTATGTATGATGAATGATGATGAGGATGAATGAAAATTATTTATAATTGTTCCGGGCACTTATCAAAAGAAAGGAAATAAATACAATTACTGGCAGTAGAAGATACAAAGTCCACGTCAGCTACTGGATAACTATCATAATGGATAAAAAGGACGTAAAATAAATACATAAAATGAGCTTATCCTGTATGTACCAGAGCTTTTTAAATTGATGTCGACTGCATAAATATCCAAATTCTATTGCATGTCTTCGTAACAATTTGATCTCTATCATTAATTTGCAAAATAATAATGCATATATTGTCTGAAGTCATCGAGTGCCTAAGCCTCGAGTCAAACTATCTTTGAGACACATTTAGATATGAGAAAATTTGATCAAATGACAGCTTTCTTCCTATGTAATTGGCCAGCGTTTTCTGCGGTGCTAAAGCTCATATATTCTCGATCGATCAATTTTATTAGTTAGCTGAGCTCACATATATATATTTTTTTTTTGGTAAGGTTTTCTACGTTGCTGGTTTGATGCGAGGCTTTGTACTTCTAATTTAATCAAATGTCGACACAATTTTAAAAAAACGAGTCAAATAAATCCATTCCCCTATCGTTCTCAATCACATATAAAAAATCTAAACTATTTGGCTAATTATATAGTGTTTCTTTTTCCATTTTATCAATTGCTTGACGAATTTTCTTGTGACGAAAATACCTTTTTAAAAAATATGAATAATTGAGTGCGACCGCAGAAGAGTATGAGTTATAAAAAATCGACACGAACATTGATGAAGTGGGTCCAACACTCCCAGTACTAGTCTATTCGAACTATTCCTATCTACGAAGGAACGGATTTGCTTCCATCGTTTACTGTTTTGATTTATGAAAGAGCCAGCCACCCGACGACTTTTCTTCCCCCTTTAAGGATGTTGACGCCGTGTCGTTTTGTTCTCGTCCACCGTAGTCATTCAAGACGCCGTGCCGTTTTGTTTTCTTCATGTCCAACCTTTTTTGTCAGCCCGTTTTATCCCACGGCGCCCTTTCAATTAGTTTATTTGTTGCTATAATATTGGATCGGAGTGTTTCATTGTCCCTATACGGCAATCCATAGTAGTATATCTTTTGTCCAATTAACCAAAACTTCAAGTTACATTCATGTTTATGTAAATACATGAATGGATGCATAGTAATCATAAAACTATTATTAAAAAAAATCCAAATTAATATATACGTTAAAGATGTTTACAGCTTTATACATGTGGTGGACACCAGAAGAACTAGTAATATTAGTCCAAGCTGCATGGAACATGCTGCTTCCTCGAGTATTGTATTATTCAATTTTGTACAGCTAAAAGATAGTGTATAGTATGTACATAGATGTCTTTTATACGTTACATATTAAATTACTAAGCATTATAAATGATTTAATCAAGGGATTGTAATAGTATAACGCAGGGTATGGAGACAAACTTTCGTTTCTTTTTTTTTTTTAAAAAAAAAAAAAAAAAAAAAAAACTTTCGTTTCTTTATGTCACACGCGTTAAGAAGCTTAATAAAGATCATATATAATCACGATAAAGATCTATATGCTTGTTATATATTGTAACTACATTTATTAAAACATTAAACTTTGTTCATCCGTAATAGTTTAAAGATGTCGAGTATTGAATACTGCTAGCATTTGAATAATAATCCATACCATCATTTGTTTATGGCCGACCGAGGAAGACACGCACATACAGACAACAAGCGAAATAGAAAATCAAATATCTTTATAAAAAAATAGGGAAATTCTTGAAGTGGTAGAAGGACTTTTAGAGGAATGACTCCAAAACATTAATTTTTGAGTTGGATTTGGATTTAATTTTATTTCATTTAAATAAAATATAATAGATAATTTTATACTTTTTAAATCGTTCTCTACATCTTATTCAACTATGTATCATGTAGTTGTTTACGAATATCCTTTTATTTTGCCGTCGTATATATATGTGTAGTATACATATATTCAGGACTTTAGTATACAAAGTTGACATAAATTTCTGGTGTTTCTTAACGTTAAAACCAAACAAAACAAAAAAAGTTGTGTTGTTTAGAATTAGGAAATCGATATTACAGAGTAAAAGGGTGTGTGTGGTCCGATTAATTATATATGAGAAAAGAAAGGGTGTGATCTAAAATATAGATTCAGAAGGTACATTCAAAAAGTACAGTCTTTAATATGTGTAAGTGTTAATTATTTTTAATTTATCCTTAAAATCAATTTATTATTGTTTGTTGCACACTAGTAAGTGTATTCTTCAACAGTTGTGTATAATGTACATCACTAGATATACAACAGAGTAAAAGGCCTTACTCGGTATTATATTTTACCATCTATGTATCCATCCCATCTTATGTTTATATATACTGTATTCTGTTGTTGACAGGAATTCAAATGCTTTATTACTAAATTTGAAAATTATAACAAAAAAAATCATTTAGATATAAACATAAATTAAAAATATTTCAGTAGAAAATAAAATTGGATATGACATCCATCACCTTGTCCCAATTGATCCAAAGTCTCCATCTTTAAGCTCACACAACCATTAACCGTTTTTTTCCATACAAACTCAAATTCCGTTATCTTCATTTCATTTTATTTTAAATAAAAATATAAAATACACTTAACAAAAACTTGTACTATTAAAGAAAGAAAAAAAAACGATGAATGAATCAACAAGTTTCTAGAAACACTTATCTTCAAATATCTATAAAGCGGCGCACACTCCTCTTCCCCATTCATCATCATCTTCAACCTTCTCTCAATCCAAAATTCTCTCTTTTACTAAAACTGTTTCAATATCTCTCACTCTTCTAAAGCTTCTATCTTCTTCACTTTTCCACAAACAGATAAATAAAAAGTTTCAATCTTTGAGACTTTCTCGATGGAACTTATCCCCAATCTTCCCAACGACGTTGCTCGCGAGTGTCTCCTTCGCGCCTCCTACAAACAGTTCCCTGTCATCGCCTCCGTTTGCAGAGGCTGGAACAGTGAAGTCTCTCTCTCTGACTTTTTACATCAGCGAAAAGCTTCACGCCATAGCCAAGAACTTCTTATTCTCTCACAGGCTCGTGTCGAAGCCTCCGCTGGATCCGGAAAGATTTTCGCTACGCCTGAATACCGGGTCTCTGTTCTCGAATCCGGGTCGGGTCTTTGGACGGAGCTTCCTCCGATTCCTGGTCAAACCAAAGGACTTCCTCTGTTCTGCAGATTGGTTTCTGTTGGATCCGATCTTATTGTCTTGGGTGGGCTTGACCCGGTTACGTGGCAGGCCTCTGATTCGGTTTTCGTCTTCAGTTTCCTCACTTCCAAGTGGCGCGTGGGGGCAACCATGCCAGGTGTACGGAGATCCTTCTTCGGATGCGCTTCGGATTCGGATCGGACGGTGTTGGTTGCGGGTGGACACGACGAAGAGAAATGTGCGCTGACGTCAGCAACGGTGTATGATGTGGCAGAAGACAAGTGGACGTTTTTGCCGGATATGGCGCGGGAACGAGACGAGTGCAAAGCGATATTCCACGCTGGCAGATTCCACGTCATCGGTGGATATGCCACTGAGGAACAGGGGCAGTTCAGTAAAACCGCTGAATCGTTCGATGTATCTACGTGGCAATGGGGTCCACTTACGGATGACTTTGTCGACGACACCGTTACCTCTCCGATCTGCACCGCCGGTGAAAACGGAGATTTGTACGCGTGCTGGCGTGGTGATGTGTTGATGTTTTTAAATGACACGTGGCAGAAGGTGGGCCAGATCCCTGCTGATGTGTACAACGTGATTTACGTGGCAGTGAGGCCAGGGAAGCTGATTGTGATCGGCAACGGCAAGGCATTGGCTGGATATGGTGAAGCCACCGTAGGGTATACATGTGATTTAAGTAGCGCACGATGGGTAAAATTGGAAACACATGTTGGTCATGTTCAAGCTGGTTGCTTCTTGGAGGTCTAATGTAAAACCTCCAATCTTTGGAGTCTGGACCTAAATCCCAACAAATCATTCGGTTTTCTTGTGTGTTAATGTATAAATCTTTTCATGAACAACCAAATAAAGAAATTTAGTTGAGTGAATGTAAATTATGGTATTTATTCATTTATAGTGTCAAGTTGACTAAATATTTATGTTCTCTATATAGAACTAAAAACTTCAAAAGGAAAATTCGAACTTTTAAGTTTTCATGGTTAACCGCTATTGTCAAGCAGAAAAACTTGCGAACATTTGTCGACACAAAACTAAAATGAAATTTATTAAAGGAGCCTTGATTTGGTTCAAGAACTTTAATGGGTTTCATTCATAGACTAGCTCTATTAATTTATTTACTTCAGGCCCAAATAGACCCGATTTTGAATGATAATCTTTTGATCTTTAAATGGGCTTTGGATGGGACTTGAGTTATGTAATTTTGTAAGACAAATGGACGGCTAGGATTTGAGCAGAGGTTCGAAATATGGATTACACCTGAGGGGCAGAGTTCGAAGATAGACTGACAACAGACTTTAAAGAGAGATGCAGAGACACCCTCTGTTACAAGTAACATCTATTTAATATCGATACAAAAGAAAAAAAAAAGTGCATTATATTTCAGCAGGAGAATTGAATCGTAGCCGTTGAATCTGCAGAGGAAATAGGCGCCGCTTCATTCTGCGTCACAGCTTTGTCATTAAATCCAACGGCTGGCAGCTTTATGACACACACAAACAATTGAATTGGAGCAGTGTTACACTGTACCCTATCACCACAGAGAATTTAGCTTCTTTAGTTTCTTTCTTAACCAAAAAAGTCAACACATTTTTGTATCTATTATGAGTCGGCCTATCTAGCCTATCTTTTCATTCATCTCCATACATACATCATCAACTTTATTGTATGGACAATTTAAGATACGAAGATTACGTTACATAGTTGTAGACTTGTCAACGAATTTTTTAAAAAACTTGAGAATTGTGATTCCGATTATCCTTCTTTTCTATTTATTCGAAACTACATAGCGTGTGTTTTTGGATCCCATGTATTAATCGTTGTGTTTACAAACACAAATGAGATAAAAGATCTAAAAAGACATTAATATATGTTCGTGAAATGATGTCTTCCTTGACTAATGTAAGAAATTGCCAATAAGATTTTAATATTCTAAAAGGAAGTGGACTACACGCGCCGAAATAGTTGACCCTTCAAAAAACGTTTAATGAAGGATAATAGAAGAAAAAAGAGTCTAGGTTAAATGGAAAACGGATAGTAACTATAGCCCTAACAAAAATAGTAAAAAGCAACAGCAAATATCACGTGTCACCCCAACTTACGATTAAAATAGCCTAATTAAACTCAAATTACGATTAGAGAGCTCTAATGATCAAGAGTCGCCATAATTATCTTCATGAATCCGGTGAGTAGTGCCGTTAGGAGAACGAAGAGGAAACAGCGGCAAAAGCTCCGGTGCTGGCTCAGCGCCGCTTCTCGGACTCGGAAGGAAGTAGAACCCTTTTTCCGCTATGGCTTTTTGCTCTTCCTTGTCCGGTTGCGCGTGGTGTTCCTCACGCGCTGAATGTGGACTCACGCGCGCCCAGAATGGGTCTAGGTGAGAGACGGGAGAGACGAGGAATCCTCGGTGGAAATGGCTGAAAGCTTCGTTGGGGTTTGTGATGTTGTTGACCTTCAGCTCCATTTTCTTTGATGATTGACGCCGTTCGTGGAGCTTGAACGCTGGCTTTTTGGGAGTTAGTGGAAGCTTTTGGTGTGCGGCGGAGACGGTGGAGAAGGAGGAGGAAGAGATATCGGGTGGTGCTCCGGTGAGCTTTTGGACGATGTTACGGAAATTAGAAGGGTCTGCTTGAACGAACATGGTGTTTGGGTCGGTGGCATAGCTCGGCGGCTGCTGGTGCTGGTGGCTCATGGTGGTTAAGATGATGACTAAAGAGATGTGTGTAGTTGAAAACCTTGAGAAGAGAAGAGAAGAGAAACTTGTTTTTTTTTGTTTTTGTCTAAAAGACATTCGTCTGCCTACTGCACAATTATTTAAAGAAGACCCTCTTGTGTGTTTGTGTTTTTATTGACATTTTTGCCAACATATTAAATTTCGTGATTAACAAAAGTGGCTAATATGCTTTGACTTTGCACGTCTGGAAATTTTTAGTTGATAAGTTGACTAAAAATAAATAATTATTTAGTTGCTAATAATTCACTAATATTTATGATTCGAACACGGATTTAAACTGTTTATAGATGATTATAATGTCAAAGTCAACGCCAAAGCTAGCAATACATTATTAGAAGTGTTGCCAATTCAGTACCTGGGAACAATATCATACAGATGAATATGTGATATTGAAACATTTAGTCGGTTCATTGTTGACTCGGCAAGCAACTTAATGATATTTTCAAAGCATTCCACTAGTCTTTGATATTCCACTTTATATTTCCTTGTACACAAACGTTATATATATTTTTTATTTTGTACACTATAATTTAGACGTGGTTGACGAAATGATATGTAATACAAAAGAAAACCTAGAATGTTAATGTTATAATCTTTGTAGGCAAGATGCGTAATGATTGATAAGCGTAATTAACCACGTCCATGATTTTATGATTTTTCGAATTTTGAATTTCCCAAAGAAATAAATGCAGTGACGAGAAGGGCATCAGAACTTCCCCTACAAAATTTATGGAGGTTCAAAATTTGAAAAGTAAAAATTTAATGAATTAAAAACCCGTACATCGTTGAGTATTAATACAAGCGATAAAGTTTTTGTTGTTGTTGTTGTTGTTTTCTTATAGATTGTGATTAAGTTTACTTCTTCTTACCTTACATTTTATATTGTTGTTGAAACGTAAAATATGAGATACATCATGCATCCTATTTAATTAGTGGAGGACAAAGATATAGAAACGTTCAACATATAAAACGATTTGAAAAAGAAAAGAGAAAAAAGTAATGGCCTTTAGGTTGCGTGAAGGAAGTATGTAGGCAAAAAGCGAAGATTTTTTCTCTCCTTTTTCTTCAGACTTCACGTTTTTTCTTTGTTCCTTAGCTTTGCTTCCATTTGACTCTTTGAACTTTATGTTATGTTTCCATTGAAACCTTCTTTATTAGTATTTCTTTTAGGCTTGAGTAAAAAAATATATAACACTCTTTCTTAATTTCCATTTGTCCACTTTTTTTGTTTTCCTTAGATTCTCGCTGTTTCAGTGGGAACTGATAGAAAAAACTAAAATTAATTGCTCGGAAGTTTCTGATTAAAAAAGTATCCAACTAACACCCCTAACTAGGAAGTTAGTAGATATTAAAATTTGTATAGTAACCAAAATAATTTTAATTCTGAAAACTAAAAACCCTAACAAAAATAAAATAGGTAGAAATTTGAAAGTTTTTTTTTTTTTACTTTGAAACAATGTTGAGCCTGGTCAACCAAAATTGTTGATCACGTTGACTCCCAGAAAAGGCAAAGGGAAGGCTCATTAAGAGCCCATCTGCTTAAAAAGGAAGCAAGGGCTAGAGAGGCCCAGTTTTGAGGTGAAGAAAAACGAGGGAACACGATGTATATATATTTTTAGACCTTAAATTTTGATTGAAGCAAACAAAATAATTGAATTACAAAATCGGAATTGGGATTCTTTTGAACGAGTGTCGTCGAGCTTAGAGATGAAGACGAGCGCTTGGTCTGAGTATTATCGAGAATTACGGTTGTTGGAATTCTCGAGCTTAGTGATGAAGACGACCGTTTGGTCCAATTAGGAATGTGCGCATAGTGCAAACAAGGAGGAACTTACCATGTTTTGCAGTTTCTAAGACTATCACAGATGTATCAATTATCATGAATAAGACACAAAAGCAATTCCAAAACCCTATTGTTTAGAACATTAGTGAAATTAACATGGTTTTAGTTAAAAACATTATTTTCTTAAAAGTTTAAGTGTTAAATTTGTTTTAAATTTTAGTCAAAATCTGAAAAGAAAAAAAATCAAAATTTTTAAAACTATTTTTAAAAAATCCGAATTAAATACTTGAATGCTAAATCTACATAATAATAAGAAAAACAAGTTGAATGTTTGGAATCGCTAACGATCCAAAATTCGGTTAGTTTTTATATCATTATGTAAATTTAGTATCCAATAAATAAAAAAACAAACAAAAGAAAGAAAAGATTTCTAAAATCCGAAAATAAACAAAATCAAAATTGTAAAAACTGTTTTTTAAAATCCGAATTAAAAACTTGAATGCTAAATTAAATCTACACATAATAATAAGAAAAACAAGTTGAATGTTTATCGCTAACGACTAATGCTGGATCCAAAATTCGGTTAGTTTTCATAACATTATGTAAATTTAGTATCAAACAAAAGAATTATAAAAAAAACACAAGAAAAAAAGTTTTTAAAAATCCATAAAGAAGCACAATCAAAAATTTAAAAACTATTTTTAAAAATCCGAATTAAAAACTTGAATGCAAAATCTACATAATAATAGGAAAACAAGTTGAATGTTTGGAATCGCTAACGACTAATGCTGGATCCAAAATCCGGTTAGTTTTCATATCATTATGTAAATTAATATCCAAAATAATAAAAAAAAATTAAACAAAACAAACACAAGAAAAAAGCTTTTAAAAATCCAAAAAGAAACAAAATCAAAAATCAAAATTTTAAAAACTATTTTTAAAAATCCGAATTAAAAACTTGAATGCTAAATCTACATAATAATAGGAAAAACAAGTTGAATGTTTGGAATCGCTAACGACTAATGCTGGATCCAAAATCCGGTTAGTTTTCATATCATTATTTAAATTTAGTATCCAAAACAATAAAAAAAAAACACAAAAAAGCTTTTGAAAAAATCCGCCATAAAAAAAAAAACAAATTTACTACCAAATCAATAATTTATTAATTTGTAAAAAAGAAAAAGAAAGAGAGGATAGAAATTCGTTACCAAGCAATAGCAAAATGTGTTGTCTATCATTCCAGTGGAACCAAACAGTCTTGCGGCTGCACCCACTGATTTGGCGAAATAAGAATAGGAACCTACAATAACGAGAAGAAATCTAAAGGTTAATTAATTAATTGTGAAACAAAGTGATAACAGACATGACAAACTATAGGTTAGGTCAATTTCGTAAAACTACTACAAGAGCAAACCCTAGTTCCTCCGATGCGTTTAGAAAACTAAATATTGATTGACTTAACTCAAAGAGACCTTTTTTGTGCAGCAAGTTACGCTAAGAATTAAAAATCCAAGGTTCCAACTTCCAAGATATCAAGTAGGAAATTAAGCGAGAAGCAACAAACCTGGCTCTCGTGACAACGGCGCATATGATGCATCATCCATGGTTTGCGTCACTACCTCTGACCCTCGGAGAGATCCTCCATGACTTTCCAGAGATCGTGAAACGCAAAAAAACAGAGAGACAGAGGATAAGAACGGTGGCGAGATCTTTGATGGTGTGATCAAACATGATTTACAGTTCCGACGGCATTGGAGCAGATGGTGATCATCGAGCTTTGACGTTCTCGTGATCGGTGAGTTCTCTTTGTAAGAGAGGAACAGAACTTGATCAAGAAGAAACAGAGACTAAAAAGACAAAAGAAGAAGAAGGTGGATTTTTGTTTTCGAAGAAAGAGGAATTATGATTTCTCAAAGAAGCTATTTTGTTATATAAAGGTTGCCAACGGAAAAAAAAAGGATAAGGTAATTAGGTTAAGTTGTTTAAAGAAAAGGAAATTTCTATTTTATAAGAAAAAGGAAATTACTCATACAAATATAAAAAATGGAAATTGTTTATATCGATAATAAAAAGTGACCGTTACAACAGCTGAATTGAGGTGACTTGCGTTTATTGTAGTTAATTAGAGATTCAAAAATTGATTACCATAGATGATCAGATGATATAACTTCTTTATCAGCAATCCCACACGGCACAATGTGCTCAAAGTACTTCAAATCAGGATCTATGTTAAAAGCCAAACCATGAGTAGTTATTCCAGAAGATATCCGAACTCCAATAGCACCGATCTTCCTATCCCCAACCCAAACCCCAGTCTCACATTTGTTTCCTGCAAGAGCTTTCACGCCATAAATCGAAGCAAATTCGATCATTGACCGCTCCAATGTCTCCACATATATACCTTCTACTTTGTTCGATTCCACAGTCAAACGCTGGAACTTGTGGATCTCTCCAGAAATAAGTTATCATCAGGAAGCATTCCTTCACACTTCTCAAATAGTGGTGATTATTATGGGGGGATGTTATACCTGCACGACAATTATCTCACGGGACCTCTTCCAGCGGTGTTCTTCTCTTGAGGGGGAATGATTTAAGTTTAAGGGGTCCAGTTCCTAGGCAGTTGTGCAATCTAAGCAGCATTAGGATTTTGGATCACCACAAGATCTCTCATGTCTTATTATGATGCAAATGCAATCTTACTTCCAACAGAATTAAGCATTCATATATAAATCATTCAAAGACGGTTTACTCAACATATATTAAACGTTAAACATAATGTGACTTGGAAGACAGAGCCCAACTGTGGTAAATAACAAGTAATCTCTGAGATGAGATGATTCAAGTTTTAGATAGAGAGATCAGCGAGATCAAATGTTCTTTCCACCGCTTTGCACCAAGACGCCACTTTCTTCTTCCTGATTTCTTCTTCCATAGCAGGTCTGAAAACTTTGGAGTTCTTCGCCTTCTCTCCTGACTCGAATATGTCTGCTTCATTCCAGAATCCCACAGCCAACCCAGCTGCATAGGCTGCTCCTAGTGCTGTTGTCTCTATGTCCACAGGCCTCACCACCGGACTCCCCATCAAATCAGCCTGCAACATTTTGAAGGAGATTAATATTTGAAGAAAACTGCACAATCAGATTCATACGAGAAAAAGAGCAGAGATCAGAACATACCTGAATCTGCATCAGAAGGTTATTTGCTGTGGCACCACCATCAACTCTGAGCAAGAACTCGCCTTTCTCGTTATCTAGGGAACCCTTTTCACCTGCATCTTTGTTCATGGAGTCAAGGACGTCTTTCACTTGGAAACACATGCTCTCCAGCACTGCCCGAGCAATGTGAGACTTGTTGGTGAACCTCGTGATTCCAATGCACACACCACGTGCGTCTTCTCTCCACCAAGGAGCAAACAAGCCGTTGAACGCTGGCACAAAGTACACTCCTCCTGTAGAATCTACCATTGCTGCCAAATCTTCGATTTCAGAGGCGCTTTTGATTATCCCAAGGCTGTCTCTAAGCCACTGGACAGCAGCTCCTGCTATGGCAATCGAACCCTCCAGTGCATAGTTGGTATGTGCTTGAGGCCCGAGCTTGTAGGCCAATGTTGTCAGAAGTCCATGGCCTGATTTGATTGGCACTTCTCCGGTGTTGAGAAGAATGAAAGCGCCTGTGCCATATGTACTCTTGGCCTCGCCTTTTCTGCAAGCTTGTCCCAGCATCGCGGCATGCTGATCACCAAGACATCCAGCAATCTTGATACCGGGAATAGGCCAGCCTTTGCATATTTCTCCAATCACTTCTGAATTGCTCACAATCTTAGGCAAGATTTCAGCTGGTATGCCAAGTGTCTTCAAAGTGTCCTGGTCCCAATTCAAGGTTTTGAGGTTCATGAGCATTGTCCGAGAAGCATTGGTGACATCAGTGACATGTAGACCGCCATTCACACCACCAGTCATGTTCCAGATCAACCATGTGTCGATAGTGCCAAAGATGGCATCCCCTTTCTTGATAGCGTCTTTGACATCATCCACATTCTCCATGAGCCAAAGCAGCTTCATGGCAGAGAAGTATGTGCTTATTGGCAAGCCACAAGACTCCACAAAATGGGATCTTCCTCCCGAGAGTTCTTTTTCTAGTCTCCTGCAGTGAAGATCATGAAAAAAGCTTTCATCAGAAACCAAATCCCTCAGCAACCATGAAGATGATATAGTAGACAAATCATACAAGAAGACAGAACAGAAAACAAAGAAAGGGATCAAACCATGAATTTGATTTAAAAAAAAAAGTATGTACCTGCAGATGGAACTGGTACGAGCATCCATCCACACAATAGCTTTGTGGAGAGGAAGGCCAGTGGATTTGCTCCAAACAACAGTTGTCTCTCTCTGATCTGTCAGCCCAATGGCCTTCAAGCCGCCGTCGACGTTGTGTCCATCGGCAGTGGCTTTGTCGAGAGCCTTTGCAATGCACACTTTCACACTTTCCAGTATCTCCATTGGATCGTGTTCCACCCATCTTCAATCACAGAAAAATTCACAGACTTTAAAAACAACAACAACAAGAGCAGGGATTCGAAATCGATTTGACTAATCCATGGATCTTTAAAGACAAACAAACTTTGGTCTGATGGATGGAGCTTCAAAGATACGGAAATAGTTTGCAATCAGACAAGATCGGGATCATCCACCATAAATAAGTCTCACCTACTCGTCATAACCAATTGAATTTAATCCCAAAAAAAAGGCAGAGAGAGAGATTAATTTTACCCAGCTTCGGGATAGAACTGAGTGAACTCGACTTGATGAGATGCAACAGCACGAGCATCGTGGTCGTAGATGATGAATCTGGTGCTGGTGGTTCCTTGATCGATTGATCCTATAAAACCATTTTCTTTTGCCATTTCTCTTTCTTCTTCTTTTTTGTGGTAAAGGTGAAGAATGCTTTGTTATCTCTCCAAGAACGAATTTAAAGAAGAAAGATCGTTGAGAGGATAAACTATCTATAATATGAATAGAGAGATAGATAATGGGAACGATTGATTATAGAAAGCTGAATCAGAGAGTCAGAGATTTTGTTGGAAACTTCACCGTTTTTTTATCCATCTACGCATTTACTCCACCGGATTAGATGATGATGTATTATTAAGCTTTTTATTGGTGGATGGTCAAGATTATGAGATCATCGCAACTTAAATTCAGCTCCATCTGCCACGTGTCTCTCTCTCATTCGATGTTCTTGTAACCGTTTCTATCGTTGACTTTGAACGAACTCATATGTCTCTGTCTCCGTTCACAGATCTGGTTAACGTTGATTTATTTATTTTTTTAGTCCTGCTTGTCTGAAGCTATTTTATAAATGAAAATATATGGGATTTAAATTCAATTTATCGGCTGGCCCTTGTTATCTTTAAAAAACGGACCATAATTAACGTCTAGCAGCTTCACTTTTTTTAAATAAAAAGGGGTTATCTACTTCATAGTTCCTACCAAAAACAAAAACATGGTTATCTACTAATATTGATTACTGCTCGTAAATTTGGTGACCTGATTTTACCAATAATAGTATGAGGCGTCCCCTAATATCATATGTAAATTGTAATAGCAACATAGGTTGGATGGATCGGTATGAATATTTTGATCAACCAACTTTTCTCGGAACATTATCGTATTTTCAATTCTAACCACCGGCTAGCTAATAATTCATCAAATTTTTGCCACTTTAAATTGCCAAGTTATGATTGTTAAAAAAATGATTTTGCATATTTTGATCATTTTTTGTCAAAATAAACAAATTATTTGACTTGTTAAGAGGTAAAATATGATTTACTTGTAACAAATAACTAGATCCGGACCCGCACGTACGTGCGGGGTGTAATATAAAAATAATTGTGTTTGCATAAAGTTTCAATTAAGAATTTGTTTTTTTGTTATAATAGTATGCATATATATATATATATATATATATATATATATAATATTTTGATTTATAATAGAAAATTTTGAATTTTAAAGAATATTAGATTTTAAAATGTTTAGAATTAATTTTTGGTAGCAAAATTTATTGTTTATAATTTAATATTTGGTAATTCAGAAAATACTATACCAAAAGTTTAATTAAGTGGCCCATAAATGAAGCCAAATAATTTTGTGGGCCGAATTACATGTTACGTAGACCCAATTAGAAACTCATTTGAACACATATTCTCTATTCGTTTGTTTTAATATATTATTGAATATTATTTTATTTATCTGGACAGATAATTGTTTAGAGCCATCCTTGTCTTATCTCAAATAAAGAAAACCCACCGACTAAAATCCAGAACATCGGTCGATCTCAGCATCAATTGCGAAATTGTCAGGTAGTCCAGCTCTTTCGTCTCCGTTTATCATTTGTGTTTCATAAATTGTGAATTCTACAAAGAGTAAGCTTATGATTGAATCAGTAATATATAATATTTTTTTAGTATGTCAGATTCAATTTCCAATCTTTGAATAGAAATCTTCACCAAAGATTGTCAAGAACCGGATCTTCTATGGGTAATTATTGCCAATATTATATCTAAATTTTGTTTTCGCTGAATTTTATCAAGGAAAAGGAATTTGTTTTCCTCTTGTTTGAATGCATTAGCTAAGAGCCAAAATGTTTGTATAAATTTTCAGTGTACCGAGTGATTTATTTGAAACACAATCTTTTTAACAATATATTTTGTAATAGGAAAAGAGTTAATTTTGTTTCTATATAGATTTCTATTTACAACAAACATAATAATGTTGACAAAAGAAGAGGATAAACAAAGATAAGTTGTCTGATAAGATTATTAGAAAACAATAGCTCTTTATAAATATGTGAACATGATCATACAAAATTCAATGTATTCAGGGCAAGCATCATTTGTGAGTAACATTCTTATGGAGGAGGCAGATTTGATGTTGTCTTTGGAGCTATTCAGAGTAATGTAAAAGGTTAGTGAGATGTTAATGATGACACTTTTGTTTATTAGTTAAGTATGTTTACCTACTGCTATTCATTTTAAATGAGATGAATAAATATATAAAACATTGTTTTGCCATTGTATGTTAAAATGATTATACGAAATGTGAGATCTGTAACACCAACTCTATTGTTAATAATGAAAAACGATAGAGCTCGAGTTTACGGAGAGTTTTAAAGAGTAGTAGTGAGTAGAAGAAAACGGGTAATAGACTTCAATATTTATAGGAAAAGAAGGACGGCAGCTAATCATCTGTCCACTGTTTCCCCTGTGTATTGAGTGTATTGAGTCCATGAATGGACAATTTTAACTTGAATTCTCTATTGTGTTTTGAAAGGCTTGATGTCAGCAAGATCGGTGAATGCTAGCTCAGCAGCCATTTTCTTAGTAGGATCGTGAAGAGAAAAGGTGAAATCTTGAAAAGGTGAGTTCAATAGAATCTTGGATCCTATATTTATACTAATCAAAAGTCGGCTATAATTTTTCTAGGTTTTAGAGAATTACCGGGGCAGAGGATAAAGTCTATTAGAATATTTAAGGTATATGCTTGATTTTATGCGATTTTTTTTATTGCGTTTATGATTTTTTCGGGTATAATTTAGAACTGAATATGGATTTGAAGAGATTTTATGATTTTAAATATAAACTAATAAAGGAAATCTAATCTCGAAAAATTAGTTATCATTCGATATAGGGAATATGGGGATTGAGATTGCATTGACTTATTCGTGACCTGTTTTTTTTTTAATTCTCATTTATAGTTTTAGTTGTTATAGAATGATTTTTAAAGCAATTGAATCTAAGAAGGATATTTCTATAACGGATTTTGTTATTTGTGGTAAATACAGATAAATGAAATCGAATATAAATCAAAAAGTTTTTTTTTAGTAATTGGAATATATGGGATTGGGTTGTTATAGAAATATAAGAGTAGAGATAATCTAATCGGAATAAATAGATTTGCTTGTTATGGTAATATATCTAAATGTATTGAATCTGATTGTTATTTTCTTTAAATACTGCAGATCCGTTCGGGCCTATTGATCGGGCCTATTGATTGTAAGCCCAATAGGATCGTTCATCAAAACACAATAACGTTTTGATAAAGACCCGAGATCCGACAAAAGGATCCAAGATCCGCGTCCCTGTTCGATAACGTTTGTCCATTATACCCCTCGTAGATATCTTTTTTTAGTCGTGGAATAAAAAAATTGTAATGGCAATCCTTTGTAATTTTTTACCTTTTATAAGGTTATTTTTTATCCAATGCTTCCCAATTAATAGAATAGATTCTCTTGTACAAATATGGATAGTTTCTTTTAGTTATTATGTTAAATTTTATAATTTAATTGGAAGATATTCAGTTTTGAAATATCTTTTATAGCTAGTCTGGAAAAAAATGTATTTGATGTAGAACAATATCATTTTAAGTGATATTGTATTTGGTTTAATACAATATCACTTTTGAGCTCTTTACCTAATAACTTTTGGGTAATTAATTTACATAGTATCTACAATCTACTATAGAACTATGGATAGAAGATTTTTGATTAATATCTTAACCACACAGTCAAACTTTCAAAGGAACTCTCTATGATGTTGATGTCTACAAATGTTAAGCTGAGATTACGAAATCGTCATTTAGTGAATATTTCCAATTTTGGTTTCATTCATAATTAAACCTCTCTTATCCTCTTTCCCATGACCAGATATTAATTACTCTGCAAAAGTCTACTGATCTAATCTTTTTTTTTTTTGTTATCTGATGAGTGATTCGGTTGCACGTACGGCACTTGAGACATGTACAAAGATATAAGTGTATATGACCTTTACGCATGGTATGAATGTAGAAGTCGAGAGAAAGAAAAAAAAAAGAAAAGTAGACGTAAGTTGGAGAAAGATGAGAGTGTTGACTAGACTTGCACTGTATTGTTGTATTAATATATAAAAATTCAACCTTCCCGAACCGATACCGCAATGAAGCGAAACGATCCAATTCACATTGACTATATAATAAGGTCCCATAATTTAATTGGAAATAATTGAGTGGTTTCCCTTGTCAATGTTTTCTGACTAATACTGAAATGTACATAATTCAGCAAATCCATTATCAAGCAGATCATTGGATTGATGATTGAAATCCGAAACCAAAATGTAGCTCAAATGTTTATCTTTTTGTCCACTATACGAGAAGAAAAGGTAAAATATGACAAGGCCTGTGTAGGAACATTTTAGTGAGCCTAAGCCACGTGTATGTGACGTGGCATTATATCCAATCCACCGCGATAAAAACTAACACGTTACAAGTCGTTGGATCGGTGGTAGATTAAAGTTGAACGGTTCATATAAACAGTTGTATAGTAAGAAACGTGCACATAACCGTAGGTAATCACAATTGATGGAGCATCCAAGACTCTTCTTCTTCTCCTTCTTATAAAACGACACGATATGCCACCGATCGAGTTGCTTCACTTCCTTGTCCAACTTCATCTCTTTCTCCAAAGCATATCATTCTGTCTCTGTCGTTTTGATTTGCGTTCGGTTTTAGGAGAGAGATGTTGGCCAAGGCGTTGCTACCGGAACTTTGGACGGAAATTTTGGTGCCGGTTTGCGCCGTCGTGGGGATCGTGTTCTCGCTTTTCCAGTGGTATGTTGTCTCTTGCGTGAAACTCACCACCGATCATAGCGATTCGTCGCCTTCTGAAGACGGCAAGAATGGACACGGGGACTACTTGATCGAGGAAGAGGAAGGTGTTAATGATCAGAGCGTCGTGGCCAAGTGCGCTGAGATACAAACCGCTATTTCCGAAGGTAATAAAAATATCTTCTTAGGTGGTTCTCTCTTCTTAGATCTGCTCTGTTTTGTTTAAAGAGATCAAATTGTCTTCTTCGAAAGAATAAAACTTTGGGCAAATGTTCAAATACTGGAAATGTCACTTTCGTCAAAAATCCAAACTTTTTTTTTTTTTAACGTTCGGA